TCCTTTTTTTTTTTTTTTTTTTCATTGCTTTGCTGTATGTCCCAGTCAAACAGTCAAACAGTCACTCTGAGCACAATCAGAGGGACCGCATGAGGTCAACTGTGACAGAGGGGGGAAAGCGTGAACAACAAGTGGTTGTGTGATAGCAGTCTCTCAATGGCGAGACGAAGCCGAAGCGTGCGAGAGAGTTGGAGCGTGCGAGAGAGAGTCGGAGGTTGGAGCGAGCAGATGTGACGCGGCGGTCGCTTCAACGTTCCCCACCCCCCGCCTCCCACGACCTCCCAACACACGAGCCAACCTTGTGACGTAAACACTCGACGACTTGCTTGCTACCGAATGACTGGGGGATGGGGGGCGGGGAAAGCGAGCGTAGAGAAGTCTGTTGGTCTGTTGGTCTGTGAGCAACCTCTCACTCTCTACGACCATTGTCATCACCAAAGCAGATTTGACGTACACTCGGAGCACATTCCAGGGATCAACTGGCACTAGAACAAGTCTCATGGCTGACAAAAAATCCCGCGTGTAACATCTCCTTTTTGATTGTTTGAACGATTCAGACCAAACATGCATGTAATCGCTGATCTTTTGCTTTGCTTTGGATTGATCGACAAACAGGGACCTCAAAATCATCCTGCTTGGCACGTCTGGGGCAGGCAAGACCTCACTGACAAACCGTTACATTCATGACGAGTTTAGCAACACCGAGTCGGTATGTGCGCTTGACTTTTGTTTGTTTGTAGCTCCCCCCCCCCAAGATTTGGACTCTTTTGTTTGTTCTCACTCGTTGCACAACACTCGCAGACCATTGGCGCATCGTTCGCCTTGAAGTCTTGGAAACGATTCAAACTGGGAATCTGGGTATGTTTGCTGGGTTTCCCTCTTGGCTGGGTGGCATAGCTCAAATTCTCACTTTTTGGTGCATCCGAAAATCCAGGACACGGCTGGACAAGAAAAGTATGCAGCATTGGGCAGCTTTTATTCTCGCAATGCTGGAGCAGCCATTCTGGTCTATGGTAAGCCATGGCTTTTTTCTTTTTCTTTTTTCTTTGCTTTTTTTTTTTCTTTGCTTTTTTTTGGGGGGGCTCTATTTTGCATCCTCACCTGGCGTCCTCCCTCGCGCCGATACAGACCCCACGTCAAAAGCGTCGTTCGACGAGCTGCCGCGATATGTCAAAATTCTGGAAAGCGCAGAGCCCAACTGCGTCGTTACACTGGTTGCCTCCAAGTCAGACCTGGTAGAATCCCACCCGACACTGCGCGCGGTGAGCGAATCGGACGCGCGAGAGTATGCCAGAGTGCACGACTATGGCTACTTTGAGACGAGCTCCATGACCGGCAAAAACGTGCTGCCATTGTTCGAGTCGATCGCACTGACATGTCTAGGAAGTCAAATGACGGAGGAGGAGCGTACAAGCGATGCGCGCTCGGCCACCCCTTCTTCAGCCGCCACGACAAATACACCAGCGAACGATCGGATACGACTGCATGATGCTCCGAGTGGCGCACAGGCCAACAAGGCTGGATGTTGTTCTTGATCGGTTTTTGTTGCGTGCTTTTCCAACCGAATTACACATTCCAAAACAACCCCGCCAACCCTCCATTTGAATCAATTCGTACATGTGATTCCTTAGCGAATTTGCATTTGCACGGGCGCAGTTCTTCTTTGTTGCTTGCTTTGCTTTCACCAGAATGGACCAAAAGAGCGCCAATGCCCTGTTTGAGCAATGGGGCTGCCTGCTGCTGCTCGGAGTCCCCGCTGGCGCCATGCTGCACATGGATCTGCAGCCCTTCCATGTTGCAGAGTCCTTCCGCGGCTTCAAGCTCATCCCACCTGGGCTCCATCTGGTCTGTTTCAGGTCTGCTCCATGCGTCTTCGCCCCGCTTTCCCCGCTCCCTCCCTCCCTCCCTCCCTCCCAGTCCCCAGCACTCACTGGATCCAGATTTCGTCTTCTCGTTGTTTGCAATGACAGTATACCGGACAAGACTGGCCTGCAAGGCGAGCGAACTGGCTTTTTCCAGCAGATTGATCGCCGACAAGTAACGCCATTGCAACGTTCATCAATGGAAGATGCACCAACTCACGCTCTCCCCTTGTTGGGTTCGCTTGTTTGCTTGTTTGTTTGTTTGGATTTCGCGTTTCAGACAGTGGTAAAGCACTACAACCCAGCGACAGAATCATTCGACGACGAGCCGGATCCGGAGCAAGTCGAACGCTATCGACTAGGTAACGGCTGCTCATCACTGTTCTTACAAACGAAAATGATATAGCAGCTTATGGAGAGAAAGAGAAGAAGAGGACGTAAATGTCACGTTACTAACACAACCTGCAATTTCTGCTCTTTCTCTCTTTCTCTCTCTTGCGATTCTCCATCCTCACGCACACCAGGCATCCGCGAATTTGACAAGTTCATGGCAGTCTACCCAATTCAAACCTACCAGAGTTGGTCAAATCTCGTACCACACGTCCAGGCCAGCACAGTCACTCGCGTGCTGCCCTCGGGCTCGCGGTGGTTTTTGCATGCTCAACCTGCTGAATTCGACAACACCAACCCGGACATGCCACCACTCGATCGAGCAGCCGCCTCGGCCCGCATTGCGGCTGGAGTGGAAGCTGCCACGCGCGCCCTTGACACCCCGGTCTTCCGCTTTGCCAAAATCGCCAAACACGCTTTTCCGCCGAATGCCACGCCGGCAGAGCGAACGCGCTACAGTCTAGATACCAGCTATCAATTGCGGCAGACGGTTCAGGAGCACTTTGGCGATGGTGAGCGACGGTTGACACGCCATCATGGTCTGTCCGACTTGGTTTTGCGCTGTGGTGCTCACTTCATCCGGATTTCCGTTTTTGCCAGATTACAAGGAGTTCCTCGGGGAATGGGAGTTGGGATTTGTCATGTTTGTTCTTGGTCAACAGTTGGAAGGATTTGAGGCGTGGAAGGCCTCCCTTCGCATCATTTCGCACGCTGAGGAGCAACTACCGCTTTGGCCTGAATTTTTCACGCCAATGTTCGGTAAGCATGCGATACAACGTTGAAGCTGCCCGGCGCTGTGGTACTTGTGTCCAACAGAAACTACATGACGCTCATTTCTCGATTTTTTTCACCTTTTTTTCTTTTTCCGTTTTTTGTCTTCGACAGGCACGCTCCTGGCACAGCTGCAGCTGTTTCAACCCGAAAACTTTTTCCAAGACGCGCTGTCCCAACACAACTTTTTGCGGACGTGTCTTCAGGTTTGTTTCCAGTGTTTTGTCAACCCCAAATAGCTTCAGCGACTCACGAGTTCTCTTCTCTTCTCCAGGTGCTCGTCCAGAATTGTGAATCGATTGCGCTTTATCGACCCGTCACTCGGTCAATTACGGACTTGTGCCGAAAGACGTTTGAATGGCAGCTTGATCTCGCATCTGACGCCGATACTTATGCATTGAGCGACGAAATTGATCCCGAAGATCGACCAACCATTGTGGAATAAATGAGACACTCGTCCCGACCGCACAACACGCTCCATTCTATCATCGTGTATTTTTGGTTTGTTAATTCAATGTTGTTCTTCAAAAGGGCAAGCAACCAAGAAACCCCTCATGTTCCTGAAACGAGAGAGTTGCATTCTTGGTTCGGTCTGAATCCTCATGCAATAAAGCCAAGGTAGTCGTCCTTGATTGTACCAACAGTCGTCTGTCGCAACACGTACATGCATCCGTGTCAGTTGGTCGAATGAAACAAGGCACACGCGAATAGCATTTGTTCAGTCAGGAATGAGCACGGCGCGTTGACGTACAATGCTTTCTGCATCAATGCGCATGCCTGCAATTCTCAGTCGTACTTGCGACCCTACTGTAATAGCACCAATAGTCTAAACCATCGATAATGAGATGGCAGAATACGAGTGAGTGACGTTGGCAAATCGAAACAACAACGAACGTGCTTTCAAATCCATTGTGAGCGCACCATATCTGCGGACTTGAAACATGGTGGGTTGGAGGTAACATCGAACGAATATTCTGATGGCATGCCGCCCTACAGCGACAGATGGAACGTGGCCGGTGAGATTGGAAATCCTCGAAACGATTTCGTCGTCTGGCGATTGTTTGTTTGTTCGATCTTACCACTTGTGATACGAAAATGGAAATTGGGCCTGCCTCGGCGAAAAAGCCCATCTGCAATAGCGAGTCATCATCGTGTTCGTTGACTGTCAGCGTGTGCGTTCAGACAAGCGTCCAGCAGACTTTTTGCTGGCTTTACCTTATTGACAACTGTGACGATTGCGTCCATAACTTCACCCTTAACGGGCCGGAAGACGACCGCTTGATACTGGACGTGATAGCTGACGAGGCCTTTGCCTGCCATCAGTCGACCGCGACCGAGGTGCTCCTCGCTCAAGCTGGTGATGGCGACAATGAAACCGCGCTCACCGTCGCAAGTGCCTTCGACCTCCGTGTACAGCTTCTCCATGAGTGCTTGTCGGAGCCGTGGGCCAAAGTACTTGGGATGGAGCACAATCTCCTTGTCCAATGTCATCTGTTGGCGGGACCCAAGGCGCAATCCAAGCAATACAAGCGAGTCAGAGAGAGCGAGAACTGGGAGGGACGAAGTTCACTTCAGCAACCGCCAGCAACCACCACCCCGCGTCCCCGCGTTCCAACCCCTTGGATGCAGCGTCATGAAGATTGGCAGTTGGACGCCGGTGGTGGTCGGCAAGGCATGGACAACGCTCAATCGCGGCAACGTCGCTCGAAAATCCGAGATCGCCAGATTGATCGTCGCTGTGATGTCGCAGCACCCCTCCCCACTCCACTCACTGCACCGTGACGATCTACTGTCTTTGTGAATGATGCTGGAGTTGCTTCTGCGTGTTGCTGGGTTTTGTGAGGGAGAGTTGACAGTGGAAGGGGTCGAAACAACACTCACATAGAAGAACATGGTTTGCAATGAAGAAGAACAAGAGAGACTGAGCCACAAAGCGAGAGCGAAATAGAGAAGATTACCATGTTGGATGAGCTGGAATCACTGACAACAGAGAACAGCCGCACAGCATCATGGAGATCGAGAGTCGAACAGCATCAGCGAAAGCCGATCGACCAAACCACTTCCCTCTTCGTTGTTGATGTGGGGTCAATGTTAAGGTGTCCAGCTGTTAATGTACTTGGCTTCAATGAACTCGAAATTTTTCTGTGACTACATTATGCTGAGCTCTGAGCGTTCGTTGATTCGCTTTTCCCCTTTCGCTTTGCACCAATCGCCCATTTCACAATGATTGCCCAGCTTGCATTCTCCCCAATCCTTTTTGCTTTTGTTTCTTGTTTGCATCTGTATTCAATCCCATCAATCGTCCGCTTAGTCGTCCTTTCATCTTTGACGTGGTGTTGAATCGAGCGTTTCGGTCCTTTGCGCGTTGAGGCCCTAGCTCCCAATTGCCCCATCCCCTCCCCCTCCTTCAACCTCCACCACCCCACCACCCCCTCCAGACAGCACAATGTCGCGCTTCATGAAGAAGGTGCGCGACGCCATGTCGTTCGGCACGGACGCCAAGCCGCCGTCGCGCTACGAAGCAGACATTCCACACAACCTGACCAAGGACAGCTTCCAGTTTGCCAAGGCAAGGCTCTCGTTCACCCCTCCACAAGCAACCACCACCCCCTTCAAACAACACTTCAGTCAAAACCAACAGACGAAAACAAGCGGCGAGAAACGCTTCTGGCACTCGAGAGTCGATCACTCACGCTGTTGGCAATGTCGCTTCCATACAAAAGCCCTTCAACGTCCTCCTCCGTCGTTGAGTTGAACTCAGACAAAATCTCATCCGATGCTCACACCGTACCTTTGCTTTGCCTTATTCCCAACACTGGGCTTCGTTCATGTATTTGCAAAGGGGCTTACTTTTCATGTTGGTTGCTTTTGCGTCTTCATGATCACCGAATTTCTCAATGGCAAAATTTATGATGTGCGTTTTCTGATGCTAACTTTTATTTTTTTTTTTTCGAAATTTGCTATCAATCTGTTGTTCAGACGATTCGACATGGACTGCCTGGGATGGTGACCGTGTCTGCATACGACCCGGTGCAGCGGTTGCTGGCGCTCGGCACGTCGTCCGGTTCCGTCAAGATTTACGGCGCGCCGGGTGTCGAGTGCACGTTCAATCATCTGGCGGAAGGCGATACGTCCGCCATCGTCGGCCTGGTCTTCCTCGTCAACCGAGGCCGCTTGATCACGGCGACAAAGGCAAACCGCGTGTACCTGTGGGATTTCACCGCTGGCGACGGGCGGCGGCCAGTGAACGTCAGCATGCTCGCCTTCAAGGAGGAAGCCATCAGCTTTTTGCACCTGGCCACTGCGTCCACCTGGCTGTTCGTGGGCACAGAGAAGGGCAACATCCACATGGTCAACGCAGAGACGCTGTCACTGTCAGCCTTTGTCATTTACTGGAACCACTTGATTCCAGTCAGCGTCAAGCAGCCGCCAGGGCGCATTACCGGCATCCAGGAGCACCCTTACGACAACACCAAGCTGCTCGTCACGAACGAGCCGGGAAACATTGCAATCTTTGATCTCAAAGCGCGCAAGCTCCACAAGCGGTACGGTCCACACACGCTCGGGCATGTGCTGTGCTCGACGTGGCACTCGGACGGGAAGCAGTTTGCGTGCGGACATGCAAGCGGTGCGGTTTCCGTGTGGGGACTGAAGCACGACGCCAAGCCCGATGCTGTCCTCAACCAAGGATCTGGCGAGGCGGACTCGGACGAGCGGTTGCCCATCACTGCGTTGCGCTTCTTCTCCATGCAAAGTGACAGTGCCATGATGGTCTTTGCAGGCGGCGGCTCCGTCCTTGACAATCTTCACACAGTGAGCATCATCATGGGTCGAACGGAAAAGACGCTGTGCTTTGACCACGAAATTCTGGATTTGCAAATCACCCCCGTCACTCCTTGGGCGATGGACTGCCAACAGCCCCCGCTCGTTCTCGCGATTCAAGCGCACTCTATCGAAGCTATCGATCTTCAGGCACAAGGGTAGGTGGACGCGAAGGGTGTGTTTTTGGTTTTCGTAGTGATAGGCGACTGATTGGTTGTTTTTTGTTTTGTGGCAGATTTCCTCAAGTAATGGTACCCTACTCCCTGGATCTGCAAAGTTCGCCGTTGGCTTGCGTTGCCTTCTATCCCGATGTCCCGGCCGACCTCGTTACCGTGCTGCGATGGGCCGGAAGGCGTCAGCAAACCCAATTCTCAAAGCGTGCAACGGTAATTTCTTCGGAGTCTTTTCCGTTCGAACGTTGCGAAGCTGCTTCTTGATATCTCACCCACACTCTGTCCTATGGCTCGTTTTCTCACTAGAACTGGCCTGTGAGCGGTGGCCTTCCCAACGAAACATCCAATCCCGTCCTGGACATTGTGCTGACGGGTGATGTGAATGGACATGTGTTCTTCTGGGACGCCTCCACCTCGGCTCTGTCTCTCCTGTACGTGCTGGACATGTCGCAGTACGCACACCTGACCGAAGAATCCGATGGACCCAAGCCCATCAAGAATGTCGTTTTTTGCCCGTTGAGTCGGCTTTTGGCCGTCACCCTGAATGGCGGCGACGTCTTTGTTTTTGTGTTTGGCACCTCATCGCGGACTGTGGTTGTTCCTGTAAGCACCCACGCTGTCTGCAACCCGGTGAATTGTCGTCACCACCACGCTAACCAGATTTTGTATGTTGCTGCTGTTCTTGACAGACAATTGTTGCGCAGCGCCGTGCGGCTCGGTTGGTGGACATGCGGCGGCCATCGGCTGTGTTGGATGCTACACGAGTCCCTGGCGGCGTGCCAACAGAGGGCAGCAGCAGCAGCCCTCCTCCCCAAGCTGCCTCGGATGATGCTTGGCAGCCAACACCAACCCCTGAAACCACCCCTGCCAAAGCTGCAGCAGCAGCTGCTGCAGCTGCCTCGACACCAGCACCTCCGGGAGCTGCCGCCAATAGTGCAGGGGCTGCCCCCGACCAGATGCATCGTTCCCCGTCGGTCTCCAGTACAGATTCAAAAGGCTTGTCCAAACTCATGGGCAAACTCACTCTCACGAAAAAGTCGGGCAAGCAGGTCGCGAGCAACGAAACTGGTTCGCCGCTCCCTCAAGGCGATGCAGCACCAAGCACTCCTGGAGCCGCGTCGGCACCTGCATCGTCGGCTTCGGCACCCGCAAGCGCAAATGGCGCATCGCCCAAGATTCCGGCGCAGTTGCTCTCGCTTGGGTTTTCCGAGGCGTGGTGCCACGAGGCCATGAGCAAGACCAAGAGCTTGAACGAGGCGGCCGCTTGGCTATTCGAGAATGCTCGAACGCTCGACGAAGAGCAATCGGCACCTGCAGCCGATTCAGTCTCGGTGACTGCTCGATCAACTTCGAGCAAGAGCAGCTCTGCGAGCAAGCCCCATTCCGCTGCCGGCACATCGGCTTCGCAAAGCTCAAGAGCTGACGGCCCCCAGACTCCCGGGACTCCTGGCGCACACACGCATTCGGAGGTCTCGTCGCTCTCCTCCGGTGCTACCGGCCATGAGCGCAGCGCGGCAGGCCATGCCACATTCAATGCCGAGCCTGGATTCCAGCCCCATTTCCACTTCAAGGCCGCAAACCAGGATCGCGGTGCCCAACTGCGAAATATCAATGTGGTCGCTGTCAGCGCCTTCTGGGGCATGGTTGTTGTCGGAGACGATCTTGGACTTTCGGCGATCGACGTTGCCAACCGTGTCCTGGTGACGGACATTTCTGCCGTCGACTTTCCTACCGGTTCGTCTTCCACTGGCACCGTTGGTCCTCAAGCCGGAAGCGCAGCCACGACTGCCGAGCGCCGCCTTGGCGTGACGTCGCTCCAGTTTGCAGATTTGTATCTCAATCCTCGCGGTAAGTTGTGTGCAGGAGACTGTTTCTCTGCATGATGAGACTCCCAGTGATCCTGTTGAGATGCCCGTGGGCTGACAATGTTGTGGTTTCTTTGCGCCTTTTCGTTCTGTCTTGTGCGCATTTTCGTTCTATCTTGTTGTCTTGTGCGCAGATGGTTTGCTATGCCCGACGGTTTTGGTCGGAACGCAGGCAGGCAGCGTACACATCTTGACTGTGTCGTCCATCCCGTCCTTGTCGTTAGCACTAGGTTTGCAGCCATTCATGAATTTGGTCGAGTGGCGCGCTGTTCTCGATTGCAAACTGGCTCACATCTGTGCTCTTGTCTTTTGCCGTTGTTGTTGTTGTTGCTGTTGTCTCTGCTGAAGCAACCTCGCTGCACTTTAGCACCCCTTCCAAAGTGTTGAGCACGCACGTTCTGGACCGCTACGGGCAGGAAATCGTTGCTCCGGCCGTCGAGTACGAAGAGCCGACCGACCAACTTCCAGCGTCGGCTCCGCTGTCTGCATCCACCTCTACGGAAATGCTCAACAACACCCCAGCCGGTGATGGCACTGTCTCCAAGGGTCGCGGCAACCTGGGGCTTGCGCTGGCGCCTGCCGCCGTGGTGGGTTCGTCCTCCAGCTCCGCTCCAGACGAGGCTGCCGCCACCAGCACGGAAAATCACTTTGTCGTGATTGTGAGCACGCAGCAAATCCGTGCCATGGTCATGCCCGAGCAGAAGCGTCTGCACAAGTTCCACCTGCCAGCGAACGACTCGTTTATGGCCAGCCGCGTCGCGTCCGTTGGAGGTCAGGCTGCCCGTTCCGTTTATTGAGATGGGGGGGGGGGCGATGGTGTGCTGGGGCGTAGAAAATGAAGAATCCAATGTTTTGCTGACTGAGCGAGGGTTGATGATTGTTGACAGCCGAGTCCTGCCTCCTCGCAACGACGCGTTCAGGCGCTTGCCGGGTCTTTGGTCTGCTCGATCTGCGCCCACTGCTTGAAGTCAAAGGGCCCGAGCTCGGCGTCTTCGGGTATGCTTTGCAGTTTTTGTGATTGTCGGGGCGTGTTTCCAGCTGCTGGCAGCGGGCATCGCACTTGGTTGCTTACCTTTCTCCTTGCTCCTGATCACACACAAAGGCTGGACGTGTGCACGCTTTCGCCCGATTGCAGGGCCATGTTTGTGACCGAGCAAAACGAACTGCAAAGAATCACCTTTACGTTTAACGACGCGCTGTAAGTGTTGGGAGCTACAGTGTCTTTGATGGAGCTGACATGGCCCATGAGCTTACCGATTTGACTTAAAATGAAATGGAACTGGTAGGTGCCACGAGCTGTCGGGCGGCTTGTTCAATCCCTCTACTCCAATGCCCTCTCGCCCAACAGCCAGCATGCTCAAGAGCATCTTTTCCGGCACCTCTGTTGTGGATCGTGATGAACTTTGTACGTAACCACTGCTTGAGGGGGCTGCGACAGGTTTTCTGTTTCTTGTTTTGTTTCTTACTTGTTTTTTCCCTCTTTTTCACTCTGATAGTTGGCGGTGGCGGCCAATCGTTTGCTGGCGAGCAAATGGAGACCTCTGATCAGAAGCGAATCCGTGCGGAGCGTGCTGCTCGCAACGTTGGCAACGCGGGGCTGCAAGCAACGACTGGAGACAGCGAAACCGTCAAAGGAGCACTCGCAAATGCGGGCATGGCCCTCAACGAGCGTGGCGAGAAGCTCAACCGTGTTGTCGAACGCAGCGAGAACATGGCCAAGTCCGCTGCTGATTTCGCGAGTCGCGTTCGCGAGTACAATGCCAAGGAGGCCGCCAAAAAGTGGTACGAGCTGTAAACAAACAAAACGGCAACCTGCACGGCTCGCTACCCATCTCCCGCTTTTCATTCCGAGTACCGAGCAAGGTTGATGTAGCTTTTTGTATTTCTTGTACCAGTTCTTGCTTTCTTTTTAGACAAAATCATCATTCAGAACGTTGTAAAACAAAAACGAAGACAAATACTGTTGTAGAATGCCTGTTCAGCCACAATGCAACCAACACGCGTGCCTTGTTGTTTCATGTGCTATATTGAATGAATTTCTGATACGCACAGTCCTCATCAGTTCTTTGCTCCATATATGAAAGCGATTGAGGACAAGAGTGTTGGCGAGCAGCAGTTCATCCTCCGAGTGCCCGCCGTACGTCATCCCGACTATCAGCGTCCCCAGTGCTCTGTGCCCGTGTGTGTGTGCTTGTACTGACCGACGACTGGATTGGTCGATCTGAGCAGAGCATGGCTTCGCGCCTGGCAGAGTACCTCGACAAGAACACGCTCAAGGACAAGCTCTCCATCACATATGCCGGTAACGCCCGCTTCCACCTGTTGTTATTGTTGTTGATATTGATGATGATGATGATAATGTTGGGTTGGTGCGGATTTGGAGTGAGGCGGCCGTGGCTGCTCAATGGCTCTTGAGCTCCTTGACGTGCGCTCTTGGCTTCCGTGCTGGACACTCGCGCTCACCCTGCACTCTGAACCTGAACTCACTTCGTGTCGATCATTGATGCTTTGGCTTTGGCTTTGCGACAGCCGCCGGTGAGGACACGCGACAGTTCAAAGTAACGTTCGACGGAGTGACAATGGACGCCACTCTGGTCGATCTCCCAACCATCATCGAGTCACAAAAGTCTGTGGACAAGAGGAACTTTTACAAAACGGCCGACATTTGCCAGGTACTGACAGCTCAGTCAGGAGGATGGAGGATTGGCGAAATGTTCGAAAACGTTGCTTTTACTCAAACTGGTGATTCAACGCTCATCCCGTGTGCTCAGATGCTCGTGTGCACGTCGGAGGATCCAGAAAAAAAGAACGTGCAAGTCATCTACCCTCACGGCCTGTCTGCGCCGCTCAAAAATGTGCGCAAGAAGCGATTCCGCAAGTCTGCCGCGTCCAAGCTGACCAACTCTTGGGAAGTCCAGACCGCAGTGGCCCGTCTGCTGCGCGACAACATGCTGGCGTCTTCCGACACGTACGAACTTGTTGATGTCACCGAGGAAACAGCGCCCGCGGGAGACGAGGATGTCGAGCTCGTTTCGGACGACGAAGCCGAGGCAAATGCTGTCGGCAGCGATAGCGAAGAGGAAGAGGAAGAGAGTGACGATGAAGATGTTGAAGATCGCGAAGAAGAGGATGTTGAAGCTGACAAGGAAATTATGGAAGATGAGGCAAGTGAATGTGGAGTTTTTGTTTGTTTGTTTGTTTGTTTTCGAGTGCGGGAACATTGGGCTCACCACTATTCAAACTCGAATGCGTGTGTGTGCTTCACCACCCAGTTCAAAGACAACACTGCCTCAAGCAGTGGACAACGGATCGATGTCGACGAAGAGGGCGCCGGCGACCAAGACTCGTCGTCGGATTCCGATTCGGACTCGTCGTCCTCCGACTCATCCTCGTCTTCAGACGATGAATCCTCCACACAGGTCGCATCGTCTACTCAATCTACAGCTTCTGCACCCGCACCGCCCTCGAGCAGCTCGTCAGCGCCGCAACCCATGCAGATCGAAGTCACTGAAACGCCCGAGCAAGCTGCTGAGCGGCAATCTCGTGCGGCTGCAATCGAGGCGGCGACAGCGGAGGTTACGCGCCTCGAGACCCGAGTCGCAGAAGTTCGAAAGCAATTGGCCGCGACAAACAATCCACTATTATCAGCTCGTGTTCGCGCCTCCTTGCGTCAGGCCGAAGAGGAGCTCAATTCCAAGACTCAAGCGCTCGAGTCTCTCAAAGCAGCCTCGCAGCCATAGTTGATTCGATGATATTGAAGCGCGCTTGTACATTTTTTTTTGTCTCGTCTACAGAGAAGTTTTCTTTGTCCTAAAATGCTTTAGTTTTTTTTTTTGTTTTTTTTCCAACAACGATATGCAACATTCGCTAGCCCACTCTGCCTTCACTCCAATTTGGAGTACGAGTTTGCGTAGCGTCCCAAAGCCCAGATGGTGAACGCATTCTTGTAGTTGGGATAGACAATCATGCAGTTCTTGTTGAACACGCCCTTGATTTCATCGTCAGGCCAATCCCCATTCATCAGCTGCTTGGACATGATGAACTGCGCGCACGCAAGCAACCAGGAAGATCATCAAAACGTGTTAGTACATTGGGGCAGAATGGAGTTTCTGTTAGCAAAATGCCGCCTGCCTTACTTGGATGCCGCGCTCAACCACAGTTCGGTCGGGATACTCTGCCGCCATCAGTCCGAGCACAGCCCACGCCGTGTTGATGACTTGCGACTCTGTGTGTTCAATGTAGCGACGTTCGACGCACGACTAACAGAGTAGCATTCGGCAAGGAATGAGAACGGACGCGATTGAGAAAATCACCATTTTTTTTTTTCGTTTGTTTGCCACGTACCATATAGCTCTCAGACCACGAGCCATCGGCTCGCTGCTTGCTCACGAGAAAGTCGCAAGCGCTTCGCATGCTTGGAGACGCAGTACTGCAAAATTGACACAATGAGCAACGAAAAACAAAAAAGGGGCGCCCTCGTTGACATCTGGGCGTCGCTCGCTTCGTCTCACCCCTTGTAGTAGCCTTCTCCCGCAGTTGCAAGAGCCTCAATGCCAAACCATGTGCCATAGGTGAAGCACACTGCCCAGCAGCCTTCCCAGGAGCCGTCCTTGCGCTGAATGCTTCGAATGAAGTGAACAGCTCGCTTCATGGTTGCTCTGGCACCAGGAAACACGTAGAAATCCAGTCAACAAGTAAGTCAACATCGGGGTGATGCACTGGTGTCTTTGTTTGTGTTTTTGTTCCACCACTGGCAAGAGAGCTAAACCCTTACGAGATTTCCGCTGTGCGATACTTTGGGAATTGTACCGTCAACGAAGCGAGCGCTTGCACGACAGCTGAAGTCAACTCGACGTAAGTGTAGTCGATCATGATGGCGCCAAACACCTCGGACGGATTGAAGAGCTCAAGCCACTCGGGTCCGCGCTTGGTTTCGTAAGTGGCGTAGCCGCCGTCAGAGTTCTGCATTGACAGCAACACATCGATGGCGTCGTGGTATCGCTCCTCCTCGAACGGGCTCGAGATTTGTCTAAATCAACAGGCAGCAGATCAGATTAGTCCAGCCAGAGCCTGCTTATTCAGAAAGCTTTGTGGTTTCTCAAATGAGTGCGTGGAACTCGTACCCCGTGTTCTCCAACATGAGCGTCGACTTGATGCCCTCGGCCGTGCAATCAGCAACAATCCAACCACAGTCTCGCGTGCTGAAGGGGAATCCTCCCTTGCTCATTTGGCGGAAGTACTTTTCATGTTCAGGAACATTTTTGCGAATCTGCCAAAATGCACGAAAAGGTGCATTGTTGTTTTTTGTTTTGAGCACGTGAATATACCTCTGGCATCCGTTAAAGTAACGTACCTGCGTCAACTTGAAAAAGCTGTGCGCCTTTCGCAGCGACGCCATCAGCTGTGCGTTCTTATCACCTCCAGCCTCGAGGAAGGCCTGCACGGCAAACGCCGTGTCCCACAGCTGGCTTCCATTGGTGCCGTTCAACTTCATGCCGTCGATACCAAGCCTGAGATCAAGCGCAGTCCCCAGGCATGAGATTCCAAGGGTCATTGCACAGAGAAAAAAAAAACACCAAAAGCGTCAAAAAGATCGAGCGTAATGAATTACCACAGGTAGTCGGGGAATCGAGACACATGCTGCCGGAACAAGGGTGACTGTGGGCCGTGGGCATACCATTGGCAAATCATGTTGATGTTTTTGGAAATCTGAGGGAACACAAACATGGTGATGACAAGCAATGAGAACGTTCTGAGCTTAGATGCAATAAGTGCCTCCGCTTGAACACAGACAGATGAAAACGTACCGGACCGATTCCCACGCACTGAGTATTCTCGTCCTCGGCGCGGATGTGATCAAGAGCCATGTCGAGCGCTCGTTTGCGGATTGAAGTGCTGTGGAACTTTTCATACACGTTCAGAGCACCTGAGATCAAACGCACAACTGTGAGTATGCTGCTTGGTTCCACAACTTGAAATCAGACGCGCTCGAGCGCGACTTACTGAAGGACCAGTCCATTATCCACGAATGCGGGTTGTACAAATCAATCTTGGCACAGCGGAAACGCTGCGCAGGCCAGTTGATTGTGTCGTATGCCTGGGTGTACAGCTCCTGTGAAGCAAAAGCAGGCGACACGATGGAGTGAACAGAATACGTTGGGGCAAGTTGATAACGAGGAGTTGGCAGAAAGCACGTACTTCGCGAAGTTCCGCAATGATGGGTGTGACAGGAGCACGAAGCTTCACGCCATAGCAGTAGCTCATTGGGAGGTAGACTTGACGGCAGTGGCACCACATGTACTTTGGGTGCAGCGGGGCCCATTCAGGAAGGAGCCTGTCATCGAAGAGAATCCCGATCCCAGGTCAGTTTTGTGTTTTTGGAGAAAACAAACGGAGGCGGTTGATTGTCTGGTGGAACTACGAATCGAGTACATACCAAAGCTCTGGTGGAACGGCGTTCATGCCATCATAGTCGTACACATTCAGCAGCGCCAGCCAAAACTTTCCCCACGAAGGGATGCCCAAAACGCCATCTGAGAACGAAACCAGAGCAAGAAAGGGATGAAGCCATACCGTGTTGAGTGTGCTTGTTTGTTAAGTTTCTGCAGAAATAGAGAGAGAAGCAGCAGAACAACGCGCAAGAAAACTAACCATGCTTGTGCAAAAACGTTCGAGCCTTGACGGCAAGAGGATCATCGCGTGAGCCACCGAGCAGCCGGAAAGCGACATAGTTCAGACCAGTACCAAACACTGTCGCCTTATCGGCAGTGTGCCTGCATTTGGGGAGAGGGAGGGGGGCGTGGAAAATTGGCAACCACGACTTAGACCAAACAGAACAACCAAAAGCAAGCCTTTTCATGTCGCTTACAAGCCCCAGCCACCTTCGGCCGTGACAGTATTCCGCAGGTAGCGCATCATCTCGGCCTTGCGGAACTCGCCAAGCTGAATGCCCGTAATGTGCGCCGTGATCAGCAAGCCCGGCAGCAGAAAGTGCGGACCGCCGTAATCGCCCGGCCAGTGGCCCGTCTCGCATTGCAGATTCGTGTAGAAATGCATGCCACGATTGGCAGCCTCTTGAGCGGTTTTTGCCGGCTCTGTCGCGACAGGCACGTCGCCAGACTGTCAACAATTTTGAGTGAGAATCTTGTCAACCACGACGAAGGAGTTTGTCGTTGGTACAGCTTTTTCTTTGTCGTCATTGCATTTACAATGTCAATCCCGAGCAGGTACTTGTCGCGAACAGTCAGGGGTGCCGGAGGGGTCTCTCCGAGAGCAGCATCGTAGTAGCGCCAGACTTGCTGGCCGTCCACACCCTCGAGTCGCCAGCGGGTCAGGTCGGTCGCAGGCGGCACACGGAACGCGCTCCATCCGCCGACGCTCGCCGATCGCGCTGTGCTACTGCTTGCCAACAGCGACGCCATGGGAGGGGGAGTGCAAAATCTGTCCATACATTTCACATGTGAGTGTGTCGTGCGGTTCTCACAGTGAGCGAGAATTCTGCATCAGAGTTGGGGAGTCCTTTTTTTGTTTGCGTGTGCATGTTCTTGCTTTTCTATGTTCGGTGTGAGCTGCTGTTATTTGTGCGTGTGTGTGTGTTGCTGTTGCTGTTCGGGAGTAGGGGATTGAGATTGACGTTGGGCGGCTTTGATCGGCAAATTCAGCAACATCACCCCATTCTCAAATCCCAAATCCCTAAAAACCCATCACTGCACTCACTCTGCTCTGTTTCGGTTCTCTGCAAGGCGATGGTTCGATTTATGATGCTTATTATTACTACTACAACAATCCCTTTCACATGCGAGCCGTGAATGAGTGAGTGTGTGATGATGCGGTGAGAACGACGAAAAACCTCATCACGCCACCCACTCACTTCACTCACTTCACTTCACTTCACTTCACTTCACTTCACTTCATTGACTCATTCACTCTCATTCATTCATACTTGATTACACTCAGCTCACTCCCCAAAAACTTCGTCGCTTGTGTTGCATTTGCTTGGTTTCAATTTCAGTTTCCATTGTTTCAATCAATACGTTACCAAAGAAGAGTGAGTGGATGAAAAAACGAGCTGTCGTTGTTGTTTGACACGGTTGGAATTAAAGCAACCAATCTTCTTTTTGCTGTTTTGGTGTCTCAGAACTCTGAGCACACTTCAGCATGAGCAGCAACCAGCAGCCAGTCTCGATGCCGCCGCCCGTCGCGCGCCCTGGTCCTGGCGCTGGTGCCTCAGCCTCCATCTCGGCCGTTGCAAAAGGAGTGGCCACAAGTCGTCCTCTGCCGCACTCGCGGACTACTGCTGCTGGTGCTGGTGCTGCTGGTGCTGCTGGTGGCCGCGGCGCGAGCTCACCTGCGAGCCTCCCGCCAGCGCCGCCGCTCAACACGAGCGTCCCAGCCGGGTTTGCTGTGCCGACCACGCGGCTCACATCGCAAGAGCACATCGCCGTCTGGCGCGAGTCGGAAGCCTACGCCAAGATGTTTGGCTTTGTCAACCACGTCAACGAGGCGGTTGTCGGCGTTGCCGTCTCAGAAGTCCAGGTCGAGCACGAAGCAGCCTCATCCGCTGTCGCCAAGCTACTCGCGCTCTTGGAGAAGCTGAACACATGGATTGACGAAATCCCGCCCATCCAGCAGCCCATGCGATTTGGCAACAAGGCCTTCCGGACGTGGATGGCGCGTTTGGAAGAGGTAACGAGATTGACAGAAGTGCACAACGTCGTGCTTGGTCGCAGAACTCATCAGCTCGACAACTTGTGACAGAACGCCGTGAGCTTGACTGAGGACTTGCTGCCGGAAGCACTGCGCGGCGCAGCCATTGAGCTGGCTCCATATTTGATTGGCTCGTGTGGCAACAAAACCCGCCTCGATTACGGCACTGGACATGAGCTCGCGTTTCTTGCCTACCTGTGCTGCCTCACTGTCATTGGTGTCCTAACGGATGCCGATCGCAAAGCGGTTGCACTGCGGGTGGTTGAGCGGTGAGTCGCGGTAAATACGGTTGCACTGTGGCTTTTGATTGCAACGAAACTCACTCCGCTTCTTTGAAAACCCCCTCCCCAAAAACAACGGATTCGTAGCTATCTCGTGCTCATGCGACGCTTGCAACGCACGTACATGTTGGAGCCGGCTGGTAGCCACGGAGTCTGGGGCCTGGATGACCACCAGTTCATTCCATACATTTGGGGTTCGTCGCAGCTGATAGGTATTGTTGCTGTCCTTATGGCCATGCAGTGGCACCACATGCCCGATGTCTAGTGACTGTGCCTTGCTCACTGCGCTGCATTCATTGCTGCTTGACGCACAGGGCATCCAGAGCTGGAACCCGCAGCCATTACAGACAAGGGCTTGGTTGCAGCCAATGCGAGCGACTATCTTTTCCTCGCAGCCATCCAGTATATTAATGATGTAACGCCTGTTTGTGTATCCTTCTGTGTATTGCCTTTTGTTTTCCCGTGCCGCTTGTTCCAACTTTTTGCTGTCCATTTCATCGTCTCCGACGCACACAGATCAAATCCGGACCATTCCATGAGCACTCGCCCATGCTGTACAATCTCAGTGGCGTCAAAACCTGGGAAAAGGCAAACACGGGCTTGCTCAAAATGTTCAAGGCAGAAGTGCTCGAAAAGTTTCCAGTCATCCAGCACTTTATGTTTGGCAGCATTTTGCCTTTGCGACCAATGTAATTTTGGTGACTCGACTGTAGAAGTGTCATAGTAATCAAGAGGACTCCTCTGTTGGAATAGTGTAGAAACGAGCGTTTTTGGATAAACCTAAAATTACATGACAACAAAAAAAAAAAAAAAAACAGTCACCAAACTCCTCAGATCGTTGTCGGCTGAGTGACACACACACACACATGTACGCTTTCACTTTTTGTTGACGCAAGATGACGCATGATGCCGCCGTTTACTGGGTCATTTCCTTCCAGGTCTTGGGCTGAACGCCGGCTGGAGGCTGAACCTTGACTTCGCCGCTGCCGACCTCGCCCCAGTTGGTGCTGAGGACGGTGCCGCCGGACTCGGAGAAGGACTTGTTCATTGCTCGCCGGGTCTCCTCGTTGCCGTTGGAGTAGATTTGCTTGAAGAGAGCGTTGAGCGCGTCGTCGCCAGTCGGCTTCTCGTTCTTCTCCTCCTCGTTCACTTCGGCAACGAGCTTGTCCCAGTCGTGGGGGCGCTTGGCAGACGTCGGGTACGAAAGAGCCTTTCCCGACGACTCTGCGGCAGGCGCGGCGGCGGCAGCGGCGGCAGCAGCGACGGGGGCTGACGACGAGCTTCCATCGGCCATGACGGCAGCAGGAGCGGTGCTGGACGCCTGCCCTTCGAGAGCATCCCAGCGCACGCCTTGGTCTTGCTTCTTGAGCTGAATCTCAATCTTGGTGCCAAACACGTTGAAGGACGACTCGGCCACGACAATCGGACGGTGGAGGTCGAGCTCCAGCGAGTACTCTGAGGTCGACGCCGGGAGCTTGACCGTGAGGCTCACCTGCATTTGGTGTGTTGAATGTGTTGAATGTGATTATGATTTCAAAACAAGGCGTCCACGAAATCACAGAGGTGAGCGCATGGAAGCACGAGTTGGTGGCTCAACAGCATAGCAAAACCAGGCCGCCTCAGTCAGAGCGCCAATGACGCTGACGAGGACGAGCCCTGGACAACAAGAGCGACTCAAGGGTCTTGTTTGTTCTTACCGTGGAGGGAGTGAGGTCGAGCTTGACGTGCTCGCGCTGGACCTGCTTGATGAAGACGGCGATCGAGACGTGCGACGCGGTCTGAAACCAGTCGTGACTGAGGGAAGGGAAGGGGGACAGGCAGATCATCATCATCATCAGCAACAACAACAAGTCAAGTCAGTTCAAGTCGGTCAGTTCAGTGCAGAGGGAAGCGAGAGAAACTGAAAGAAGAGCATGGAAAACACTCAGTCTCAGCAATCGCGCGCCCCAACGACGAGAGAGACGGGGCTTTGTTGGCGTGATTTGAAGGAGGGGGGGGGGGAAGCGAGCTTCGTTCCAATGTGCAGCTTGCTCAGCGGTGCGTGTGCGTGAGTCGGAGGGGAAGGGCAGTGGGAGGAGAATGGAAGGGTGAATGTGGGACGACAAAACGCACCGGATGCGCTCAGCCATTGTTGCAATAGGGAACGACTCAAGTGGAAAAGACTGATCCAGCTTTAACTGAAACTCAATCATCACCATTACTACATGGCTCCAATTTGAGCAAGAATCTGAGATCAGTCGTGATTGCATGGTTCGATGTCGTTCGGGCTCTGGCACACGACTCTCGACTGCTGCGACAACAAGCGACGTCGACCGGCAGACGACTCCTGCAGCGATGGTGCCACTTGTATGACGGACGAATTGCTCATCCAGCGAGCATCCAAGGCAGCAGCTGTTGACGACGATGATCATGATGACAGCAATGGCTTGGCGTGCAACTCGACGCGGCACAAACTACCAGAACACTGTACAAGCGCAAGCGCAAGCGCAATGCAAGCGCACTGGCAAGAAAGCGGATGCTACGTGAAATCCACACGCAGGCTGATGCAGGCATGTGCCAGCATGAGCGCCATCTGGCTCGACGCGATTCTCGACGGAATGGCCGCGAGATCGTCGCGCTCAGAATTAGCGGAATACCTCAAGGTGAGCTCACCAAAGCCCAAACGGTGGGGAAAATGGTGCTAATGGGTGTGCTAACATGTGTGTATTTGCATCATCATCATCAGGTCGCTTTGGACGGCACAGATTTGCGCGATTTCGAGACGCTGATTGAACAACTCGTGTCGGATCGCTTTGGTGTTCGAGACACGTCCGACGACGACGATGATGATTCGCCCGTCTCGAACGACGTGGCCATTACCATTGATGACGAAATGGACGATGGAGACAAAGTGGAGGATTCTCCGGCGACAAGGCTGGACGAAATGTCCCCTTCTCCGCTCGTCGACGAGAATTCTGATGCTCTGGCGCCGTTTGTGCGACCAACCGCTGCGGATGCATTGCGTACATTGCTTTCCTTGATTCGTCCGGCTTTGTTCACGGCACCCGAGCTTGCGTCCTTTGATCTCTTCTTGCGCGTCAGTGGCATCCGCCAAACACTGCTCGCAAACATGATCCTGGCCTCCCCAGCCGATCGCGTGTTCCGCGCCCCGCAGCTGGCGCAATGGACTCTTGCTCCTGACACGCCGGCGAGTGACGTGCCTCAACTGGAGCCGTCGGAATCGTCGACAGTGCCAACGCCGCTCCTGGATTCGCTCGCTCGCGCTCGAGCCACGGCTGACGGCGAAATCGAGGGCCTGCAGGCCTTGGGTGTGCTAACCGTACACGCTCTATCTCTCGGGGACACGTTGACCCCGAACGAACGTGTCGAGATGCTGTTGGACAAGCTCGCGACGTTTGAATTGCAAACCCTCATCGCCAAAGTCACGCGAATTTCGAAAGGAGGCAACCACCGTGGCTTCCTCGCGCGGTTGGATCGGAGACAGCTGGACCAGTATGCCATGTCCCTCACGTCTCAGCGCACCATCACGGGCGCCTGCATGCTGGAGGTGGAAGCGCGCGCCATGGTGGGCAATTGCTACCAACTCGAGCCCACCTTTATGCGTCATTTTGAAAAGGCCATTACCTCTGTGCTTTTGGACGACGATGACGATGGCATTGTCAAGATTAGCCGATCGTTGAAGAACCTTGGGCACCTGTCAGAGTTGTTCTCGCCGCAGGAGAACTTTTCCGTCCGTCCGTCCAGCGAGCCGCTCTTTGGCGACTCTTGTGAGCTGTTGGATGCGTATTGTCTTGCGTTGTCGGTTGAACGGGAATTCGAAGCGCTCCAGGGAATGGGTGCCACTACTCGAGAAGGACCATTTGGCACCGCTCACCCTTCTGTCGTGCAGGCCTATCCGGCTGGTAAGTGGCGGATTGTTTGGGGTTGTTGCCCATTGAGCCTTATGCTGGTGATAACGTGCGGCCGTTTGACTTCGACCCCGAGCAGCTCTGAATTGCGCTCAGGTGGCCAAAAGCCGGCTGGACCTGCTCAAGTCTGGCGCTGAGGCGTTCGTTGCCACATACCAATTCATGTCGCGTTTCTCTGCAGGAGGTATGTCAGACTTTACTGTGGAGGCTTGGACTGACGCAGCAGCATACGCTGGCCTTGTCTGACGTGCGACCTTGCTCGCTCCAGGTGTTTATGCGCGGATTGTTTGGCGTGCCTCGTCAATGCTCGATTCAATCCGCCTGGATGCAGTCGAGCAAGATTGGCTTCGGCTGCTGCTGTTTCTTCCGTTCTATCCCGAACGTCGCGGCAAGTGGTGGGCTCGGCTGGCCATTTTGGCCGAGCGGCACAGCAAAGTGAGTTTTGTCCCCTGAGAATTCATGTCATTTTTTTCGAAAGCTGTGGGGAACCTCGTTCTTACCTTCTTGGTGCAATACTTTGCCCCCTTTCCAGTCGTATTCAGTCGAAGTGTGCACTCAAGCGTTGAGCGACCCGAATGTCGCCTGGGGCCCAAAATTGGCCTTGCACAAGCGGTTGCAGTCGTTCGAGCGCGGGAATCCGCCAGTGTTTTCGTCGAAACGCTTCACCATGCCTGTTTTGCTCGAGGCACCCACGTTGACTATTCATGGCACTCGGAGTGATGTCGTTAAGGGTGGAAAAAGGTTGGTGTGTTTTCCTAAGACTTGAAGACAAGAAGAATTTTGTGTTTTCATCACAAAGGGCTCACCCTTGTTGCTTGAATTGCTTGGACGATCTTGTCTTGTACAGATTATGGAATGATCCGCTAAACAGCTCGTCTCGCAGCAGTGTTGGAGTTGAGGTAAAAATCGGCTCTTCCACAAACAACCAACTGCTCGAACTGTCTCTGGTTCTTACAGCGACATGGGGCTGTGCTTGGCAACAGGACTTGGTGATTCGACAACTTCTTTGCGATGGCCATGCCGACCATGGCATCCGTGCAGAGAGCAAACTGTGGCGAATGTTGTTTGGACTGCTTTTGTGGCCCGTGCTTTTCGCCGATGTGGAAGGCGCCTTCTCATCCCCTTATCAAAGTAAGTCTCACCCTCAAATGGAAGAGAGCAAGGACGTGAGAATAGGCTAATCGAGCGTTCTTGCGCTGATCGCGTTGTCGTGACTTTGTGACCGGTTTTAGGTGGCCCACATGATCTTTACTCGACCCGATCATTTGCATCTCGCCGCGCAAAAGGCCTGCGTGATCAACTTACAGCGATTGAGCTTGGAAATGCCGAGTCCATTCTTCAAGCGACGTGGGTGCGACATGCAGAACAGCGTATGGATCGCTTTTGCTCGAGGTTGCGTCTTCCCTTTTTGTTTTTTTTTTTTTGCCATGTTTGTTTTCTCATTGTCAACTGGCTGTTGCCCACTTGTGCAGAAACCCGTTGCGTGGGTGTGTCCTGGTCTGCATTCCGTTATGCTCAACTGCGCGACATTTGCGCTTGCATGCCGCCTGTTGCTCTGGCAGCCATTCTCCGCAGCATGGCTGAAAACTACAAGGAATCGTCCAGCGGCATGCCCGACTTGGTTGTCTGGAGTCGGCCTGAATCCTCGGCATCCTTCATCCGCTTCATCGAGGTCAAGGGTCCAAACGACACCCTGTCCGAGCAGCAGCGCGTTTGGATTGACAAACTCCTGCGACTTGGATTGGATGTGCAAGTCTGTCATGTTGTTGAGGATGTGTAACTTGTCATAACGATAAAGACAAAAAAAAATCAACAACAGGGATTCAAAACTAAGTCAACTTTCATTGTTTATCATGCGGTATCAACAATTCAACATCATCCGAAGATTTAAACGCAAACACAAAACACAAAACCACAAACAAAAATACTACAAGCTCAGTTAACAAACGCAAAGAAGCCGGCCCACAACCTTACACGGTCATGGGTTGCTGTTGTTGCGCCAGGGCAGCATTGGCAACCATGACGGGGTTGATGGTAACGCTCTTGGTGCAGTTCTCCGTCTTGTAGATGCCAACAAGGCGGTCTGCCAGCTCGAACATGTTGTTGCGCAAGCTGATAATGATAAACTGCGCGTTCTTGGTGCGCTCCTTGATGTAGTTGGCAACAATCGACACATTCTTAAAGTCCAGGGCGGCATCGATCTCGTCCATGACGTACAGGGGTGTGGGCTTGTAGTGGTGCAGCGCAAACACGAGGGCGAGCGAGGAAAGGGTCTTTTCACCGCCAGAAAGGTTGGAAATGTTCTTCCATGACTTTTTGGGAGGACGCACGCTAAAGACAATGCCCTCAGAGAAGGGATCAAGACTGTCGACCAGCTCGAGCTCGGCGTCGCCGCCCAGCGTAATCATCTGGTACATTTCCTTGAGCTTCATGGTAATCACGCTAAAGCCAGCCATAAACTCGTCGAGACGCTTCTTGCGAAGCGCATCCAGACGGCCGCGAGCAGCGTCTCGGCTGTCAGTCACAGCCTCAAGCTCTGCCGCGCGCGCAAGGTACTCGGCTTCCTTTTTGCGGTATTCGCGGATGGCCGAAATGTTGGGCGAGAGTTTGGCAAGTCGCTCGGAAATGAGGGCAATTTCGGCACGAAGGCTCGCCCGGTCCATTGTCGCGAGCTGCTCGGGGGTCAGTGCCAGTTGCGGGTTGAGAGAGGCCGCCGAGACGGCAACGCCAGTGGCGGCAGCGGCGGCGGAACCCTTCTTGCCCTTCTTCTTGGCGGCGGCACGATTACCAGCAGACTCTTCGTCCTTGTCTGCAGCGTCGGCGACCTCGGACGCGACTGCTGGAGCGGCAGCTGCAGGCTGCTCGGCTGACTCTTCGCCCATGCCCTCGGCTTCAATGTTGTGCAGGGTCAGGCTTGCAAGCTCTAGCTGGTACTGCTCAATGCGAGCCGTCGCGTCGCGAAGTTGCTTGGTGGCATCCTCGATCTGGTTGGTCAGGTCGACTTCGAGGGCGCGCGCCTTGTCCGTCTGCTTCTTGAGACCGTCGTACTCGCTCTTGAGTCCAGAGAGCGTGGCCTCCTTGGCTTCGAGCAGAGCGGTCGCTTCTTGTTGGATGGCCAGGACAGCAACAGCCTCCTTCTCCATCGCCGCGTGCTCGGCGCCGATGCGCTGAATGGTGGCACCAGTCTCCTCAAGCTCGCGCTGGACCTCCTTGAGCTTCTCGGCGGCCTTTTCAGCAGCCTTGGTGGAGGACTTGATGGTGACGGTCAGCTTGTTGAGCGACTTGCTGGCAATGTCAATCTGCTCCACCAAGCCCTGCACCTTGGCACGTTGAACACGAAGGGGCATACCACCGACATCCATGATCTTGGACTGCAGTGCATCGATGGCAACCTGGATCTTGCTGGCATTCTGCTGGGCACGAGCCACCTCTGCGGCAAACTTTCCAAGGTCTGCGGTCAGCTGCTTGTGCTTCTGAGGGTCCTCGGGTCCAGCAGCAATCTTTGCGGTGAGCTCCTTGATCTGGCGCTTGAGCTCGTCGCATTGCTTGGTGAGCTCGCTCACATCCATGGTGCACTTGTCCAGCTCTGCAGCAAGGGACTTGGCGCCAGAAAGCAGACTCTCGTGGGCCTGCTCAAGGCGGCGCATCTCGTCGCGGTGGCGCTTGAGCTCGAGCGTCTTCTTTTCCAGCTCTGCCTCAAAGGCCTCCACCTGCTTGGGAGTGTACTCGCCGGCAAGGGGCAGCGCAGCCGCGGAGGCACCGTTCTTGCTTGCAGAAGCAGAGGTAATCATACCGCCGCGTTGCGGGGCACCGCCACCGCCCATGGTGCCGGCCACATCGAGCAGCTCACCGCCGAGCGTCACAACACGCCATCGCTTGTTGCCAGCAGTCGAAATCCGCATGGCCTGATCCAGGTCGTTCGCGACAAGCGTGTCGCGCATGGCGTGGTAGAAGGCGGGGATGAGCTTCTTGTCGCGGGGCTTGACGAGCTCAAACAGGCGGGGTGCGCCCTCGGGAGTGGGTTGCGACGGGATGCTGGCAATGGCATTGTTGAGGTGACCGAGTTCGGACAGGATGACAAACGTGGCGCGGCCCAGGTTGTTCTCGCGCAGCGCCTTCACGCAGGCCTCTGCATTTTCCTGGTTGTCGACGACAATATTGTCAAGAGCACCGCAGGCGGTTGTGACGGCGACATCGTACTTGGCGTCAATGGTGCCGAGGTCGCCCAAGCGGCCCTCGATGCCGGCAATCTTGTTGCGACGCTTGAGGTCGAGAATGCCGTCCAGCACCTTGCCGCGGCTGCGGGACATGAGAATGGAAGCCTTGCCTTCCTCCACCTTGGCGCGCGCGGCAGCCACTTGCTGTTGAAGGGCAGCCTCGGTTTCTTTGCCAGCGCCGGCCAAGGAGGCCTCGCTCTCTGAGATTTTCTTGGTCAGCTCGACCTGGCGCTTGAGCAGAGCCTTGTGGGCCTCTTGGCGCTCCGAAAGCGTCGACTGGGTCGCGGTGAGCTGCTCTTGCGCGGCATCCAGCTGAGCCTTGGCCGCCTCGCTCTTGCCGTCGAGCAGGGCCAATTCAGTCTTGCACACGTCGTGCTTGGACTGCGCCTCGCCGACCGCCTTGCTGAGCGGAACCATCTCTTGCTGCTTGGCTTCCAGCTCGGCTTGGAATCCCGCCGTCTCGCCCTTGATGCTGTCAAACATGGCGTCCAGCTTGGCGGCCTCCACCTTGTGGGACTTTTGCAAGTCGCCGTGCTCCTTCTCAAGCTTGGTCTTGTCGGCCGTGCAGCTGGCGAGCGACGATTCTGCCAAGTTGACTGCGTGCTGCTCCTTTTGGATGGCGCTCTCGAGCTTCTTCTCCTTGGTGCGGGCATGCTTGATGTCCTCGCGGCAAGAAATGTCCTTGCGCTCGAAGGCGACAAAGTCTGCCTTTGCCTTGTTGCATGCATCGAGAATGGCGCTGTGCTCCTTGCCTTCCTTGGCAATCTCCGTCTCGAGTGCCTTGAGCGCTTGGGCGTTCTCGGCCATGCCAGACTTTTGCTCGGCAAGCTTTGCCTCCAGCTTTTCACGGTTGCCCGACAGACTTTCGGAGGTGGCGGTCAGCTCGGCGAGATGAATCTGCGCCATAGCCGCCTTTTTGCGAGCCAGCTCGTTCTCCAGCTGCAGGAAGGCGACGGCGTCATTCTTGGCGCCCTCCAGACCCTCGCGATCCTTCTGGACAATCTTGACGCGGTTGAGCTTTTCGGCGCGCACCTCGTTGAGCTCCTCGGCAATCTTGCTGGCCTCGGCAATCGGCTCCTTGTGCTTGTCAGAGCCAATAATGTCCTCGAGGTACTCGAGCAGGCCCTCCTCGTGCTCTGTCTGCGCCTTGGGCTTCATCATGGCAATCTGCTCGACCTCGCCCTGCAGAATGAGGAAGCGGTTGTGCTCCAGATCAATGCCCTTGCCGCTCAGCAGCTCAATGACCTCCTTGGCAGTGACGCTCTTGGTGTCAATGTGGTAGCTGGATGTGTTGCTCTTGGTGCCCGTGCGAGTGACTACGAACTGCGAGTTCGGGACGACGTCGTACTCGTCGCCAGCCTGTGTGTTGAACGAGAGAAAAAGGGGGGTGAGATTGGGCAGGATTAGGATTAGGTGCTGTGTGTTTGGTGTCAGTGTCATTACCTTGTCGATAATCTCGTGGAAGTGAACTGAAACGCGGCAGTACTTCAAGTCCTTGTGGTTGGTCGAGTTGTGAATGAGCTCCGACACGTTCTTTTGACGGAGGCGGTTGGCACGGAAGGCAAAGACGAAGAGCATGGCGTCAATGACGTTGGACTTGCCGCTGCCGTTCGGGCCGACGACCGATGAGAAGCTCTGTGTGTTGTGTGCGTGTGTGTGTGTGTGTGTGTTAGCGTCGCAGCAGAGTAAGCACGGTGAGTTGGAGAAACTTGTCGGCAGAACTCGTAATATTCAAAAATCAAACAAAAAACTGTTTCAACTTTTTTGTTTTGCCCGCGCGAATTTTCTTCATCGCGACCATCCAAAGCCATCACTCGTCCTCATTCGCCCCAACCATCGTCACCAATCGACAAAATGATTGAGCGTGTTTCATCAACGTGCTCAAGACGCAGACGCGCGCTGCAATCAACGAAAAGCGAAAACACACAGCGACAAAAAAAAAAGCGCGCGCAAACAAAAACCGTTTGAAATCGTGCGCTGTTTCACTTTGTTTTACTTTTCTCTCCTTTCGCCAGTGAGCGGTCGACCGTTTCTCCCTTTTCGCCAGAACGGCACTACAATCAAAGTGCAGCACGCAGCCGCACAGAAGAGGCCGAGAGAGAGAGAGAGCGAGCGATCCACTCACCTTGTGGAACGGGCCAATCTCTTGAACGCCCGCATACGATTTGAAGTTCTCGAGAACCATCTTGGTGATCATGAGGCGCTTGCCGCCGTTCTCGGTCGGCTCGAACATGCGCTCCTGTTGTTGTGTGTTTGTTTGCTCCATTGTTGCTTGACTGAGTCGCTGATTGTACCACACAACGAAAAAACAGAAGAAAAAAATCAAAAAAAAAAAAGTAAAATAAAAAAATGAAAAAAAGAGAAAGACTGACTCGTTCAGAATCGAGTCGAAAGAGCTCAGAATCCGATCTGACATTGTGAATTGAACTGAAGGAATAGCCTCTTTATTTTGTGAATCGTACTGCACTGCATTGGTGTCTTTCACTCTACCTTTTCATTCAAATTGCAATGTCGCGCCTTACAACCAGCAACGGAACTCCTGTTGTCGACAACCAGAACAGCCTCAGTGCAGGCGAGACTGGGCCCCTGTACGCTTCACTCCCTTCCGTTTGTTGCAGCGCCACAGTCTTGATAACTGCACATTCCCTCCTTGCTCGCCCGGGTTGATGAAGCCAGAGGCAGCCCAAAGCGAAAGCGGCTCGAGGCGGACGAAAAGATCATCCGACGGCAGTTTGCCGCCCCGCTTGACTCTTTTGTCTTGTCTAGAACGAAGCGGGGCGGAGATGGGGGGGAAGGGGGCACGTTGGACCGTCCCACTGCTCCATCAACTGAGGGGTGCTCGTGTGGCCTGTCGTCGTCGTTTCTGAGACGCAATTCAAACGGCGATGGCAGCACACAACCTGCGCACAGAATGGCGCGTCCGTCTTTTTGTCTTTGCTTCTTTTTTTTTTTTTCTTTTTTTTTTAAAATTGATCGCTTCCTGCTCTTCTGGCTTTGTTTTCACTGCTGGCGGCTTCTCTATTTCTTGCCCCCAGCATAGCTTGAATCGTTATTCTCTCTCACTTTTGCCCCCTTCTCGCTCTTGATTGTAATGATTGTTTTGTTCGCACCGTTTCGGCTTTTTCTCACCATTTTTGTTGGATTTCTTCCCCTTCGTCACCTGAATGAATGCAGGCTGCTCCAGGACTTCCACTTTATCGACAAGCTTGCTCACTTTGACCGCGAGCGCATCCCGGAACGCGTCGTGCATGCGAAGGGTGCTGGCGCGCACGGCTACTTTGAGGTGACCAAGGACGTGTCCCACCTGTGCAAGGCCAAGTTCCTCGAGCGCGTTGGCAAGCGCACGCCGCTCTTCACGCGCTTCTCGACGGTGGGTGGCGAGAAGGGCTCGGCAGACACGGCGCGCGATCCCCGCGGGTTTGCCGTCAAGTTCTACACTGAGGAGGGCAACTGGGACATGGTTGGCAACAACACGCCCATCTTCTTCATCCGCGACCCGATCAAGTTCCCGGACTTTATCCACACCCAGAAGCGCAACCCGCAGACCAACCTGCCCGATGCGGACATGTTCTGGGACTTTTTGTCGCAGACCCCAGAGTCGTGCCACCAGGTCAGCATTCTCTTCTCGAGCCGCGGCACCCCCGACGGGTACCGCCACATGCACGGCTTCTCCTCGCACACGCTCAAGATGGTGAACGCCAAGGGCGCGCAGAACTTTGTCAAGTTCCACTTCAAGACCGAGCAGGGCGTCAAGAACCTCACCCCCGAGCAGGCCAACAAGCTCAAGGCGGAAAACCCCGACTATGCCACCCAGGACCTCTTTGACTCGATCGAAAAGGGCAACTACCCGAGCTGGAAGGTCTGCATCCAGGTCATGCCGCTCGCGGACGTGCCCAAGCAGGCCTTCAACCCCTTCGACGTGACCAAGGTGTGGTCGCAAAAGGCCTACCCGCTCCAGGAGATTGGCCGCATGGTTCTCAACCGCAACCCCGAGAACTACTTTGCCGAGGTCGAGCAGGCTGCCTTCTCCCCCTCGCACATGGTGCCCGGCATCGAGCCCTCGCCCGACAAGATGCTCCAGGGCCGCTTGTTCTCGTACCCGGACACCCACCGTCACCGCCTGGGTGCCAACTACCTGCAAATCCCCGTCAACTGCCCTTACGCTGCCCGCGTCAGCAACCACCAGCGCGACGGCTTCATGGCCATCAACGGCAACGGCGGCAAGCTCCCCAACTACGAGCCCAGCTCGTTCGGCGGACCCAAGGAGGACAAGACGACGACCGACGCCTCCCCTTACGAGGTTTCTGGCACCGTCGGCCACCACCCTCCCGCCTGGAAGAACCAGGACGACTTCAAGCAGGCCGGCGACCTCTACCGCCTCCTCTCCGCCGAAGAGAAGACCGCCCTCGTGAACAACATTGTTGGACATCTCAGCGGCGCCAAGAAGCACCTCCAAAAGCGCCAGGTTGAGATTTTCCGCAAGTGCGACTCTGACTATGGCGCTCGCATCGAGCAGGGTCTGCTGAAGAGCTCTTCTGCGCTTTAAGTGTCCTTGTGTTTCGCTCTTTCTGTCTCTTTCTCTTCATGACTTTCGGCTGTTGATTACTCTTCGGTCTGTTTTTCTGTTGCTTGCTGTGAGGCTTTGTCTGTGCGGGGATGTTGTTTCTCCGGTTTGGCTTGTGTTCTCTCAACTTGTTCGCCAAAATGCCAAAGCGTTCAACGACACTTTCAGCTCCATTCGTGCTTGTTTTCGCTCTGCATTGAAAAATATCCCTGAAAATGGGTACGTCCATCGTGAAACACAATCCACACATGCAAGCTCATTCCTGTTTGTGTGACATGCGAGATCGCGTGCTCAAGATTGCTCTGGCGGCATTCACCGTCGCAGCCACAGCTGGAACCGTGGTTGCGGTCTACGTCTGGTTTGGCCGCGCCGCCCGCCGCCTGACCGAATCGCGCGACACTGCTCTCCGAGAGCTATCTGAAGTTCGGCAACAGCTCGAGCAGCAGCGGCGACTCGAGCACGCCCAAGCGCAAGCGCAGGAGCAGCATGAAGCAGCAGCAGCAGGTGGCGGCGATTCGCACACGGCTGCCACCTTTGTCTCGATGGTGCGCTCATGATCGTTGTCATCTTCACTACGGTCGTCGTCGCCATCATCATCATCATTCATCATCAATCATCATCATTCATCACTCATCACCACCAGCATTTATAGTAGTCATCATCGTTATCAACGCAGAATCATCAGCTCCAAGCACAGGTTGCCGATCCATCTCCCGCTTTGTCATCCGCCTGCACCCCCTTCCCTCCGCTCGGCTCTCCTGCACAGTGGCCCTCGATCGTCACTTTTGTCCAACTCAACTCATTGCAATGAACTTGGGCATCTGACTTTTGGGGGAAACAGCAATTGGCACTGCTTTTTGAAAGCGAGGTGTTTCACGTGTTTATATTTCAACCCAATGAATCCAACATTCAATCAAAAACCCAGCCATTCATTCATTCATTCATTCATTCATTCGTCATTCTGGAACCAAATACTGTTCTGTTCAAAAGCCGACAAATGTTCGCATTGACACGCTGTGAGTTACAAATCGCACAACACACTGAGAGGTCACTCCTCTATCTCTCTCTCTCTCTCTCTCTCTATCTCGCAGAGAGGGTGGACCTTGTTCTCTTCTAACGTGTCGTTCGTCATAGTTGCTCGCAGATCGTACGCGACGGGGACTGCCGCTCGGCTGCCAATCGCCGACTGCTACGCTGCGCTCGAGCTGACCCCGCCACGCCGCGGCACCCCGCACATTGCACCAGCCGCATTGCGCGATCGCTACATTGAGGTATCGGGAATCCTATCGAGCGAGGTTCGGGCGCTGGACCCAGCAGGTGGCTGATCCCATCGATTCTGTTGGTAGGCCGTGAAAACACATCACCCAGACAAGTCGGACAGCCCCGATGCAGCCACCAAGTTCAATCGCATTCAACTTGCATACGAGGTGCGAGAAAACTAGTCCTTTCGTTTTTTTGACCGGTTGGATGCATTGTCATTCACTTTTGGTTTGCTGAATCCGTTTGCCAGACCCTTCGCGAAGAACTTGACAAACAAGCCGTCGAGACGAAAGAGGAGCCATTACCGTCAGCAGAAGAGCTGTACAAGCAAGTGTTTGATATTCGGCATGCTGCACCACAGCATAGACGAGCGTGACGGTAAGAGCGATTGTCAGTTGACACCACGAATTCATGAATTCGGCTTGAACTCGATGCTGACAGCTGCCCAAATACTCCTGACAGCCCCTGGAGAGACAATAGCGGCACGACAACGAAACTCGCAAGCAATCCGACTCCGCCAGGCCGTCGACAATGTGCACCAACATCGCGTGGACGCGGCGCTTCGCGATGCCGCCGAAGCCCACTCGAATCCTGACGAGACGAAGGTCTCGACGCGTATGGCCATGGCCTACGCCGACTCGGTAGATTTACTGAAAAAGCAAACACAGAGTACGTCGTCGCCTCATGTCCGGATGTGTTCGCGCAACTTGCTCATTGCACCTTGTGACCAACTCCAGGCATCGACAAGATGGTGGATGACATGATCAAGAACGCCATGGCGCGTGGTGAATTTGATAATCTCAAGGGCGTGGGCAAGCCATTGAAGATGGAGGAGCACCAATTTCTAGACACAACGACCACCAAGCTCAACCAGGTCTTGATCAACTCGGGCGTCTTGCCAGAGTGGATTAACGCCGATAAGGAGCTGCGGGAGATTCTGCCTCGGCTTCGGCAGCGCACGTTGGACGTATGGCGGTCGGCATTGCAATCGTTGGGGACTGAGGACCCGCGAAAACAGGACGAGTCAGAGGCTGAGCACTGCACACGTATTGCCGGCACGTTGGCCAAGCTTGAACAAGCACTGGTTGACGAAGGAATTGATGGCATTCTGGCTCTTCTACCACTCCGCCAACGACAGGACTTGCTATCGCATCGCGAAGAGCTCCTACGAGATGTTGCCGTGGCGAACAAGAAGATTGCCTCCTTTAATCTGATCGCGCCACTGCTCACCCAGCAAAAGCTGCTCTTTGACGAGGCGCGTGCTCTTCGCCAGCATTTAGCTCAATGTCGCTCTAGCCTTCGCCGAGAGTAGATCCAATAACCGATTTTTTTATTTTCCTCATTTCTGCTGCAATGCTGCTCAAGCCGCGTCGCTGTGAATGTTGTTTTTTTGATTTTTCTTTCTCGCTTTTGTATACTATACTTTCGTCTTTCTCAGTCCACTTTGTTCCAGATGGCGACCCATTCGGCTTTTGCTTTCGACACTGTTGTGCGCAGCGCCCTCGACAAGGTTTGCTTTTTTTTTTTTTTTTTTTTGCGGCTTTTTTTTTTTTTGTTCTCTTTGGGGTTTGGGCGGAGCATTCTCTCTTCGCACCCGCGCAGTGCCTCGTTCTCAAAGACGACTGTGTCCACTGAAGCAGCGTGCGTGCTGGTGCAGAGTCGCATGAGCAACGCAGCTGGTCGACCACCGCTTTGCCAGTGTTGTGGTTGCCGTTTTATTTTTATTTTTATTTTTTATTTTTTTTTTATTTTTTATTATTTTCAGGGCTGAGCAGCTTGTTTACGAATGCAGAATCGCGCTTTTATGGCTTGTTCGTGTGAGGCGGGGGGATGACTGCCGCCTGTCCCGCGCGGATTCACTTTTGCCTACACTCCCATGTCACACTGACTTACGTGACCTGCTTGGCTGCGGCTCGCTTGTTGCTTCTCTCGCGACGAGTGACGAGTTGACTGGATTTTGTATCGATTTTTATTTTATTTTTTCAATTTTTTAAACTTTTTGTTTGTTTTACCAATCGCGTCCTTCCTCGCTCGCTCTCTTCTTTCTGTCCTGCTCTCGCCTGCGTGCGTATTGAGAGTGGTCTGCACTGGGCATCATTGCCACAACCAGGGCCCTCTCGCCAGCCAAGTCACCATCGTTTTGCTCACCGCCGCCTTTTTTGTGTTTTTTTTTTTCTTTTTATTTCTTGTTATTGGCTTTTTTTTTTTTTTTCTGGTTAGGTTCTTGCTGAGGACGACTCTGTCGCGCCCGCCATTGAGACACTCCGCGCCGCATTCGAGCGTGCAGAGCAAGCGCAGATGGGCCTTGTGCACTCTATTGTCGAGTCGATTCTCGAGTCTGGTAACAAAGCGACGTGCAGTTCGGGCGGCGATTGTGGAAACCGTTTTGCCAACGACTCGCTCACCCTCTCTCCCTCCTCTCCATCCCTACCTTCTTCGTGATTCTCTGGTATAGATTTGGATGCTGCCTCGCTTGGCAAGTTCCGGGAAGCAGGAAAAGGTACCGCCATAAACTTTTTGTGATTTTGCTCCTCTACCAAGCGAAAGTCTTCTCACTGCTACGTCCATGACCCGCTATTTGATTGCTCGACAACCCATGCAGTGGCAAAGATGACCGAGTCGGATATCCAACAAGTGCTTGCGCTTGGAACCAAGCTCGTGACGACCCTGCAAAATCTCCGATCACAAATCACTGAAAAGTCTACCTTCTTGGTGGCCATCAAGCAGATCGCTGGTGCGATCAAGATCTTCTTGGACTCTGTCGGCAAGGTCACCGTCACCGACGAGGGCCTTGCCAACCACAAACGACTGCTCGAGGACCACAAGAAAATCTTCATCAAGACGTCCAAATCTTTCAGCGACACGCTCAAGGGCTATTTCAAGGAGGAGTTTGACCAAGGCGCCGTCTTCTCCAGCGCAGATGTTCTCATCCGAGAGACGACGCAATTGATGCAAACTTTGAAAGCATAAAGCCCCATTCGTTCAGTTTTGTTATTTGTTGCCCTTGTTTTGTTTTGTTTTGGTTGTTGTTTTTTTTTTTGCTTTTTTGCATTTCTTGTGTCGCTGCGTGTGTTGGAAGCTTATGGTATGTGCTCCTGCTGCTTCTTCTTCTTGTTGTCAAAGCGTAAGAGAATGCGGATCGAGCTCCCCAGCAGAGCAAAAGTCGCTTTTGTTTTGCCATGTTTATTCAACGCTTTGAACATTTCCATCCCTGCCTTGGTATGGCTGTCCATCTTGGTCTTACAGCGAGAGTGCTCTCTGGATGAACTACTGTTCCTTTATTGTGGAAATTCACAAAACACTGAATCATGTTTCGTGCTCAAACATGCACAATGCAACATGCAACATTCATTCATTGCAGCTCAACATCACAAATGGCCCATCAGCTGCGAGTAATCAGGGCACCAATGTCGCGGACAGTCTGATTGGCAGAAATGCCCGCAAAGTATTCATGCAGCTGCGAGGGACTCGAACGAGAATGCGGATCAAGCTCCCAGCAGAGCAAGAGTCGCTTGTAGTCCTCGGGAGTGCAGGCGCTGGGCTTGGCGAGTCGCTGTCCGCCAAGGATTTGTGTCAGTACCTCGGGGCCTTTGAGTTGACCGTACGGCACTGCGCCGTACGAATAGACCTCCCCTGTTGTGGTTTTCAGAAGCACAAACGGTGAGGACAAGGCTATTGCCACACACCCTGCTTCGCTGTTTCTTACAAGCAAGGACTCCAAAAGCCCAGACATCGCTCTGGTGAGTAAACTTGCGAAAGTTCAAACATTCTGGAGCCATCCACTATGACGAGGAGCCAAAAGCATAACATAGCGAGTCAATGGCAAGAAGGACACGGCATGTATGCATTCGCGCTTCAACCGCACCTTCACAGGGAGACGGCCCTTCGATTCCATGCGATAGTAATCGCTTTCCTCGGCAAGCGTGCGTGAAAGACCAAAATCTGCAAGTTTGACCGTCAGGCCTGGACCGACAAGACAGTTTCGAGCAGCAATATCGCGATGCACAAAGCGAATCGACTCGAGGTACGACAGCGCACCAGCCACTTGTCCGAGAACATGTGCAAACTCTCCCCGCGTCCATTGCAGAGTTGCAGCGCTGCTCTTCTTGAGCAACTCGCGCAAATCGCCGTGCGGCATCAGCTCCAAAACGTTCATGTAGGGCTCGGCATCAAGCAAAGCGGCAATCGACTGGATGATGTTGGGGTGATTGAGTCGGGCGACCATTCGAGCCTCCTCGACAAACTCAATCCGGGACTTTTCAGTCGCGTTGGGCTGAAGGCACTTGACAGCGACATCCAGAACTTGCTGGCTTGGCTCTTGGAGCAAATGACGCGCGCTGCTCGGCACCAGGTCCCGAGGAAGATGGCCGAGCACAACTACGCCAAACGCACCCGAGCCAAGGGTCTTGTCTAGGGTCAAGGCGTCTCGGAGATGTTCTGTTGCAACCAAGGGAGCAAGGCGGTCGGACGCTTGAGCTTGATATGTGGCGGAAAAAGCTGAGGCTGGTACGTGTGCGTCAGAAGCGGCAGGGATGGTCACGCTTGTCATAGGCAACAGATCGCGTTCAGCGTCGTACGCAAACCGAGCTGAAGGTTTGTCTTGGAAGAGTTGGTTCTGGTTGCGACGACGCACCACCATGACAATGAGGACGATAATCACAATCAAAAGCACAACGCTGTTCACAATCAGCCCAATGACCAGTGGAGTATTCGAATCACTGCTGTGATTGCTGTTTGTGGCGGGCGAATCCCCACTGTGGCTACTGCTGGGGGTTGTCGAGACTGCAGGAGGGACGATTGCAGAGGTCGAGCTCAGAGCAGGTTGCGTTAGAACTGGCAGTGTTGACACAAACTGAGAATTGACAGATTTGACAGACACGGAAGAGACAGAGACGGCCGAGACAGAGGACGCGGATGCCGCGGACTTGGCGGACGCCACGGACGCGGATGATACAAACGGTGCAACTGAGGTTACAGAAGCAACAGAAGCAAGAGACGCCAGAAATCGCACTGAAGTCGCAGACGCGGCCGATTGCGACGCAACCGACAAGGTCATATTGGTCGCAGCGGTAGCCACGCAAGCGGCTCCATTCAAAACATAGCCATCATAGCAGATTGTACAGGTGCTGGCGGATGAGCAGCGAAGGCAGAATGCAGGACAGCACGACGACGCGCCAGCGTCAAAGCAGGTCGCACACGCTGCATCGCAAGCTGACCAAGAGGCAAGCAAAACAGAGTCCATTGAGTCTCAACTCTTAGCTAATTCATCGCAGAACAACAAATCATACGGATTGGATCGGAAGCAGAACCGTATGTGCTGGGTGGCGCAAGAGAGTTGCCTCCGAAAGTAAAGTTATTGGACGAAAGAGCTATACTCCAAACAGAACCCATTCCTTGAAACAGTCCTGGCGGCAGCGTGGTCAGCTGGTTGTTGGCCAAATTGCTGAGCATACCAGTCGGAAGGTAGCAAAAGAGCTTTGAGTTGAGTATGTGCCCTGCAATCAAAATAAATTCCCACCATCAGCTCTCATACAGGGATCCCAACTGTGAGAGACCAGAAAATGCACCCGCAGCGATCGCCGTAATTGCATTATAGCTCAGATCTCTGAGAGCACATCAAGTCATGTCAGTCACAGCCAAAGGGTTCAGCATTGCGTGTTGCTATTTCATACAAGAAATCCAACCGGGAGAGGCTATAAAATGCACCCGCAGGGATCGCCGTGATTGCATTATTGCTCAGAAATCTGAAAGTACAGGACGAAATGCTGAGCCTCAAACAAAGCTCAAAGTAACATGGTGCAAACGTCAGCATCGCTTACAGAACTCGCAGAGCCGGCATTCCGCTGAACGTCAAAGTTGAAATCATCGACAGTGAAGAACTGGCAAGAGATCTTCCGTTTGAAGCGGAGTGCGTTGAAGAAGGAAAAACCGAATAAGTGCACAATCTGCAGTAGCCTTCACGATTGATATCCGTACAACTGGTACAAAGCGGTTAGTCCATCAAACGCTTGCGAATCCAACGTTGTGATCGCGCTGTTGTCCAAAGTTCTGCAAGCCGATTGTGTAAGAAAACAATACAATTGCCAGCAATTTCGCTTTTTCACTCATACAAGCGAGACAGGGAATATAGACCCGCAAACGACCCAGCAGCCAGCTGCGTGATCTGATTGTCTTGCAAGTTGCTTTGGATTTCCAACCAGAAGATGTCAGCGCAACCACAGAGATCATCCGTTTTGTTCGGAAGACTTACAGCCTGTCTAAGTTTCTCAATTGAGCAAACAAACCGGCAGGAAGCGACGAGAAGGAGCAGCCAGTCATTTCGCTACCAAAAAAAAACGGTTAAGGGGAAATCAGGAAGTAATTGAAAGACGAAAAGGCTAAAGAGCTTCGCATACAGGGTAAACAGCGACGTTAAACCATTGAAACTATTTGCGGATATGCTGGAGATCCCAGAAATCGTCCTGCGAACCAAGAGGGCATTGTGGGAATTGAACACCGAACGTTCGCGAAAGCTTGAGTGGTGCGACCACAACAATTAACAACAAAGCCCGGCAAGCCACATTTGCCGAGCACAACTTACAATGATGCTGAATTTGGCGGAATGTTGATTGGAACTTGTGTAGTTGGGCCGCAAACGACTTGTTGCATGCGTTTTCTTGTCCAGAGGCGGCATCTGCCAGATTCAAGAACAGCAGGACCCAGAGCAGGGCGACGACATCTCTGCGAAATCTGCCAGTCCAACACGCGTCACGCATATTCGCCATTGGTTCGAATGGCAAGGGCCTGTACATGATTTGAAATGGTACGAAAACGATTAGAAAACATGTAAAAAATCGACTGTTCCTGTGAGAGCTCCGCCCGTTGCGCCCTCCTGTTCTCATGGCAGCGCGATCACAGTCATAGTAACATCACTCCCACAGTGCACTTCGAGAGCAGCTCTTTGTCAGCGTGCATGCCTATCTGCAGGCTCGTGAGTGTGCCTCATTTCGCAACAAAAAAAAAAAAAAAAAAACCTGAGCCAACATGTGTTGCGCTGCCCAGCCTCTGCTCGCGTCTTCACCATCCCTCTCTCACAAAGGCGATTCCCACATGCACAAGCAAGTCGCTTTGCGCTTGTGGAGGCGGGGAAGTGCGGTTGGAGATTCTTAACGAAAAGACAAAGAAAAAAAACAAAAATCCAAAAAAAAAAACGAAAAACAAACCGGAAAGCAAACAAACACAAACAAACAAATCTGACTGGTACAAGATTGGATTTGCGTGTCATTTCGAACTATTCAAATGGCCGTGCAGTGCCAGACAAACCAAAAGGCAGATGACGTTGGTGGAAAACCTCCGTCTCGCTCAAGTCTTCAACCAACCCCGCTTACCATCAACCAACACTCGTATCGTCGCAGCTCGATCTCTGATCACAACTGCACACCGCTCTTTGATTATGCTTTTGTCTTTGAAACTGCCGAAACAAACACAAATATTCAAGACGGTGGTCACCACGATGGCCACCACCTGGCGATCAGTAGATTGAATTTCGCATCCAAAGAATTCAGCGCTCAGTCTTTCAAATTTGAAATCGATTCGATCGACCATCCGACATTCCACCATGGCCTCTGCCACTTCGAATGAGTCGGTTCACGCAATCAAAGACGTTCCTGCCGAGGTCCTGGCTGCCGTCGAGAAGAAGGCCCTGCATGTCCCGTCGCTGGACGAACTGAGTGCAGGTCTGTCATTTCCCTCGGTTGCCTCCTGTCGCCTTCCTCTGCTGCCCCGCAGTAGTTTGGTTGTGGGGGGATGATCTGTGGTGGTCTGTTCACTTCGACCCACCGGCTTGACATGTCCTGACTTGGCTGGATGATCGCTCCATGATGATAAATTTGAACTCTAGTGCTCCAGCACGCGCTCCAAGCCAATTTCGCCAACGCGAGTGCGACCCCGGTGGAAGTGTGCCCCGATCTGACTGCTGCGCCGTATCACCTTGCTGCTCCAGGTATGCATGCAGCGTGGCGAGCCGTGCTCGTTCGTTGGTGGTGGACCAGATTGGTTGTGCGAGCTTGGAATCCACAATCCGTTCAATTGGTGTTGGCGCCTGCCTCATGCTCACACATCCTGCAATCATTTTTTCACCTACAATCTGGTACAGGAATCAACGGCAGCCCGCGATTGGCAGACGTCGGTGGCGTGCCCTACCTCATCCCGACCGCGAATCGAAACGTGCTGTTTGATCTGCAAGAGGTGGCCACGAAAGTCGACCTGCCTGGTGCGTTCTTTATTGGCGCTGGCGCTGGTTCATGGAAGTATATTGGAACCAATTGCGAGGTGAGTTGGACTCGGGTTTGATGTTGAAAAAACAAAACAAAAAGCCAGACCGAGAGACATTTGCACTCAACGCGTCCACCTCCTCTGAATAACAACAATTCAGCTCATGCCAAACGTGCATCTGGGCGCAAGCAACAACCTTACTACAACTGCAATCGTAGCACACGACAAGTGCGAGCTGCGCCCGTACGACACGACCCAAGTTGGCGTCTTGTGCAACGTGCTCGCTTCGGAAGGAGTGCGCGGCCCAGTCGTGCACGTCAAGGCCTCCGTGCGAACGGGACCCAAAGACTTTTTGTCGTGCTTGCACCAGGCGATCGTCTCACGCTACGGCCAGCAGGGTGTTGGTCTGGGTGGCGTTTTTGTCATTCGCGAAGGCAAGGCGAAGATTCACGTCATGCCCGACTTTAGCCCCGTCCCGCTGTGCTCGGATGCAGAGGTCGACCAATGGCTCAAGTTCTACGAGATGCAGTCACCGCTGGTGTGCTTGAGCACCATGGTCAGCGGCGATCTCGGCCTCGACCTGCGCCTGACCCACACCCACTGCTTTAGCAACCACGGCGAGGGTGGCCACTATCACTACGACACCACTCCCGAGGTGGTTGAGTACGAAGGCTATCTCGTGCCAGCCGAGCACATTTACCGGATTGGGCGTCCCCAAGTAACTCACAAAGTTGGGCGAGATTGAGCCAAACCAAAAAAAAAAAAAAAAAAAAAAACAAGTTTGTGAGGTTGTTGCGTACTTGCTGCCCTTCTGGTCGTGTGTTTCTGGGTTTGTGTGTTTGTCAATGGCGGTACACATGTGGCGAAGCTGTTCTCGAGGCTTTGGCGTTGAACCAAAAGAAACACTTTCGCTGTGCAAATTTCAACACGAACAGTTTGCTAAATTTTCTCCCATTCCAATCTAACTCGCATATCTGAAGAGCGGAGGCAATCACACGCTCGGAAGTCGCACATCTCACTGTGACTGCTCTGTCGTGGGCTGATTCGCTTGCTGCGCATCCTTGCGCATCGGCCCGTGTGCTTTGCGCAGCCCTGCATGAGCCCCGTGCACGGACCGGCAAATTGAGTCAAAGTGGCCAAACAATCCGCTTTTTCTGATCTTGTGCATTATTTTTTTTCGCTGTGTTTTTTCTGCAAACCGGTTGTTCATCGCGAAACGCCTGCCGTATGGACTCGATGTCTGCATCAACGTAGACTGCAATCGCACACAGAGAGGGGGCGAGGGAACTCCCAGCGCGGTGGAAAAGGAGGAGCAATCCAACATCGAGATCGCTTTGCCCGTTGATTTTTTTATTTTTAATTTCTATCATTCGCAATGCATTGTGCTCTGATATCATTCATTTTATCGCCTATTCCATTACCAATTCGAAATTCTCACTCTCTTTTTTTCTTATTCTTCTACTTTAGAAGATCATTTCCGCGTGGTTTTAGTTTTTTTTTTTTTCGCGCTTTTTCTTTATTTTTTTTTTTTTTTTTTTTTGTGGTCGATCCTCGCTTCGTCCGCTTCCCCGATCTCGGGCCTCCCTCCCTCCCCCACCCGCCTTGCCACCTGCCTCGTGCCATCAGGATACCGCGTCCGGTCTAATGTCACTTTAAAACAGTCCCTTTCCCCCTTCCCTTCCTTTTCCCTTTCATCAAATCCCCCACCAGTAAACCTTTTTTTAACCACCCCCTTCCCATCCCCTTTTATTAAAAATGTCCCGCTTCCTTCCCTTCCCCGCCAGCGTTCCCCAAGTCCACCGCTATTTCTGCAAGTCTATCGCCACTTCACTGTCCTGAGTCTAATTCTGCCCTGACGTCGCTCTCCAGCAAGCAACTTCCGGTCATTTTCTACTTTCCAGCAACTCGATAGCCCTTTTTTTTTTTTTTTTTTTTTTTTTTTTTTGACTTAAACTTACCTCGGACAGCCGCATCTGTCAACCGCCGAACCGCATCACCACCTCAGCAAGCACCACCAATCCGCCGCGCCGCCCCACCGCCCCGGTCCCCCATCACCACCACAGCAAGCAACATCTTCCAAGCATCAAAACCAACACGCGTGTGTTTACGTCCATCAAGCAACAAAAAAAAAAGCACACGGTTTTTTTAATTTGCGTAATTCTTTTTTTCCAATACTGATAACCGCATCGGCTTTGAAAAAAAAAAATCCACACCAAAGCCAAAAAACCCAAAGCCAACTTTTTTTTTTGCTTTTGCCTTCAAAGCCTTTTTTCTTTTTTTTCCAACTTTTTGTTCTTTTTGATCAAAGCTTCGCGCCTTTTTTTTTTTTTTTTCTTCTGCTTTTTTTCCTTGTTCTTCTGTTTTTCTGCTCTTCCTTCCTTTGACTTCTTCTTTTCAACTCTTGCCTTGTTATCAACAACAAACTCAAGCGTTGGCGATTTCGAAGAACACCCTTTTCCGCCCATCTGCTCCCATTGCGCATATTTCTGTGCAACGTCACATTTGGTCGCTTTCAACGCTTTTTGGATTCAAGAAAAAAGGCTGACACTGAGTTTCTCACAGAACATCTCAGTCCTCTTTTTCTCAACCTCAAGGCTCTTTCATTTTCATCTTTAGGGTTTAAGCAACTCAGCTCAAAACTCCTCCAAGGAGTCCTTGCTTGCTCCCAGGGGCGCTGCTCTAGCTCTCTAGCTCTCACACACTTTTTCTCTCTCGTTGGTTTCGCGCGCGTTCTCGTTTCCGCCCGTCCTTGCTCATCCGATCGCCCGCTCGATGGTCGGTCTTGTTCGCCTTACTCGCAACACTCTCCCTTCTTGCTTGGCCAAGCCATGCCTGGTCGCACCCATCCGCCTTCCGGCCTCCCGCATCCCTGCAGCGCTCCGTCCCGCCGCTGCCGGTGCTGCTGTCACCGCCTCCGCGCCTGCTAACTTTGTTTCGCTCGCGCCCGTGCCCGTTTCGTCGGCGCCAAAGTTCCTCGCCTCGATCCGTGCCTCCAATGCCAACGGCACCGCCCGCATTGACGCACGCCTCGCTGCGGACTTTGCCCACATTAACACCCTCTTCACCGATTTCAAGTCGTCGATTGCTCGCTTTCTCAAGCCGATCGACTCGACCACCACCACCACCATTGTCACTGCTTCGCGCGAGACGCTCACCATCCGCCGCGCCACCCACAAGGACACGGATGCCATCTACTCGCTGATTGCCGGTCCCATGGCCAACGGCAGCATCCTGCCCGTCTCGCGCGCAGCCCTCAGCAGCACCGTCCGCAACTATGTGGTTTGCCACGTTGATGGCGTCTTTGCCGGCTCTGCCTCGATCAAGCCGTTCTCGCGCAACGAGGCCGAGTTCACCAAGATTTGCACCTCGCCTGCCTACCAGGGCCGCGGCATTGCCAGCCACCTTGTCTCCAAGCTCATCCAGCACGCCACCGCTGACGGCTACGAGTATGTGTTTGCCTTGACCACCGCCCCCGCCATGGCCCGCGTGTTCACCAAGCTGCAGTTCCAGCCTGTCGATCGCTCGTTGCTCTGCGCCAAGTGGCGCGACGGCTACGACATGGCTCGTCCCTCCAAGGCCTACTACCTGCCCGTTCTTGCCGATCCCTTCACTGCCAAGGCTGCCGACAACCAAGAGCACCACAACCACAACGTTGCTCTCAGCATTTAAGAATTTTTATTTCCCAATTTGCTTTTCATTTGTGTGTGTGTCGTGTGTCGTGTCATTTTTACCCAAATACAATTTGCATGAATGCATCTACTTTTTCCATTCAAACACAAACACCTACACCATCCAATCCAGTCTTGTTCCTTTTCAACACGACCAATCTTGTTAACGATGCAGTCCAAGAAGCCCGTGGCAGCCAAACCATCACCCTCTGAAGGTGCCAAGGTGCAAGTCGGGCGTGCTCTCATCGATCGGGAGCTTGCCCACCTGACTGCGCGCGTTGATGTCGAGAAGCGTGCGTTTGCAGTGCAAAAGCAGCTGCTCGAAGGGAACATGACGGAAGAGTCGCTGCGAACTGCGGTAAGAGCTTTGGCTTTGGCTTTTTTTTTTCCTCTCAACTCTTTATTTTCGCCTTGCTGTCGGTTGTGTGTGATGATGATGATGTTGTTGTTGTTGAAGAGCACACATCCGATGACGAGGGGCTCGTGCTGGTTGTGTCAAACGCGAATCAAACGTCGTTCGCTGACTTTTGCCCTCGCCTCACAACTTGCGTCCCCTCTTGTTCGCTAGGCCATGCACATTCTACCCAGCCACTACACGGCCATGACAGAGGAGCGCGCGCTGATGGGCCGCTGCGGCTATCCCATGTGTCACAACCCGCCCCAGCCAGCGACGGCAGCGCCAGCATCCAGCGCCCGATCCACGCGACCCGCTCGCTACACCATTGATCGCAAGGTGCATGTAGTGTACGACTTGACCGAGTGGCGATGGTTTTGCTCGGACGCCTGCTTCCAGGCATCCAAGTTTTTCGAGAGCCAAATCTCCAGCGATGCGCTGTGGCTTCGGAACGAGCAGTAAGCCCAACGCATGGGAAGATATGGATGAAGCGAGGACGGGGGGTGGTGGTGGAAGGAAAGGGGGAGCGAGCGTGCGTTGTGGAGGAACAGGGAATCTTGTACTTTGTAGATTGATTTGGAGAATTGTCACTTTGTTGGTTCCTGTCGTCAGAAAACCAAGAACACCAATCAAGCTATTGCCTATTCACCCAAAAGCAGAAGATCGGTATGTGCAGCACGCTGGGCATGGGGCGTGGTGCGACAAATCGTGTCGTTGACTTTGGAAACATTATTGGCGGCAGATGGTCGTCAGATTCTTCCGTCAAGGCTGCGCCGTCTGGCAACCCGGAAGGATCTCCACAACGGCCTGCTGGTGAGTTGCTCTTTCGAGAGCGACAAGGAGCTGAGGTTATTGCGCCAGCCGTGCGTCCTGCCGACGCGCATGATGCCATCGAAGGCTACCGGCCCACTTTTGACCAAATCGGAGCGACGAGTGGCCTTGACGACGATATAAACTCGCTGTCACTACAGGAGCACGCACCTCGAACACCAAAAGTTGCCACTCCACAACAGCGACAAGCCAAAAAGTCGAGCCTGTTGAACTCGCTCATCAACACGTCGGCCTGGAGCGAGCTCTGTTTGATCGTCAGTACGTGGCAGACGGATGCAGCGGTCGCCTTTCTTCACGGCCACGTGATTGAGCCGCGACTACGGCCTAACATGACAGCGGAAGAGCAGACCAACGCCCTGCTGGACTATGCCCAGCTCGCCCTTCCAACTAGCGCCAGGCAGCCCGTCGCCTCGTCGGCGTTTGCTTCGTCTGAGCTGATTGATGATGACTATCTGAGCGATTCGGACAATGACGAGCCTGATGTCGACCATTTCAATCCCAGCAACACGACGAGCAAAACCCCTGCATCTGCGCAATCACTGGCCCCTCGACCGCGTGCGAGTGACAAGAGTGCTCAGATTTCAAAGCTAGAGCAGCAACCAGCCTCTCAGGCCGATGACGATTTGGATTTCCATGCACCTCTGACCGATGCTGCGGCACCTGCACTTGTGCGACGAGGCCTGTTCTTATCGCAATTAACCAAAGAGTGCGTATTGGTCTCGATGAACATTGTCTTTGCTTTGATTTCCAGCATTCACTTGCTCACCTCCGCTGTGTGTGGGTGTCTTGATTGCGCGCGTTTTTGTGCTGCGACAGAATCACGCCGCTCCTTTCGCTCTTTCACATTCCTGTCGCCGACATCCAGTCTGACGTGAGCGAGTTTGTTGCGCTTTTGGACCTCCGTAACAGCAACTCAAGTCTGACGAGCTCGCAATGGAAAACCACCGTTTTGCTGTTTCTGCGCCTGTAAGTGTTGTGGTCACAACCAATTTGCCTCTCAGTGTCAGCCATTGCAGTCGCTCACGCTGTCTTTTTTCTGTCACTCTCTTGCCCATGGAATCATCAGTCTTGCGTTCCGAAATCCAAAGCTTGGTCAGCTCGTTGTCAATACACCGGACAATCGCTTCGAGCAACTCGTGGCAGCAACAGGGCTCTCGTCTGCTGAGTTCCAAGCGCTTGTTGTGATGTTTGAGCCCCGGATGCTGTAATGTTTGAATGCATTACAACTTTGACACTCAAAATCACACACTTGTGTTCATATCACAGCTCCTTCTTGAGCCAAACCAACTTTGGTTCTGTTGATGGTGTTTGATCGAGTGTCTGTTCGTGTGTTTGCACCGTAGTTTGGGTGTAGTGTGGGTGAGAACATGCAGGATCGGAAAATTCACGCAACAACCAGTTCGCACAAAAACCGATTCATTTACGTACCTGAACTTTTCCGCCAAATACGCCAGAAGTGACGGGATCACAGACATGATACCCAAGGTGCTCGTAGAATGCCTGTTTGTCCGTGGTATTGAGATAGACTATTGCTTTCCCAGCTCTAAAAGCAACCTCAACGACGATTGGGAACGTGAGCCAGAAGGCGACTTTGGTTCAAAAATGGCCCGTCCGCGTCAGAACACCTACGCCTTCATATACTCTTCTGCTTTTTGCATGAGAATCTTTCCAAATCCTTTGCCTCGATGTTGTTCGTCGACGACCACTAGCGCGTGCGTGTCAAATTCCAGCCAAAGTGAGATTCAGCACAGGATCGCCGCAGCACTGGACAGAGCGATGCGCATGCTTCAACTGCGCAGCCTTGGATTTCGTACCAATTTCAAATAGCACACCTTTGGGACCCCCGAGCGACATGACGCGACAGTGGCCGAGAATGGTCTGACCATCCGTGGTCAAGCGGTCAATTGGCGGCGCCTCCTGTGCGAGATCCGGCAGGTTCTTGGCCAGGAGCACAAGCGAGCACGGTAGCAATGGATGCGATCGCTCGAGCATGGCTCGTCTGCAATGTGTGTGTATGTGTATGGATGAGATTTCAAGCGAGCACGGTAGCAATGGATGCGATCGCTCGAGCATGGCTCGTCTGCAATGTGTGTGTATGTGTATGGATGAGATTTCAAACTACAATCTCAATGCAATTCCATTCAAATTTGTCGCGATCCCATCAGCTCTGTCAACCTCCAGCCAAGCCAAGGGCAGGACACGTACCTTGCGTAGATTGACATTGGCCACATGCTGTTGATCAGTGTTGCGACTTGCGGACAGAGATCGAGTCGGTCGTGTGTTGTTACAAGCGTGAATTCCGCCATTCGGGTCTGAGTTTCCTGTTTCGTGTTGTTTGAAGACTGAAACGCAATTTTGATATCAGTCGTGTGTTCCTCGTATGAGCAATCATTGTTCAAGAGCTATCGAGATCATTGGAACTGTTGCTGGTCGTGGAAACCTGGGAGTTCAAACCGAAACTTGCGACTCAAAGTACAGTTTTTGGCCGCACGCCAGACGCGTCAGTCAAACACTCGCACTCCGACACCGCTCAAACTAAATGTATAAATTGATTTAGTATTGAGTTTCGTCGAGTCGGAGATGGTCACTGACCTGGAAGGAGCACTTGTCGCTTGTCCAGTTTCCGGTGCTTGCAGCTTCGGTGCTCGCGGAGGCTGACTCGCTCGGTCGCCGCCCTTGAAAAATTCGTGCAATACTAGTCTTTGCGACTGCGTTTGGGAACCCTGTGGTTTATGAAATCGGCTGGAAATTCTTGACGAGAAAACCGAGATCAAACTCAAACTATCGCTACATCGACCAAGAAAAACAGAAAGTTCACAAATGACGGAGCGCTCCGAATTTTACCACCCTTTACGCCAGAATCGCACACTACTCAATCCAGAGATTCATTTTTGCAAGCTTTGGGGAGCGGAGAAGGGGGACGAGCACTGCTTGAACGACGATGCGATCAGAAAGCCTCAAAACTCGGTTCCATGCGTCGCCGCTTTCAATCAGCTCCAAGCATCGCTCTCGGATGTGTCGCACATCCGCTAATTCAGGCCATGCTCATGAGATAAATCCTCCGCCCCTCCCTCGCGCTCAATTTCCCCTTTCCCCGCAGCTTAAATGTCCCAAAAAAACCGGCTGTGCGGAACAAAAAACCGCGTCCAGCTTCAAAAACCAACGGACATTTTCCATCCGTCATTCAGTTCAGTCCTTTTGTTTTTTGTATTTCGTTTGAACAGGAAAACCTTCACGAGCCACAAGACACAAGGACATCAAAGGCAACCAAAAAACAAGCAAGCCATCCTCAATCCAAAAAGCACTTCATCACAGCCATGTCAAACCAGCAACTGTCATCGCGGTCGACCTGCGCTCAGGCGCTCGAGGCGTTCGGGTCGGCGCTTCCGCTGACCTCCTCGCGCGTGCTCGTCACTGGCGCCACTGCCGGCATTGGCATTGACACTGCCGCCGCGCTCGCTGCGGCTGGCGCTGCTGTCACATTCACGGCCCGGTCGGACGCCTCCGCTGCCGCCGCGTTGGAGCAAATCACGGCCATTGCCACGCAGCTCCAAGCCACCGTGCCAAAGCTCGTCGCGCTGGCCCCGCACAGCCCACTCAAGATCGACCATGTCGTGCTGGACTTGGGCAGTCTGGCGTCTGTCAAAGCGGGCGTCGAGGCCTTCACATCCAAGCACCCCGAGCCGCTCGACATTCTCATCAACAACGCAGGCGTGTTTGGCATGCCGCACACCCTTTCCAAGGACGGCTACGAGATGCACTTTGCCGTCAACCATCTGGGCCACTTCTTGCTGACCTCGCTGCTGCTTCCGGCCGTCCTGGCGTCCAAGCACAAGCGGATTGTCAACCTGTCCTCGGTGTCGCACACGACGCCATCCACGCTCAATTTTGACGATCTGCTCAAACGAGAGCGGAGCTACCTGGCACTGCATGCGTATGGCAACAGCAAGCTCTGCAACGTGTACCATGCGAACGAGCTGCACCGACGCTTCCACGACGCACAGGGCCTGTCCACCGTCTCGGTCCATCCCGGCGACATGATTTCCACCTCCATTTCCCGCCAGCGGCTGCTTTGGCGGTTTGTGTTTTTCCTCGCGTCGCCCTTCACCAAGAGCGTCACGCAGGGGGCTTCCACAACCGTCGTTGCCGCGCTCGCCTCCGAGTCTGTCATTCCGTCCTCGTCGTACCTGATTGATTGCAAGGTCACTCCCACATCCGCTGCCGCTCGCCTGCAAGAGCCCGCCGTCCGACTCTGGGATCTGTCGGTCGAGCTTGTCAAGCAGTATCTGACGCCCGAGGCATTGGCTCTTGTCTCCAATTGATTTTTTGGTTTTTGGTTTTTCGTTAGCACAAAAAAATATCAAGTTTTTCATTTTGCTTTTTTTCAAATGTTTTCGCCAAGGCGTGCTCATTGTCAAATGGAAGAGTGCAGGTTTTGACCAAACCTTGTCGCGATACGATACGCGGACGATGAGTCTGTGTTGTGATTTGATTATTGTTGTATGGATTTGCGGCACAGCACATCATTCCCAGCCAATCGGTGCTGTGTTTTGCCTTCTAAAAGTGGCAATTCGACGTCAGTGTGCTTTTGCTGCCCTGGGTCTCGCCCCACCTCACAGATTACAGATTGCAGACCTGCCGTGACCAGGGTATGACAGCATCGACCAAACTGATATCGCAGCCCCTTGAGTCGGTTGCTCACAACCAAACACGCACCCGTTTCACGCCGTTTGGCGAGCGTTCTCGCACCCATCGCCACTGCAACTGCGAATTGAGATCGCTCGCGTTCATGAATCATACAGCCCATTAGCTGAAAAGCAAATTCAAGCCACAACCAAACAATTTTGTTTTTTTGGGCACAAAATGACAATAACACAAAAAAAGCCACAACTCAGAACGGGATCGCACCAGATTTCGCATTCACCGACCAAGTTGTGCGCACTGTTGGCATGGCAGGGGGGCCAGACGGAGCAGCAACAAGGGACCCTCGACAACCTTACTGCCTGCTCTGCACAACCCTCGCCCAGCCCACAATCCTGCAAACACGGAAGAGCGGCAAAAGCGCGCGACTGACTCTGTCGATAGGCGTCAATGCTAATGAAAAGCAAGAAAAAAAAATAAAAAAATAAAAAAAGTAAAAAAAAAAAGTAAAAAAAAGAAAAAAAAAAGTAAAATAAATTAAAGCTGTGCCCCCAGCGAATGGGTGAAGCCAGTTGAACGCGTGGCGATGATGTCCAGTATTGCCGCGCAGGCCAGGCGAGGTCTCCCGCCGCCGCTCCGCCCCAGACATGTTGCCAAGGTGTCATAGTGCATGAATGTGCCTTCTGCGCAATCCTCGCGTGCGTGCATCACAGCAAACCGGCACTCGCTGTCCGGTTATGGAAATCCATTTTTCTCCAAAAATCATTTTTTCTTTTTTTTTCTTTTTTATTTTGGATTCAGTCTTTTTTTTTTTTTTTTTTTTTTTTTTCGCGATTAGACTTTTTGGTCGTTCTTTTTCGTGTCCAACGACATTGCTTTTTTTTCTCTTTTCTGTTTGTCTCTTTTAGCTCAGTGCTGGACCCATCATTGTCGAGCCTGTGTCTATCGCAGCTTGTTGAAGCAAGACGACATCCTTAGCATCGTCTGATTTTTGCAATTCCCAACAGAAGCCTGATTTTGTGGCCTGCTGACTTTTTTTTTTTCTCACTTTTTTTCGCGCTATTTTTTTCCCCCGTCCTCGTTTCTTCCTCCACTCATCGTCGGTTGTTCGACAAAGCAAACAATCCTCGATTCTCTCTTTTTTCCGTTGAGGTTTTGTTTCTCGTGCTGCTCGTTAACAGTGTCGCTGCAACTTTACCTGCAAACGTCTTGATTTTTTTTTTTTTTTTTTTTTTCCCTTTCTGTTTCGCTCGCCCTTTTTTCCCCTTCCATCCGGATTTTTTTTTCGCCTTCTTCGACTCGCTTTTTTTCTTCCCCTTTTTTCGATCGACTTGTTCGCCTCGTTTTTCCCTTTCTTCTTATTCCTTTCGACATTCAGCGCGTCGGTCTTTTTTTTTTTTTTTTTTTCTCCTTTTCGCCTCATTACATTGAATTTTTCTTGATTTTTTTCTCCTTTTTTTTTTTTTTTTTTTTTTTTTCCGTCGCCTTGTTCTCGTCTCACAGCGACCGGACTTTGTGACTGCTCGCTTCTCCCCCTCCCTTTTTGTCGTCTTCAACATCGAAAGCACCACATTGCACTACACATCTTTTTTGTCGTAGTGTGTTGTCTCTCTGAATCCCGACGCTTAACACTTTCTTTTTACTTTTTTTTTTTATGCCGTTCAAGAAATCAACGCCCGCGTCTGTGGGCAGTGGCCAGAGCGTGCCAGTTCTCACTGGTGCCACAGTAGCAGCGTCGGCGCCAGGCTCGTCATTATCATCGTCAGCATCGTCGCTGGCATCCGCATCTGCATCGGACCTGACCTCCCGATTGGCGCTCATGATGGCTATTGCAGACCGACACAACGGTGCTCTTCCAGCGGCAGGAGCCGACGCAGACCGCCACCTGCAGCGGCTCATTGAGCAAAACCAGGCCATCCTCGACCACCAGCACTCTTCATCGTCATCGCTCTCCTCCACTTCCATCGACGCAGACGACGACGACGACAACAACAACAATATCGACGACGACGATGAGGATGGCTGCGACCTCCTCACTGCCAAAGCCTCGCGCAAGTAAGTCGTTTCATCCGTTTTTTTTTTTCCCCTCGTTTTATCGCCGTTTCTCTCCCCAAGCATGTCGTTTCTCCCCCCCCCTTTTTTTCATCATCTTCTTCTTTGTGATCTTTTCGATCAAAGTTTTCCCCCCTCCCTCCTTTTTCAACTGTGCAACATACTAAATCTGTTTCCCATCTCTCCCTTTTTTCTTTGTTTGACTCCAGATCGGACGGAAATCTCGTATCAGGCGCACAAGCCACACCCGAGCGCAAGTGGAAGCATGCTCAAGTGGAAAAGCGTCGCCGAGAGGCACTCAACACCCGCATCGAGGAGATTGGAGCCGTCCTGCCCGCGTTCGAGCCCCCGGCAAACATGCCCGGCGCACGCAAGGAGCACAAGGCTGCCATTTTGGCGCGCGCCTACGATTACATCGAGTACATGCAGGCGTGCCAGGCGCAGCTCCAGTCAGTGTACCAGTTCTCGCTCACCCAGGTCGATGCCACTCGAGCTCATCTCGAGCAACTCCGCGAGCAAGCGCGTGCCATCAACCCCGCTGCCGCCGAGGCCATCCCCCGCTCTACTGACACTGCGCCACTCGCTCAGACGCTGGCTGCCAATGTCGCCATGGTCCACACGCCGCCCGCGTCTCGCAAGTCGGCCGCTCCTCCGTCGCAGCCCGTGAGCTCCTCGTCGTCATCGATCGCCTCGTTCGCCGCTCCCGTTGGGCTGTCGCTGCAGGTGACAACACCCGACCTGCCAGAGTCTGGCCCGAGCAGCGCGCGGTCTTCCTTCTCGTCCCTCTCGTCCCGGTCATCCAAGTCGTCTGTCTCTGGCATTGTCGAGGACACGTTTGCGCACGAGGCTTGCTCGCCTGTGCTCATGCCCGCTGCTGTCGATCGCGACCCCTCGATGGACCCGCTGGCCATGTTTTTGGCGTTGCAATCGTCCTTCCACCACCATTCCCTGCCTCAAACCACGGGCGGCATTTACAATGACTTGCTGCACGACCCGCACGGCGCCAAGTGGATGGAGCAATCCTCCAAGCTTGCGCAAATTGGGACTGCCACCATTCCCGTCACGCCAGACTTTGGCTTGCAAGCCGCAGCGCCGGCTCTGCCTGGTCTCACTGACATGCTGCTCAATTCTGCGGAGGACATTCTCCATCTGCTTGACGACGAGCCATCGATGCACCACATTTCCCAGCTGGGCTCGACACCACTCTACGATCTTCTGAATGGCCTCGATGTCTCGATGTCGGTTGTATGATAATCTTTGGCTTGTTCGTTCCCCCCTTCCTTTTTTGATTCTTTTTTTTTTTTTGGGACATTGGTTCTTTGCGGCCTCCAGGCAGCTCTGACTGCCGTATGACCATCTTGCCGCTGGCACGGCTTTTTGATTCTTCTCTTTGGTTGTGGACACTTTCCATTCATTTTTATCCGACTTGTTGTTGTTGCAATCTTGATTGCAATTGATCGCCGTCTCGTTGTTGTGTGTTTTTTTTGTTTGCGTCATTGCTCTTGTGGACAAATCGTTACCTTTGTGTTAGCGTGTCTTCGTTTCTTTGTTGTTAGTTTATCCATTCTGTTGTTTATGCAACATTAAAGATTGTTCTTATCCAACACCGTTCTCTCTACGAATGACTCTGCTCTTGGACGAGCGTTTTTATTTTCTGCTGGACAATTTTCTGTTTGTTTCTGGCTGGACAATTTTCTGTTTTACTGCTGGACAATGCATTTTGATTTTCTGGCTGGACAAGTTTCTTTTTTTCTTCTTCTTGGAGAACGCTGATTGGCTGCTGGAGCCAACTTTGTTCATGTTGTTTTTCTGGCTGGACGGCTGGAGAAAGCTGATTGGTGCTGGAGCCAAACACTTTTGTTTTTCTCCGTTTTCATTTGCTTTCCTCGTCCTCGCCAGCTTCGTGGTCGCTCGCATCATTGCTCTCATTGTCGCCAAAGAAAGACGGGTTCAGCTGTGGCGAAGAAGAAGCAGCCAGGACATGGCGTTTCAGAACAGCAAAAGTGCTCTCAGGCAACTCAGCGCAGAACATCTTTTGCGAGCCTCGTCCAGCAGAGTATTTTACTTTGTACACCTTGGCTGCGACCACGCCTCAATCACATCATGGATGGCTGCCCGGCCAGCAGAGTTGAGCTCGCGGGTGCCCACACCGGCGACGAAGAGGGACTGACTAGTGAGCGGTTTTGGCGGCAGTGCTGGTAGCACGTCCCAGTGTGACTGCACATCGTTGTCACCAGTGCCAACACGTTGGAGAGCGTGCCGGTGCCAGCGATTCGAGCCCTGGTCAAATACGTACAGGCCAGATTCGAGTCGCTCGTGCATGTGTAATCTGGTGCGTGCAGCATCGGTCGCCGCATCAACAAACACCTGGCACGTCCAGCCCGTACCACCAGCAACGCGCCGATGTGTGCATGCTGAGGTCGCCAGTGGGGACGACGACGTGGATGGCCCAGCACCCCGCAGTAGTTCGGTGATGGCCGGCTGCGTGATGGATCTCCGCGTAGCACCCTCAAAGCCTGCCACAGCAAGCATTACGGTAGCGCGTCGCGCGACATGGACATTCCGACGCAAGAGGTTGAAGACGAAAGGGGACACGCGCTCAATAGAGCGGCACAGAGTTCGATTTGCGCGATGGAGGCCGGCAGTGCACGCCGCGAGCTCGTTCGTGCTCAATTGGGTGACAGTCGTTGGCGGGCACGATGGTGGCAGCTTGGGCCGGTGCGTAGCAAAAGACACGACATTGAGGCACCACCCAGCGTGTACAGCGGCGGTAGCCATAGCCAGATCTGCGCCCTCCGCGCCGCCGCTGACGAGCGTGATGGCGGGCAGAGTGTGCTGGGCATGGTCTGTCGAGGCTGATACTTGCACGAACGTGTCTTGGCAGGCAGGTGAGTGTTGCCGCGCAAACGCGATTTCGATTTGATCAAGCGCACGCAACACCTGCGGTGAGACCAGAGAGTCGTTCCATGTGAGGTGATACTCGTCGTTGTCGTCGTTGTTGTCGTTCTCGTCGTTGCGATTGTCGCTGTAGTCGTCGTTGAGCATCGTTCTTATTGTCCACTGAAAAACGACAACAAAAATTAAAAAAAAAAAACCACTGAGGAAATTCAAAATTGTGAGGCAACTCAGTCAGCTCGCAGATTTCTCAGATTTCCGCTCAGTTCGTTTCAACATGTACAACGCGATTCGAGTCGCCGAGTTTGGCGCTCCTGCCGTCATGCAGCTCCGATCTGTGGCCATTCCAGAGACCCTCGGCGCGAGTGAGGTGCTTGTGCGCGTCGCTGCGGCAGGCGTCAACCCTGTGGACACGTACATTCGCAAAGGCAATGTGAGTGCAGTGCGATCAGATTGGATGAGAGCAATCACGACAGGAGCCACAACTCTACACCATTCGACACTGTGGTCTCATTGAACGCGCTGGATGCAGTAGCCGGTCCAGTGCCGGTTCAGTGCCGGTGGCTGGCATTGACTGATCACTGACACAAAAAATCCGACATGACTGGGATTGAAAATTGGCACAGTACGCGTCGCTCCCGTCGTTACCGTACACCCCTGGCAAGGACGGCGCAGGCATTGTGCATCGTATCGGCGACAGTGTGAGCAAGGTCAAGGCTGGAGACCGGTACGGGATCCATGTCCAGTGATGTGATTTCAATGCGATTGCCCCCAAAAGTCACCACAACCAACTCCCTCATACAGAGTCTATCTCTCTGGAAGCAAGTCCGGTACATATGCCGAAATGACCATTTGCGATGTGTCGCAGGTGAGACGACAGCGTCGTTCAGTTCAATTTGCTTGAATTGACATTCGGATGGATTTATTCGGATTTCCCCCCGACTTTGGCATGGACAAACTCTCACTCTCTTCACCACATAAATCATCGGGTTGACAACCTCAGGTGCATCACCTGCCCGCAAATGTTAGCTTTGAAAAGGGCGCATCTCTGGGTGTCCCGTACGCAACTGCGTACCGCGCGCTCTTCCAGCGTTGCCGCGCTCGTTCGGCCGAGACTGTGCTGGTGCACGGCGCGAGTGGAGGCGTGGGTCTTGCCTGCGTTCAGTTTGCGCGGGTCCACGGCCTGACTGTGATTGGCACCGCGAGCTCCAAATCCGGGCGCGAACTCATTCTCGCGCAGGGTGCCCATCACGCGCTCGATCACAGCAACGACCAGTATGTCAAAGAAGTGATGGACATTACAAAGGGCCAGGGCGTCCACATTGTGATGGAGATGCTGGCGAACGTCAACCTCGAAAAGGACCTCACCATGATTCGGCGACATGGCCGCATTGCCATCATCGGAAACCGCGGATCGCTCGACTTCAACCCTCGAGCCATCATGTCCAAGGAAGCCGAGCTGTACGGTGTTCAACTGGGCGTCCTCACTTCCGAAGAAGCAGACGAGATTCATGCGGCAATTTGGGCCGGCCTCACCCAAGGTTTTCTCGATCCCGCGGTCGGCTCTGTCTTTCCGCTTGCCGACGCCGCGCGCGCCCACGAAGAGATTATCGATCCGCCAAGAGGCGCTGTTGGCAAGGTCATTCTGCGGCCAGAGATCAAGCAGTGATTGGCTGAAACCAAAAACAAAAGCAACGCAAAAACAAATGTCGATGTACAAGTTGGTTTTGTCTATTGCATGACAGTAACACAAGAAGGGAATTCACAGAAAACATTGAAACGAGGAGAGCAAGGCAGGGAATCTTGAGGATTCGACAGACAGCGCATCACCGACACTTCGGTCTGAGCAGAGTTTGACAGAGCAAATGTGGTGATTCTAAGACAAACAAACGGGGGAAAAAGGACTGTTCTAGTTAGCAATCGCAGGAGGGGTACATCATTTTCAGCAAATGTATAGACAGTTCGACATGCTCAGATAGAAGATTGAAGCGCCCATAGAAAAAAGAGAGAGAGAGAGAGGAAAGAGCGCAAAGCGGGAAGAGATTGAGTTCAACCATCTTCCTGCTCCAAGCATCCCGTTGCGCCGCGCAAGGATCAACACTCAAACGGCAGAGATGAAATGACATAGCCAAACCAGCACGAGATCCAGCAAAGCGTCTCGCAAAGAGGACGAAAGAAGAAGAAGAAAAAAGAAAAAAAAAAAAAAAAAAAAAGAGACCCCTTTGGCCCTCCTCGTGCAAAAGGGTGCTTGCCTTACCATAGCAGATACGAGAAGGGTCCGATGCAAAAGACCAAAGCCATGGGATTGACGAAGGTCTTTAGGGAGGGGAGCGCTCAGTGGTGCCCGGCAGCAGGTGCAGCGTGAGCGTCCGAAGCGTGATGCTTGGCTGCGGCGGCGCGCTGGCGGTTGCGCTCGTTGACCTCGTCGACGGCGACGTAGAGCATGAACGCACTCAGACCAAGACCAAAGCCAGGAAGCATCTGGCGGATGTTCTTGGAGGCAGAGTACGCTGATCGCCACGCTTCTTGGCGCGCCAGAGGATCCTTCAAGACGGACGACATTTGCTTTGCTGCCTTGTACTGCTGAGAAATTGAGACTGCGACGTGGATTATGTTTCGGAATTGTTGTATGAGTGACGAGTTCGGAATCGATGGATTGGTGTGGTGGGAGGGCGAGCAAAGCGAAAATCCAAAAGCGCAGGGCAAAAACGTTGCCGATCGAGTTTCGTGCCGGCTGGATGTGTCTGCGACCAGAGGGTCTTTGATTTCGACAAGATCAAAGATCGAATTCGAGGACAACAGCAAGCTATGGAGTCGCGGGAACGGGGGTGCGAGAAGCCAGACCTCACGAGAAACCTAGTTCTGTGGAACTTTGCGTTTTCGAGTTTCCGTCAGTTCACGCTCGCTTTTCTGATTTTCTCTGCTCACACCACTGATGTTCTGAGCAGATGAAACTCCATGCAATTCCTGAGCAATTGAGCAGCGTTCAATCAAATAGAACATACAATAAACAAAAAATAAACCAAAAAAAAACGTTTCAGTCTTTTTTTGTAAGTTTTGATGTTTTGAATTGCTGTCTTTTTTGTTTCCTCAAAAACCTCGTGGCGATACGAAACCATGCGTGCCTTCCCCCTATCTTTTGCTACCCCTTCTCTTTTATTTTACTTCAACGGCAGTATCGAAGCCTGAATTGAGTCTTTTCCATCTCAACCCTTCAGGTCAAAAACAACAAACAAAGTGCCAAGATCACACATCGATAGCCCCTTCATTTAGGTCGCTGCTTCAGCGTGTTGTTATTAGTCACGGAAGTCGGCATCACCCAGAAGGGCAGCACAACCCCTCCTTTTTGATAAAAAAAGCTACCGAGGGGTTTCTCTTTGAGTTGACTTTTTCCTATGAACTTTTTTCTTCTTGTTTACGACTGCTTACTCATCTGCTGCTCTTTTTGCCTTTTGTGATCTGCTTCTTCCTCCTTCTCTCTCTCGCTTGCTTCAGGTTGTCCCGTCCTCCGCCCTGGTGGCAAGCGATGGCGCATTGACCGCGTGGTCGACCGCATGGAGATCGCCTACTTTTTTTTTTTTTGGGCTACTTCTCTGTCACAAGGCGACCCGTCGTCCTCTCCGTCGACATCCGCATTCAAGCATCCTGATTTGCTATTTGGACCCCGCCGCCGCATCGCGACCGGAAACAAGCGCATGTTTGCTGCAAAGGTAACAACGCGTTTTCATTCGTTTCTTCCAGTTGTCTTTTCTTTCCTCCTCCTTGTCCCTCGTCCTCGTCGTCGTCGTCGTCATTCAACCCTGCCGATGTTGCACGAGAACGATCGTCCGTGTACGATCTGGTTCGACATCCAACACTGTAGCGTTCCGGACAAGACTTGGACATCTTTCCTTTCTCTTTTCCTCCCCCTTTCTCCCGCAAGACCGATTGTGTGTACGAGTTCGTGCTTCATCTTGAGCGGACCCGACTAGGATGGCTTGCTAGAATACCGCTGGCTTTGGCCGGTGCGAGCGAATGGGCAGTTGATGTAGCGGCGGGAGGAACTGACATTCACTCCCCATCTGCGATTATCTATCACTAATAATCTTTTGCTCGACATTTCTTCTCATCCCCCTTTGCTTTTTCTTGTTTCATCCACTGTGTTTTCTTGTCCCTGTTTGCCTTTTCAAAATTGCTAACGCCATCTCTGTACCCCTTTTTTAGATGTTGGATTTGCATCTCGACGTAGCTAGGCCCAAGACGTTGCCCTCGGCCCAAACCTCGCTTCAGGTATGTATCAGCCATTGGTGGTGGGTCTGGCACGTTTTTTGCGCACAACATGATGTTACAATCCAAATACATTCGAATTTTGCGAGCATCACATTTGTGCAAAAGCGGTGGAGCGTGCATTGATTGGCTCTTCAACGGCAACTTGGTGCAGTGTCAACACATGAAACAACCTTCAAAGTCCACGCTGCTGGGTTGCATGTCACTCATGACGAAACAAACAGTGGTTGGCAACGATTCTTCGGTTGGAGATACCAGAACGTTGCGAAAAGCGTCAAAAAAGCTCAAGTTGTGGAGTAGCTCTTGAACAACATGAACTAACTAACTTTCTCACAAAACAAAAAAGAAAGGATGTTTAGTTGTTTGGAAGGATAAAACCGCGAAGGGCGGGATTGCGCGAAACGCAGTGCCGAATGTCACAAAGCGTTTACCGCAGAACAGAGCGTGGACAAGGTTAAAGTTGGACTCGCACTCCAACGAGTAGCTGGGTGATTTGTGGCTGCACCATCCATCAAGCTGTCGCTTTGGGCCCACATTGCTGGAATGCAACACAACCTTGATCTGAGCGCTGCACGATGAATGTACTGTATTTTGTTATTTTGTATGTTTGTGGTTTTTGTTTTTTCACAGGTTTCTGCGTTGCTCAATGTCTCGATCTCGATCCATTCATCTTCCATACGAGCAAGAGCATCCATGTGCGATGTGGATTCCCTGAGGGCCTTTCCCCCATCCCTTCCATCCCCTCCATGATTTCTCATGCCATTCTTTGCGTTCAGATTTTGCCAAATGCAAAACCACAGTCCCCTATTTTTTTTTATTTTTTTTATTTTTTTCGATTTTGACAACAGCAGCGACCAACACAACACACTGCGTCCCATTCCCTCATATCCGCGCCATCCAGCAGGACACACTTTGCAAATCGACTCAAAAACCATTCCTCACAGTCACCCACGCGCGCGAGAGAATGCCGGTCTCCATCCTGCTGCGGGTGGAGATTCCATCTCAAAACCTCCAAAAGTCGCTGCTGTTTGAGCCGCACTTGCCCGTGTGGTTTGCCAAGCAGCTCATCCTCGACAAGATGTCCAAGGACGAGGAAAATGTCATCAACTACGGCCTGTTCATCCCGCCAGCCAACGGTCGTGCCGGCAAGTTCCTCGACGAAGAGCGGTGAGTTTTTTTTTTTTTTTTTCGCTTTTTTTTTTTTCGATTTTTCGCTTGTCGCTTGTCTGCAGTCGCGCGCTCTGTCTCTTTCGTTGTGCCCCGTTCTTCTGCCCGCTCGGCTTCCAACGTCGTCCCAATCCTGCAGCCATCTCGCGGGCCCTTCCTTTGTCCGCGCTCTTGCTAACAACCCTTTCTCACTCAAAAAGCCATTCTGACTCTTTTTTTTTTTTTTTTTTTTTTTGGGCATTTTGCCGTTTTGCTCTTTTTTTTTTTTTTTTTTTTTTTTTTGGGCATTTGCGGCAGCGGTCGATGCTTGCTTGCTTGTGATGACAGCTTGTGTCGGTCTGTCTGGTGAACATGCACGCGGCATTGGCTGCTGTCGTTGATGGGTTGTTGCGAATGGCTGGATGGGGGTTGTGTGAGAAATGTGCTGTTCTTTGGACGGCATATATAGGCCATTGTCGGAAGAAGTGTCGCGAGCTTGTGCTTGCTGCTAGGAGCACCCATGACTTGCGACATTCCGCTTCATACATTGGCATGCACACAGCCCAGTGCGAGAGCGGCGCGACCATCCGGTGGAGCCTTCTTCTTTTGTGGTTGTTTTTGACCCTTATCCTCAATCCTCGCCCAGCGATCCGGTCGTCCCGTTTGACACCACCACCACCACCATCTCGAATGATTCACGTTCATTGATTCATTCAAACCCCCCTCGCTCTGAGACTCCCGCTTGCGGCTTTCATCGCAGCGAGGCGGGCCAACTCAAACGCCTCTTCATTTATCATTTATCATTATTGCCGATGTTTTGAATCGTGTTTGTGGCATTCTTGGATTGGAATGAGACGTGAGACTTGCGCTCGGCTTGAACACTGCGTTCGTCGCGCTGCACAACTTGCGCACTACAACGACAGATATTGTATTGAGATGTGAGTGGCGATTCAACACGCTGGAATATGCGGCAGAAAACGCGCCAATGTGTGGCCAAATTGGCTCCGTTGAATGGCATTTTCGAGGTCATGCCATTGATCCGAAGAGAGAAAGATACACCATACATACATGCCAGATGGCCAGTAGACCCATCCTTCCGAACAAGAAACACCCAACACAACAACCGAAACAAAAAACCCGCCAACAAACCCACCTCTCATTTCTTCTCTCACTTGACAACCCTATTACCATTCTCCGCATCCATCAGACTGCTCGCGTCGTACAGCCTGGAAAACAACGATCTCGTATCATTCCGACTCAAGCGCAAGCTCTACCGCGATGTCATTGACGACAAGCAACTGATCGAGTACAATTCCAAGTCTTCCCGAAAGAAATTTGGAGAACTTGTCGCCAAGGGCAATGTAGAAAAGATTCAAAAGATGCTCAAGAGTGGCACAGACCCCAACTTTGTGTTGGAAACGGGTGGTACGTTTGGTGCGCTTCTCTGCTTTCGAGTTTGTTGATTCGAGCTTCCGCGTCAAACTTTTTTTGGGATTGTTTTCAATGTGCAGATACGCCGTTGGCCCTCGCCGCAGGCCGTGACATGAAGGACATGATTGTCGTTCTTGTGGATGGCGGCGCGTACATGGACTACCGATGCGCCAACTCGCACACTCCTCTGCACACTGCTTCCATCCTTGGAAGTACGCTGGCGTTGAAGGTACTTCGCCTCGAGCCTTTTTCCTTAGTTGTCTTGCCATTATGTACGTCCTGCATGCTCAACGATCCCTTGCTTGTTTGTTTTTTGTGTGTTTGTTTCCGTGATGGGGCCCAGACAATGCTCGATCTCGGTGCCTCACCAAATTACCGCGACAAGCTAGGCCTGACACCACTGTATCATGCATGCATGACGGGTCAACAGGGCTCGGCCGAGCTTTTGCTGAAATACGAGGCGCAGCTCCAGCAGTGCGACCAACAAGCATGGTCGGAATTGCACCAGGCTTGCAAGCATGGTCATGCAGCGATTGTCGACTTGCTGGTCTGGTACGGCGCCATGATCAATGCACAAAACGTGACTGGCAACACCGCCATGCACGTGAGCATTCTCCAAAAGCAGCCCAATTGCACCAAAATCCTTCTCAAACGCGGAGCCAGCAAGGACATTCAGAACAAGGGAGCCCAAACGCCCTTCCAGGTATGCGCTCCAGCTCCGTGAGCTCTTCTTGTTGTTCATGGATGGTAATGGATCTCCGGCACTCACCACATTGCGGTTTGTCTCCATCATCCAATCAGATGGCCGCCATGTCTGGTTTAAACGAAATTGCCGAGTTTATTCGCGCCTTCAAGCCCGAGGATGTTGGTATGTTGCGTGGAACTGCTCTCCTCTTTTGATTCCATGGATACTTTCCCTCCATTCCACCAATGCTCACTCTTTGTTCCTTCTTTCTTCTCCCACACAGTTCGGTTTACGGCAGAGCCCGCGTACGAACGAAGAAAGCGATCGAGCAACGCGTCTTCGTCTGGAAGCTCGACACCCAAAACAGCGCACAAGGCGCCAGCCTCTGCAGCAAAAAAGAAGGTGCAAGTCACGCGCTTGGCCGTGACAACAAAAGGTCGGGTTTTGTACCCGTACCGTGCATCGCGAGCCGACGAGCTCGAGCTGAACGAAGGCGACACAATCGAAATCTTCCAGAAAGGCGACGACGGATGGTGGGAAGGCATCAATGGCGAACGCACGGGCTGGTTCCCGAGCAACTATGTTGAGGAGCACACTGTTCCGTACCGCAACGCTCGCGACTCTGTGCTCATCCCTCCACCACCGCCGGTCGAAGACATGGAGTCCGAACCAGTCGCCGACGGCGCGACGGGCAACATTTCGCTCTGGATGTCGACCGATCGCCTGTCGCGCTTCATGCGGCAAGCGTCCATGATGTCGCTCAACCAGGTTGGCTCCACCATGTCCTTGAACACTGTGGGGCTTGCTCAGCCATCCGCGGGCTACTTTAACGACATGCCTCCGCCTCCTCCAGAGTTTGGCGGCGGCAGCTCGAACAGCAGCAGCGGACCCGCCAGCATGAATGGCAGCAGTACCAACCTCAACCTGAATGCCCATCCACCTCTCAACAAGGGCAACAGCTTTGGCTCCATCCCTCCACCGCAGATTCCCTCCGCTGCCGCGGCCATCATGAATCGCGGCAACCGTGCGGCTTCGTTCAACACTGGCTCAAACCCAGTGTTTATTCCGCCGCCGCCCAGTTTTGCCGGAACGTCGTTCTCGTCCTCCTCGCTTCCTTCCAGCATGCCACCACCCACCGCCCGCAAGCCGAGCGCCGGCTCATACAATGGCACGAATGGCGTCAAGACCACTACCGTCGCGGCGCTGTTTGACGACAACTCGCTGCCACCGCCGCCGCCCGTTGACTTTGACTTTTTGCCGCCTCCGCCCTCCTTCCTCACCAATGGAAGCTTTGACTTGCACTCCCTACCACCACCACCGCCAGCCATGCTCGACGGTGCCGGCGGCGGCTATTTCGACGACGGGCTGCCATTGCCTCCCCCGCCTCCAATGTGAGCCAGGCGGTCAAGGTTTATCATCCTGTATTTTGCATCATCATTTTTTTTTACAGTGCGAGATTGATTCTTCTTGCTTCCTTTTTTTTGGTGTTGTGTTGACTGCTAGTTGTCAATCATGAAAGAGAAAAATACCGACAAAAAAAAAACAAAAAAACAAAAACAAAATACCCTCAACGAAAATCACAAACTCTCAGGTCGTTCTTGTTGCTCGAATAGGTGAGTGCGAGCCATGTGCCGTCGTCAGCACGCCCGACAATGAAACCACCAACCAAGTCCATTTGAAAAGAAACAACTGCTCGAAAAGAATCCTCTTCTCATTGTCGTACATCAAGCATGAATCGAACGCACACACAAACGCAGCAACTCAAAAGACCATCACACGGTTTGAACGAGCCACAAGCTGGTCGTACGGGGTGGGGGTTGCCAAAACTGCGTTTAGTAGTTGGAGGCAGCCTTGTAGACGCCACGCTTGCTCTTGGCGAGGTGCTCCGAGAACTCCTGGTAGGGGGTCTTGGTGAGGGGAGCAGACTTCCAGAGGGCAGGCTCGAGGTAGTTGGAGGTGGCAGTGAGGGCAGCGAAGGTGGCCTTGGCGAAGTTGCCGAGGGTCTTGGTGGAGCCACGACCAGAGGTATAGCAGTCCTGGACACCAGCCATGGTGAGGAGCTTCTTGACGGTGCCGGCAGCGACGAGACCGGTGCCGCGGGGAGCGGGGATGAGACGCACGTGGACGGCGCCGCACTTGCCGTGGACCTTCATGGGGACGGTGTGGGCGTTGCCGAGCTTGGTGCCCCAGAAACCACGACGGATCGGGATGATGGCAATCTTGGCGTTGATGATGGCACCGCGAATGGCAGTGGCGACTTCCTTGGCGCACTTGACGCCGAGGCCGAGGTGGCCGTCGTAATCGCCAATGGCAATGAAGGCCTTGAAGCGGGTGCGCTGACCGGCGCGGGTCTGCTTCTGGACGGGCATGATCTTGAGGACCTCGTCCTTCAGCTTGCCACCGAAGAAGTGATCCATGATCTGGTACTCCTTGATAGGGAGCGAGAACAGGTAGATGTGCTCAACCGAGCGGATCTTGCCATCACGGACGAGGCGACCAAGACGGGTAACGGGAACCCATTCCTTGTCCTCCTCCTTGGCACCGCGGCCACCACGGGCACCACGGTCGCCACGAGCGCCACGTCCGCGCTCGCCACGGTCACCACCGCGGCCACGGCCACGGCCGCCAAAGCCGCCACGTCCGCCCCTGCGTTCACCTTCGGCAGCTCGGTCCGCCATTTGCTAAGCGAGTCAAACAAGGTGCAAAAAGAGGGTGAGTAATTTGCGCTGATCAAGCAAGTCGACAAGACGGATTGGGAAACAAACATAGCGAAACCAAAAGTGCTTCGCCCTTTGCCTCGCTTTTCTCGCTTCGTGCTCCTCCTGCCATGCGCTCTCTCCTCCAATCCGGAAGACATGGATGTATTGTATCGGATTGGAAGTAGGAGGGCGGCAGGACGCGCTCAGATGGGCAAGCGGACGAGGTGGCGAGGACCAAAAGTTTCGTTTTTTTTTTTTTTTTGCTTTCCCTTTCATCCCGCAGAGAGTTCAACGCAGAGGCAGCAGCTGCTGCTGCACCCACTCGCTCTGCAAGACGCTTTGACACTGATGTGCAGAGGCCCAGCGCTCCAAGGGAAGAGGGCAGCACGCGAGCGAGTCGAAGGACAAAGAAAGATGAAAACCAAAAAGGCTTACAAGTATGTAGCAAAGTTAGTTGAAAAAAAAGAGAGAACGAAGACACTTCTTCAGCCAAAAAGCGTAAAAGCGTGTGTTCCGAAATCCGAAACACAAAACCCCATCGCATCAATGTTAATAACTGGGTTTGTGGATCAACTGCAGGGGGATTTTTCTTTGGTCTCGAAGCGCGGTGTCAAAGTTCAACAACGAAAAAAGGCATTTGATCGATTGCTCGTTCTGCCCTAGCATTTTGAACTTGTGTACAAACCGCCACACAATTCAGAAGTCCATCTCAGCAATACACACCTTCTCCCTTTTTTGCTTTGGCCTCGTCTCAGTCGTCTCTATTTGAAACTTGCTCAGAATGGCGCCGGCAGCGATTCCACTGCTGTTGGACACGTCCATCCGCGACTGGGTGCTCATCCCCATCGTCATTGTCATGTTCTTGCTTGGCATTGTGCGCCACCACATCACCGAGCTGCTCAAGTCGGACAGGATTGACGACAAGGCTGCCAAAGCGGCGCTCGACGGGTAAAGTGGATGAAAGACTCTCTCTGCTATTGGCTTGGCTTGGTTTTCGCGCGTTCGCGTTTCGGCAGCTGCTGGCGACGGCGTTGATGATGACTCTCTGCTTGTGCTCGGGTGGAGTCGGGAGTGTTGGGAGGGGGGGGAGGCATAGCACACTGCCTTGCTTCAGCTTTTTTTTTTTTCTTCGTTTCGAGGTGTTTCCCTTCTTTCACCCTTGTTGCTGCTGGCACTGTCGCCAGTTTCCAAGTGTGCTGCGACGACCCCTTGAACACTTGAACACTTGAACACAGAACAGTCTCTCTGACACTCATCGATGCATCGCGCGCTCCGCTGGTTTCTTTGCGCTTTTGGTCTTTTCCAGACAAGGACTTCTCCGCGCTCGAGTGCTCCGTGCGAACGGCCGGTTTCTGTCGCCGCTGGCCTTCCAGATGCGCAAGAACTTTTTCACTCAAGCCGATGGCGGAGATGACAGCAAGAAGGGCTGGCTGATGCAGGAGCGTCCCAAGCCCGCCAACCCGATGGGCGACCCGTCGCAAATGATGGGCATGCTCAAGAACAACATGTCCTTTGTCATCCCCCAGATGCTCATCATGGGCTGGATTAACTACTTTTTCTCTGGATTCATCGCGAGTACGGGTGGAGCCTTGGTGCTTTTGTTTTTGGTGTGCTTGTTTTGTGTGTTGCTTGTCTGACGCTCAAAACTTGTCTGTTCCTTCCCCTCCGGCTCAGCTCGCGTTCCCTTCCCTCTCACTGTGCGCTTCAAGATGATGCTTCAGCGCGGTATTGAGCTGCCCACTTTGGATGCTTCGTGGGTCTCGTCGTTGAGCTGGTACTTTTTGGCCGTCTTTGGCGTTCGCGGACTGCACACGCTGGTGCTTGGCGAAGGCAATGGTAGGTTGTGATGAGTGGTTTTCGTTGGTTGTTTTGTTGTTCTTGCGCGTGTCCGTGGGGTTTCAGCGCCATCCGGTGATTGAGTGCTCATTTGTTTTGGGGGGGGGGTTTTCTCATCACTTTTTGTGTTGCCCTTGTTTAGCCGCTGACCAATCGATGAACATGCAACAAATGGCGGGCATGGGAATGACCCCAAACCCGACGGTGGACATGAACCAAGTCTTCAAGGCCGAGCGAGAAAACCTCGACCTGTGCGTGCACGAGTACGCGCTCGCCAACATTGAGCGCGCCTTGCTCGATACCGCATCAGTCTCGGCAACTTCCACGACCAGCAAGCTCAAGCAACATTGAAGCCATTGCCCAGGTCAACTACTCTCCATTCTTGTCTTGAAATTTGTACAATAAAACGAAACATTGCTGCAACCAGGCAGATGTGGAGGGGGGAGTAACGAGCTTTTTGAGTTTTAAAAGACAACAAATGCAATAGCACAAGAAAATAATTGGATTGACCAAGCACGTCGCACCGGGCCGCCCCGGGGGAAGGAGAACACAACAAGAGAGAGAGAGAGAGAAAGAGAGAGAGAGAGAGAGAGAGAGAGAGAGAGAGAGAGAGAGAGAGAGAGAGAGAGAGAGAGAGAGAGAGAGAGAGAGAGAGAGAGAGAGAAAAAGGCACTACAAAACAAAGCAGGAAAATGGCACATTGAATCACGCAATAAACGAACAAAATTTCCAAAAAACCACCTTAGGACGTGTAGCCTCCTTGCTGATAGCCACCGGGAGCGCCATACGTGGGGTAGGCTGTCGCGGCGGGATAGTAGCCAGGATGCATGCCGGGATAGGCTGCTGGCATTTGTGATTTGTCCTCCTCGCCAGTGCCGTACGAATACGATTCAGGATAGCCCGAGTTCGGGGCACGCCCTTGGTTGTTCTGTGGCATGGAGGGATTGCCTTGCATTGACGGTGCTGGGGGTTGCGGTGCTGGGGCGCTCGCGCTGTTTCCGGAAGAGCCAGCGCTGGAGGGGATACCACCGCCGTCTGGAGCGTTAAGACATGTTTGGATGAGGTTCTTGCCTTCGGGCTTTGTAATCAGTGGCTGCAGTTTGGGCGTGGCGAACGTATAGACATGGCCCGTCTCGGACGCAACCAAGAGCAGCACCTGTGTTCCGGTCAGCGTGCTCAACTCGTACGCCTTCTTCATGATGCCTGCTTTGCGCTTGCTGAATGTGATGTGTCGTCGGCTCTTGTCCTCAATGAACTCAATGTTGATCTTCCTGCGACCACGGCCAGAGCCGCGGCGGACGGGGGTGTCGCCGTCCGAGTCGTCCGAGCCGTCACTGAGACCGCCGTCCTCCGGGTTGACGTTCGTGTACTCGTCAGCCATTTCTCTCGGGTTTGTAAAATTTGACGATTAGATCCGAAAAAAAAAAACCCAAAAAAGATGCTTGTTGTTGCGGGGGCAAAAAAAAGGTTCGAGGCTTTGAATGCTTGGAGGTCTGTTGGAAAATCAAACAAGTGAGAGGGAGGTTTTCAAAAAAAAAAAAAAAAAAAAAAAAAAAAAAAAAAAAAAAAAAAAAGAGGCGTCAAACAAATTTCCATAAGACGATTGAGAGCTTCCTAAAGTCGAGTTGCTACTCAGACACTGACGGCAACAGGGTGATTTTTTTAGCCGTTTTCAGCTGCAACGCACACAGAATATTCCCAAAAAAAAAAAAAGACAAAAGCGCGAGAGAATGTTGCTGGCTTTGTCTCCTCACCACCTCCCCTGCCCCATAAAAAACCGGGATGCACGCCAAGTGCTGCAAATGCATCGACGATCATCAAACATGGCACAGCGCACCGTGCGACCAGCAAAGCGACAAAAAAAAAAAAAAAAGCAAAGATCTCAATAAAAAAAAAAAAAAAAACGAGCCAAAAGCGTTTCATTCGTGACATTGCAACCTCCATTCACGGCAGGATGCACATGCACTCGATGGCATGGATTCTCACCAATGCAAAAGCAACCACGGGGAGAGGGAGAGAGCGAGCGCGAGGAGGAGGAGCGAGAGAGCGAGCCACAGCCAAAAAGGGGAGTTCGGAGCTGCAACTGAATTGGGAATAAAAAAAATTTGCAACAAGAAAAAAAAAAAAAAAAAAAAAAAAAAAAAGGCAATGCAACTGCTCGTCACTCACAACCACCATCTCCGCCAATCAAAGGTCGAAACGGCAATCCGCACACCATTGGCGAACGCAACATCTCGACAAAGGGGAGAATCGCCGCAGCGTCGAGGCTGCAGAGCGGCACGACCGAGGAACGCTGAACAGCGTCATTGGTTGTGCGGAGGCGTGCAAGATCCGCGAGGAAGGGCGATGGCAGCACACCAAGGGCCATCTCAGCCCGCTAGACGCATGGTGCAGCGGTGGCAGACGCGCCGCGAGCCGTGCGATGCCACAACAAACAGCTCGAGCCGCCAGCCAAGATCACAAAACTTGGCGCCTTTTTTTTTTTTTTTTTGTATTTTTTTTTTTTTTGCCGACATGTGCTGCGTCCCGCAATAGAGCTCCGCCGCCCGTGAGCCACTGGTGGCCGGGGCACATGGACGCAGGGATGAACAGCAGAGCCATCGTGCTTGTGGTGGATGTTGCGACGCTGCCATTCACCAACGACAGCGCCGATGAGATCGACACGCGGACGAAAACGCAAAACGAGAATTTTTTTTTTTAAAAAAAAAGATAGCCAACTTTAGACTTTTGGGTGCTTGATTAGTGAAAGGGATCGTATAAAATGGAGCTGGGCGTGTGTTTTGATGAGGGTTGCACCAAAAAAAAAAAAAAAAAAAGTTACAAAAAAAAAAGTTACAAAAAACAAAATTACAGCAAAAGACTGAGCTCAGAATCTGAGAATGAGAAGGATGGAAGAACAGGCCACGTTTAACACGTTTTCAACAGAAAAGTCGATTGGCAGAACCAAGCTCACCTCAGGGTCGTTGCAGCGAACCGCTGGCAAAAGCGCCGGTGTGTGACCGACCGATAGACACACACCGCCGAGCTGTTCGATTCTGTGTGCTTTTCCTCCCTCCTTTCTGTTCATGTACTGTAGATTCGAAAAATCGCAATCGCATTTGTTGTTCAATACTTGGCGGTTGCCAATTCTGCTTTTGCCCTCCCTTTCGATCAGTCTTTCGCAGCCTTTTCTGTCTTTTTTGATCTATCGAGCTATTTATTGTGCGGCTGAGGTTGGTCTTCATCCTCCTCCTCCTCCTCCTCCTCCTCCTCCGCGCCCAGTCACTCTTTGCACCTTTATTCCATTCACCCCACATTCAGACAAACCGTCGGAGGCTGGCAGTGCGCTCTGCTTTCGCTTTGAACGCGCGCGAGTGTTACGGTTTCGCCCCTTCGCGCGCGTTGGCTCGCACTCACTCACTCACTCTCAAGCGCAGAGCAAGCAGCAAACCCACTCATCATCACGAACAGCCCTCCTACTCCAGCAAGCGCAAACAACCGAGTTCCGGACTGCGTTGACTTTGCACTCACCCCCTTTGTGTTCCTTCCCGTGTCACCGTTCTTTGATTGCAGACTTGCTGCTGCTGCTCTTCCTCCATCCAAAAGCAAAACAAGGAACGCAAAGGAGCTGCAATTTCGGAACTCGTCAAAAGGACTTACCCAAGACTTTTGCTCTCGTCATTTGCTGGGTTTTGTGTTTTGCGGCCATGCGACCGTCGAGCAAGTCGCGCCAGAACGCGAGGCGGCTGCCTGGCGTCGTAGGATTGGCAATGTTGCTACTGCTGCTATGGCAGGGCGTGCAAGCAAAGATTGTGGATTTTTCACACCACAACTACCAGGCACTGACAGACACCTTACAGCAGCTCCACCAGGCCTATCCAGACATTACGCGAGTCTTCTCCATCGGCCAGTCCGAGCAAGGCCGCGAGTTGTGGGTGCTGGAAATATCCAACGAGCCTGGCATTGAGGAGGTGCGCGAGCCCAACTTCAAGTATGTCGGCAACATGCACGGGAACGAAGTGGTTGGCCGTGAGATGCTCTTGCACTTTATCGAACACTTGTGCAGCAACTATGGAATTGACGCCGACGTCACCTTCCTCGTTCAGTCGACGCACATTTTCATCCTCCCAAGCATGAATCCCGACGGCTATGAGGCTGCAAGCATGCAGTGTGTGGGCGTCCAAGGTCGCGCCAACGTCCACGACATCGATCTCAACCGCGACTTTCCCGACCAGTACGTCGCCCACGCCTCGACCCCTCAGAAGGAAACGCAGCTGCTCATGAACTGGATTACCTCCACCCCTTTCGTGCTGTCGGCCAACCTTCATGGCGGCGCGCTGGTCGCGTCCTATCCATTCGACGACACGCGCTTCGGCTACACCGGCTACTCAGCCGCGCCAGACGACAACGTCTTTCGTCGTCTCGCACTCGCCTGGGCCTCGAAAAACCCAAAGATGGCGACCACTGTTTGCCCCGGCGACGATAAGCCCTTCGACCAGGGCATCACCAACGGCGCTGCATGGTACTCGCTGACGGGCGGCATGCAAGATTTCAACTACCTGCACAGCAACTGCTTTGAAATCACCGTCGAGATGGGCTGCTGCAAGTACCCGCTCGCCAAAGAGCTGCCGGACTTGTGGAGCGACCACCTTCCGTCCATGCTCAACTACCTCTGGCAGGTCCACACGGGTGTGAAGGGCACCATTCGGGACGTGAGCGGCAAAGGGCTTGTGGGTGTCAGCATCACCGTGCAAGGTATCGACCATGTCACCACGTCCATTCGCTTTGGCGACTTTTTCCGCCTGCTTGTCCCCGGAGTGCATGTCTTGACGTTTACCATGGCTGGGTTTGAGCCCAAGTCAGTCTCAGTCACCGTCACCGACCAGCCAGGCAACTCGGTCGTTGTCTTGGACGTTGTGCTCGAGCGCGAACTCGCGACCAAGTACTACTCGTTGGATGAAATCAATGCGCTCCTCGAGGACCGCGAGCAGCGCTTTGGTCTGATTGCCGAGCTTGTGCCGCTTGGCCAGTCCGAATTGGAAAACATCATCTGGGCCATTCGCATCTCTGACAACCCGCAGCAAGACCTCGAGCCCGGCGAACCCGTCATCCGCCTCGTCGCGGGCTCGCACGGACTTGCCACCGAGACGCTTCTTGATCTCATTGTCTTTTTGACGGATCACTACGGCACCGACGAAGCAGTCACCGAAATTGTCGACTCGAACGTCATCTACATTGTTCCGCTCGCCTACCCGGACGCCTACGAGTCGGTCGTTGCTACCGCCAAGTGCACGCCCGTCGATCCGATTGGCTTTGCATCGTGGCGCACCCATGGCGGTCAAGATGTGTCGCGCGACTTCCCAGACGAGCGCGGCACGCCGCTGCAGTATGTCGCCCAGGGAGAGTACGATGCTTTCGCTGCCTACACGCAGTTGGGAGAGGAGCACCCGGCGCACATTCCGCGCCGCGAGACGCTGGTCCTACTCAACTGGATTCGCAACACGCCCTTCACCCTCGCCGCTACGTTGCAGGCAGGCGCCTTGGTGGCCTCGATTCCATACGACTCGCTCGCGTTGGCCCGCAACGCGTCCACCTCCCCTCTCAACCCGACCCCAGCCGCGACCAAGGACGAAGCGCTCTTCCAGAGTCTGGCCGGCTCCTATGCACGGTACAACCCAAGCCTCAAGTCGGGGAAACCGGATGGCTGTGGCCACTCGTTTGCAACCTCCGGCACTGCGCATGGCTGGGAATGGCGCTCGTCAGACCTTCACGACGCACCGGCAGCGCACGGCCTCACTTTGAGCGACTACAGTCTGATCCACACATCCGCGATCGAGCTGACATTTGGTCTGGGCTGCTGCCCAACACCGCCTGCCTCCTCCTTGGAAAGCGTCTGGCTCGCCCATCGCGACGGCTTACTTGGCTTTCTGCTGAGCTCGCGCATGGGCGTGCGCGGTACCGTCCAGAACGAGAACAACGAGTACATTCGCAACGCCCGCATTTCTGTGGTGGGCCACGACTTTGTGGTCACGAGCTCGCAGAGTGGCGAGTATGCTCGCATGCTCCCGCCCGGCACATACACTGTCAGCGTGTCTGCAGACAACTATGAGCCGCAGAGCAAAGTGGTCGTTGTTCCTCCCTCGAGCCGGACGGTGAAGAGCTCCTCCGGCATGTCATTTGACGTGTACGAGCCCGTCACGCTCAACTTTGTCCTCGAAGGCGGCTTCTCCTGGGGCATCCACGAGTACTTTGAGATGCGCGACGGTCTCATTGACTTGGCGCAAAAGTACTCGCACATTGCTGGCGCCTACCCGATCGGCATCAACCCAGTCACCCCCGGCAACAACAAGCTGTGGGCCTTGGAGATTACCGACCATCCTGGCCATCTTGACTTTGAAGAGCCGCAGGTGGCGTTGATTGGCGGGCTTCACGGCAACGATGCGGTCGGCCGCGAAATCCTGTACGGCTTTGCCCGCTACCTCGTGCGCAACTACGCCACAGATGCGCGCGTGTCCCGTCTCTTGAACACGACAGCCATCTACATTCTGCCCTCAGCCAATCCCGATGGGTTTGATCTGGCAGAGGAAGGCCTGTGCAACGACCCCCGCGGTCAAGACGACCTGAACGGCTACGATCTGGACCACAACTTCCCCGACCGCATCGACGGCTCCCTCGAGGAGACGGACGTGCAGGCAGAGACGAAGGACATTATCGACTGGTTTACCGCGCAGGATTTCATGATTTCCGTTTCGCTGGAAGGCGGCTACCTGGCAGCCAAGTATCCTTACAACCGCGGCGACAAGGCCGACTACACTGGGTTTGGGCCGCGCAACTCGTCCATCACGCTGGACGATCAAGAGCTGCGCACCCTCGCTCGCGTGTATGCCAGCAACCATCCGACCATGATGCTGGCCAACAACACGAACTGCGGCTATCCGGCGCCCGACTTGTCGGATCCTGGCATCATCAATGGCGCAACAATGGCTCCCGAGGCGCACTCTCTCGAGGACTGGACGTACGTCTTCTCGCCGGCAGCCTTCCCGCTGGCTGTGGGCCTTGGCTGCTGCAAGTTCCCACCTCGCACGGACATTGAACCATACTGGAATGAAAATTTCGAGCCGCTGATGGCCATCCTCGAGCATGCGCACACTGGCTTGAAGGGTGCTGTCGTCGACAACAAGACGGGCGACGGACTGTACCTCGCCAAGATTGCCATTCACGGCCAGGCCTCGCATCCTGGCGGCCGCATCATTGAGACGACCGAGCTTGGCAGCTACCGCCGCCTCCTCGTCCCCGGTGTTTACAACATCACGGCATCGCATCCGGACTACCTGCCAATGACCAAGCAAGTCACCATTGTTGCGGGCCCTGCCACAGAGCTTTTGTTCAAGCTGGTGCATCGCGATGACTCCAATCCGTCCAACCCCGAGCAGCCTGCTGCTCCCGACCTCCAGCTTTTCTACCACGACAACCCCGCCATGTTTGCTTGGCTGCAGTCGCAGGCGGTCAAGCACCGTAGCATTGCAAAGCTGCTCACCATCGGCTACTCGGTTCAATTGCAGCCCCTCTACGTCATGCGCATCACCCAAGACGTGTCGGTCGAGCATACTCTCCGCCCCAAAGTTCGCATCGTGTCCAACGTGCACGGGAATGAGGCAGTTGGCCGGGAGCTCGCCTTGAATTTGATTGAATATCTCCTGTTCCACTACGCGAAAGACCCGGACATTACTGCGGTACGTTTTCAGTTTTTTTTGAAAGTGTCGAGCAACGAGTAGAGGGGTGAGATGAGCGGTTGCTTTGTCCTCTCCTTTTCGTTGTTTTGTCCTCTCCTTCCTTTTGCTTCTTCTGCCGCACTTACATTCTCTCCAAACCTTTTTTCTCGGTTTGTTGTTTGTTTGTTTTGCCGCAGCTGATCGAGTCCACCGACATTTACATTATGCCATCACTCAACCCGGACTCTTACAACGAAACAGTCAGCCGAGGACAGTGTCTGGAAAAGCAAACAGATCCATTCGACGATCCAGTATTCTCTCGCGGCGACTGGAATGCAAACGCGGTGGACTTGTACGCTGGCTTCCCGCACGTGCACGGCGAAGCAAATCCTCCAGCAGACGGCGTCATCCCAATCCTTCCGTCATTCCTCTCCACCCAAGGTCGCGAGCCAGAGGTGGCTGCGTACATGAACTGGACGCTAAAGCACTCGTTCGTGCTGTCCACCGTGCTGCGCAGCGGAGCCTTGGTGGCCGTCTATCCATTTGACTCGTCCGAGCCCCACAAGCACGGGCTCTTGGCGCCCACAGACGACGAGGAGGTCTTTGAGTCTGTGACGCGCACGTACGCGGCGACGCACCACTCCATGTCGCGAGGCGACTCATGCTCGCATCACGCAACCTACCCTGACGGCATCATCAACGGCGCCACCTGGCGTGAAACGAACGGCTCGATGCTCGATTGGTCGTACGTGGTCGGAGGCGTGCTCGAAACCGCCATCTACGTGGACTGCTGCCGCTTCCCCAAGCTCGAAGAGCAATTGATGGTGACGTGGGAGGCGAATTTGAATCCGCTGCTCAGTTATCTGCACCAGGCGCAGCGAATGGGCATCAACGGCATTGTGCTCGAGTTCCGCAACGGCGGTCTTGTCGGCGTCCCGAACGTCGAGGTGCACATTCTCGGCATTGCGCGCGTGATTAAAACGACCTCGCTCGGAGATTTTTGGTGGCTGCTGCCTGCCGGCACGTATAATGTCACGTTCTCTTTGCCCGGCTATGTCATCCACACGCAAGTTGTCCAGGTGCAAGGCATGGAGCACATTCGTGTGCTGCTCGAGGCTCCCGTTGAGGAGGAGGAAGAGACGCTGCTGTCCAACACGACTGTGGTGATGATTGTAATGGGGTGCGTGATTGCAGTCGTGCTCTGCGTCGTCGGCTTTGTCCTCTACCGCGTGTACAAGCGGTACGCCGGCTTTTCGCTCCTTCAGACGCCCGAGCAGATGGGCGAAGACGATGAGAGCGACGACGACGACGACGACGACGAAGAAGAAGGCCACGAGAAGGTGTCCAAGCGGCGACGACAGCATCGCTCACGCAGACGTCACGGCGGTCGTCCCGCAAAGGGTCTGCAAGACAAGGAGGTGTTTGACGACGACGACGATGTCGACACGGCCGATTCTAAGCGCGAGGCAGCACGAGGGGACGACGCGGAAAACGTCAAGCCCAAGAATCGTCATTCGTCGTCACGCAGTGTTCAACAACGGCGGCCCCAGCACAACGACAACGCCACAGACGACGACGACGAGGAAGAGATTGACGTCTTTGATGCTCGCCGTGACGTAGAGAAAGGCAATTCTCTGCCCATGAAGCGGATGCGGTAGACATGCATAGTTTAGATTGTTTGTGATTTTTGAGGAACTTTTTGATTTATTGTTTTTTTATTCTGCTATTGCTGTGATGTTCTGTGTGAAAAAAAAAAATCTGTCGACTTTGTTATTCAATGCTTCATATGGACTTCTGTTGACTGTCGTTGATCGGCTTTGGAACACATTGTCTCAGAATCAAAGTTCAGTCGTTTTCTTTGATCCACAAAAAGCATCATGGCGACGAAAGCCGCTGCTCCCACGGCACTTGTCGCCGTCAGTCTCGATGGTACGCGGCAGTCTCATTTGAATGCTTGTTTGATGATGCGTGAAGTGTCGTCCCACGAGCGAGCGAGCGGCGAGACAGCGAGCGAGAAGCGCAATCCTCACCTTCCTCCCATTTGACTCCCGCTCCATTGGGCACTGGCAGACGAGGCCCTGAAGCAACGGCTCATCCTCGATGAGAAGCGATTCAATGACCTGCTGCGCGATGTCCGGAAGTGGATGGCGCCCAGCGAGCCCGCCGCCAGCAGCACGCCAGTCCCGATGGCTGAGGAGGATGAGGCATCGGCCGCTGCCACTGCGAGCGTCGCTCCACTGCCGTCACAAGACGAGCTGATTGAAGCCAAGTAACAGAAGAAGAATTGCGCTTTTTGTGCTACGTCGTTCCGTTGAGGAGTTGGCTGACTTTGCTCAATGCGCAATGATTTCCGAATGAATGGCAGCCTGGTGTTGAAAGAGTCACTGTTGGCCGGCATTGCCACCATCCAGTCTACAATTGCCAAGAGCTCGCTCGTGGTGCAGATGAACACCTTGCAAATGGCTCAACTAGACGCTACCGAAGCCCGCATCCGTACGTTGGCGCCCTTGGGATTGCTTTCTTTTCCCATCGCTCACAGGCTTTCACTTGCTGCCCGGAACATTGAGTGACAGAGATGAGTTGGAGTGATGCTCACTGGTGGTTGAAAGCCCCCCCCCTTTTGACTGTTTGGTGGAGTAGAATCTGAGGTCGAAGCAACTCGTCGTGAAATTTCAGAGCTCAAGCAGACCCTAGAGCTGGAAAAGCAGCTGCGCGCCAACCGTCAAGTGTACAACAAGAAGGCCAGCGAGGTGTTGAAATGGGAAAGTCGGACAGAGGCACAAAAGTACGGTTTGAGCATTCTCACCCAACAATGTGGACGAAACGCATTTCAACAATCCCGTCACTGCCACTCACACCACCACTCCCCAAATTGTCTGGGTTCTTTTTCTATGCTTTTCTCATTCTCATCCAACAACGCAGCCGCATTCGCCGAATTGAAGAGGAAATCCAAGCAAGCCAGGCAGAGCGCGAAAAGGTCGAGGCACGCATCCAGCTTCGACAGCGACAATTCTCGCTCTTGCTACATGCAGCGCATCAACTGCAACTTGTCCTTTACGACCAGGATTCCTCTCCGGAACAAGATTTGCTCGACCGCATGCGCCAGTTGCAACAGGCCGAGGACGAAGAGAACGCTGCTGCCGCCGCCGCTGCTGAGGAGGCAGCCGCTGCCGCAGCAGCACTCGCCAATGGCGGCGATGAACCCGCGTCGAGTACTGGCAGCGGTGGCATCCGCCGCGTGCGCGAGGAGGATCTTGACGAGGACTCTGCCCGCCACGCCTTCAAGCGCCCGCGCGAGGCCACCGACACGGACGCCGCGGGCAACTTTGATCAAGTGGAGGAGGACGCTGAAACCAGTGCCAATGCAGATATAGCTGATGAGGTTGTACCGAACGAGTGAAGTTTGGGTTGACGTGTTTGGACGTTGATCAAAGGCCAGTTTCCCCTCTGCCGGTCGTTGCAACTCCTCACCATTGTACACTTAGTAAACAGTTGTTTCTTTTTCCAAATCCTTCGAGCATTTGGTTTGGATCGATGTGTTCCTGAGCTTCTGTAAAATGGAACAATCGACAGTTTTGGCACAAGTTTTCGTTTCTATTTCATGACAATCCGAGCGGCTGAGTCATTATTTGAGTCGTGTACACATCGGTAAATGCATGCGACACTTTACAGACATCACTCTGCCCCCCCCCCTTTTCTTTTTTCACTCAGAGCCGCCAACTCGGAGTGGAGTGGAGCAGCGACCAAGTGTGACGTTTTCATTGTATTTATTTTTCTTTATTTTTTTTATTTTTAAAGCAATTCCATTTCCATACAATTTTTCAATCTCACTCTTTTTTTTTTTTAAATTCAACAAACAAAAACAATCAGTCATGTCTGGAATGCCCGGCGGTACTTCGAACGCTCGCGATGCTGATGCCGAGACCCAATCCATCCTCGATCAGGTAATCCACATGACGACAGTGCACGCAAACGCAGAACGCAAAAATCGGGAGGGAAACAGAAGGAAGGAGGAAGGAGGCAGGAGGAAGTGAAACCCGAAAAAAAAAACAAAAAAAAAAATACAATGACGAACTTTGTCGGGGGGAACAACTAGGAAATCTAGGCTGCTTTAGTGATCTGTCCGTATAAAGAATCCTCGTCCTATCACTGTTTATTCCAAATCCTGAAACTCCGTCATCGCTTTTCGTCGTTTGTTCGAGTTGGAGTGGCGCGCTCGCTTGCGTTCTTCATCGAGCACACGCACACAATAGAACGCTTGCTGCTTTCTAGCGAGTGAAGCGGGACGAAGGCCTGTGATGGGATGAGGCGCAAGTGCAAGATGTTCGTCTGTCGAAACGGCTTCCTTCCGTCCCTCTCCCACTCACTTGACTTTGCCTCGACATTGACGACGATCTCGATTCCTCGCAACAATCTCGGAGCTCAAACATCACCACATCGCGATACTCTGGACTTGCATCGTCGACAAAAACCCAACTCTTAAGCCTCTCACTCTCTCACTTCTCACTTCTCACTCCTCACTTCTCACTTCTCACTTTGTCTGCTCCTCCCCTGTCCAGGTCAAGTCGCAGGCTGAAGAGAAGGCTGGAAAGAGCTTCTCGCAGTTTGTCGCCAAGCAGGTCGCCACTCAAGTCGTCGCCGGCACCAACTTTTTCGTCAAGGTAACTATGGTCACCCCAAAGGCCTCGCCGTTGCAGTACCAAAGCGCCTATTGCGTCTTGTCGTGCTCAACAACATCAAACTAACTCAACGTTGATTGAAACCTTTTTGGCACGCGCACAGGCCGACATTGGCAATGGCGAGCAGGTCCATGTCCGCATCTTCCGCAGCCTGCCCCCGGCTCAGGCGCTCAGCGTCCATTCGATCCAAACTGGCAAGACTGCCTCCGATCCTCTCGTTCACTTCTAAGCGACCAAGTCAGTGTTTCGGCATCGAGCTTGGGTGATTTTCTTCTTTTTCTTCTTCTTCTTCTTCTTCTTCTTCTTCTTCTTCTTGTTCTTCTTCTTCTTCTTCTGCTTCTTCTGCGATGGCGTGTTGTTTTTTTTGCGTGCGCGAATGTGCCTTCAATGAACAATGTCGATTGAAAACTCAGGCAACAGTGCACCAAGCCATTCCCTGGAGAATGAGCAACCGTAAATGCTGGATGCTCCGCATTCGCGCCGTTTTGACGACGCAATGTGGAGGGAAAGTTTGCCAGAGCTCAGGCTTCAAGCCGAGCTGAGTTCGACACACTTGGGACACACGTAAGATTGTATTGCATAGATCTACACGACCAAACCACGAACAAGAACAACAAGAATACATCAAACAACAACAACAAGCAACAAGCATTCAAATAGCCACCTCCTCCGTCCCCTACTAGATACAGCGTCCGCCAAGTGAAACCGGTCACGATGCGAACTGAGGCTCTTCATCATTGAGCAGGAAGTGGTAGATAAAGTTGGAGGCCTTCTTGGTGGAAGCGGCATCCCGCGTCTTGTCCGGGCCCGGTCGCAACAACACGGCGCTGAAAAGCAAAGCTACCAAAGACAAGCAAGTCTGGGGTCAGTCCCCAACATCCGTGGAGGTCTCCCACTCTGTGGAAAATAAATACGCACCGAGCTTTTCGGCAGACAGCCCATTGGTGACGGCATGGCTCAACACTTCACGCAAGAACGCCATGAGGTACACGAAGAGATTGTAGTGCTCCGACGGCAATTGCGTCAGCACCTGAGGGAGCAACCACCAGCATACAAATCTTTGAGTCAGCCCAACACAATAATAACAACCTCTCGAACAAAAAAAGAAAAAAAAAAGAAACCCTCGTTCACAACAGCTCACCTGCTTGCAAAGCGTATAATTGCTATTGCTGTCCAGACAACGCTGGTAGTGCACAAAAGGAATGACGGGATCGGGCAGCGCCTCCAGGAAGCGGATCAAGCACTCCGAAATCGAGTGTACAGCGTCCGGCATAGTTTCGAATGGCAGGCCGGTATCCAAGCACTCTCGAATGAGCTCCATCGACTGCTCATTGCCGGATGTTGCAAAGAGATTATCCTAAAGTCGCAAAAATACAACAACCGACAGAAAGCTCAGTCAGACGACGCCACAAAAGTCGGACGAAAGCAAGCAGGACACTAACCTCGTCGAGACCGTAGGTGAACAAAAAGTCCACCATGCGCCAAAGTTCCTTCGGGATGTGCAGTTTCTTGGGTTCCTCGGGCTTGGAGGTGGGTGCTGCAGGGGTAGACGCACTTTCGCCCTTTGTTTGGACACCGAAAGGGAAACAAAATGAAAAACAATCAACAACAACCACCATGGTCAGAACAAGGCGAATCGTCGCTGGCTTGTGCGACAATGACTTCTTCACAAACTTACAAAATCAATCAAGTTCGGTTGCGGCGGCTGCGACTTTGTGCGACGGTCGGAGGAAGACGATGCTGCTGCAGGCTGCGTGAGGTCGCGAACAGGACGGAGGGTGTTGACCAAGGTGACAAGGGGCGTGCAAAAGCACGTCCGAAGGAAGTTGCCGGTGATTGACACAAAGTAGTCCTTGCCGTTTTCGAGATGCAGAATCAGAATATCCTCCAGCCGCTCTTCGCCCGTGTTCAAGGACGCTGCGGTAGTGGCGTCGACCATGAGCATGAGCTCGACGGTGGCCTTCTCGCCTGGAACAATCATGCCGACAGGTGGGTTGATTCGCAACCAGGGCTTGCAGAACTTTTTCTCATCCAGCTTTGGAATGAAGCGGAATTGCAAAATGACCTATTGGCGTGTTGTGAAGGGGGGGGGGAAGGCAGACAACAAGAAAAGCGCCAAGAGCGCAGAGAAAAACAATGAGGACCAACAGCCCGCCAATGTGCAAGTCATGACACCCAAAAAAAAAAACCTACCTGGCCAGAGTTCTCAATCACAATAGACTGAGTGTATCGCGTCATAAACTTGACGTCGGGGAACTTGGCAAGATTGGTGCTGATCACGGCATCTGGGCGGCATTCGTTCTCCATCTTGTCCATTTCGCGAACAATCTGCTGGCGCACTTCTGCAAAGCGCTTGGGCTGCACTACTTGGACGGCAAAGTCGACAAGGGAGCTCACTGGTTTGTGATCGCTCGTCCGGAAGACCATATGGCCAGTGTAGGTTCGCTGCTTGACGCCCGCGCCCTTCCACAAGACGCGGTCGCACCACGCAGGCGTGCGTTGCTTTTCACTACGAAGGATGAACAGGAGGGTGAGATTGGACTCTGTGAAAGCGATCGACGACAAGCAAATTATAAAATTCCAATAAACCAACCTCGAGTCGAACGTGTCGGTGCCAACGTCAAACTTGTATGTGGGGTAGAAATCGATGGGTCCCTCCTCAAAGCCGACAAACACATGTTTGGCGTTTCGCTCGACGGTCAACTGCAGAGTTAAAAAAACCAGTCAAAAACAAAAGTTGAGCAGACAAGATCAATTTTTCAGACATTCACATGAAGCATCGACTCACTTCGTCGTATTTGAGCAGCTTCTGATAGTCGCGAGCCTTGACGAGACTCTTGACCTCCGAATCCGGCAGTGGAATGCGGTAGTTCAGATCGCCCACCCAGAAGACCAGGCTGTGTCGACCACCCACAGTAAGCAGAAGCGCAACAAAGAGACAAAACAGTCCAAAGAAGGAGTCAGGGGAAAAAAAAAACCAAACGTACTCGTGATCGAAAATGGTGAACGGAGGACCGTTGGGCATCGTAAAGAGTGTGCGTTTGACCACCTCCTGGTAATCCTGGTTGCGGCGGTCGCAGCGGCCGCTATCAGAGGCCAAATGCGAATTCACAAAGCACAAATCCGTGTCGAACAGTCGGAAGCGAATAGCGACACCGCCCTTGTTTCCCTGCAATGCCGGCAAGCAACCAACGACAAGGAATGTCACGTCAGGCTTTTGGTGTACCACCATCAACCACACGGAAGAGCGAAACAAGCCGTACCATCATGCCCATGATGCCAGTGCCCGTGACGACAGCCTGCACATTGCGAATATGGGGAATATGCACGGTCTTGACGTAGACGCACAGCAGCATGCCCACCAGCTGCTTGGACTTGACCTTGGTGTACACCTTGTCGAGATTAATGCAATCCTCAATCATGGCGCACCACATGGCTTCGCGGTTGGATTCGTTGAAGACAAACGCCTCTGCGCTCAAATCTAGTTCTTGAAAGCTACGAGAGAGAGTGAGTGAGAGAAGGAGAGAAAGAGGAACAAATAGTCAGCCACGCGTGTCGTTGTGCAGTCACAAACACCGACATCACAAATTGGCAGACAGGCACGAGCGTACCCGACAGCGTAAACGTCCGGCAATTCGGGGTGCTCGTTCGGAATGAGCCAAGGCGCCAGATTTTCCTTCGGTGTGCGGCCATTCACATTCCAGCTTCCACACAGAAGCCTAGCGCGTTCAAAACAAAACAACACAAGCAAATTTTTGTAGCGCAAAGTGAGCGTGCTTCAAACACAAACTGAGGCAACAGCGCCAACCGCCGCCACCGCCGCCACCGCCGCCAACAAGCGCGCTTACGTCAACGTCCGAGGCTCGGTGAACTCGGACTTTTTGATTTCGAGCTGCTTGGCAATCCACTCCTCTTTGACACTTTTGAGAGTTTGCGGGTTGTACTCGAATGCCGAGCGCGCCATGTACGTGTCCATGAGATTTTCTGGCGCGTCAATGTTTTGGACGTTGTTGAGTTGCCGAAAGTAGTTTTCCACGGGGGTCATTTCCGGCGTTGCAACAATGCTGATTGGTTGCTTGTTGATGTAGTTGGAAATCCATGCATGGGTGGCTCCTGCAGTGACCTGTCCTTCATTCACTGCGCGGCAAATTTTGTTGGAGATGCATGAGCGTTGTAGTCTGTCGCCGAAAAACTCAGCTTTTTTTGGCTATGGTGATGCATTCTTACCAGCCACGGCTTTGGCAGCTTTAAACTCTTGGACAAACTGTTGCACGTACTCGCCCAGAGCAACTTCAAACACGACCTCCTCAGTGTCGCTCTCTCCAGCCCAGGTGAGTTTGAGGAGCCCAGTCTTGGCTGCATCGATGCAAACAATGAACATGTGTGAGTTTTACAGCGCTCAAAGATTCGCCAGCAGGCAGAGAGCACGTCAGAAACCCTGTTACCTTTCTTGGCATTTGGGTTTGAATCGACTGGTTTGTTGGAACAAGCGCAAGAAGCGTTGACGATGAGTTCAAAGGCACGCACACGCACGCACATCAACAGCGTGGCACAAAGTCAACCACCGAGCTTACGCAACGTCACTTCCACCTCCGGGAAGATGGGCAGGGCGAGGTTAATGTCCAGTTGGTTTTTCTTGAGCAAACTCATCAGCAGCAATCTGATAGATTAAAAGGTGAGCGCCATTCCGTTCCCGACGCCTTTTGTTTCCACTTGCTCAAATCCAAGCAAGTAGCTTCCACCTACGCGGTTTCTGAGGAAGCGCTCTTGTTGGCAATCAGCGCGAGAATGAGCTTGGTCTTGGTTTCGTTACGCGAGATGGTACCTTCGACAAAGTGCTTGGTCCAAAACAAACAAAGAAACACACAAAAAATTGCAGACACCAGAGACGACACGATGATGGTGGTCAAGGTGGAGAATAACGCACGAAACGAGGAGTTGCAGCAACAAGCAGAACGCAAATGCAAAGCAGCGCAAATCGCGAAAAAACAAAATAATAATAATAATAATAACTATCATCAAATAAACGCGAAGAAACAATGATAGACGCATTCGAGGAAGAGTGGTTGAACGGTGGACGAACAATATGAAAACCGAAAAACCAAGAAAAATAGAAAAATAGGAAAAAATTCAAAAAAAAAAAAAAAAAAAACGGGCTGGCTTTTGCCGTTGAATGGCTGAATGAGACAAAGAAGGGGAGAGACGGCCTCAGCCGCGACCTCGCCGACGCAACGAGTGCGGCAATAGCATTTGGACCTCGGATTGAGCCCACGCTGCCATCCCTCACACCAAAGAGGACCAGCAAAAGCAAGGAAAAAAAAGAAAAAAAAAAGAAAAAAAAAAAGAGCATTTGGAGACTCGGTCATTTGCCTTCTTGCACCCGAACGGCCACAGGTGTGCCCTGGGCGTTGTGGGAGGGGGGGGGGGCTCACGACGCACCAAACAGCAGTAGTCGAACAGCGACACTAGCGAAAGCAATCACCATCGGAGGTGGGGGAGGGGAAAGCTGTGAGGGGGGGCATCAGTTCACTCCACCACCGCAGCACAACGAAGCGCTCCCAAGCACTCGAGCCGCCCCAATGCAAAACAGCTTTCACAAGAGCAGAACAAAAGCAAATGATCATCAACAAACGAAACGAGAAAGCGGCAACAGCAGCAATGGCAGCAATGGCAATCCTATCTATCAACACGAAAGCATTTTCGCAGTATGAGAGCACGATATGTGAAGAATAGTCTCCTCGGACCGCAGGTGCTTGGCGACCATCCCGAGAACAGCACGCCGGTCACCCATTTCCTAAGCAGCTGCGCGATGGAGGGGGCGAAGAGAGGAACAGAAGGGGGGTACGAGAGGCCTTGGGCTTTTTGTTTGGTCGTCTGAGCGCAAGAGCACAAAGGCGTTTGGGACGTAAAAAAAGAACTGACTGAGCCAAAGTCATCATCATCCTTGGATGGAGTGTATTCAAGGTGTCATGTTGATGCACTTTAGGGCTTGCGATGTCAACGAGGGAGCGAGAGAGGGAGCGAGAGAGGGAGCACCTTGATCTAGAATCGCATTGCACTGCAGTCTCGCGTCTCTTCTGGCTTCCACATGGTTTGCTTCTCTGTCTCAAGTTTCATTTCTTGACTTCCGATGGCTCGATGGTTTGATGGCTGGACTACAGCATCGAATCAAAAGCGGGCTGATCTCGGTCCTTCCGAAACTGTTTTCTGGTCGATCTGTCTCCTCTCTGCCAGACACCTTCTGCTGGTTTTTTTTTATTATTATTCATCTTGTTCTTTCATTGCTATGCTCCAGTCTCTCTTTCCTCCTTCTTCCTTCCTTTCCTCTCTTTCGTTCGTTTTGATCACAAAAGCAGAATGACGCGCACTGCTGCCGCTCTTTTGCTCGTCCTCGCCTGCGCAACCGCCGCCGCGCTCGCCAACCCGCTCCACGACGCCTTCTCCGCCCCAGCCGGCTCCGTCCGCGCCGGTGTCTCCAAGGTCGATGGTACGTGCGAGGTCAGGCGGACCACCCTGCTTCGAAAGCGCGACGCAACAGAGTGGAGCATTTATATTTTTGTTTTGTTTTTGTTTTTTTGTTTTTTACTGACCTCGCGCTCACTGTCTCTCTGTCTCTGTCTCTCTGTCTCGCGCGCGTTCTGCCTGCTGCCCTCGAATGACTGTGCTTTTGCTCCACAGCCACAATGCCCATCGGCGTCCCGCTTGGCGGTAAGTCTCTCTCGCTTCCCCCAAACAACAACAAGACTCTTTTTGTTTTTGTTGGGTTGCTTTTTTGCGCAAGCCACACTTTTTGCCTTTTTGTGGCACATGCTGATCCTCACGATCACCCCACTTTCCCTCTCTCTATTGGCTTGTTGCTTTGTCGTCGTCATCATCCTCATATTGCGCGCGATGATATGTTCGCAGGTTACAACCACGGCGAGCGTCGTGTGCCCAACTGGCCGCTGCCCATCCGCACCAACTACACTTACTGGATGACCCCGAGCGTTGGCCACCTCGATCCCACCTGGGCCAAGGCTCTCGTCATTGACGACGGCAACACCAAGTTCTGCTTTGCCACCATCGATGCGATTGGTACGCTTTTGCTTTTGCTTTTGCTTTTGCTTTTGTTTTCGTTTTTGTTTTTGTTTGATCGTTTGTTCGTTTGCTTGCTTGCCTCGATTCTGACGTGATCGTCTGGTGTTGCATTCATCTCCCCACAAAAAATCATCCATTAGGCTCCGAGGGCGATCTGCGCAAGATGGCGTACGACAATGCAGTTTCCCGCGGATTCACCGTTCCCTACGGCCAGTTCATCCTCTCGGCCAGCCACACGCACTCGGGCCCTGCTGGCATCTCATCCTCGTTCCTGTTCGAAGCCGCTCCGGCCATGGACCTCAAGGTCGCTGCTCTCCAGGAGCTGATGGCCAGCCACATTGCCGACGCCCTGGTTCAAGCAGAGCAAAACCTTGCTCCCGCTCAATTTGGCATTGGTACTGCTCGAGAGCTTGTCTGCCACATGCCACCATCAATTTGTTTTTGCTGCATACTCACGACGACTCTTGCACTTGCATTTACAGGCGTTGGACAGCTCGTCGGCGTCACTCGTAACCGCCGCGCCAACATCAGCCCTTACGTGACCCCGACTTCGATCGATCCCAACCTTGGTGTCGTTCGTGTCGACGACCAGAACGGCAAGCCGATCGCCACCGGTATGGTCTAACCGATGGTTGGAGTGTATTGTCGACTTGACCAGATTAGTTTATCTTCATTTTGTCTTCGTTTTTTTTTTTCATCCACTCCAGTTTTCAACTATGCCATGCACGGCACTTGCTACGGCCCCAGCAACATGAACTCATCCGGCGATATTCCCGGAGCCAGCTGCAATGCTGTCGAACAGGCTATCGGCGGCGTGGCGCTTTTCGTGAATGCCGATGCCGGCGACATTGATCCAAGTCAGTTCAAAACTGCTTGGAAGCTCTTGGTCCTTTTTTTGTTTTGTTTTGCAAGCAATTCTTGAATGATTGCATTGAGCGGTTTTCTCTATGGCTAACTGTGAATTATTTCGTGTCTTGCTGTGCCCGCAGCTGGCGAGTCCTGCCAAAACTTTGCCGGTGCCGTCACCATTGCTCAGGCCGTCAAGTCCACCCGTGACTCGATTGTGACCGCCACCAACATTACCATCGCCGCTGCCTATGCTGAAGTCAACTTTGGCGACACCGACATGAACATTACCCTTGCGCGCTTTGAGAACTGCACCTCGGTAAGCCAAAGCCTGAAACCAATCTTCATGTTCTTTTTGTGACCCGACTCTCACCTTTTTCTATTCCTCGACTACATGCCTGTCGTTCTTTTCCTCTGACTGGATTGCTGTTTTCAGGGCGGCGAACTTGACATTTGCACCATTTGCGCCGTGATTGGCTGCGAGTACAACGCCCACCTCGGCCCGTTCTACATCGAGACAGTGCCTGCGTTCGCCGGCGTTCGCTTCACTGTCAACAACGTCCACACCCTGCTCGCCACTCTGCCTGGCGAACCCCTGCTCGAGCTCGGCTGGCAAGTGCGCAACGACAGCGCGGCACTTGGATTTGACCAAATGATTCTTGCCGGCTACACCAACAACCACATGGGCTACTTCTGCACTCCCAACGAATACGTCATTGGCGGCTACGAGTCGCAGCTGACGCTCTGGGGCATTGACACTGCAGAGAAGATTCGCGCCAGCGTCAAGCAAGTCGCCGCCCAAGTTGCGCCGTAAACAACAACAACAACAGCAACCACCAATCATTGTTCATGGCTGATTGTACTTGATAGCGAGCTGTGTTTGTTTTACGTTGCTTTTTTGTTGTTGGGCAATCACGCTGAGATTGTGCAATGTTGGTTCAGTACACGGCTGTCTCTTTTGGTTTTTACGACTTTTGACTTTTGGAAATTTTCAGCATTCGCGGAACAAACACGTTGTATCTTTTGCAGACAAAGCATGGCAGGGGTTGGCTATTCATAGCACGGGGTTGGCGATTCACATGTCATCGTCGTCACTGGACGAATCATCCAACAGAGCTAACATTGTTTTTGAATCATTGCTGCGACGAGTTGTTGCAGGTCGAGTCACGGCAGAAGTTTGGTACGGTGATACCCATTGGCCAGGTGCACGAAATCCGCTAGCAGACGCGCTGGCGTTGTTCAGACGCACAGGGTTGCTGCTTGATGCCGATGTGGCAGATCGGTAATGTGACGGTGGTTGCCAACGATTCTCGGATTGCGCATCTGTTGTCGCTGAAGGTCGGGGTGCAGCAGCAGATCGATAGTTGGATGGAGGTTGCCACTGCTGGGCTGCTGCTCCACCCGAGTTTGAGCCGCGCACCAGCTCGTCAGCCGGTAGAGGGGCCGGTGGGCGGATTGGCATGGCATATTCGTGCACGGGCGTGACTCCGCTTCCAGAGTCGTCTTCCGAGGAGGTGGGCGATATCTGCTGCATCTGGAGTGACCGAGCCGAGACGTAGTGTTGTGGGACGGATTGCGTCATGCTGAAAGAAGCAGGCCGAGGAGCAGCAGGAGCAGCTGCTCGCGTCCCTGCTGATTGAGCGGATTGCTGCTTTTTGGCCTTGTAACGACGCCATATGCAGCGTCCCGCTATGCAGCAGACTACAAAGCCAATAACCACGGCAACAATCACAAAGACCAACTCAACGAGCCCAGCAGTGTCGGAGGCTGTGCTCACGTTCTCTTCTTGCCGCGAGCACCACAATGAATGACTTTCGAGAAGATTCGTGGTAGGGGTATTCCACCCAGGGTCGCAAATGCACGCCGTAAAGTTGGCATTCGGCACACCGTGATTGCAGTCTGCAGCCGACGTCACGTTGGGCAGTGTGTTCTACATTCGTTTGAATGCAAAATTCGCAAAAATTTGAGCGGCGCTAGACATACACAAGCAAAAAAGGGATGCAATCGCAACTGTAGGAATATTACCAAGGGGGTGAAGGTGTCAATCAGGTTAATGACTGGAGGGGGCGGTGGTAGAGTAAAGTCAATGCAAGAATTCGTGACCGGGTCGTATGTCTGGTATTTGAAGAACAAGGGGAGCGATTGTCGGAGTGAGGCGAATTCATCTGTGCAATCGCAGCAAGTTTGCTTTCAACCTACAATCACTGCTGAGGTAGTGCAAGTTCTCACGGGATCGCACAAAAGTGTAGTCCGATTGAAGTAGCCTCGCGTTCCAAGCGTCACAACCACGCAATCTGGTATTGTGCATCGAGCTTGTTGCAAGCTAGCATCATAACTGGTTTCCTACGGCCCCCTCGGTTGCAAGGTAAGTTGGCATGGTTCTGAACATACTGGTACCGAAAAAACCCAAAACGAGAAAACGCAAGCTGGCATACCATGTCTCCCGGGCAGCAGTCGGGGCTTGCCGGCCCAGCACATGAGGTAGGAACAGTGGTGATGGGTCCGCTCGGATCTGCCAAAGATTGGAGTTATGAGCCACGGCACATGTGCATGTGGTTGCAAACTTCAACATACCGTCGCGGCGTCGTCTTTGGCCGGCAGTTTGCGACAACGTTGCAGGCGCAGGATATGCAAAGTTTGCCAAGAGCCCTTGCCACCACGATGCGGGCTTCTAGAAGAACCAAATTGCGCAGATTTGTAGGTGGGCAACCGGACAACCAGACAAAACTAATTTTGCCAAAACAGGCGGCTGCAACCGCTTTCCTTCCCGCCGTCGCTCAACAGCTGACGGTCACCCCGACTTCATTAAAATTATCGCTTCGTATTGTTTTTGTTTCTCGTCAAGGAGCTAATGCGTCAACCAAGTTGCATCGATCTACCATTGAAAAAGAAAAGGAAAAGCCAAAGAAAATCAACGTCGTTTTGCTCAAAAAAGCAACCAATGGTTGATGGCGGATTTTCATTCCCAAAGCGTTCTCTCAATGTCACCATCCTCGCCCTTCGAAAACACAAGTGCAGAAAACTCACCTGTTCTACCTGGTTCATGTTGTAATTTTGCCACGTCTCAGCTGCATCACAAGTGGAAAGCTGCAGGACGACAATGCACACTGCGGTCCACAACGCCCACCGAGAGGCAGAGCACCGCTGCCGCAAAGTTCGCATGCTGAAAGGTTTGTGCAAACGTTTTGATGACACGCGTTGCACCGTTTATCCGCTTGGAAGAAGCTTTGAAGTGAATGTCGGCGAGTGGTTTTCGCAGTGAAAACGTTGTGTTATGTTATTTCCGAGTCGGCAGGATGCCTCATGCTGGTTGGATAATTCGAAAAGGCTATTTCCGCTGCAGCCCAGAAACGAGAAACACCGAAAAAAGAAAACCCGAAAAAAACGCAAGAAGAACGTCAAATTTGAAAATTCAAAAGTGATGAACCAAAACGAGAAAACGGCTTTTTTTTTTTTTTTTTTTTTTTGCATCCCAATTCTTCAAACTGTTTTGGATTTTCGTGATTGTCGTGTTTGCAACTCAAGTTAGCGCGGTGTCAACGAGCCAAACACCCAAACTCGCTGGACCAGCAATCTTGAACAAAATGAGAAATCAAAGTACTGACGAAAACCCAACAAATCCAAAACCGTTCAAACCGGCATTTCACTTCCAATCCTTCCCTCAACAACATCACCATCCTTCAAACTTACCAGGGGTTTTTTTTTTCATCAAACAGCTCCGTCAAGAAGCAATACCAAAGAGTCAGCACAGCAAATGTCACAGCACGTCTCGGCAGACGAAGAAGCAGCGATTCTGGAGCGCGTCGGGCGACTGGGCATCTCGCTTGGCGCCAACGAGGCCGTTTCAAACCAGCAGCTCGATACGACATTCACCGGTCGGCTGCCTGGCGCGGGTCGACCTGGCGCAAACAACACGACATTCGACCACGGATCGACATTGTCGTTTTCCCATAACGCACTTCGGGCTGCGGCGGGTGGAAGTGCAGGCGCGAATCAGGCGACGAGCGAGAAGCGGTTTGCCAGTTTGAAACACGCTGAAGCGCAGGCAATGCTGGTTGGATTGCTCGCCATCTACGACGAGGCATGGAACTGGAACGCTGCAGAACTGTCAGACGCTGCCAACTACAAGCGCATTTCCAAGCACCTGACCATGCTCGAGCTCGGCCACTTGGCACGGTCGGCCTCAGACCTCGATCCGGCGGTAAACGCCAAGCGTGTTGCACGCGTTGTTGCGGGGCTCCTTGACAAGATTGAAGCTCGACATGGCCCCAGTATTTACCGCGTACGCCAGCAGCAGCTCCGTCGTGCTGCAGCGATGAGCGTCGGGCGACCGCGTTCCAAATCGGCCTCGGCGTCTGATGCCAGTATGCTCAATGCAAGCGTCCTGCCAAACGACACGACGTTGAATACAACCAACCACTTTACTTCGACGAAAGGAGCCTTGCCTGCAGCGGTTGCACCCACTGTTGCACCCGTCGTTGCTGCTCCGCGAGCTGCTGCTGCTCCAATCCAAGCCGCCCGCCCCGCCGTGTCTGCATCAAGCCATGCACCGAGCCATGGGCCAACAGCTGCCTCCAAGCCAGTGGTACCAACCTTTGGGCGAGACATTTCCAACATTTCGTCAAATGTTGCTGGTGGCAAGAGTGCTGCACTGAGCAAGGTACGAGAAAAGCCTAAAACAACAGTAGCTGTGGGCGGAGAAGGAAGGGGAGATTTAGACGTTGGTGCACGATCTGATGTGCAGTATGCTACACAGGAAAATCCAGGGACACTGCACAAGTCCAAGAGCTATGGCAATTTGGACGAGAGCATCTTTTCGGATCCAAACTTCAATCCGTTTCAAACCACTCGCACTCTCGCCCGCACTCCCCCCTGCATTTCTGGTAAGAGTGGCTGCTGCGTTTGTTATCACCAACCACTACTCCTTTGCAACTGGACAGCTTAGGTTTTGATTGTTCTGTTTGCCTGTTTCAGGTCCCATTCCTCCCACCATCATCACGGTGGCAACGGCCTTCAGCCCAATTTTGGCGCGCGAAGCATTCAATCCGTTTGCGCCGCGGCATCAGCTTCAACGCACTCCCCAGAAGGTTGGCCATTGCATGATTTTTCTGTTTGGTGCAATTGATCAACATTCGGTTTGTGTTCTAACGATGTGAGTCTGTCTCTCGTTTTAGACGCAACCTCCGACTACAGAGAACAGTGTCATTGAGCCTGCCACTGTCGCGGTCGAGACGGCTGCAGTCACTGGAGGCGTCCCTTCTCCCCGCCGCGCCTATGCTGCTGTGGCGGCGACCGCGCCTGTCGCGAATGTCGGAGAACCATTACCAGTCCAATCACCTGTGCGCCCGCTGCCAGCGCTGGTCAATGCACGCGCGACTGCACATCTCAACAAGGAGGCAGAAAGTGCTGCTCACACTGTTGTACAAGCCTCGACGACATCAGCCAAGGCAGCCAAGTCACCAAAGTCACCCAAGTCGCCCAAGTCCAAAGTGCCGGCCAGAACTCTCCCAGTTGCCGCTCCCGTGACTGTTTCAGCGGTTGTTGCCGCACCTGTATTGAACGCTGCAGCTGCAGCAGAGGCTCCGGTTGTGCCGGCTCCTCAGGCCGTCACCTCATCGACTCGTGCTGCTCCAGCAGCTTTGATTGCTGCAGCCGCCCCAGCTCCTGAGCCCACTTCGGTCACCGCCATTGTAGCCAACAGTGCCTCCACTTCTGCTCCGAGCTATGCCAGTATGGTAAAGTCCCCAGCTAAAAGCCCACGCCGAGCTGCTGACCGTCGGATTATCGCCCTTCGCCACGACGATTTTGTTCCCTCGCCCAAGTCCCAGTACAAGACTGGACCAAGTGACGGGCGGGCCTCTCCTCTCCGAAACGTTTTGGCGACGGCTGTACCCATGCAGGATGTTTCGCCGCCACGTTCTCGCACGTCGCCCGCCAAGGCCAAACTTCAAGCCGCTATTGCCACTGCCCTTCCAGCGGAATCATCCACAAGGCGTTCCTCGCCCAGGCGTGCAGCCAGTATGGTGTCAAAGCCGCCGCAGAGTCAAGATGCTTTGGAATTGTCGCAGCGACAGTCGCTCAATTGTGCTGCAGCCCTGTTTAAGGAAGAATCAGCGGCGTCCTCGTACATGAATGCCGCCGCTGCTCATCGGGTCGCTACAGCTCCCGTCCCACCGGCGCTGACAGTAGTGAGTAACACGACTTCTTCCGCCATGATGGCACCTTCCACGGCAACCGCTATTGGCAAGACGCCAGCGCCAGTTCCTCGAGCTGCATCGCCACGGCGTCGCGAGTCACCGCGAAAGCAGATCCCAGCAAGTCCACAAAGGCCGCAGAACGAGGCTTCTCCAACAGCCAATTGGCTGGCGGATACGCTTCGTCAAACAATGCTGGAATTGGAGGCAGCGACAACCCTCGAAAGCGCGTCCCCTGCCATGTCGCCGGCGCTTTCGGCTCCAAACTCGCCCAGCAGTCGGGAGATTTTTGCCAAGCTCCGGCAGGTCAACACCCAACTTTGGGATGAGTTGGTCGCAACCTCACCCGCGCCTCGCGTTGCCTCACCGAAAAAGGCACCGACGCCCCGAGCCACTACTCCTGCATCTGCATCTGCATCTGCACCTACTCCTCTTGCTCAAGTTCGGACTGCCGTTGTCGTTGGTCCCGCGACTCAATCACCGATTCAAATCCCATCACCAGTCTCCCAATCACCAATCCAATCGCCGGTTCAAGTGCCATCGCCAGTCTCCCAAATGACCCAGCAACCAGCCTCGTTAACACACCCAGCTCCCGCAGCACGATCGCGCCCAGCCGCAACCACCATTTCCGTGTGCTCTCGAAGCGCGCTCGAGCGACTCGTCCGCCGCACCGAGCTGTACATTCAGCGCTATCAAACGCTTCAGCAAACCCGCGATGTGCTCGATAAGCTATCCGGTCTCTCGTTGCAATGAAGAGGTGAGTTTTTCGACTTTTTTTTTTTTGTTTGAGAAGAAGAACAACAACAACAAACCAAACCAAACTTTTCATTGCATCACTTCCCATCCACTCAAACTTTCCGGCCTCGGTCTGGTGCGCGGTCTGCGAGTGAGCAAGGGGGAATGGGAGCAGTGAGACGGAATGGATCACTTTTCGCTGCGAGCGCACAAAATCAACTATGGTTGCAACTCTCGTACCTGTGCTCACCATGCCCTCCAATCGTTCTACTCGTTCGTGAATTGTCGTTACAATGTCTCGTAGCTGCCATTCCAGTTCCAGTTCCAGTTCCAGTTAGAAAAACAACCAAGGTGGACTTTACCAAAACGCCCGCGAGCATCGAAACATTCACTGACCCGAGAAATATAGTCCGAAATTGAAGCGCTGCCCAACAACATGCTTTCTTGAGGCGTTTTGGAAGGCTTTCCGATCGTGTAGCTGTTTGAATGTCGATGCATGCAATGTTAATATCGAAAAACACAAAATTGAAATTGCTCAAAATTTGTCGCATTGACGATCTTACCTTGTTAAACAGTCGATATGGAACGTATAGTGATCTCTGTTGAACCGCAATAACAAGGTCAACAGCAACTTAGTGTACTCGTGCTGCATTGGCAACTGGCGGAGCATCCCTTACCGAATAATGTCAAATTGCCGGGGAGTGGAGCAATACATGCGCCCAATCGACGCGTTGCATCCAGCACATGTCAATGTATAATACCCGCTGTAGTGAAACCATCACAGCAACAACAAAATAAAACGTAGATTGGATTGGTTGATCAAGCAGAAAAGTCAGCGAGATGATCATCTCAGAACATGAACTGCAAAAAGCAATCTTACCAGCCAGTATCTACGCCCGACACTGATGTTTGCAGCTCTTTCGCTATTAACACTGCAGGCGATACAGCTAATAATGTGATGATGATGATGATGTTTGTTGTGGTGTGAGGCATGTACGGGAGGTGAGTGGAAATCAGCGCGCAACCAGGAGCATCGCTCTGCGTTCTTTGCTTCGGGGCGTACCAGCGAGCGTGATGGCGTTGAGATCGTCGACGGGTGTCACATATGCACACGAATCGCCCAGGATGGAGCGGCACTCTGAGCATTGGAAGACGACGGCGATCGGCTCTTCTTCGTTGGCGGCTTCGTCTGCAGCCGCGTGCTCTGCTTGCTGACCTGCGACATCGACACCCACACACCCACACACACACACACACGCATTGACACAATGAAAACACAATGACACGCACAAGGACACAAGGACGCCCCGCACCACAGACGCAGGCCGCTTGTTCGAAGATTTCCCGCCAAAACATTCATCCACCATCGCCGTCCGTCTGACGCGACTGGTGCTGCGTCACTCGTCCAACTCCGCGCCAGAGCGATGGGCAGAGCAGCACGTTCAAAACCCCGGGACTTTGTCCCGAGTGTGCAACCGAGTGCCGGACGAAATACACACTCACCTGCTGAACGGCTGCTGGACGACATCACAAACAACAACGACTGACCAAAGTGCACAGAGATCATCCGAAATGGGAATGTGTTGGTTTATCGTGTAGCATTACAAAAAGAAAAACAGGTTGGGACGCACACACACAGAAACGACGAGAACCCAACGATAAAGCTTTTATCGCTTGCCGGAAGAAGTAGCTTGAACGGCCTTGTCGACACCCTCAAGCGTCTCCACGCCGTATAGCGCTGCAATGTTCTCACGACGGAGCATGTTTTCGGCAGCATTAATATCAACAGAGGCGAGCGAGGCCACAGCGGTCGCGGTCGGCGCCGAGATGCCTGGCAAGCCGGAGGGCTTTCGGGAGGCGTGTGCCGAGGCTGGTGGGACGACGGTTGTGCTCTTGTTGCGCTTGGTAGCCAGGTCGTAGGCGCGCTGTGCGGCCAACGCAGCCTCGTCGACCGAGACTTGCCGCCCGTCCTTTTCTGCAAGCTCGCGCATCTTGGCGACTGTGCTGAGCGCAAGCGACTGTCCGCGAGCGCGCAAGAATTCGGCGCTGACGGCCGCCTCTGTCTTGGCCTGTGCGGCGCGGCGAGTGACCTCGATGACTTGCTTCTCGGTGCGACCACCCATGCCCTCGAGCGTGAAGGTGGAGTGCTTCTTGGGCAGTCGGTCGAGCATCTTTGAGAGGGCGTTGCGGTCTGCTCGGCCGGGTCGCAGCACGGTAATGTCCATCACGCGCGGCGAGTGTGTTGGGAAGGTGAATTCGACCACCTCGTCTTCAATAACGTTTCGGATGGTAAACCAGGACGACAAACCGAGGTTCCATCGCTTTTTGACGACAATGCCCATGTACTTTGTCACGCGGTTTGCGTCCTCGCCGGTCATGCTTGTGCGATACTTGACCGAGATGATCGAGCCCACGTCGAAGGCTGGGACTGGGGCTGCATTGTACCGCTGCAGCCGGACTTCGCGTCGCTTCAACCACGACAGCATGTCCGTCTTGGACGTCTCGAACGGCTCCTCTGCCAGGAATGTGCGCAACGCCTGCCGCGCAGCATCCTTGGTCGGAGCAGCCTCCTTGGCTGGAGCAGCAGCAGCAGCAGCACCGCCAGCAGGAGCGGTTCGTTTCGCTTGCGGCGGCGGTGGCTTGGCAGCAGCAGCGCCTGTTTCCAAACCATCCAAGCATCACTGAGTACAGGTTGACAAGGAATCGAGCAAGTGGGCACCAGAAGCGGGGGGGGAGCCTTCGAATGTCTTCCATTCAATGGGGACTTGCATGTGGCTGGACGTTTCCATTGAGCACACTCGCTCTGCCTCTCTCTCTCTCTCTCTCTCTCTCTCTCTCTCTCTCTCTCTCTCTCCCCCCCCCCCGTCACTCTCGCTTGCAGATCTGCCCATGGGATGGTCTTCTCCAAGCAATTGAGGGGGGTTTTCGCTTTCTTGTTGTTCTCCATTGACCGAGGAGCAGCAAGCAAACAACATGGAGATCTCTCAATCACTCTCGCTCCCTCCCTCTCTCCGTTCTCCATTCTGGCGGCATCGTACGCTTTCAACTTGCGCATTGAAGTAATCAAAGGATGAAAGTGGCAAGTCGTGGAGAGAAGGACGCGTGCTTTGCGTTACCAGCGAGGGCGGCGCTGCTGGCGGTGGCAATGCCGCGACGAGCGACGGCAACCACTGCTGCGGACTGCATTCGAAAGTGAAAGGGAAAGGATGACTGAGAGAAAAAAAACACTCCACTCGACGACGATGATGATCTATGTTATTACTAAACAGCCAGTAAGCGAGGGTAGCTGAATGGACAATGATACAATGCAAATCCCAATACAAACGAAAAGCTTAGAGTTCAGTTTTCTCTTCTTCATTCTCTTTGACTTGTTTTCCGAGTGTTGTCGTTGCTGTTGTCGGTGTTGTTACTATTAGTATTATTCTTTTTCTTTTTTTTTTCTTTTCCCCGGCTGCTGAGAATCATGGCTGCGCCAAAAGCCGTTCTGAGCTTCCGAGCAAGAGCGATCGACTTTACGCGCGCGCTGACCGTCTACCGGTCGGACGAAGTGCCCGATCTGGATGAGGCCCAGGCGATCTCGCGCGCCCTGCCGCAGCTGGCCACCGGCATGGAGAAGGAAGAGGAAGAGGTACGAAACGCTTTTTGTATGGGACTTGCATTGGGACTGGATCTCACTGACCTGTTGCCCTCCCCCCCCCTCCGGCTCCCCTCTCCACCACACACGATACAGGAACATCACTTGCAACAAGTCATCAACGTCATGTCGCAGGCGCCGCTGGACAAGGACAAGAAGGCCAGCCTGTACATCCCCATCCCAGAGGCAAACCTGCTCACTCCGGGCTACGAGCAGCACTACGCGCCAGACTTTAAGCTGCCAGAGCATTACATTCACATGCATGGTAACGCGGATGGTTGCGGATGAAAGGCGTGGGAGGGGCCTCCCCTTTTGTGTTCGATCTTCACTCACGATGCTGTTGCTTGCACTACAACCATTGGAAAATTGCCATACTCCAACAGGCAATGCAGCAGATCCCGATATTCCGAATTACGACATGGATAGTGAGGACGAGGCATGGCTGACGAGCGTGAACAGCTCGAGCAAGTCGTCGAAAATGACTCCGATTCAGTTTGAACGATGCGTTGACGCGTTCGAGCGATCTACCACAGGAAATGATGTAAAAGGGGAGACATGTGCTGTCGCAAGTGCTTGTTGTGCGTCGTGTGAGACAACGTGCCCCGCTCACTCTTCTTTGACAATCGATTCAACGCTTGTGATTTCAAGATTGCCCCGTTTGCTGCCATTCGACCAAGCCTTCCGGAAAATGAAAACGATGACATGTTAATGACGGCGTATGAGCATTGGAAGTCGCGGCGCATGCGAAAAGGGCAGCCGCTGCCTCCGACCGTCAAAACTGAAAAGAAACTGCACGATCCGGCGACCGAGCGCGACCCTTACGTTGCCTTCCGGCGTCGCTTTGAGAAAATGACGACGCGCAGAGTGAGTCCTCTGTTTGCGAGTGCAAGCGCGGTTTGCCAGTTGCTGATTTTTTGTTTGTTTTGTTGTTATGGTATTTTTTGTTTTTCGCTGCTATCACTCGCCAGAATCGCAAAACGGACGAGCTCTCGTACGAGCGAATGCTCAAATTGCGACGAGACTTTGAACGCGTCCGAACGCTTCTGGACTCGCTTCGCCGCCGTGAGAAGTACAAGTTGGAGGGCTACCAGGTGGATGTCGAGCTGTTGGAGCGCCGGCATGCACTCGGCGATTACACTGTGACGGAGCTTTTGCCTCCTCCCGTTCCTCGCATGTATGTGCGGGCGGATTGTAGTAGCGGCAGGGAGGGAGCTTCGATTGCTTACTTTTTTTTGTGCTTTTTTTTTTTTCGAAACAACAGGTCGCTCAAAAACACGATCGGCGCTCCAGGCGTGCGTGGCCTGAAAAAGCGCAAGGCGGACGATGAGGCGACAAGCACGGCAGCGAGCGGTGCGCCGCGATTCACGATGCGCCGTCTGTTGCGCGAAGAATCGGACGACGAAGCCGAAGAAGAGTTCTTGCGCCACATCCCAGCAAGTGCTTTGGACGACGACTCGGGCGACATTGTGTTTGAGCCGTTGCGCAACTTCTTCAAGCTCCGGATGGCTCGAATTGCACAGCGGCACTCGCAGGGTGCGACTGAGACACCCGCAGCAGGGGCAGGCGACGACGACGCAGACCTCGCTGATGATGAGGAAGACGAGGTGGTGGATGACCTTGACTGGGAGTGTGAAACTGCGTTTGAACTCGCAGCTGCAGCCGCAGCCGCAGCCTCTCGCGAAAACAACAACGAGGCCACCGACGAAGGGTTGCCGTTGCTTCGAGACCGGTTTTTGACTTCCGACTTTGCCTCTGTTCTCCCGCCCTCCGACTCCAACGATCCATTTGCCTTTGTTCGCCAGCGGAATTGTTCGTACCATCCGGTAAGTTTTTTTTGTTTCGTTGGTTTTTCGTTGGTTGGTTTGTTGTCTGGAAGAAGGCTTACAAAGCGACACAAACCAAACCAAAAAAAAAAAAAAAAAAAAAACAGCCACGCCACCACATGATCGCCCCGCCCATCGCGTCACACGCAGCATTGTATCGACCGGTACCGTTTGGTCGATCGGGATTGATTCCGCTGGGTGTGCGACGTATCGGCCGCGGCGGACGAGTCATTTACGATCGTGCCACCTCGGCGATTGTCAACCCGCGGCTCCGGCAGCTCCAGCAGCGCGGCCAGGCCGACGGACCGCCGCCAATCGAATTCTCTGATCCTTTCATCCAAGCGGCCGACGAGTTTGACGAAGTGCACCAGCGCGTTCTCCGGTTTGCGCCGAATCTTTTATTGTACGTTTTTTCGATTGTTCTGTGAATACGCTTGTTCGCGAAAACGCTCATGCTGCTTGCCAATGCTCTTTTGTTTCTGGGGGGGGGGGATTTCCAGCCCTGCAACCAATCCAAGGACGTTGCTGTGGCCGAGCACGCTGGCACACACGCAGACGTCGGAAGCCGAAGAAGCCACCACTGCCATTAACAGCGTGACGGCTGTCGGACTGCGGCCCATGGATGTTGAGCATCTGGACCAGCGCCCGACGGCAGTGCCGCTTGCCCAGCAGCACTACGAGTTGGTGGTTGGGCCGAACGGCGAATTGGAGCGCAACACGAGCAGCTCGCTGTATGCATCAGCATCAGCAGCCCAAGCAGCAGCACCATCTGCGGCCGAGGATGCATGTGCACCATTCGATCCGGCCGAACTCCGAAGCATGCCGAGTCTCTTCTCGCTGGCAATTCGCGACCACCTGCGCCAACAACGACCCCCGCCTCCGCTCACCGGGTTTGTGATGTAGAAAACGGAACCAAAGGGGGTTTGCTGTGTTGTTGTTGTTGTTTTTATTTCAGTACAGGATCGATTGTTTTTTTTTTCCCCCAAAAATCAACGCGACGCCAATAAAATGGCCAAGACAAGGAACCATTGCGTCATAGTCCCCCGCTCTCTCTCTCTTTCCCGCTCTCTTTCCCCCCTTCTCCTGACTCTTTGTTTTCCCAGTAATTCAGACATGATCACGCATTCTTCAAAGCAGCCCCATATAATCCTCAACGCTCCACACACAGCGAGCACACTCAAGAAACACAGCGAAAATCCGCTACACAGGTGTCGTTCGCTGATAGGTCGGCTTTGCTTCCAAATGCTGAGCTGGCACTTTTTTGTATTCTCTCCTTTTTTTTTTTTTTATTTCTTTGTGTTTTCGGACTTCAGTCTTTGTTTTTGTTGTCTGTTGTCAGTGAAATCGCGACCAAAGACGGACAACAACAAACAACAAGGAACACAAGAAGAACAAAGAAGAACAAGAAGAAGAACGAGGCGAGAAACAATAGCACAAGAAGGAACACGAGAACTCCGACGCCCCAAACGTACCTGTGGAACAACATGACGCTGCAGCAGTCTGCAGCCGACATCCCATACAACGACAGCGCCAACAATTTCGACGACGACGATGACGGACTCGCGAGGGCGTTGGCGCTGGTCGAGGCTGGAACGGGTTCCGCTGCTCTTGCTTTGACAACTCCGACGACAACTCCGACGACGTCATCGCACTTGATGGTCCATATGATGGAGCACGAGCGCGTTTCGCCCATTCTGTCGCCGCTGTCCGCAAGCTCGGTCTCGTCCGCATCGGACTGGCTCGAGATGCAGGACTGGACGGGCCACGACGACGAGCTCGAGCGACTCGCGCTGATGAATGGTCCGATTCTGACGACCGCCAATCCCTCGTCCTCGTCCTCTTCCGCTTCTTCGGCGTCCTTCCAAGCACACCAGCAGCTGTTCAGCTCGCTGTTTCTGGAGGCAGAGGCTGACATGTTGACGCACAAGTCAGTGCCGCTCTCCCTGTCCATGGCGCTCGAGACGTTGGAAGACACCGAATTTGCCGCCACGAGCGTCGCGAGCTCGCGTGCCAAGCACATCTTGGAAGACGTGGACGAGTTTGCGACTCCTGCCAGCAAGCGGACACGCACCAAGAGCTGTAATGGCAATATTGCAGCAGCAGCAGCAGCAACCGCGACTTCGCCTGTGCCGATTGCGCCTGCACCAACCTCCTCAAGCTCTCGTCGCCATCCCGCATCCTCAGCAACATCAACGGGAGGCGCCAACTTCCCTGTGCTGGACAAGGAGGCCAAACGAAAGCTGAGCAACCGCAACGCTGCTCGCAAGAGCCGCGAAAAGAAGCTCCAGCAGTCCGCCGACCTGAACGAGCAGCTCGAGAAGGCCCTTGCCGCTCGTGACTCGTACTCGAAACGGGTCGAGCAGCTCGAGCAGAGCAACCACGCGTTGCAACAAGAGCGCGATGCGCTGATGGCCGCACTGCGGTCACGCGCGCTGCTCGCTGGCTCAGCCGACCAACCACTCCCTACTGCTGCAGCTGCACAGCCAAGTGTGCAGGCTGCTGCTCTTGCCGAAGCCGCGGCGCCCCTTGACGAGCTCTCGTTCGCCGACATTTTCTCGACGACCTGGGACTCTGCCGCCACCCAACAGTGCCATGGAGACGATCAACAATCTTCTTCTCAGCTCGATAACTCGTTGACATCACAGCAACAGCAGCAGCATCAGCAATGCCAGTCGCAATCTCAGCAACAACCTCAATCCCTACTCGATCGTGCAGTCCGCCAGAGCAGCAACACTTGCAGCTCGCGAGCAGCCCGCGACGAGGAGACCTTCAATGAGTCTGCAGCACTCGTTCGTCAACCCATGCAACGGGGGTCTCTTCAATCGCTGGTGCTTGTGATGCTCACGTCCATGCTTGCCATGCTCGATCAAACGCCGCTGCCGCGCCAGCACGATCCCGCGCTTCTTCAGAAGGAGGAGAATCCTCCCAAGCAGCACGATCGCCAGCAGCAGCAACAGCTTGCTCCGCAGTACCAATGCGACAAGCTCCAGTACGACCAGACTTGGCAAGTAATGTCAATGATGGTACTGTTGTTGTCGGTCGTGAGGCCCCAAGCGCAAGCTTGGTCGCGACACAAGGCGAGGCTGACATCTCGTTCCTTGATCAATGGGTTTGCTCAGCCGACCCTGACAGTGGTTTGCTAGACTTGAGCATGATGTTTTGAGTGTTCTTCTTGCTATTGCTATTTGTTGTTGATGTTGTTATTGAGTTCTCGGTTGTGATGCCTAAATGGTTTGTGTTTTTGACGTTTGTTCAAAACACGATGAGAATAGACACTTTTTTTATGAAATCATCAATCATCACAAGTTCAGTAGAATGCAGCACTGCTCAGTCCCAGTCTGAGTCTCAGTCTCAGTTTCTTTTAGGTTTGTCCTGACTCGACTCTCTCTCTCTCGCGCGCGCTTGTGATGACGATGATGATGATGCGCAAACCGACACGCACGCGGAATATTCGCCAAAAGCTCGTTGGCGAGGACGACGACTCGGACGACGCGAACAACGCAGTCCCAACGTCGGCGACTGAGGAGAGTGGATCACTGCGCCAACATGAGAACAACGACGACGAGCAGAGCACTGGAGCCAAGCGATCTGACGACGCCGGGCGGCCCGATCGAGCCGGACATGCACGGCACCGGAATCGCAGCGAGGACAAGGACGGAGACAAGGACGACGAAGACGAGGACGAGGACGATGGACCAGCGTCGATCGCAAAGACGACAAGCACTCTGTTCAAGCGGTCGTCAACAGGACTGCGGATTGCTGCTGCTGGTAGTAGTAGTGGTAGTGGTGGTGGTGGTGGTGCCACCGCCAATCGCGCTGTCGGCGGGATGCGAGCTGGAACTGCAACTGCTGCTGGATTGATGAGCAGCAGCCATCATCCGGTTGCTGCGACGACGAACGCTGCTGCTGCAAAGTCGCTGATGAGCTTTGCAGATGACCCAGATGCCATGTCGTCCGACGCTGACGAGGAAGAGGCAAGAGTCAGGCGCGCAGCCAAAGAATCGCTGCGCAAGAGCCAGCACCATCACCACCACCACCACCATCACCGTCATGACCATTCTGACGAACCGCAGAGTAGTCAAAGCACCAAGTCTCACGAACGCTCGCATCGCAGCAGAGGTGAGGACAGCGTGCGCGAAGAGGACGCTCCAGCAGTCCAGCGATCGCTCGCCGACATCAAGGCCGCATACGGAATTGTTGATACTCCCAACACTCGCCCTCCAGCAAGCATGCCCATGCAAATCGACGAGGACAATGCGGACGACGGCGTGCTGACGGGCGAGGCTGCGCTCAACTTGGCCGACACACAGGTGCCCGAATTTGAGCAGCCGTTCGATGAAGACCGCATCCCGGACGCCAACCGAATTGCCGAAGCCAAACTCCGTCGAGAACGTGCAAGGAAGACCGGCGACTATATTTCCCTGAGTGAAGGAGCAGGTTTGCAAGATTCAAGAGCATCTCTGCCTGCCGCAGATGATCCAGCTATTGGAGAGGAGGGCCACTACGGAGAGTACTCTGGTAAGAGGTCATTTCTGACTCGTGGATGCGTGTTATGCATTTCTAGATATGGGGGGGGGCGGAGGAGGCAACGATGCTAACACGACAATCCGCAACAACACCACAGGCAACCGGATATCGTTCGGAGTCAAATCAAAACACGCTGAAAAAATGGAACGAGCCAAAATCATTCGGCAGGCATTGAACGAGGGCATGGATGACGATAACGACGACGACACGATGGATACAGCCTCAGCTCGTGGACGCGGCGACGAGGACGACGAGGACGACGAGGTCCGTGCTTGGGAACGCGCACAAATCCAAAAGGGAGGCGCAGCTCATGTATTGGCCCAAGCGACCAAAGCGCAACAAAAGCAGCAGCGGCAACATGACCAAGCACCATCCGATCGTGGTATTCTCGGCTTCAGACAGCCACCACAGCATGACTACATGCCAAACATTGCTGCGCTGCCCTTGCCGCTGCCCTTTGAAGTGGCACAAGGCAGTATCAACGAACGACTGACCGACCTTCGCGATGCGCTCACACATTACGAGCACAAAATGGCGCGCGTTCAAGCCGAGCAAACGCAAGTGAAGGGCGTCATTTCCAAGCTCACCGACGAGATTGATGTTGTTTCGGCCCGTCTGTCGTACTTTCAAGGTGTCAAGGATTATGTTACGGATTTGCTCGGGTGTCTGGATGCGAAGGTAAGAGAGAGTGTTGTCCGCGTCCTGCGCGTGGTCTCGTCGCGCATTCTAACGATTTAATGCACATCGCGCACAGTGGCCACTCATTCAAGCAGCTGAGGGATCACTGAATGAGCTCTTCCAAGCATTTGGCAGCTTGACAACCGATGTCAGCGTTGATGGTAACCTATCACAAATCCAAAAGAAAGGACACATTCGGCGAACGAGACAGTATTTTGTTTTTTTGTTGCTCACTTCGTCGTCTTTATTCCTTCAGATGATGCGCTCGAGGCCCCCGTCCATCGTAGTCGCTATGATGAGCAGCTTGGTAAGTACTCTCGAGGCATGGGGGACTTGCAAAAATGCTCATTGATGCCAACACAACAAATCCCTGACTTGCCACACGTCCTTTTCCTTTGCCTGCAGTATCTGTACTTGGTGCAGCTCAACGGATATTTGACGATGTCCTCGACGACTTTGGCTCGCTCGAGTTTGTCATTGGCAAATTTGACGAGCTGCGGCGTCTCTACCCGCAAATGTACTCTGAGTCGTACGTGAGCTTCTTTCTCCCAAACTTGTTCTCCCCATACGTCAGCCACGCGCTACTGGCTTGGCACCCGCTGTTGGTAAGCATGGTTCATGTCGATTCAGCGTTTTGTTTGGAAAAGGGTTGTTGGCGAAAAGTTTGTGAACCCTTTTTTGGTTGTTGCCCAATCTCACAGTCCCTTGCTTGGCTGCCGTTGAAACAGGGAGACGCAGCTGATATCACGGCAATGCCCTGGTTTGGAACCATTGCAGCTTTCGCTGGGCGCTCGGCGTCTTCCACGGGCGCCGGCGCACTCGATGCCAATCCTGACGCCGACCTCTTGCTGCAATCTATCGAAAAGTCACTACTTCCACGCATGCTGGGTGTCTTGATGCACGTTTGGAATCCCTTTTCGCTTTGTCAATCATCCCGAGCGCTTTCGGTCGTCTCGACGCTCATCCAGTTGGCAGACAAGTCCTATTCTTCTGCTATTACGCAAACTTTCCACACTTGTCTGCGCGACAGCGTCGTGCAGCGGATTCAAGAGGCGCTCGAGCTGCGCCCAGGCCATGTCAACTTTCCCTCCCCACAAGCCAAAGCCGCCCTCCTCACAGACTTGGCCAACCCGACCAGTGTTCTGACTGACTGGATTTCGTTGCTCCCCAATGCGAGTCGCGATGTCTCTTGATTTTGTGAGCGACTGTCAAAACCAGAAACACCGAGATAATATACATCCGTTCTTATTCTGCTGGCTATATTTGATTGTATTCGTTGTTTGTATTTTGACAATTTTGAACTGCTGGAGAACGCGTCGCTTTTGCTGGTTTTATGGTTACAACGCTGCTGCGGTAATCTTGCCCGCGCCCTTCCTCTTGCCGACGTCGGCGAGCTTTTGGGCTGCTCGCAGTTTGAGGACTCGCTTGTGGTAAATCGTGCTAGCAGAAGCCTTACGCGCGAGCGCAGCCTTGAGGCGCTCGGGGACGGGTGCCATGGCCACCGCGCTGTCCGCCACGAACATTTCCGAGAATGCGGCAGGTTGGCCTGCCTCCCGGCTGGCAATGCGCACGACGCTGCAAATATCCTCATACGACCACTTGTCGGCCTCCAGGAAAGGCAGTACAATCACGTCACGGTGTTGCTGATCGCGCATGGAGGCAAGATGCGTCTTGTAACTCTCAATCAATGCGGACAGCCGGTCGTTCAACGCTTGCTGCTCGGCGGCATCGAGCCCTTCAGAGGCAGGTGCGGAACTGTCGCTGGACGTGGCGTCCGTCGCAGACGTGCTGGCATCTCCGAAAAGACTTGCCAGCATGTCGTCAGCGGCGTTGGATGCTGGTGTGGTTGGCTCCTGGGTCAGCGGTTCGAAACCACCGGTTTCGGCCGCTGCATCGGTCGCGGCGTCTGCGTTTGTCGCTTGCTTCCGCTCTTCGGTGCCAGGAATGGGATACAGCTTTGCGAAATCGGCGTGGAAGGACTTTGCGAGTTTGGTGAATTCTGGCCACTGGGCAGCAAATGCCGGCTGTGCCGCCAGACCGTAGACGTTTGTATGCTTTGTCGCTCGCTTTGCCTTCTGCGAGTCTGTGTTGCGGGAATCGACGGCAAACCAAACAACAAGAAAAACGGGGGGAAATGAGTTGAAATGGCTTGAATTGGGCAGTGTAAAATCCAGCTCCTTTTCATCCAGGTAGGCTTACTCAAAGAGATGACGATGGCCGGGAAGGCCGTCTTGTTTGGTGAAATGACAATTGGCACTGACGGGTTGGTCATTCGCAAACTTGGCACTTGCCACTGGACGAATTCCCTGTTCAACAAAGCAGAAATTGAACCGTTTCGTTCAAAGGTGAACAAAAAAAAGTCAGTGATTGTTGGGATTCAACGATTGCAGTATCCAGTTGCAAACACGTCAAAGTTGGCAACCAAAAATGCTTAAAACGAAAAAAAAAAAAAACCGAAAAAACGAAAAAAAAAAAAAATCTTGGAAAAAAAAAAAAAAAAAAAGAGAAATCAAAACCATGCGGCTTTTGGGCTTTGGCTTTGGCTTTGGATCGCATTGAAGGACGAAAAGCACCCCAGGCGCATGATCAGCAGCACTTGAATCAGCATGATCACAGTGATGACACACACACACACAAGCAAACTCACCAGAGGGAGCCTCGCGAGACAGAGTGCGTGTAGACAGTGATGCGCTCGACGGCGGGATGCAGAGCAAAGCCATTGCGCTGGGCGGCGGCCTGCGTGCGGGGCTGGCGGAAGGCGATCGGCGCTGGTCGACCCGCGCGCCTTTCGAGACGCGCAGCAGTCGCCGCAGCAGCTGCCTGGAGCGAGGCGGCGACCTCGGCAGCGGTGGGGCCGCCAGGCGTGCCCGCAACGTCGCCAGCAGCAGAAGCAGCCGCAGCAGCTGCAGCGTCGGCACCGCTCTCCTCGCCTGGCTTGGCCGAAGCGCCGAGGGCATCGGTGGTGTATGCGAGCTCCTCAGCAGTCCACTGGGCGGCTTCCTCGCGAGGGGCCTTCTTGCCGGCGCGAGCGGTCGCCAGCGCAATGGAGCTGCTCGCCTGGCTCGAGAGCATCCGTCGAGAGCCAGCAGCGCATCGCAGAGCCAGCCCAGCAAGCATTGTTTCTGGTCACAAAAATAAAGAGTGTGAGTGTTATAAAATCCAAGTATGATTGTCATTGAATGGGTGCAGCATTATGAAAGGCGAGATGTGAAAGTCGATGGTCGGTCGGTTTTCAACAGTGGCGTTAGCAAGCGGGATCCAGCCCCCGTCTTGCCCCACTCGAAGATCCAGCATTGCAAATTCGGCTCGCATTGCGAAATTTAGATAGATGGTGCGATGGTGTGAGCGAGCGATGAACGAGCTGGCAGAAACTGTCTGAAATGTTCGTTTTCTTCTCAACGACGCCACACAAAGCAGCCATTGGAGAAGTCCATTACCATTCGTGCAAAATGCTGGGAATGTCTGCCACCCAACGCATGGCATTGCTTCGCACTTGTTCTCAGCCATCGCAACAACCGCGCTAAGACCAAAATCTCAGTCTTTTGTTTATTTTTTTTTTCTAGCTTAAGCGCGTCTTCGCTTTCTCTTCTTCCTCCCTCCCCTCTCCTCCCTACAAACAACAACAACATGGATCTCGATCAGTGGGTTGACCTGGTGGCGCAGTGCAAGTACCTGCCCGAGAACGACCTCAAGAAGCTCTGCGACCGCGTGGTGGATATTCTGATTGAAGAGTCCAATGTGCAGCCCGTCTCGTCCCCAGTCACTGTCTGCGGCGACATCCACGGGCAGTTCTACGACCTCGAGAAGCTCTTTGTCACTGGCGGCCCCGTTCCCGAGACCAGCTACATCTTCATGGTATGTAAGAGAGAGAGAGAGCGAGAGAGAGAGAGAGACTCCTCGACAAGTCAAAGCGAGAGAGTGAAGAGAAGCAACCAAGAACAAAGTAAAATAAAATGAAAAGAATCGGTTTGGACGTTGGAGGTTGGCTTTGGCTTTTGTGCAGCGCCTCGTCACTCGCTTTCACTGCGTGGCGGTGCTCGTGTGTGTGTGTGTGTGTCGCTCTGTCTCTGACTGCTGTGGAAGCGCGAGCCAACAGAGAGGCTGACGACTGACGGCCCTTTTTTTTTTTTTCAAAATCTCGCCTTTTTATTTTTTTTTTTATTTTTGTGTTTTTTCGTTTGGTGCGCTCGTGGAGTGGACTCGAGGGGGACAGGTCCTGAACCCACATCTCACTACGAGTGAGGGTGGGTTGCCTGCTCGGTTGGAGTGGTGAGTGTTTGCACCGGCACGAGCGCAACAAAAGTCCCTCTTCTTTTTTTTTTTTTTTTGAAATATCAACTTTTTTTTTTTTTTTTTTTTTGGCTGGATGAAGCATTGGAACTGTCGTGTCGTCGGGGAAGCTCCGCCACAGCGCCTTTTCGCTCGTCGTCGGCAAGCATTCTAAACAAGCGAACAGTACTCCGGACCAGGGATAGTGGCGGATAGCCTCGAGACACTGTATCCTTTGACTCGTTTTCATTCACTCATCAACCCATCGTTTCTATCGTATTGTGTTTTTTCTGCTTTCCATAGGGCGACTTTGTCGATCGTGGCTATTACAGTCTCGAGACCTTCACCCGCCTGCTGACGCTCAAGGCCAAGTACGTGCTTGTTGCACATGCTGTGCTGTGCGCGTGTCATGTTTGTTCAAAGTATTGACTTGTTTTCCCCCTCTAGGTACCCCGATCGCATCGTCCTTCTTCGTGGCAACCACGAGAGCCGACAGATCACCCAGGTCTATGGCTTCTACGGTAGGTCATGGTGCATTGTTTGCCGAAGGAGAAGAAATGCTGCGCGCTTCTCTCTTTTTTTTTTTTTTTTTTTTTTGCCTTTTTTTGTTTGTTTGTTTGTATTCACTCGTGCTTCGCTTCGTACTCGGTAGATGAGTGCCAGACCAAGTACGGCAATGGCAACGCGTGGAAGTACTGCACCCGTGTCTTTGACTATCTGACCGTCGCTGCGGTATGATTGTCTCTCCGGTTTCTGCTGTCGACGATGATTTCATCTGCTGACGCTCACATTCTCATGCTCCCCTTTTTTTATCCTTCCCTTTTCGCTCAAATACCGACGCGCAGCTTATCGACGACAAGGTCCTTTGCGTGCATGGTGGTCTCTCCCCCGACGTGCGCTCGCTCGATCAGATTCGCACGATCGACCGCGCACAAGAAATCCCGCACGAGGGTGCTTTCTGCGATCTCATGTGGTCCGACCCCGAGGATATCGAGACTTGGGCTGTCAGTCCTCGCGGCGCTGGCTGGCTGTTTGGCAGCAAGGTTGCTCAGGAGGTAGGCCCGCTTTTTTTTTTTTTCTTGTTGTTTTGTCTTGCTGTCGCTTTTTTTTTATTTGTTTGTTTCTGTCACTCACCTGGGCCCCCTTCTTCCTCTAGTTCGTCCACGTTAACGACCTTACCCTCATCTGCCGAGCACATCAGCTCGTCCAGGAGGGCTACAAGTACATGTTCCCGGAGGAGAACCTGGTGACTGTGTGGTCTGCACCAAACTATTGCTATCGCTGCGGCAACGTTGCGTCAATCCTCGAGTTTGACAGCTCGATGAATCGCACGTTCAAGATCTTTGACGCGGTTCCCGACAACGAGCGTGTCATTCCCCCGCGTGTCTTTACTCCTTATTTCTTGTAAACCTGTGGTCGTGCATTTTTAATCTTTTTTTTTTTTTGGTGTGTGTGTGTAAGTGTATGTGTTTGTGTGGGGAGCTCGAGTTGCTCCCTTCAACCCTCGTAGTATGTTTGTGCGTTTTCTTTTTGCGCTGATGGGTGTTTGCCCTGCAAACTCTCTTCCGCTCCAACTCTTCCCTTTTTTCCTCGCTTTTGCTGTACGCCTGGTTGCAAACTCTCATTGGTTATGTAAATTTCTGCAATCCTTGGAACACCTTTTGATACCATTGCCTTGTTCTGAATTTTTGGTTTGGTCGGAACAATATACAATTCTTTGTCTTCTTCTTCTTCCTTCTATTCGAAACAATGAATACTCCTGGATTTGCAGATGATTGAATTGAATTCTCTTCTGGATTAAGGCAGGTGGGACTGTCACGCGTGCTCGGTCCAGTCGTTTTTGCAGTCGAAACAGATATCCTTAAACGAAATGAAGTACTTTGTCGTCAGCGGCGGTGTGATCAGCGGCATTGGCAAGGGCGTCATTGCGTCGAGCGTCGGCGTGCTGCTCAAGTCGATCGGCCTCAATGTCACCAGCATCAAGATCGATCCCTACCTCAACATTGACGCTGGCACCTTCTCCCCTTACGAGCACGGTAAGGCGAGATTCAGAGTCAGAGCGAGAGAGAGAGAAACCATTATTACCGAGAATTTTTTTTTATTTTTATTTTTTTTTTTTTTGGCTTTGTTTCTTTGAGCTGTTCTTTGAGCAGCCAGTCGTCGCTTCAGCTCTTTTGTGTTGTGTTTTCATTCTCTGTGTCACTCTCGAGTTGCATTGTGAGCTTGAGGCTTTTGTCTGGTAGCCCAGCCAAACGTGCGGTCGAGCGTGGTCTATGTGGCCTCCTTTTTTTTTTTTTTTTTTTTCGCTTTGGTTCGATTTTTTTTTTTCGTTCGCTCTTCGTTTTGTCGTCCTGCAATGCTTGGCTTTTGTGTTTCAGGCTTTTTTCATTCAGCTTGTGGTTTGGCTTTGTATCTTGGATGTGTTTGGTGGGCTATGAGCTGCAAACTCGAGCGCAGACGCTTTGGTCTTTGTGTTCCTCGTGGCGCTTTTCGACCTCTTTTTTTTTTTTTTTTTTTTGACATCCGGCACCTTTTGCCCATTGGAACATGAGCAAACGGCACACCTCGATTCATCAACAGAACAGTCATCCCGCTTTGTGTGCGGTGTGTCAGCGCTTTTTTTGATTCCTGCACTTTGGCTGTGTTGGCAATCGAATCGGCCAAAAACCATGTGTTGCTTCGTTTTTTCGTTTTCTTTTCGTTTCGTGGCTTTTTTTTTTTTTTTAATTTTTATTTTCTTTTCTGATGATTAAAAGTTGATTTTTTTTTGGCGCGAAATCTGCCGAGTTTTTCCGCGCCAAAAAAATCCAGTTTCGTCGTCGGCTGAACGTTTCTCTTGTGGTTTTTCCCGTCAACCTACTCAAAACACCCAACATCTCACTCTATGATCTACCTTCCTGTGCCTCGCAGGCGAAGTCTTCGTCTTGGACGATGGCGGCGAGGTCGACCTCGATCTGGGCAACTATGAGCGCTTTTTGGACATCAAGCTCCACCGCGACAACAACATCACGACCGGCAAGATCTACCGAGATGTGATTGAGCGTGAGCGAAAGGGCGACTACCTTGGCCGCACGGTGCAGGTGGTGCCGCACATTACCGACGCCATCCAGGACTGGATTGAGCGTGTCGCGCGCGTGCCCGTTGACAAGGATGGCAACACGCCCGATGTCTGCGTCATTGAGCTCGGCGGCACGGTGGGCGACATTGAAAGCATGCCCTTCGTGGAGGCGCTCCGCCAGTTCCAGTTCCGCGTTGGCCGCGAGAACTTTTGCCAGCTGCACGTCTCGCTGCTCCCTGTTGTGGGCGCCAGCGGCGAGCAAAAGACCAAGCCGACCCAGCACAGCATTCGCGAGCTGCGTGGACTTGGCCTTTCGCCCGACATTATTGTCTGCCGCTCGCAGACCCCCGTCGAGGCGTCGATTCGCGCCAAGGTGGCCATGTTCTGCCACGTTGCCTCCGAGCAGGTCATTGCCGTGCACGACCTCTCGTCCATCTACCGCGTGCCGCTCCTGCTCGAGAGCCAGGGCTTGATCAAGTACTTTGCCAACCGCCTCAACCTTCAAATCCCCCAGGCCTTCCCCATGCTGCTTTCGCGCTGGGGCCAGCTTGCAGACCGCTACGACCGCCTGTTCGAGGAGGTCCGCATTTGCATTGTCGGCAAGTACACTGGCCTGAGCGACTCGTACCTTTCCGTCATCAAGTCGCTGCAGCACGCGTCGCTCGCCGCCAACCGCAAGCTCAAGATTGAGTGGGTCGAGGCCGCCGATCTCGAGTCGACCTCGAACGACGACCACCCCGTCAAGTACCACGAGGCCTGGCAAAAGCTCTGCTCGGCCAACGGCATTCTCGTTCCTGGCGGCTTTGGCGAGCGCGGTATCGAAGGCAAGATTGCCGCCGCCAAGTGGGCCCGCGAACACAACATTCCTTACTTTGGCATCTGCCTCGGCCTGCAAACCGCTGTCATTGAGTTTGCCCGCAACGTGCTTGGCCTCAAGGACGCCAACTCGGCCGAGTTTTCCAGCACCACCGCCAACCCCGTGGTTGTGTACATGCCCGAGATTTCCACCACCCACAAGGGTGGCACGATGCGATTGGGTCTGCGCCGCACCGTCTTCAAGCACCCCAACTGCTTGAGCCGAAAGCTGTACAGCCTCGTCAACCACAACGCTGTCGACACTGATTACGTGGAAGAGCGTCACCGTCACCGTTATGAAGTGAGTAGGGGGAAAACGAGAGAGAGTGTGTGAGAGAGAGGATGATGGTTGTGGGTTGCTCCAACAGTTGGTTTGTCAGACCAGGAGCTAGCGTGAAAAACAAGTTACTGACTGTTCTTCCTTGAAACGTGCGTCTGGCCTTGGTTTTTTTTTGTCCCCCTCAGGTTAACATCAAGTACGTCAAGGAGCTGGAGGCTGCTGGCATGAAGTTTGTCGGCCACGACATCGAGGGCGAGCGCATGGAGATTGTCGAAATTCCCGGTGCGTGCTCCTGGATTGGGAGAAGGGCTTTCGGATGCATGTGGTGGTGGTTTTTTTTTGCGAAGCCAATGTTTTGACCGTCATTTTTTTTTCTTGTCATTTGTTGTTTTCTGGGATGCAACAGACCGCAAGTTCTTTGTTGCTGCGCAGTACCACCCCGAGTACCTTACCCGACCACTGCACCCGACCCCTCTGTTCCTCGGCTTCATCCTCGCCTCGAGCGGCTTGCTGGATGAGTTCATTGCAAAGGGCACTGGCGTTGAGGCCTACACGGCTGTGCGCCAATCCGCTTCTGGCGATCCCTTTGAGAACCTGCACATCCCCGCCACCCCTTCGTCGGCCCTTTCCACCACCGATTCCGAGTAACGGGTTCCGTCCAATCTGAGTAGTAATAGCAGCAAATCAACGTCTCCACTTTGGGGGGCCCCCTATTTCCCGTTCCTCAGGAGCCGTTGTCTCTGCCGTGAATAATTTTTGAAATCATTTGTTTCATTTCCTTCCCTTCTGTCTTCCTTGGCCATTCGTATTCCAAGCGGGCAAACCTTGTGTCTACTTGCCATGACTAACTGATGCGTCAGCGCTGGCAAGTCGTTCGTTTTTGAGCCGTGTAATTTTACGTGTAATCTGATGTAGAATCGTTGTTGCGTTTGTTCTGCCGTTTGTTTTTGCCATTTGACAAATGCGATAAATGATAACATCACCAATACGTGTACTTTGCAAAAACAACAAACAATCGATGATTTAATCACAAGGTGGCAAAGTCCAACAACTCTACGGTGATGAAATGGGCTTGTAGCTTTTGCATGATGGATCGACAGTAGGGTGAAAAAGTGCCATTCTGCTCCATTCTTACATCGTTACGTACGTTATGTGTTACAGTTTGTGTGTTTGTGTGAGCGAACGTTCAGCGTCTATGTGTCACTGACCAAAGCGGAGCAGTTGTTCAAAATTCAATAATACAATAGAAATACATATCCGCCACACCTAAAACGCGTTCTCGTCGTCATCATCATCCTCATTTTGAGATTGCCGGGCGCGCTTGCGAGCAAGGGTGGTGCTGGATGACTGCCGACTTGCCGTCGAAGCGTGATTGGGAGGTGCCGACGCGGGCGGGAAGACGAGCGGGGACGGCAGGGTTTGCCGGATGGCAGCTGCCGTGTTGGGAGTCAAGCCCCAGGCCGACGGGGTGTTGGCAAGAAGCGAGTCCAGCTGTGAGTTCGGTGTCGTGAATGCAGCACCAAACAGGAGACTCGAGGTATTGGACCGAGGTGTCATTGTCGGCAAGGCCAGCCCACCATTCACGTTGTCTCGTCCTGGTTGTTGGCGAGGTGCGGCTGGCGTCATCAGCATTTCATCCGGAAAAGCCGGCATGTCCAATAGACGACTGGTTGTAACGAAACCAGCTGAAGAAGGTGCTGCAGGCTGTTGTCGTGCACGATGCGGCGACGCTTGCAACCCCAAATTTGCAACCAAAGCCGACTGCTGCGGTTGCGACTGCGACGGAGCTCGGTGGAGAGGAGAGTAGGCTGGCCGCTGAGGTGTTTGTTGCGATCGATGGGGAGTGAGATGCCCCTGCGTGGGCTGCCCAGTCGCAGATGCTGGTGCAGCAGTCGATCGATCGGGAGTGCGCTGGGATTGTTGAAGGTGCTGCGGTTGCAACTGTTGCTGCAGCTGAGTTTGGTGTTGCTGCAACTGAACGTGGTGTAGCTGCTGATGCTGCTGATGCGGCTGTTGATGAAGCTGCTGATGCTGCGGATGCGACGGCAAGAAATCGTGCATCAATGTATGCGGGGAAGCAGGCCTTGTCGACATGCCTGCAGAGGAAATGGCGCTCGTAGTCGTAAAGATGGATGGCGCGATGGTCCCAGGAGCGCCTCCACCAACCGAAGCAACACTGGCCGAGTTGAATCGGGCGGCGTCGGTGGGTGTAAAGCGCGCAACGGCTGCCGGCACAGAGGTCTGGGTAGCCATGTGCTGGTGATCATTCACGTAAGCAGATGGTCGCCTCTGTTGCTGCGTCCGCTCCGGGCGTGGACGCGAAGGTTTGGGAGCTCGCTTTTGACAGCTCGCTTGGCAGGACTCGGTGAGTTGCCGCTCGAGGAGGACGAGTCGGCGACGGCAATGAAAGCACAGCTTGGCTCGCCGGCTTTGACGAAAGTTGTCAGGTATGCGCGAGCGAAAATGCGCCGCGGACAGCGTGATTTCTGGGTGTTTGAGAGAAAATTGGCGATACAACTCAGTGACTGAGTCGTTCAAGATGCGGATGCGATCGGCCTGATGATGGTGGTGGAAGCCACTCGACGCAGCTCCGGCAGCAAAGGAAGAAGCCGATGCGTCTGGATGCCAGGGCAACGTTATTGCATTGCGATCGGCCACCGTCGACACTACTTGCGGCTGTTGTTGCATCAGCTCGTCTGGTCGCCACTGCTCCAGCGACACGGAGGGAAGCCGTCGATGTTGTGCTTGCAGTCGACGCTGCTGTGCTTGCCGGCGCTGTTCTTGTGTCTCCAAGACGCTAGCGTCGTCGCCTTCTCGGGAGCGAGAGGTCGCCAATCGCCGCTGCTCCGAGCCAGCTGGCAGATCGTCGTCATCGTCCTCGTTGTGGTCCCGAGCGGCGTCCTCGCTCGTGTTCGGTGCGCGTGCGCTTTCAACAGCAGAGTGACTTGGCGGGTTGGACTCCCACGGCAACGGCTCTCGGACGGTCTGCGCCGGTTGGCGAGAACGAGATGTGGCAGGCTCTCCAGCATCAGTTTCGTGCCACGGATGTTCTTCCTCCGGGTCGTACGAATGCTGCATAAGAAAGGTGCTGAGACACAGCTGCATATGGGTGAGCGATTCAACCGAGGCGATGGGAACCACTGCCTTCGCGGGATGGAGGGACAGGCTCGAATTTGGTGCTGCCTGCGACGATGTCGTGTGTGTGTGTGGTGGTGGCACTTGCGTGGATGGCGTCGGCTGGTGCGCGCTGCCCGCGTTCGCGAGTGTTCGGGCGCGAACGAGCTGGTCTGTGCCAAAGTGGAAGCCAAGGCTCTTGAGCTCGCGGCGGCCAAAGTGCGGGGCAACGAACGCGAGCCAATAGTCGCGATACGCCTTGTCCGCCTTGTTTGCCGCGTTGTGGGCTTGGCGGATGCTCTCGACAACGCCGCGATAGCTTTTTTGATGCCGAACGGCGTCCAGGTACATGCCTCCCTCAGGAATCAGCGCGAGAAAGGACTTGAGCAACGCCGGGCCGTCCGGCTCGCCTGGAGGCAAACTGCCCTTGATTGCTGTGAACAAGGACGCCAATTGTTGGCATCCGTCGTTGCGCACCTCTCGAGCTTGTTGTCGCGCTACGTTGCGTCTGAGATTCATGTCCGCAGTCCATCGAGGATTTCGAGCGCCAGAAAGCGCGGCAGCACCATGATGATTGGAAGCACCAGCAGTAGCGGCAGCAGCAGCAGCAGACTCGGTTGCGGGTGTGGTCGACGAGCCGAGCAAGGGCGTTGCGGTGCTCATGGGCGTGGTCCGCGCGCGTCCGCTGCGATGGGGCTGGCGCTCGTCGTTGTCGTCGTCGTCGCTGGCGGAGTGGCTTTGGTGCAAGCGACCCATCTCATTGTCATCGTCGTCGTCGCCATCATCATCAGCGTCATCACTATCATTGCTATCATCATCATCATCATCGTCCTCGTCGTCGTCGTCGTCGTCGTCGCGGCCGTTTCGGTGATGGCTCGCATGGTGGTCGTTTGCGCTTGAATCGTGGTGCCCAGCCCGCAGACTCTCGCGACGAAGGCGGCTCCCGTGCATGCCCGGAGAACGGCTTCGGTCGTGTGGTAGCAACACGGGTGGTTGGCGGGTCGTGGGAGCAGCAGCGGCGGTGCGAAGTCGAGCTCCAGCCCGCAGCGATGGTTGTTGGCCGCCGCCTCCCGCAAACTGGCTCATTGCATGACGACTGAGCCAACAATAGCAGATTTACAACAATGATGTGCGCTGCGATCATCCAATCGAAGAAAGGATTGCTTGATTCACCGAGCAGTAGTGGGAACAGAGTATGATGCATTCCAAAACCCCAATCTGCTCAGAACCGACGAGTGTCCGTCCGCGTTGACGAGCATCCTCATGTTGCAGGAGCCTGGTTCACTTGAGCAAAGCAATGAGCATCAAATGCTCACCAAAGTTCGTCTTAGCGTCGACGCTGTGATTTGACTGAAAAACAAAAATTCGTCCGTTTTGGCTGTGTTGCCTCATAGCTCAAAAAGGCGTTGAAACATTGGCTCCCGCGTGTCTCCTCACAGAAGCGCGCTCACGTCGACCAGACCTCCGCATCCGCTTGGCTACGATAACACCTATCATGCGTGGATCAGTGTCTGATTGGCGGAGGACGGGCTGGTCGCTTCATGGAGTCCTCGTGGGAGCAAGGAGAAGGGTGTTTTTGGCGGGAACTGTTTACGTCACTTCTCGTTTTTCGGGTGCCTAGAGATGGCCCCGAGTCAAAGCGCCCCGCCCCTGCATCCACACACTTTGTGATGCACTGATCGACAGAGGAAGGGCGGATTGGTGGCGTCACAGAGTCCGCAGAGCAAGGAGAGAGGCGTTGAGTGTTTTTATTGTTGTTTTTTTTTTTGGCGGGAACTCGTCACCACTTTCTTTTTTCGATGACTCCGGGCACAGGCGCCCCGCCACTGCACCCACGCACTTTATTCATGCACTGATCGACACATGGGGGGGGGGTAAAGACGCATGGAAGCCGCGAGAGGCACTGATGGGAGGAAGAGACAGCTTGATAGAACAAAAGTTATACATACGATACACCAACCAAACCACTGTACATTCGCCACATTCGCCAACTTCAACAAGTAGGGCAAACACCGCAACGACCGGGGCAGGACACAGTTGCAAGCAAAGCGCCTCTCATCAGCCCATTGCACTGGCAACCACGCTTGTTGTGGGAAGCGCAGGAAGGCGTGACATACGCCTCGCCATGAATCCAGACGTGAGCTCCGTGTACAGCGCTCTTTTGGCACCGTTCGTTCGTGGCTTGTGTCATGAAATTGCAAAATGATGTTCTGTCGTATTGGATGTCCTCGGGAAGCTTTTCTGCGGCCTTCCTCAAAACCTTGAGGAAGCCGCCCGCTTCCTGAACACAGCACACCGCGTCAGCACTGCCAACAATCGAGCAAGCTTGCTCGATTTGGGTGGTAGTCGTATAGACCAGGTGCGGACGAAGAGCGAGTTGAAACTTGCCCAGGCGCTTAAGTTCTGTTGCCATCTCAAAAAACACAAATTGTCCTTTTTCGAACGAAGACTGACCCGCCAATCGCTTTTGGAAGGCTTGTCTATCTCTACACCAACTCATAATTCAACAAGCAACCCATTTAGGAGCTCGTGCACCTATCGCGATCTGAATCCTTCTTCCCAAGGGAACTCAACGCCAACCTCCTTCGCCATTTACGTTATTGCCAGCTCGCTTTCCTTCTGCCCAGTACTCACTTTAGCAAATTTGACATCGTGAAACCGTTGTAAACACAAAAAAGGCTTCTTCATTGGTCTTTCCAACATAGCAGAAAACACAGCAGAAAACACAGCAGAAAACACAGCAGGGTAGAAAACAGAGAATAACAGCAGCAGTAGCACAAAAGAAGGATTGAACAAAGAAAACAGGCAATCACACACAGCTGTAAAAAACACAAAAACATCAGACCATGAAAGAAAGCACAACAAAACACTTTCTCTGCTCGTGTGATTTAAGCAGAGCCAGTGCCGGTAGCGACGGGGGCAACAGAGTCAATCTTGGCCTCGGCAAACTTGCGGACGATCGGGACAGCCTCAGTGTTGGTAGGGCGCTTGTGCTCAATCATCATGTGGTTCTCGGGCTTGAGGCCGACGCAAGCACGGAAAATGTTCTCAATGCAAGCGCGCTGGCGGAACAGAGCGTTGACGACGGGGGTGCCGTTGGGGACGAGCGGGGCCTTGAGCATGAACGAGAGGATGGAGAGAACAGAGTTGAAGCGGTCAAACTCGGCCATGTCCTCGGTCTTGAAGGTGATGCGCTCGCAAATCTCGGCAAGGATGACGAGATCAAAGATCAGGGGCGAGGCGAGCAGAGAGTCCTCGCAAGTGTTGTGCATGACAATCGTGTTCTTGCCGCCCATGAAAATCTCAGAAGTGTACTCGTCCATGGCGCGCTTCGAGTCGGCAACGTACGGGACGTACTTGATGACGACAACGTGGTCGGGGTGCTCGTCCTTCTTGTACAGAATGTTGTTCGAGGCAACCATGTCGTCGACAACGTTCGACTTGGAAATCTCCTTGGAGCGGAACTGCTGGGGCGCAGAGAGGTTCTTGCCGTCGTTGTTGCCGAGGTGGTTGTACGAGACAATGGAGGTGGGCTTGATGCCGGCGCCGACGAGGAAGTCGACGAGGACGGACTTCATCTTGGTCTGGCCAGACTTGAAGTCGTCACCAGCAATGTAGACGCGGCGCTGGTTGGCAAGGTCGACGACACCGGGGACGAAGGTGTTCTGGGGCGAGCCGTTAATGTAGGTGCAGCCTTCGAGGACGGAGGCAACGGCAAAGAGGGTCGAGGGCGAAATCTCAGAGTGGCCCTGGCTGATGGCGTTGAGAATGTTCTCGGCAGTGTCGTTCATGCCGGGAATAATGTCGGCAAAGCGCTCAGTGTTGGCAGTCCAGAGGACAATGACCTTGTCGAGGTTCTCGCGAGCCTTGAAATCGCGAATGTCGCGGCGAATCTGCTCCATCTGCTCCTGCTTGGAGCCAGTGAGGACGTTGTCGGCGCGGTCGGCCTGGTTGGCAGCAATAAAGTCGGGGAAGTAGATGGACGGGCGGGGGCGCATGTTGACCATCATGGGGTAGAGCTGGCGCTGGAGATCATAGTCAAAGACTTGAGCGCGCTTCATCGAGTCGCCGAGGTTGGCAGAGGAAATGTCCCAGCCATCGACAATAATGTCGTTGGGGTTGACCATCGGGAGCAGGTGGTTGAAGGGGACGAAAATGTCACCGTTGGGGCCAGAGCCAAGGCGAACGGTCGAAGCCTGGGTGAGCGAACCCCAGTAGTCGGGGTTGCGGGTGCCCTCCTTGGTGTTCCAGGAGACGTTGTGCTTGTTGGCCAAGAGAGCGCCAGTCACGGTGGAGCCGTTGTTGCCACCCCAGCCGACCAGCATCATGCCCAGGCGCGGAACCTTGCGCTCGGTGCGGAAGACAAAGTTGGTGGCAGTCGGAGTGACCTCGAGGACGGCGCCGGTCTTGGGGTCGAAGGTCAGGTCGGTCGACTCGTAGACGACGCGCGACTCGATGGTGGCATCAGTGTAGGTGACAGTGGGAGAGTTAACCTTGAACGTCATTTTCTTGCGGTGATGAAAAGGCGGGTTTTTTTCTCGACAAAAAGAAAACTGCAGAAAAAAAAAAGAAATGGAAGTGAGTTTGTGATGGCAGATGGCAAAAAAGATGGAGCAAGGGAAATGGAAGGGAATGAAGATCCCAGTCCATTTAGAGCTGGCATTGCGATGATAAGAATGTTTCAGATGAGGAGCTAGTGTGTGTGTGAAAGTGATGGTTGCAACGGAAAGAGTTTGCGGTTGGAAAAAAGAAACCGACAGAAAATAAAACAAAAAAAAAAAAAGACAAAAAAAATAGCGGCAGATGACGCTCAGTGGTGGTCGATGACGCAGACGAGCTCGCAGAACCTGCTCCGTTGGTGCACACACTCACCACCATGACACATGTACATGCTTGTGTGTTGGTGGAGTGAAACCAGCGACGCAAGACCGGGAGGTTCGGCCAACAGGCGTGGGGTTTGTTGTGGCTTTTTTTTTTCCTTCCTTTTTTTTTTCTTTTCTTTTTTTGTTGTTTTTGTGTTTTCAAATCTCGCGCCACGTCGACAACAGGATTGTTCAAGCTTGAAACACAACCCAAAAGACCCGCCCCAGGCACCGTTGTTGTTCAATGCCCATTCCCACTCACCCCCACACCAGCAAAACAAGGCCACAGCACACGGTTGCCGTCGCCTCGGCTTGTCGGCCGCAATCGGCAGCAACCGAAAAAACCGTTTGTGTTGGGGGAAACGCGAAAAGCGTGACTTTTTTTTTGTGATGCATTTTTTTTTTCACTGTGTTGGATTTTGCAATTTTTTTTGTGATGCTGCTGCGAGTGAGGCTGACGACATGCCAATGGGAACGCAATGCCGCATGCGTCACTGAACGCAGCAGTAGTGAACCGAAGAAGAGACGACACGGAAAAAACAAAAGCGGAAAAAAAAAGTCACCCCACGCCACGTTGACAAAAAAAAACGGAAAATAAAAAGGCAACAACAAGCAGCGTAAAAGAGCGACGGTGACACAAGCGAGAGGAAGGAGGAAGGACGAGGACAATCAACGAGCAAAGGTCGAACTTACACGAAGCGGGTGCGCAGTGGGGGGGAAAAGAATGGAGAAACTTAAAAGTGCTTTGCCAGAACGAAAATCAAAAAAAAAAAAAAAAAAAAGTTAAAAAGTCCTTTTTTTTTTTTTTTAGAAGGAGAAAAATCAAAGATCGCGTGGGGCTAAAGATCAAAGGAGATGATCCGAGTTGTTGGTAAGCTCGCGTTCGCGAAGGTAGGTTTGAACGTGCTGGGGTGCGCTGGCAAAGTCACTAATAAGGAGGCTGATGTGCTGGAAGCAGAACATCAAGTGGCAGAGGCGAGAAGAGGGAGAAGAAACAGTGAGACTTTTTTTTTTGGAATAAAAAAAAAAGGCTCAAAAGCGAAAAGTGCAGAAGGAAGAAAAAAAAGTGGAGTGAAACAACCCGAATTGAGAAATTGAATTGAAATGAGCATTGAATTGAAATGAGTGGCAAGAGCAATGGAAGATGGAAGATGGAAACATGGGGAAATATGAAATGGAAGATGGACGATGGACGATGGAGAAAGAGCGGCAGCGAATGGAAGGACGGTTGGAGTGGTGGGGAGGAGAAATTCGACCAATTGGGAGCAAATTGAAGAGTGGCGATGCATTGCTGATGGTAAAAGTGCTGAACGTATGTCGACCTATACAGAGCGGGGGAGGTGGGGGCCGCGTTAGACTACTGGTGTGAGCTTGATGAACAATGTTGGAATTGCTTTGGTCTGCTTTGGACGGCAAACTCCAAGGCACTCAAAAGGTCAGGAGCGGACAAGATACATCGTTCATTAAAAACAAAAAACAAAATTGAAACACACCAAGTACCAAAAAAAAAATGAAACAAAAGGGATTAACTTGCAAACGACCCGTCAAGCTCACGGTCGGACTCTGCTAATTCAGCCTGTGATCGTTTGGCTGGCGGGAGGGTGCCAGCTGCGACTACAGCTGGGTCTAACGGATCTGCCAGTTCTTCGAGAGGCATCTGACCGTCGCGCGACTGGCTCTGCGGGTCGAACGGATTTGGCGGTGGTGGGCTCTGGCTTGGCTCATCGGAGGAGCGATGGCTGTGTGCCGTCGGCGGGTAATGCTGTTGCTGGTACTGAGGTTGTTGCACTTGTGATTGCGATGCTGAGGCCGGGGGCGGCTGCTGCGGCGGCTGCTGCTGCGACGCGTACGGCCGCTGCCAGCCATGCCCCCATTGGCCCCGTTGATTCAGCTGCTTGCGCTCCTCGGGGTCTGAATTGGGCGAGGCGAGCGTGCGACCCGCAGTCCCCATGTTTTTGGAGATTTCGGCGGACAGTCTGCTGATTTCAGCCACGGTGCGCACCGGATCGACCTTGCGCACCTGCTGCAGATACAGCCCGAGGATTTCAACTTCGGCGCGGCAGTCATAGCAGCAGTCGATGCCTTGTCCGCGAATGGGGTGCTCGTACAGGGCCACGCGCTGGACGGTGTTGAAAAAGAACATTTGCTCCTCGTACGTCTTGTTGTCGTAGGCCCGCAAGGCGGTCGAGTCAGCGTGGGTGACCAGCCGCGCCTCCGTCGTGGTGATGGGCCCCCAGACGGGCAAGTACACTTCGCCATCCAGATACATGGTCTGGCCCTCGTTCCATGGGAGCCGGAATTTGAGCATGCTTCGGTGCGGCTGCATGATTTCGTGCCATCGCATCTGCGCAGCCATGTCTGCCTGGGCCTGGGCCTCAATTTCGTCGTCGGGCGACCGAATGTCGCTGATAAAGAGAACGCCCTTGCCGAGAAACTCTTGCGCCAGCTCGTTGGAAAAGTACTGCTGGCGGAAGGAGATTTGTTCGGTCTGCTTGATCTTGAATGGAGCAGGATCGACGCCGACAAACTTGAGGTGCGGAAAGAAGCTGGCAAGGTACTGCATGTGGCCGCCGGGAGCTGCTCCTGCGTACACGACAAGGCGATCTGGCGTGCCGTACAGCGACAGGAACTCAATCTCGCTCATCAGCATCTTGCGCTCGCCCCAGTGGATGACGGACTTGGTCTCGTGCTTGCGTCGCCGGTACGCCATTCGAGGCGCGTCTGGCCGCAGTGTGCGATGGAAACTGAGGTTTCGGCGCGACTCGTACCCTTGGTTGAGCCAGACTTGGGCAATGTGCGGGTTGGCGCGCTCGTTCAAGTGCAGCGGCAGCTCGACTGGTCTTGGTGGCGCCTCGCGTGCCTGCGACTGGATGGCTGCCAGCGCCGAATCCAGCACGGACGGCGTGCCACTGCTGCCACTGGTCGTGTAGGTACCGCCAGAATAGCTACTACTGCTCGTGCTTGGACGGCCGCTCGGCAATCCCGTCGCTCCTCCTCCTCCTCCTTCCACGCTACTACTGCTACCACGAGCGGTGCCAGCAGCGTCACTTGGAGCCGAGCCCATAGGCGAGCCCACAGAGCCGCGTCGGTTGCCAGGCAGTCCGTATCCGACTGGGCGCTGCTGCGTTCGTATCTGCGCGAGTGTTTGGGCCGCTGCGCTCCTCCGCGCCTCAGCACTCATCATGCCTGTGCTTGGGCTTTGTGCTTGCTGCTGTTGCTGGTGCTGTTGCTGCTGCATGTCCAGCTTGACTCGCTTGGCGGCGTCTGCATCTTCCACTGGCATGGGTCTCGTTTGGAATCAGAACAATAGCAAAAGACTGAGCATTGCTCAGATTTGGATTTGGGGATCAGAGCGTTGTACTCGGGATTTTTTTTTTGGGGGGGGGGGTTGACATTCTCAAACATTGAATACTTGTATTCACTCCATTTCAAAGGTGCATTGGGCGGCGGGGGCGTCTGAGCGAGTCTCAGTCTTTTTCCTTGTTGTTCGCTGCAACACTCACTGATGCCTGCTGGCTCACTGCCGCAGTACCACCCGCTGCTGCTCAAAGGGGCCGCAGGGACGCCCATGGCCCGCTCGCGCCCTCCAGGCAGTGGCAGAGCGCGGTGCCCGCCGTGGCTGCTCGCCGTGCCGCTTCTGTTCATCCTGTTTGGCCTCGGCTTGCCGATGCTCATCCTGTCCCGACGCGACTATCCCGACCACGATCTGACGGGATTCACATTCGAGCCGCGGCGGCCGAACGCAGCCATCCAGGACAAGCGAAACCCAGCCATTGCACCACTGGGGAGCCTCATGGACGACGCGAAACGCGCCAACGCGGTTCTGCACGCAGTCACTGCAGCTGCGCAGTCTGCTCAGGCTGCCCATGCCGACGCGTCGACGCTTGCCCAAGCTAGCGATGCAAACGCCGAGGCTGGCGAGGACGAGCTCGAGCTCGACGGGTGGAGTCAACGGATTCTCAAGCGCATGTCGGCGTCGTCCCGCGAGCTGTACAAGAAGCTCCGTTTCGGGCTGCTGGGCGGCGCCGAATCCGTCGAAGGGCTGGGCTTTGATGTCTCGCATTCGCAGTGGTGGGAGAGCAAGCGCCCAGACCTGGTCCCGGCGCCGCTCTTGCTCACCGCGCAACCGGACGATTCCGTGCTTATGGCGCGCGCTCGATTCGCGCTCAACCAGCTCGTGTCTGTGCAATGGCCGCGTTTATTCGTTGCCGGACTGCCTACGTTTCCCCGCGTGTTTGCTCGCGATGGCCTGATGTCAGCCTTCCTGCTGGACGATGCAGAGTTGCTTCGCGACATGCTGCTCTTTGCAGCGATGCATCAAGGCCAGCAAGCAAACTCTGTGACCGGCGAAGAGCCTGGCAAGGTAATGCTGTCGTGAGATGGGGTTTTTGGAGTGTTGGTTTTGTGTTGTTTTGTGTTTGGAAGCATGGACTGACAACTTTGTGTGTGTTGTTTGTTTTTCTTCGTTTGAACCAACTCCCATCGCGCACAGATCTTTCACGAACTGCCAGGCGTGTCCATCAACTCGCATCACACAGACTTTGCGGCATGCGACACGACTCCATTGTTTCTGATTGCTGTGGCGCGGTTTGCACATCTGACGCTCATCCCGCCAACGGGCCTCTCCAAACAGCTGCAGGACGAGCGCGTTGCCCTCCTGCAGACGCTTGTGCGGCACGTGAATGAGCAGCATAACGTGGAGGCGTCCATGGCGCCTGCAGCGCTCCTGCGGCTCGAGCGCATCCGGAGGCAACTGCACGCCTCGCCCGACGAACCCAAGCCAATGCTCATGACGCCGGAGGCCCTCGCAGTGTTTGTGCAGCTGTGGCCCGCAGTGCTCCGAGCGGTCACTTACATTCACCGGCACGTTATTGCGGACGGCTTGTTTGTGGACGACCCGCGATTCGCCCAGAGCAGCCGCTTTGCGCTCAAGGTGACCTACTGGAAGGACTCGGTCGTCATGGGTCGCCCCAACGGCCAACCGAGCTATCCCGTCGTGTACACCTTGGCGCATGCCCAAGCCCTGTGTGCCGTTCGAAGCACTGTGGCCATTGTCAACTTTGTGCGTGAGCTCAAAGCGGTCGCCAAGGAACAGGCGGCACAAGCCACCCAACAGGGCGAACCCCTTGAATCCGCGACATTGGGCTCGCTCTCTGCAGCGTTGCTTGAAATTGACGACACTGCGCTTCGATGGATGGAAGGCACGTTGCAGGGTCTCAGCACACGCATGCGCCAAGCCCTGCCACTGCTCTGGGATGGCGATCACGGTCGCTTTCACGTGGGCAAAGACAGCCGAGGTCTGCTCTCTGGCGACGGCACAGATGGCATCCATGCCACCTACTACTTGCAGCCGGACGACCTGAAGCCCTCCCAGTGGGAAAGCATGATGCACAGCGCCACCAAGTCGCTGGCCACCCCGTTTGGCTTTCGCTCCATGTCTGCCGCGGACGACTTGAAGGTGCCTCTGAAGGAGCGATACCACACTGGATCTGTCTGGCTGTTTGAGCAAGCGTTCATTCATGCCGCAGCAACTTGCACTTTCCGGGACAGCCAACAGTATCTTGGCGCGTTTGACAGGCCCCTCCAAGCAGACGAGCTTGCCCAGCTTTTGAACAAACCCGAGCACGCTCGAGAGGCCCGTCTGCTTCAGCTGGATGATCGCTCCAACGACGATAACGCCAGACAAGAAGCCCCGGGCTTGACGCTGGAAGAAGACACTGCTGTTCATGCGGCGGCCTCCGCGGTCTCGGAGGCTGCAAGAAAGGGTTTGACAATTCTGGAGAAATTGGAGACCTTCCCAGAACGCGTCGATGCGCCAGAACCAAACGCGGATGCTGGGGCGCGGGCGGTACCCTTGGGCACACATACGCAGTTGTGGACAATCGCTGCTGGCGTCTATTACGATCGGTACCTCGCTGAGGAGCGCGCTTTGACCGAACTGCAGAAGCGACTCCAGCTGGATGCAGTACTGCATGCTCCGTGTTCCACGGTGACGGCCGGTCAACTCTCGTCTCTTGGGCTTGATATCAACGCTGCACGCTCTGTCATGCTCGATCAGGTGTGATTGGGTGGGGTGGGAGTCTTTCTGCGGCCTTTCGTTGAGTTATTGTTGTATTTCTGGAATGAACTGTTTTTGAAGCAAATTGGCTCTTTCGGGTTTGAATTCTGAAATTCTGAAAGGCTTGTTGAGGCTGACGGATACCACCCCCCCCCGTTCTCTTTTCTTCCCAGCGTTCTTATCGAGAATGCAGAATGTCTCATCCTCTATTGGCTGATTCACCAAATCTTGTTCCGAAACTGACAATCTGTGCAAGGTGACTGGTGAAGGGCGTGTGTGTGTGTGTGTTTTTTGGCCTTTGCCCCATTGCCTCGGTCGCGTGTGCCCCTGGTTTGTGGGTGGTTGTGCTCCGCGCTCTTGGTTGTGCACTTTATTTTCGGCCAGTTGATGAAATGGCCGTGGTAAACCCAGTTCGACCAAAAAAAAACACGAAACATCAGCGGAAGCAAATCCAAGCCGTCTCGCCACCACCGCCACTCGACATTAGACACCTCCTCTTCCATGTCGAGGCAGTCCACTCTCCATTTTTTCAATCTGTAATTTTGCGCCTACGTTTTATCTTTGCTCGTTGGCTTGACGTTGATGATGGTGGTGATCGAGGGGCGGCGAGAAGTGAAGCAAACGCAACTCTAAATTTGAAGGTGAAAAACAACAAAACGTGACCTCACATCCAACAATTTGAATGAGTCAACAATCCCAATTCTTGGTGAGGAGCACTTATTCGCTTGGCGGTCTTGTCGGCTGGGTATCGACTGCAACAGAGTCGAACATCCAAAACAGCCGTGCTGTCAGATTCATCTTCCAACTTCCATCGGTCGAGTGAGTGTTGTTGCATGAGCGAGTTGAGCTGCAGGTGAATCGGTTTGCTTAAATCGATTGTTGCACGACAACCGCGACGACAAGAAAGGAAGCGGTGAAACTGCTTCAACTCGAAACAAAAGCAAGCAAATCACATATGGCAACGGCTTTCTTTTTTTTCTTTTTTTTTGCTGTTTTTTTTTTTTTTCTTTTGCTTCCCTCTCAAACTGATCTAACGCCAAGAATCAAGCAAAGTACTCCCCCAATGAAATCTCTATTACGACACTCTCATCAGCCGTGAGGATCAGATTCAACCCCAGTGGCATTCAGCCTGCTAATCGCTTTGCAGCCGCCAACCAAAATTCCTACCCCATTGTCAGCCACCTCCACGCCGTTTCCTCCAAGTCTATTCGTGAATGTCGCCGGCTTAAATCATATGGTACAGAGACACCATGAGCTCACCTGATTGCTGTCTCCCGCAAACACAAATCCCAGAGCATGATCGGAGTCTCGAGCTCCGAGTTGGATGAATTTACCGAACCAAGCTCTCTACGCGAGCCGACCAGTTGCGCCAATCGCCCTACGCCAAAGCGCAAGGAACAGCGGCGGCAAGATGCGAGCCAGTGCATTCGAGAAGCGCTTGAGCTCTGCAAGCGAGGCCGCTTCCGACAAGCCATCCAAACGTACAATTTGGCGCACGGGCTCGACCCCTCAGACCCAGACACGCTGCACAGTCGAGGTCGCGTCCACTACAATCTTGGAAACCTCACAAAGGCCAAGGACGACATGACTGCGGCAATCCGAATGATGCAACAACAATCGTGCGCAGCCACGGCTCTCGCTGAGGTTCACAACGACGTCGGCCTGGTGCACTTTGATCTGCACGATTATGCAAGTGCCAAGTCCAGCGCAGAGCGGGCGATTGAGCTCGACCCGCTCAGCTCGGACGCCTGCGCGTTGCTGGCTCAGGTGCACCTTGCGCATGATGAGCTGTCGCTCGCATTGGCGCGGACCACGCGTGCCCTCCAGCTTGCCGGTCAAAATGCACCAGTGTATGCCACCCGTGGTCACATCTTGCTGCGGTCGGGAGATCGGGAGGGCGCGCTGCGAGACTTTACCCACGCCGTTCAGCTTGATCCGCAGCTCGCACACGCCTACACTGGCCTGGGTCAGGTCGCCTTCCTTCGTGGCCAAGACAAAGCCGCCGTCCTCTACTTTACCAAGTCCATTTCGCTCGACCAGTACAGCGCCATTCCGTACCGCCTGAGGGCCGACATCCGGCGAATCCAAAAGCAGTTCAGTCCAGCCATTGCCGACTACCGCGCCTCTCTAGCGCTAGATCCGAGCAATAGCAGCGCGCGTCGGTATCTCGGTCTATGCCTGTACCGTCAAAACCAGCCTCGGGAAGCGCTGGAACAGCTCGACCGTGCGCTCGCTCTTGGAGACCAGTATGTCATGACCTTGCACGCTGCGATTGGACGTTGTCTGGTGCGTCTGGGCCATTACAACGCTGCAGTGGGTCCGTTGCGGATTGCAAGTGATCTGGAACACTTTCAGCGACGCGCGGCGGGCGAGAGCACTGAACCTGGCCAGAGCGCCGGTGTTCCAAACACCCCAGACGAAGTTGAGCTCGAATGCCTCAGTGTTCAGCAACGGCTCGCGATTGCCAAAGCCAAGCAGCGACAATCGGGCCAGCCCAACAAGAAAAGTAGCCCTCCCACCAGTGCAAGCGCCCACGGTCGCCTGGATCCCTTTGGTCGCGTGGTCAAGCTGACTGAATGGCAACGTGAGTGGCAGTTTGTTGTTTATTCTATTGCTTGTTAGTTTGAGCCTTCGCCTCACGTGCTCCGCTTCTTGTTGGAAACATTGTGGGCAACAACAGAACTCATCCGCGGAATGGCGCAGGAGGGACGACGCCTGCGAAAAGTCGAGAGCCTCGCTTTGTTGACGGGAACGTCCAATCCATTGGCCATGGCCGGGTTGCCGTGGGGAACAGCTTCGTCGGGGCGTTTGGCCGAGCTGTACCGAGGACGCCACCTTCCTGCTGTCATTACCAGCCCGATGCCTGGGGCTTTGGTGGATTTGCTCGAAAAGACAATCAACGATGCCCTCCAGAGCGATGAAGATGTCCTCAACGTTGCCAACGATGCTCTGAACGCAATGCGGTCCGTGTTTGCCCCCGTCCTTGCCCGCCTTGGGACGTCGTCTGCAGACTCGACACAGTCGGAGCTGGCAAACGGCCTGTCCTCTCAAGACCGTCGACTTTCTGGCGGCCAGTGGGCCCAAGCCGGTGCTGGGACGCGCCGCTCATTTTCAGACTTGGCCTCGCTTGGCAAGAGCGTGAAGAGCATTGCTTCAGCGGCAGTCAGCGCCACCAGCTCAATGCTGTCGCGCTTTCGGCAAGAGGACGACCTTGTCAATAGCATCTTGGACGGCCTCGTCAACTCCAACTCCACTGCTGCTTGGACCCGCAAGGAAGTCGCAGTCCGCAGGCTGGCGCTGCTTGTCGAGTACTTTAACCGAACTGCGGTTCTCATGTACGCGGCGTACGAATGCACGACCTACCTCATCTCTGGCATCATCGAGTGGATCAAATCTGGCAAAGCCGCCAAATGGCAAGAGAAGATCAACGCAACCAGCCTGGATGCCAAGCACGATGCGCAAGTCCAAGAGCTGCGTGATTCGCTGGCATCGGCACTGACCACTCCTCTGATGGACTTGCCGTCGCCAATCCTGCCCACGTTGGCGGCCAAACTCGGCTTCATTATTGTTGCCCCAGAGACCCCCAGCTCGGATGCCTGCTTGGAGGAACAGAGTTGCACTGCGCACGACCTGTACTCGACGCAACGCGAGCCGTGTTGGCCTTTGAATGGAGCGGGTGTGACGTTGACTCTGCAGCATTCGCCAATGAACAATCGCGTTTCCATGGTGTCCATGTTTGAAACCGCCTGTTTGGGGTCGTCTGCCGTCGAGCAAGCAGCCACACTGCCCGTTACCAAGGCTCGCGAGGAGCACGCCGTGAAAGGGAGCTTTAACGCCAATGCAAGCGCCAACGAGCGCGCCAACCCGGAGACCAATCCTTTCTTGGGCATCATGCGCGCGCTGTGCCAAATCGCCGATGCTGTGCCGCTCGCTCCAATCCAACAGGCCGTGGTTGCAGTGTTGAGCATTCTAGAAAACAGGAACTTGCTCCCTGTCGACAATGACCAGTTCTTCCGCCAGGCGCAGATTGAGGCTGTACGCAAGGATTCGGAAATTGAGGCTGCACGCAAGGATTCGGAAATTGAGGCTGCGCGCGAGCGAGCGGAAAAGGCTCGGCGCGCCTTCAAACGAGCCGAGCAGTTGAGCGTGTACAGCGTCGCCGACGCATCCGACGGCGAGTCGCTATCGTCTGGTGACTCGAGCGACTTTTCGCTCAAGCGCAGCGCTCCTGGCCGCAAAGCTTTGACCAAGAGCCGATCCCACCAATCGCTCGACAACATTATGGCTACCACCAGTTTCGGAAGCAATGACCACGAGTCCGTCGCTGCGCCGACGTGCCGTCGCAACCGCAAAAACTCGCGAAACCGGCATTCCTTGCTCCGATCGCAGCTGATGACGGAAGAGTGGTGGGAGACCACCTGCGACGTGCTGCAGACTGCTCTCCAGCGGCTACCTTCGGGTGCAAACGCTGAGATCTTTTTGCGACGACTCCTGCTGGACATGTCCTTGTGCCGGCACTCGATGCTGGTGGAAGGAGCGACCAAAGCAAGCGAAGCCGCGGCCGAGCGCAGCGAGCGACGGCGGTCGGGTCGTTCGAGCTCAGTGGAATCAGTTGCCTTGAGCTGGTCCGCCTCCTCTGGGGTCTCGGAAGCCTCTTCAGGGTCGTCAGTAGAAGGCGGAAAACAAGCCAACCGTCTAAGTATGGGATCTTGGAGCGATCTTACCTCCGTCTCTGGGGTGGTCACGTCCGACTCTGGCGCCTCGTCCTGGGTCGAGCGCATTGACAGCGAGTTGCAAAACAACGCCAATGTGAGCGAGACGCTTCATTGTGCCTTTGGCATGGCAGACAACCGTGCCCCATTCTCTGAGATTGGCGCTCTGCTGCACTTGAATTCTGTCCGCGGCGGATCGGAGGAGCTCGCCTTCATGAGTCACATGGCAGCCAGCGATACCATCTCCGCCCTCAAGGCGATTCTCACGATGGCCTGTGAGTCGCAAGATGCAGCAGCTCCACAGGGCCTCGGGATCCTGACACTGGGCGGTACGACCACAGACGAGTCCAGCACCGACTCGCTCCCAAGGTCGAGCAGCGGCGTTGGCAACTCTAGCTCCTCGAGTAGTCCCTCGGGCTCATCCCCGAGCAGTGAATTCCAGAGCGGCATCTGCGCCTCCATCGCTCGCCGCAATTGTAAGGCAGCTCGCGCAGTTGGTGCCTCCATCGATGTGACGCATCTGGTGGTGCCTGAAACCATTGGCAAATCGAGCAAGCGCCGCCCGCGAGCCAGCTCGATGGGTGAAGTCGCCGCCCGCCGACGTCGTGTGGAGAAGCTGGATGCGTTTGATGTGTCCCCAGCCGTTCAGCTCATGGTGCAAACGTGTGAACAACTCGAGAGCGCGCATCTCCGTGCCAGCGCACAGCCTCCGCCCTCGGAAGGGTTGCCTGGGTCGGCGTCCGAACCTGCTCGAGGCATTGAACCGTTGCTGCAAAGCGCTGATGCAGGCGATTCTGCTGCTCTGGCCACCGCTCCTGCGACCATTCAGCGAAAGTCCTCGAAAACAAAGTTCAGCAGCATCCGAAATCGACTTTTGCGCGCGTTCGACGACGACTCGGACGACACCTCGACTAGCGCCTCGACTATTAGCGACGATCTGTCTGAAGCGTCATCGGAGGTGTCGTTGCCCTCGTCTGCCGAAGCCAGTCCTTCGCCGGCACGGATTAAGCAAAAAGGCAGCTTCCGATCCAAGTTTATGCCAAAGAGCCGTGCGACTGCAATCGCTCAATGAAGTTCATGGCTCTTCTAAGAGCCTTTTTGTTGTTCAATGAAGTGATTTATGTGTGTTATCATTGTAGCATGTTTGTTCTTTTCGACAGGTTGTTGTGTGTACAGTAAAAGTTTGTTGTGCAAAAAAACATGAATAAAAATTCACCAAACTCATGAGTGAATTGACATTCATGTTACTCGCAACAACAGCGCAACTAGTTGTACACAAAGTTGATTCGACTAAGCATGGCTGGCAGCTGAGCAATAACGGGACCGTACGTCTGAGGATTGTCGTGCAGCTCGAATAGTGGGGCTGCGACTAATTTGTAGTTCTTTGGCACTGCAAGGGCGGCTGTCGTGTCATCCAGCAGGAAAAGGGGGGCGGGGGAATGGAAGGAAGAATCAGCAAACACACCACACACTCTAACAAAGAGACGCAATTTTGACGCTGCGCAACATACCATTGGGAGGCAGCTCAACAACAAACACTCTTCGGTGCTCCTTTGGTCGTGTAACGTGGCCTGGAATATAAGGATACTGCAAAAAGGAATTCAGTCGAACGCGGAATGTCAGCAAAACGAACAAAGCTTCGATTTTCATGTAAAAATCAATTCAACCAGTACGTACTTGATTCTGGTCGTAGCTAGGTCGGTACCAGTTGCAAACGATTTCGCACACATTCCAAGGGATGGATGTGCCCTCCACTGCCAGCGTCTTGGTGAGCCACCTCTGGCAACCAGTGATTTCGTCCTCGCCAATGTCCAGTTCGCCTCCCGGTCTGGCCGAGCAAAACAAAACAAGAAAACAAGAAAGAGACACAAAACAAATCACTGTCAATGCAACGAAGACATGCACCAGCTGTGCTTGTGATGTGACTGTCTCAGAAATAACCCGAGATCGCTGAATCGCTCTGAAATCGTTCTGTCGCAATAGGCTACACAACGCCCATCTCGACCGCTTTTGGGGGTCACGGAATCCAGAAGTACTCACAGCTTGAAGAATGTAGTGCCCAGCTGCAGCAGGAGCAGATGCGGGTGGTTGTGCTCGTGGACTAGGAGGACGGCCTCGACCGTGCGGCGCGATCCGTACTGCTCAAACTCGTCCTTGAGGCGCTGCATGCGCGTTGGGACGGAAGGGTCGCGCTCGTACTGCGGATCCTTGATCCCGAACGAGTAGTTTGTCAGCGGGAATCTGCACCAGGACCAAGATCAAGGCCAAGGGGGCAGGGGAAGCGAGTGAGCATGATGGACGAGTGAGCGAACGCATTGAGCCCGTGCGTTGTGCTGCAAGGCAAAACCCGAGACAGGAAAGAGCGAAAATACAAGGGGCCCTGTAGCACAGATCACTAAACAACGCGGGCGCAGGGGCCATGGAGTCTCACAGATTGACGTCTGGTACGATCAGTCCAGCCATGATGGTTGGTGGATTTGTGCTTGCAGCTGTGAAGAAATAATAGACTAAGGCTATAGCAAATGCAGATTGCTTGTAGAGCAATCACACTGCTACAAGCTTTGATGGAAGCGACCATGACAAGGGGTGCGTAGAGAGAACCCTCCTTCTACGGGACATAATGCATTTCCAGTCATTTTTATTTTTGCTTCCCTTGATCTAAGAGACACGATCGATACTGGCTCTGAGTCTTGCTCTGCTACCCCCTCCTTGCGGATGTCCACTAAATAGCATCTGATGAACCCATTAGGCACACCGGGCGGAGTCGTCAGTCCGCGGAACGAGTTGGCCTTCGACCTGCGGCGGGAGGCTGAACAGGCCAAGGACGCCGACTCTCCTCGCTTTTTCAAGGCCGCCGTGCTGAAAACCTACTTTACACCATGTGCTGACATCAGTGGACCAGGTGGCGCGGGAGGCAATGGGACGAAACCGTCCATCAGGCAGCTGGAGGCGATTTTCGAGGTCCCGCGATCTACTGTCGGCAAATGGATCGCGCATCACCGCCATCAAGCCGATCTCTTCGCCCGTTCTACCCTCGATCAGGCAGTTGATCTAGTTCAGGATGACGCCGTCCCGGGGGACCACAACGTCTTCCTCCGGTCGGAGGAGCTCAAGATCGTCAACTACCTTGTTCGGAGCGCATTTGCTCACGTCGCCCTCACCAAACCCGATACAATCGAACTCTTCATGCGCCTGTCTCAAGCTCCACGACCAGATGGAAAGCCTCGCCGCCAGTTCGGTCCCAACGGCCCGAGCGAGTCGTTTTTGGAGCGGTTTTTCGCCGAGTTTTCCGACGAACTCCGCTGGATCACTGCACACTCGATCGAAACCATTCGTACGGCCGCGATGAACGAGGAAACCCTCAGAAGCTTCTTTGAGCGCCTGCAGGAGCTTTGCGACAAGTCTGGAGGGAAGCTGTGGGCCGAGCCTGGGCGGATTTTCAACTACGATGAGTCGGAAATTTCGGCCTCCTCCAAGAAAGAGGACAAAGTGGTTGCCGGCAAGGGCCAGACGACTGTGTCTGGTGCATCCGCGCGGACAAAGACCATGGGAAGACACATTACCGGCCTGTTCACGGTGGCTGCCGACGGGACAACGCTGCCCCCTTCGTTTGTTCTCGCGCACCCTGGCAAGACTATTCCGCCGGCGATGATCGCTAATCTGGGGCGCGAGACCAACATCTATCACAACGAGAGTGGCTACATCGATGCCGAGATGTTCGCCGACTGGTTCCAGCTGTTCGTGAAGCAAGCTCGTGCCAAGTACAGTGACGGACCAATCCTTCTGATTCTCGACGGCGCTTCCAGTCACAAGTTTACCACAGAACTTGTCACTCTTGCGGACGAGAACGACATCGATATTCTGATTCTGCCTGCGCACACCTCGACCAAGCTGCAGCCGCTCGATGCGACCGTTTTGGGTTGGTTCAAGAAGCAGCTTCCTGGGGCCATCAGGGCGATCCTCAGAAAGTGCAAGAAGTCGAATGACACCAACACGCGTCTTCGTGCTGCTTGTAACGTTTGGACGTTGCTCACGGAAGGCAAAGATTGCAGCAAGACCATCCGTGGAGGCTTCTCGAGAACCGGCATTTGTCCTCTAGACCCAACTCTGTACCCGAGCTGGATTGTTCCGACCCTCGCCAACGGCCTCGCCACGCTCCCGACGCCCTCATTGAATTGCCCTCGCGTGCCTTCATCGGTCGAGCCCGTCGAGAACCGCGGTCTTGCACGGCAGATCCTTCAACTCGCTCGAGAGACGATTATGCGCGAACAAACTGGTCTTTCACCTGCGGAAACTGAGATCCTCCTTGACGCTTTCTTGAGTGATGTGCGCGCCCTGCTCCAGAATCCAGCGCTGACCGCGTTCGAGGAGTTGCTGCGAGCGCCCCCGCTGACACCGTCGTCGAGCTGCACCGAGCCTGCCACTGTCCGAACCGTCAAGCCGAACAAGGCCTACTCGCCGCAAGATGCGGCACAGCGTGCTACCCAACACGAGCGAGAAGCTCGGGAACAAGAAAAGGCTCAGGTTGCGCCTCTCATGGCGGAGTACAACCGGGCAATGCGGACCTACGAGGACGAGATTGAGCCCGTCATGAATCAGCAGGACCAACTCAAGTCGACGATCGATGCCGACCAGGCCCGGCTCGCAGAACTCGAGGCAGATGACTCGGCAGCCGCTCTGGTTGCAGACGCGCGTGCGCAACTTCACGCGAACCAGCAGAGGCTCGCCAAAGTCAACGCGACTGTGAAGCAGATGGTCGCCGCAAAACCCAAGCGCCCCGACGTCCGACACGTCCGCGCGCTTGCCGCCTCGAAAACAGCAGCTGCAGCACCGGCTTTGCAATCGGTTGCGACGATGGCGGTTGAGCAGGACGACTCTGACGACGAATGCGAAGAGGACGGCATTCCGCCGTCGCCAATGCAGGTGACTTCTGCCGCTCCAGCGCGCTTCAGGAAGAGAATCTATGAAAGAGACTCTGACGACGAGGCCGCTCCATCATTTGAAACAGCCCAGAGTGGCGGGTCGGACGAGAATGTGACCTATTCACTGTCGTCAAGATCTCTCGAGCGGCTGAAGGAGCCCCGTCTTGCTACTCGCAGCTCATCGCGGCTCATTTTGTCTCCAGGTGTGACACTCAGTCGTGCCAACACAAGTGGCGTGAGCAGCTGGCTGACAAACGACATGGCGGCGATGCAGCTTGTGTCAACCGAGGAAAATGTGTCATCCACCCCGAAAACCGATCGCCGGAAGCGACTCGCGCTATCTGACCTCTCCAATTCGAACTAAATGTGTTACATGTATGACTTTATGTGCAATTTTATGTACGTTATTGTTGTCGGGTTGATTAAACGACGATAATTCTTTGTCCCGATTCGAACCCGCGCACGCTCCCGGCCATAAGTACCCGCAACATGACCCTATCGACCACCAATGCGGACAATATCGATTTTCTTTGCATCTTCGCTGCATGTCCACTGTCGGGGGCGGGCGGGAAGGTGCCGGGAGTGCTGCGGAGGTTGTCCCTCCATCTACGGGACAAGATTTTTCGCGCCCAGCCAAAGGTCAATGCAAAGTCAAAATTTCATATTGCTCCGACCGCCGCCATTTTTTGCACATCGTCTATATTAATAATACTGAACAAGAATATGAAGAGAGCCAGGTGCAGGGTGGTCACCAGTTTTTGTCTCTTAGAAGGAGGGTTCTCTCTATTGAGCTCGAACGAGGAACAATGAAGCAAATCCTTGTCAAAAAGGACCACTCAATGACACGTTATTGTACTGCTACTGTATTCACACACGTAATAAGACGACAACCAAACAACCCAAAATCAACAATCACCACGAGCACGCAAGCGGGGGGGGGGGGAATGAAGACAGCGCTCGAAAAGTGGAGACTATGCTTGAGTGGAGGACGATGATGGCTGCTGAGCCTGAGCCTGGGACTTGGACGACGGTGGCTCGACTGGGCCCATGACCTCCTTGATTGCTTGGAATGCGTCTGATGCAGCGTTTGGCAGCGTTGCGGGCGCGTTCGAGGCTGCGCTGTGGACAAAGCGAACGCCATCGTTCCACGACTGCCTGAGCTCGGACACGCGCGTTCGCGGCAGCAATGCGACATCGAGATCACGCTGCAGCACGAAAGTCCAGCACAAACCAAAGAGACAGTGGAGGTGAGGGGGAGGGGTGAGTGAGACGATCCTAAGCGACCAAAGCTCAAAAGCACCGTCCCGTCCTCGAACAACCCAGACGAGAGGTGCTCCACTTGCAGCAATAATGCACCCAAACAAACAAAAAGAAGCACTCAAAAGCACTCACTTCGGTAACAGCGGGCGTCAGTGGCGGGGATGCGAGTGCCTGGGCATAGTACGCTTGCTCCACCTTGGCGCGCAGTCCGCCCAGCACGTCCATCGGCTCGACAATCTGCTCCCAGATGTGTCCGTTCAGCACAAAGTACACCGAGCAGCCCGTCAGAGCGCCAAACGACAGTCCTCGCAGCATTTGCTGTCAACAACAAAATAACAAAAGTCAAAAAAGCAGAGACTGACTGAGAGTGGAAAGCTCGATTTGGTCTGAGCCGGGTCAGTCAGATTTTTTATTCACTTTGACGAGTCAACTCCGATCAGAAATGAGCGCAGTTCCAATGCAAACGGACGCTACTACGGGTGCTGCTGCGGAGAGTGCTGCGGCTGCGGAGGGTGCTCGCATGAAGGCGCTGCGAAATGTGCTCACTGAAGCAATGAAGTTCCCGTTCCGAAACAAGGCCTCTGCCTGCCCGTCAGTGTTTGAAGTTTTCCCCTCAAATCCACTCACACACAATGTATCCGCTGCTTGCATCAATCGCAGCTCGGACGCAATGACAGCGCCACTGGAGCGACTGCTGCAAGTCGAGTCAAAGCGAGTGAAACGGAAAACTCAATTTCAAATGCTTCCGTTCGGTTGAAGCGCGTGGCTCTCTCTGCTATTCTTGAGACGCACTTGGCGAAGAGCTCGCAGCAGTGAGATTGCAATGAGAGAGTGAGCAAGAAGTCAAAGCAAAGCGAACGGACGAACGAGCGAAACAAAGAAGAAATCAAAAGAGAGCAACAACGAAAAGAAAAATTTGGCGCGAAAAAGTGAAACGGTTTTTTTGAAAAATTGTGTTGTGTTTCGTTTGAAACAACGTCGGCTTGGTTTTGGGTGAAACACAGTCAGTGTGCTCCCATCAAAGCAGTAATAACATACAGTCGTCCACAAGTCATTCGTCCCACCATACATTGATTCCGTGGTTGACAATGATTGCTAACTCGCGCTGTTCGACAGATTCGGAACGGCACTGGCATGCTTCCCGACAATCGATAACGAAGACAAGAAGCATCTGTTGCGAGAAGGCTATCAACAGCTGCAAGATCTGCTCATGACCAACATGCAGGTATGGAACAAGATGCAAACTTTTGGGCAGGAAGAAACTGTGAGATTTCACTCATTCGCCCGAGCGTGTCGGAACAGAGCGAGCTCGACTTGATTATCAAAGAAACCAACTTGACAGAGGCACTAAGTCAATTGGATGCTCTCCAGCCGCCAGGAAGTCGAAACGATGAGAACATTGAGCAAGAGCAGTAAGTGTTTTGGGTTTTTCCACAAACATCATCGTCGTCCCGAGCTGCGAGCAGACTTACCAACGTGAAAACTTGCTTGGAATTTTTGCAGGTACAACTCGCAGGATCAAGTACGTCAGAGCACCATGGCGTTGAAGATGACGGCACGCGAGAACTACAAGGAAATGCTGGAAAAGGTTAGTGCGCAGCTCTGGCAACAGCCCGTCCTCGTGTGATGAAGGGGAATGCTGGCCAAGGAATACGGGGATGTGTCTAACCCGGAACACTATTTCTTGCGATTGACCATCATGGGAAAAACAGACCTTGCGAGAAAACGATCGACTTGCCGAAACCGTAGCGATTCGCCGTCAACGGCTCTTAGACACCAACGAGCAGGTCAATCGCAAGCTTGCTGATCTTTCCAAGGTAATGCAGACGAGTGGAGAGGGTGTGCGGGGCGAGGACCGCTGTTGTGTTTCAAGTGTGATGTGAGGAGGTTTGCTCATTGATGTTTTTGATCATTATTGGGCTGTGTGTGTGCGCGCCATTGATTCTGGACCACCCTCAGGCGGCATCAAGTTGTGAAGCCTACTGCCTCGAAACTGGAGCGCTGCATGCTTGAACGCAAGAACTGTGTAAAAAAAACAAATCTCTTCTTGTTCGTTGATGTCTCGCTCTTTTGTTGTTAGTTTGATCTTGCTGTTGTTTTTCGCAATACATGTAATAATTGAATTGAATCTGAGTTTCCTCATTGACCCTTATCTGCAATCGGCTCCTGCGCCATTCGTCATTTGTCGTCATTGTTGCAATGGACGACGACCAGCTTCGTGGCGCAAAACGGTCTTTCGGCGAGGTCGACTGTGCGTGTTTTGTATTTTGTTTGTCTTGTGCTTGTTCCGATGGTGTCATTCCGCTGCTTGCCTATATGCTTCCTCGTCTCTTGTGAATGGCTGCTAACCGTCGTCGTCTTCGATGCGTCCATGTGTGTGTCTCTGCATTGCCTCCCTCTGGTTTTTGTCGTCCCCCTGCCCAATCCACACAGCGTCACCAGCACCCTCCAACGGGTCTGCCTTCACATCTGCGTTCGCCGCACCCGGTGCGCCCGCAGCATCCGGCGATGGCCAGCCTGCCCCCAAGCGCGAGCGCAAGAGTCGCTGGTCGGAGGACAAGGTTGTCGCGCCCGCCCTCGCCGCGCTGCCACCGACCATGAGCGACGAGCAGCGCGTCGTCCGAGCACTCGAGATCCAGATCGACCACATTGCGCACCAGCTCCACACGGGCAACTTGGATCTCCACTCTGGCAATCGGTGAGGAGGGCTGGTTTTGTGTATTCTTTGCTTTTTTTTTTTTTTTTTTTTTTTTTTTTTTTTTTTTTTTTTTTTTATTTTTTTGGCTTTTGTTTTTGAAGGTTTTCAATGTTCGCTCAGTCAAAATTACTTTTTTTTTCTTTGCTCACCCCGATGTCCCTCTCTTCACAGATCGCCATCACCCGAGCCTACATACGATCAGTACGGTAAACGTACCAACACCCGCGAGGTGCGAAAGCGAAAGCAGCTGGAGGAACAGCGGAGCAAGCTCATCGAGCAGGCCATGCGCACAAGCTCGACATACCGCCCTCCCAGCGACTACCGGCGCCCGACAAAGCTGCAGTCGCGCGTGGATATCTTTGAAGCAGAACAGCACCCGGAGATCAACGTTCTGGGCGCCATCCTGGGCCCGCGTGGTAAAACGCTGCAGTTGATTGAATCCGAGACGGGCGCGAAAATCTTTATTCGAGGCAAGGGCTCCATCAAGTCCAACAAGGGTCCGCAAAACAACAACGACGAAGGCGACAATCTGCACGCACTGGTTCAGGGACCCACCCAATCCCACATTGATGCCGCTGCCGCCAAAATCCGTGACATTGTCCAGCGCGCCGTCACCATGCCCGACGATCAGAACGAACACAAGAAGACGCAGTTGCGCGAGCTCGCTGCGTACAACGGCACACTGCGCGACGACGAGCTGCTCATGCGCTGCGCAAACTGCGGCGCCACCACCCATCGCGCCTGGCAATGCACAGAAAAGAAGATTTTCACCAACTCGGTCATCTGCCACATTTGCAAGGGTGTCGGTCACGTTGCACGCGACTGCATGAACCGCGACGGCGGCAACGCCAATCTCGAGCCCGTGTCGTCGAGCGGCGGCTCGGGCGGCAGTGTCCAGCCACTTCGCCCGCTGCCCCTGACGCCAGGCCAATCCTCTTCGTCGTCGTCGTATTCGTCTCAATCTAATGCACAGGACCGATCAAAGATGGACGACGAGGTCAATGCTCTGATGAACTCGCTTGCCAACGGCGACTCGGGTGCTGACGGTGGTGCTGCGGACGGTGGCTCAAAGCCCGCAGCCGGCAGCAACGGCAGTGATCATCCGCCACCCGCGCATGTGCCCGCGCCACAGCGCGAGAGTCGCTCTCACGTGCATCCCAGTCGCATGGCCAACATTGGCCCGCCGCCGTGGTCTGCCGGGCCACATGGCGGCCGTGGACCTCCTCCCCCTCCCCAACACCAGCCACATCACCAGCCGTATGGCGCCTACCCGCCTCCGCCGCCGCACGGCATGCCCTTCTTCCCGCCGCCAGCAGACTTTTACGGCCATGCAGGTGGTCCGCCCATGGACATGTATGGCTTCCAAGGTGGCTTCCCGCCAATGGGCCACGGCATGCCGCACGACATGATGGCGCAAGGTTGGCCGCCAATGGATCCGTCTGCTTTTTACAACATGAATGGCATGGGCGGTGGGGCCCAACAACCCCCGCCTCCGCCGCCACCGTCATCTGCGCCTCCGCCGCCACCTCCGCCACCGTCCGACGGCGCAGCTCCTCCGCCCCCGCCCTCGGAACCCTGGTTGCAAGCCTCGTCCGCCGCAGCTCCTCCACCGCCTCCGCCGCCAATGTGAGAGGTGTCCAGCGCAGTCTTGATTTGTTTTGATGGTTTTTTTTTTCATTCTTGTTTTTGTTTTCGTCTCGTTTTGTCAACACTTGTTCAATTCATTAGTTGCAACAGTATAGAGCCACTTGTTCAATTCATTAGCTGCAACAGTATAGAGCCTTTCTTCCCCATCTACATTGAAGTTCGCCACGAATCGAGAGCTTTCAAGTTTACAGCCGCGATTCGAAGAGAACATGACATCAAAGTAAGTGCGAATTCCGTGACGGTTGTCATTTTGTTTGTAGCGTAAGCAAGAGTAGCGGTGAAATGTACAAAAGAGTGGCAGAAACGCAAACACGGAAGTGAAAGCAAACAAATCGGATTCGAATACCATCCAACTCTATCTCCAGTTGGCGTTATGCACGATTCTCAGACGGAACAAGCAACCACGTTCCCTTGGTGGTTCTCATGTGCTGGTCGAGCTTGAGACCAGTTGCGACAGCAACAGCGGCAGCACCGCGCTCGGTAATATTCGTGTGCCAGAGCTGTAAAGAATGCAGGCTCGTAAACTGGGCCAATGCATCAACGCATCGATCAGACAGCATCGAGCCGCCGAGATTGAGGGACTCCAAGAGAGGGGCACATGCGCTCGTCGACAGCATGATCGCGCCAGGATCGCCGAAATTCTCGCAGCCGTTGAGATCGAGCTCCCGAAGCGCCGGGCAGTTTCCAATCACGGATGCGATATGTCCCGTGATGCCGGTATAAACGAGAGATAGTGAAGCGAGCAGTGGCATGCTTTCGAATGCGGGGACTGCGTGTGAACAAGGGGACCGCAAAAGTAGAACAAAATCACTATGTTGAACATGCCTACATAACGCAACGCATAGTCCAGGTTCCATTGCTCACCTATGGCATCGGTAATGCTGGTGCGAGATAAGTCGAGTACCACAAGTCGCGTTAGTTTTGCCAAGGACAGTACGCTTTGGTCGGAAATGTCGGTCTTGACCAAGCTCAAGTAGGAGAGTTGCGGCATCGAATCCCCGATAACGCGCACCGTCTGGTTGCAGGAATGAAGCAATTCAGGCAAATGCGAGGAGGTTAGTCGCAGAGAAGTACAATCACGACAATGCATCAAAAGGTAAACAAACAAATCTCCCAACACTCATTCAAGCAACTCACTTCATCCGTCACAGTAAAGTTGAGACTCAAGTCCAGGTCAACCAGCTGGGTGAAAGAGGACAGGAACGACCAGTCGCTAATGCGGGAGTTGAAGGAGAGTGAGAGAGTGCGCAGCTGTGTCCATTTCGCGAGCGTCGCAGTGCTTGCATCGGTAATGCGGAGAGCGGAGCCCATCAGACTGGTGACCTTTGTGAGAACAGAAGGGCCGAGGTCGGGACTGCCATTCACCAGCAGTTCAATGCAAGTATCGGTGCAAAGAGTGCCTGAAATGTCCAACTGCCTCAGCTCCGGCGTGCTAAAGAGCAGTGCCTCGAAGGTGGGGCGACCCACAGCAGCAGACCCACTGAGTGTCAGCACGCGAAGCTCCCTCAACACTGGCAGGGCCTGCACCAAGGCGAAATCGCCCAGTTTCTTGCACTTGTCAAGGTGCAACTCGCGCAAGTGTGGCAGACAGCGCAAAAATCCGGCCAAGACCTCGCTGGTGACCACATAGCTGTGAGACAAATCCAGCTGCTCCAGTCCTGGGAAGAGATCAAAGCATTCAGCAGAAGGAGGAGCGGAAGAGGAAGCAGAGGACAACAACGACGATGCAGAAGACGAAGGCTCAGACGCGCTGTTGGACGACGATAGTGCTGGCGCAGCTACGGGAGATCGCACATCCGGAGCTGTCAGAAAAACGAGAGGTGCCAGCGGCGGGGGTGATGGAATTGTTTGCTCGCCAGATGGTGGCTGCTGAGGCTGGCCTGCGGATGGGGAAGAAGGTTGTGGCATCGAGCGCAATACTTTGGGTGGGGTTGCCACATGTTGCTTTGCGCCTCGAATGCACTGCAACAACCAGTCGTCCGTCAGCTGGGGAACGTCGGTGAGATTGAGGTGGCGAATGTACGTGTCGCGCACGGCGAACAGCACTTCTTGCGAAAGCGAGCCGTCAGCAATCAATGCATCCACCAGTGCGTTGGTCACGTCGGCGGAGAGGTACTGCAGATCGCTGATATACCGCGAAATGTTGATGACAACTGCATGAACAGCCAGCATCATGAGAGACGGAACCTGGGACGTCGCCGAGCTGGAGCCGTCGTCGCCTAAAGCGCCCGATTGAGTGGAATGTGGCGCCCGTCTGGTGCTGTTGCTGCTGGTGGTGCTGCTGCTGCTGCTCCTTGGGGTGGCACTTTCACGTGAAGCCGATGCGCCCAACGTCGAGACGGGGGCGTGGGCCTTGAACAGTTGCAAGGCTAGCTGCAGCCTGGAAATCGGATCGCGGCTGACGAGCAGGCTGCTCACCTGTCCGATTGGCGCTTGCGGTGGAAGTGCGGCGGAAAACCAAAACGAAAGCGCTGCCATGTCTCCGAGAGGAGGCTGGCCGATACGACGAATAATGTTTCGCCACATCGAGTTGCTCGCGTGGCGTCGTGAAAAGTCGGAGGCAAACAGCTGCGCCTTGTCCAAGGCTCGAAGTGCTTGTTCTTCTTCAGTGTAGCTGTTGAATTCCAGCGGGTTGTCCTCGAAGGCTCGCGCATGTGCGACCAAGTAGCCCTTGCCGCTCTCGGTCAAGCGACGGAAGAGTTGACGCGCGGGGTGGTTGGCAGTCGCCGGCCTTTCTTCCCCTGCCTCGTCGTCGTCGTCGTCGTCATCGTCATCGTCGTCATTGTGTGCTTCTTGTCGATCTTGAGCAGTTGCTTGTTGGTTGGCATGCACTCCAGGTGTGTGCTCGACGCGATTGTGCTCTCGAGTTGCTCGTTCCAAATTTTGGTCATTCTGAGTTGGATTCGGCACCGTTGCAGGAGCCCAGCCGTCCTCTGGCAGCAAGATAAACCGCGCCAGTGTCGCTGCTTGGACGGTCATTCGGCTTGTGCGGCTTCTGGCGGACAGCACGGATCGGATGGCAGCGACGACTCCGACAATTGGCTCGTTTCGCTCGCGCGCGGTCTGCGCCTGCTGCAGATTGATCAGTCCGAACACGCTGTTCTCCGTGGCAGCATCCTACAGCACGATTGAGCCCAATGAACCAAATGGATGACAATGGTGAGTGATGTTTGACACCGCCGATTTGAGACGCAATTGAGACGCAAAGCTTGCTCGGGTTTTACCGTCAGCAGAAACTCGGCAGCATCGTCAGGCACAGCCAGAGACACCAGATGGCCTGGAAATGCAGCAGCGTCGTACGGGAAGATTCTGAGCACGGTCGGACGACCAGTCACCAGGAGTGAGATTGGACTCGCGTTCGAAGAAGACATTTGGGGTGAGTGAGCAGACCAACTCAGACAGTAGAGGACTGAATGGTTCTCAGATCTCACTCGGTATCAAGTTTTATTGATTCTTGCTACTCGAGTCATTGTTAACGAATGGGTTTTGCCAAAGTGGGCTCGCAGAGCGAACAATCAGAGGGAGCTCAAATTTCTCAGATTGACGTTTGGTCATTGATTTCCAGTCTAGTTTTCATCTCATTCTATTTTTTTTTTTTTTTTTTTCCATCCAACTTCCAACTGTTCAATTCCGGCTTTCCAATTCGACCGACCATCAAACGCAGAGCAGCGCATCACAGAGCCGAGCATCACAGAGCCGAGTTTTGTTGGAGAATGAAGTTTAAAAATCTCTTCTCGAGCCCGGCAGCGGCAGGCTCAAGCTCAACCACAGCAAGCACAACCACAGCAAGCACAGCAACAAGCACAACAGCAACAAGCACAGCAACAAGCACAGCGGCAGGCGCATCGACGCAGGGCAGCGTCGCTGGATACTCGTCGCCGTCGAGCCAGCACGAAGCCAATGGAGGGCACTCACCCGCTGCTGGTACCACTCATAGCGCTGCTGCTGCTGCTGCTGCTGTTGCCACGACTGCGACGGGCGCTGCAGGGTTGATGCCGCCGTCAGTGTCTGGGTTGGATGCCAGTAGTCCTGGCGCCAGCGGGACGACGAGCTTGCGGGACAGCACGGCCTCGTCCTACAGCTCGTCCTCGACGATGGCAGTGCTGCAGCTCGTCTGCGAGCGACTGGACGAGGTTGCCATCATCTACCAGGAGCTGGCTGCTCACCTTGCCCAGGGATCGCTTCCGCGTCCAAATAGTCACGCAGACCAAGCGGCGTCCAGCAATAGTCCAAGTAACCACAACAGCTCCTCCAAGAGCAGCGGCGGCGGTCTCAGCGCACCGAGTCTGCCATTCAAGCGGAGAACGTCTGCTGATGCGAACGCCGCTCATATGGTGAGCACTAGCAAATGGTTTGTTCCGCCACCAGAGGCCGGTGCCTTAGCCTCTCCTGCAAATACTGCTGCTCTCACCGTACCTGCCGCCGCCGCCGCCGCCAGCACGGCTCCTACCGTCGTTCCAAAGCTCTCGTCCGACGCTTATTCCTCTAGCTGTGTTATGTGTCCAGATGGCACAGTATTGTAAGTGGACGGTTTTTGTCCAGTCTGTTTTGTCACAGCGCAACTCACACGGTCTTATATCCCCATCAACTCTCCACACATCCCGTCCAAATCTCACTTACAGAGCCCAAACGGACGTGTCCTGGGTACAGCAACGAGACGTCTTGTCCATCATGCACGATCTGAAATTCGCCTCACAACAATTTGGCCATGCCCTGGACGAGCCCGAGTGCCCCGTGCTGCATTTAACTGGCTCGACAAATATTATTTCTTGCTACGAGCTGAACGAAAATGTAAGCCAGGCTTTGTTGTCAGGGTTTGTTTGGTGTTGCTGCTTCGCCGTCACGCGCTTGCTCATTTTTTGGGCGGTATAGTTTCTGGTTGTCAACTGCAAAATGACTCCACAACAGTTGGAAACCTTTGATACGAGACAAGCACAGACACTTGTGGAGCCAGTGTTGCAAGACATCAAGCAGCTGCTTGAGCGAGCACTGCCATCATGATTCTGCGCAGTGCAGTTTCTTGGTTCTAGTCTTTTTTTTTTTTTCTTCTTTCTTTCTTTTTCCTTTGCTTTTTTTTTTCGTCCTCAGACTCTTGTATAATTTATTTCGGGTTTTGTTCTTTCTTTGGCAACTCTTCCCAAGTGATCTACTGATGATAAAGGGCGAAAAAGAATGAATGAACAATCTCAACATTGGAGAAACAAGTTTACCCTTATTGAACATGAAAGGCAGAAAACTTAAAAATCATCCAGATAGCAAAAAACAATGCCAAAGAAGAATGCAGGTCCTATTGGCCAGGGATCGCTACAGCACCTGCAAAAACAGCCGCCGGGTCGCTTGCGCAGTGTTTAGTTGGCAGACAGAATCCACTGGTCGGCGTCGCGCTTCCAGTCGACGAGCTCGCTGGGCTTGAACCAAAGGGCAATCTCAGCCTCAGCAGAGGCGTGGGCGTCCGAGGCGTGGATGCCGTTGCGACCAGTGACGAGGAAGAAGTCGCTGCGGATGGAGCCGGAAGGAGCCTGGGCGGGGTTGGTGGCACCGAGCATCTGGCGGACAGTCTTGACGACGCCAGGACCTTGCCAGACCATGGCAAGAACGGGGCCCTGAGCCATGTAGGCGACGAGGCCGGGGTAGAAGGGACGGTCCTTGAGGTCCTCGTAGTGCTTCTCGACGAGCTCCTTGGACGGGGTGAGGAGCTTCATGGCAACGAGCTTGAAGCCCTTGCGCTCAAGGCGGCCAACAATGTCGGCAATCAGACCGCGCTGGATGGCGTCGGGCTTGAGGGCAATGAACGAGCGCTCAGAAGGAGTGTTCTCGACACCGGCAACGGAAGTGGCAGCGTTGACCTCATCAGCGTTGACTGACCAAATGCAAGAAAAATTCGAAATGAGCATTGCGCAAATCGCAGGGTTTACAAATGTGAGTTTGAGGTGTTTTTTTTGTTGGTTGCTTGGTGGTTGTTGTTGGACTACAACAAAAAGGGAGAAAAAAAAAAGAAGAAAAAAAGTGGGGAAATCGTGGTTTTTTTTTTTTTTGTTTTGTTTTGTTTGTTGGCCTTCTTCGTCCTCTTCTTCTGTTGCGTTGGAGACGCTGCGGTTTTGACTCGACGAGAGTGAGACTTACGCTTGTTGACGAGGAGAGTGGCACCAGCGAACGCGGCAGCGGCGGCGGCGGCGACAGTGAGAGCGCGACGGCCAGTCGAGTTGCTCTCGCCTTGGTGCGACGAGGTGGCAGCGGAGGACAGGGCGCGCTGCTGCTGCTGGGCGGCAGGGGCGGCACGGGTCAGGGCGACGCGCGAGGCACGGACAATGTCTGAACGAGATGGAGCGTGCAGCAGAGCGACGAGAACGCGAGCGGAGAGACAGAGTGTGAGTAAGGATTAGGATGTGAGCAGTGATCGTTTCGGACGAGATCGTCACGCAAAGATCCCTCTCCTCTCCTCTCCTGCCATCCAGGGGGTCAACACTTTGTAACCAAAGACAAACACAACAGAAAAAGACACCCAAAGAGAGAGAGAGTGAGAAAGGAACAAAGTAGAACGCACTGGAGCGGGCAAGACGGGAGGCGAGCATTCTTCTTCAAACTGAGGACTGAACAAGTTTGTTGCCTTGTTTCAGTAAGCCTGATAGTGCTGGAAGATTTGGGGTGGGCGCGCAGAGGTGGATGGATTGGTGAACACTTGTGATTCTGTATCAGCGCAGCCATTGTGTTGAAGCTCCAGTTGGAAAGGGAAAAAGTCGCAATGAGAACGAAGCTCTTTTCCATTTTGCTTTTTCCCCGGACTGGGTGACGATGAGCACTTGCAACAGTCAGCGATTGTTCGTGTTTTGCGTGTTGGGTGCAATGATGCTGTGTTTCGCCCTTCACTAAGCAGATCGTGTTGGTGGGGAAAAGAGCAATCGATTCTGAGTTTCTAGATTCTCTTCTTCTTCATCTTCTTCTTCTCTGTCCCGCCTGTACTGCATGTGCTACACTGTACCTGACTATTTCTTTTGTTGTTGTTTATTTATCGCATCTCCATTTCGTCCTCCTTCAGTCTTTCTTTTTCACTCACACACAGCACAAACCATGAGCTCGTTCATGAAGCAACTCGTGTCCAAGCAGAAGCGACGCTTCAAGCAGGACGGCTTTGACCTCGATCTGACGTGTACGGCACAGACAATCCCGGCCACCCTCTTCGATCCCCCCACAGACAGACACATCGCTGCCAATACACCCCTCACCCCGCGGCAGCTTGCTGGCTCTGCTGTGTGGGCCTTTCTGCAGCAAGCAACGAGCCATGTTTGACTATTCAAAAAAAAAAAAAAAAAAAAAAAAAGGACGAAAAAAAAACCTCGCTTTTTTTTTTTCTTTTTTTTTGTTTTTGGAAGCGTTGCTCGTGACTCGCCTTGGCTCCCCCCCCCTCCTCCACTCAGAGTGACCACCGTCTCTCCTTCGTACTGCTGCTGGCGGTGTGGGGGTTGGATGGAGTCGGGGGTTTGAGTCGAGTTTGGATGAAGCAATTGCAAAAAAGCCAGACCAGCTGCCCTGGTTGATCTTTTTTTTTTTCCTTGTTCTCTGTCTCTGTCTCTGTCTCTGTCTCGCTCGCTTCTGCCCCAAGGAGAGAATGCCCTGAAGCGATCGATACAAAAACAAGATGGCTATGACAGAGCGGCAATGCAACAGTCACAGAAACCTTTGCCTTCTTTTTTTATTTTGCCCACTCAAACCGCAGCTCGATGCGCGTGGTTTTTTTGGTTTTATTATTATTCTTTTATTATTTTTTATGATTTTATGATTATTATTTTTATGGTTTGTATTGTTTTTGATCTTTTGAAGCGCTTCTTTGCTCTCGTGCTCGGTGTGGCCTTGCCTGGAAGGGGCCTCTTTTGTTTTGCCGTGCGAGGGCATGCTTGGAGTCTTGTTCTGATAGACAGAAGGGGGGTCTGGATCGCTGTGGCTGCTGAGCCATTGAGTCCTCCTTCTCCCTCCTTCTCTGGTCTCCCCTTCTCCATTCGTTCGTTTCGTCTTCGTCTTTCGATGGCGTGGCATCCAGTCCTTGCTTGCATCTTGTCTGTCACCTTTGTCCACCCCCCCCCCATCTCCTTGCTTCAGTGAGCTGTTTGGCTTTTTTTTTCCTTTTTTTTTTTTTTTTTTTTTTTGGTCTTGTTTTTGTGTTGGACAATTCTCGTTCTGCTGCCGGTCATTTATGCCTGCTGGTGCTGGTGGGGGAGAGAGAGAGGTCGTTGCTCAATGCATCAACCTATAACCTCATCTGTACACCCCCCCCCAGCATATCACGACCCAGATCCAATCATCACACATCGCTTCCCTTTCGTTTTTTGGTGCTTCCTCCAATTTGGCAACTTAACTCACTGAACCCCGCTTTGGCGCTGCAGATATCACCGACAAGATCGTCGCTATGGGCTTCCCGTCCGAGAAGCTCGAGGGTGTTTACCGAAATGGCATGGAGGACGTTGTTCGGTAACAAAACAAAAAATTGTGGTCTACGCTTCCACTTCGCAGTGTTTCGTTTTCTGCCAACTAATTCCCCCTTCTTTCTGCTTTGTTTCTCTGAAACCATCGTGCAGATTCTTTGATCAAAAGCACCAGGATCACTACAAGGTCTACAATCTGTGCTCGGAGCGCGAGTACGACCCGGCAAAGTTCCACAATCGCGTGGCGACCTACCCGTTCGACGATCACAACGCCCCTCCGTTTGAGCTGATCAAGCCGTTCTGCGACGATGTGCACGAGTGGCTCACGGAAGATGCGCGAAACGTCGCCGTCATCCACTGCAAGGCTGGCAAGGGTCGAACGGGCGTCATGATTTGCGCTTATCTCGTTCACTGCAACCATTGGGAGAAGGCTGAAGATGCGCTTGCCTTCTATGGTGCTGCCCGCACCCAAAACGCCAAGGTAAATTTCTCGCTAATCAAGAGAGTGGATGTTCTGAGTGCGTTGGCCAGGACTTGACGATTTATTGTTTTTTGTTTGTTTGTTTTTGCAGGGTGTCACGATTCCCAGCCAGCAACGATACGTCAAGATGTATGCCTCTCTTATTCAGAACAAATTGACCTACGCACCGACCACCCTCATGTTCAAGGGCGTCAAAATGATGACTGTGCCGAACTTTAACGGTGGCACCTGCAGTACGGTTTTGTTTTTTTCTCTTTTGCCTCTGTTTCGAGTTCAAGCTTCCTGCCATATTCAACACTGACACGAATGCATCCTGCCTTCGATACTGCTTTTTTTTCTTCTCCTTCTTGTACAGGTCCCATGTTCACACTTTCGGTTCAACGTCAAAAGATCTACTCGTCAAAACCGGTCGAAAACGTCAAGAAGGATCAGGCAGTAGTTGAGCTCAAGGCCGATCGACCAATTTTGTTGTGTGGAGATGTCAAGATAGAGTTTTATCACAAGACTGCTTTCAAGAAGGTTTGTCTCGAGCATGCTTCTCGTTCGGTGATGGCAATTGTCTGCTGTCGATTCTCTCTGACTTGTTGCCGTCTGTTCTGCCCTGCGCTTGCTTGCAAACACGACAGGAAAAGATGTGCCATTTCTGGTTCAACACCTTCTTTGTTCAGAATCACACGCTCTTGCTCCGAAAGGTCGACATTGACAAGGCCAACAAGGACAAGAAGCACAAGATCTTCCGTGAGGACTTTGCCATCGAATTGCAGTTCTCGCCGCCGACTTCTGGCACCACGTCTTCCGACAATGGTGCTTTGCAAGGAGCTGCCGCCAGCGTGCCAGACCCCATTCCCCGAAAGTCGACGCTTGACAAGTTCAAGGACATTGCCCCTGCTGGTGCTGCCACCGCCGAGGCCGAATCGTCCGACGACGAGGATTTGAGTGACGACGAGGAAGACAACGAGTGGGAGGACAAGGACAAGAAGTAAACTTTTCATTTCTGTCTGCTTCAACTCCGCCCCCCTTTTTGTTTGTTTGTTGTTTTTTTCGTGGGTGGATGGGGCATGGTATTTTTTTTTCTTTCCACAGCATCCTACAAGTGAAGCATCACTTTGGACCGTTAGTGCCCTTTCTTATATGTCCGATTGTTTGACTCGATTGATCTCTTGGTTTTTCTATTCTTTGTACTGCTGTTTCGACAGCTTTCTGCCTTCCTTGTCTTTTTCTTCCTCTTCTCTTCTTTTCTCTGGCCCGTCTGCGCTTTTTGGCGAATTTCTAGTTTGGTTTCATGTTGTCTTCTGTTGTGTAGGTTTCTTTTTTGCTGTTGTTGTTTTTGTTGTTTTCTTTGCTTGGTCACGTCTGCCCGTGGCCAAGCTACTCTATGAATTTTTTCTTCTTTATCGTGTGTATGTGTTTTTGTATGCAATCAATGTCTTCCTGCTCTGCTTTGTAGTAGTTGTTAAGAAAGCCGGGGAAAAAAAACAAAAGCATGTATTGTCACGGCTTTTGGTTTGCTGCAGACCACCATCTGACGCGCTAATACAATCCGAATCATCCCATGGTTGATGTCTCTAGTGCTTTGGCGGCACGGGCTGCGGGATGCGGTGAGGACCGACATCTCGCTCAACGTCAAAGTATGAATACGGGGTGTACTGGAAGAAGAGCTGCGTCTGGTAAGCATCGCCCTTGTTGTCGTACGAGTAGATGCTCTGTCCGTCGCGCGCCTTGGACGACTGGAAGGGTCCTCGGGCGTGGTCGTAGCCTGTGGTTGGTTGTTGAAGTGGCGAGCGAGCAAAACCAAAGTCAGCTCGATCAGGCTCCATCCGCGTCGAACCGGACATGCAGATGCGGAGGGAGGGATGGTGTGGGGTTACCTGGTTTGCTGGTCGCAGTCGCCGTCGCAGTGGTGGTGGCGGCAGCAGCAGCAGCGCGGCTCGAGACGAGGGACGAGAAAGCGCGCAAGGTTGAGATCTTGACAAGCATTGACGAAGAAAGCGGAAGACTGGTCGCAGTCCAAATCACTATCCAAAACAAAAGCGGTACTTCTCAGAAACAGAGACACTTGCCCAAATGTTTTTTGGGAGGTGGAGTCACAAAAGGGTGGTACTTGTAACAACAAACAGCGTCTGCCAGGAACCACAGCACATCGAGAAGGCTTTTTTGAGACTCCACAGGCTATCTATCGGCTGGCCGGACGCGACTCTGGGTCGCGACTACATTGCGAGCTGTTTTGTGAGACTCCGATTCCCACGGGTTGGGGCTTAGAGCTATTGGCCAGGTAACGTCGATTGATTGATACAAAATGCGCAATGACAGCTATCCAAAAGCATCCAAATACACCAGAATATGCTAAATCCTCATTAACTACCACCGGCTAACCTCGCCGGCTGGACGGACGCAAACTCGGGTCCTGACATGTTTGGTGATGCATGTAGGTGCGTAGAACCCCGAGCCGGCGTGATTGACGGCTCCCTCAAAACTTCACGAAAATCTTGAAAAAGGCTAGTGCGAAACACTTTTTTGCAAGAGCACCAAAACCTATTGCTCGAACGTCATATTGGCCAAAAACAAAGCATATGTACCGTCAACGCATACAAATGAATGCATACAATGCAACATTCGAGTATGGCCCCGATGACAGCACCTGATCACGAATTGCAGTGCTTCACAATATGCTCCTCGTAGAGAGAACCCTCCTAGCAGCCTGCAGCACTTTCCACTATCGATGGAATATCAAAATACAAACCAATAATATTTAACATGCGATCTACTTGATGAAAGTCCTCAGCAGCTTGTGCATGACGGTCTAGTCCTCATCCTTGCCGGATACTTTGACACGTTTGTGGATTCGCCCTGTCTGCTTTCCAGCGTCCTCCTCCTCCTCCTTCTCCTCCTCCCAATCGCACACCGCGACGCCGCAAAACGCAAGCTGTCGGCCACTGGTTCGTTCAGCGATTCGGCAGGGGCTCCTGCTCCAACAGCCATGACTGCCACTGCGGTTCCAGCGCCGCAACACACGGGTCTGGTCCGACAGCACGTCGCCCAGCTGTCGCTGCTCGTCCGCCAGCACTTGCTCAACTACGAGTTTGACCGAGCCGCTGCTGTGCTTGTTGTTCTCGCGAGACGCAGCACTGCCATTCCCGAGTTTGTATGGAAGGTAACGGTTGGTTCATTCAGCTCGTCCTCGTGCGTCTCACCTCTGATGCTCACAAGAACACAACAATCATTCACAAATCAATGCAAAACAAATGACATCCATGGTGGTGCTCTTGGATTTCGGCTGTTGAATCATCTTTTTGACCTTTTTTTTTTCTTTTTGTTTTGAGGGCAGACCGCGATTCAAGTCATGAGCCAGTATCCAGGACAAGACACTGCCTGCTTGCGTATCTTCCGATTGTTTCTAGGACTTACTGCATCAAAGGACTCGGTAAACGCAATATTGTTTGTTGGTTTTCACCTGTTGACAACAGCGAAAGTCAGAATTTGCTCAAGTTTGTATTTCTGATCGCTCGTGCGGCCAACACTGCCAGGTGGAGCGACCCACGCTTGTCCTCGAACTGGCCTTCTTTCTCTGCAAATGCGGCGACTTTCGCGAAGCTTATTCCACGCTACTGGGATATCTGCACACCGAGCCATACCATTCGAGCGCCGTGTTTCATGGATACTGTGGACTCTTCTCCTACATGATCTGGGAGCAAGAGCTTGCAAGTCAACTCAACCTTGCCGGTGCACTGCATGTCACCCAGCGCTCGCGATCTGCGCACGCCAACGCTGTCACTCACTTTGAGCGCAGCTTCACCCTGGATCCGAGCATTGTGCTGTTCGCCGTTCGATATGCTCAACTCCTCGAGTACGACTCAAAGTACGATCTAGCCGAGGCAGCGCTGCATCGATGTTTCGAGTCCAACCCCGAGAACATTGACGCCGTTCTGTAAGTTTTGAAAATTTTGTTTTGGCGCGACACCCGCACCGTTCCGTCCAATCCACGATATTAAGTTTTTTTGCGTGGCTTGCAGGAACTTTTACATGTTTACAACTCGAAGGCAGCCAGAGCGGTATGCGTCTCGCTTTCAACTGTTGCAGATTGTGCTGCGATTGGACGCGACTTGTCCAGTTCTGTGGGATGCCGTGACGCTCTATGAACAAAGTACGTCAACCGGTATTGTTGGAGTGTCGTTGCTCTCAGTTTGTGGGCTGTTTTGCTGTACTGAACTTGCCGTAAATAATCGCATTGTGTGCTACAGATCCAACCCAACGAGACTTTTTAAAGCTAGCGCTGAGCGTCGTGACAACGCGACTGGATTATCCAGCCCATAAAGATGACATTCTAGCCTGGAGAACCCTGGTCGATTTGATACCGCGGTACAACTCTGGGTAATGTGCACCAAAGAGCCGTGCTTTGGTTTTTGGAACGTGTTTGGCTCATTTTTTTTTCACTCGAGCAGATGCAAACCATCCAAGTCAATAGCAACAACAAGATTATGGATTGAGCGACAAAGCTGGTGGCCTGGATTGCATTTCTCTCGGCAGCGCTTTGAATCTGATTCGACCGGTACAGGAAAAAAAGAAAAGAAAAGGCACATATGGGAATGTTCCTTTGGTACCTCACTCACCTCTGTCCATGTTGATTGGTCTTGTACGGCATCGTCGATCGCATAGTGCAAGATGATCGACAGCGCCATTTGCTGCTTTTAAAGGCGGTGGCTGCGTTGCATTTGAGCGGCCCGGCTTGCTCGTATGCGCAACAGGCTCTTTCGGTGCTCGAGGGCTACCCAGGGTTTGATCCTTCTCAGCAAACCCTGCGACAGACCTTGCGAGTAGGCATTCATGAATGGGAGACATTGCCGGCGGCCGAAACTCAGAGTGGGGAGGAAGGCGCTCAGGCGGACGTGCCGACCGAGACTGCGTTTCAAAGTGACGGCACCTCTGTTGCTTCGAGCTGGCAGCCTTCTTCTGACGACGAGACAGAGTTTCCCTTGCCCACCAGCGCGCACACCCAGCATGCTTCGACCGACGCACACAATGAAGGGTCAGCGTCGGCACCCATCGCAGACGATTCCTCAACGCATGATGCAACAGAATCAGCTGCTGCGTTGGCCCCGGAGTATGATCAGCATGGAGCGGATCACAATCCTACAACAGTGAAACGACGGAGACCTCGACTCGATTTGTCGCGTGCCGCATCTTCATCTGCTCGCGGAGGATTGTCCAACGCTTTTGTGCAATCGCTTCGTGCCTCGTTTGGCGTCCATCCCAACGTTGGATCTCGCGCCCAGCGGAAAGCGCGAGGTCGAGCGAAAAAGTACCCATAGCAGCACAGGCCTTCAACCGTTGTATTCTGAGTTTCTCGTGCTCGATCTACCTATTTGCAACCGTTAATGTATTCATCTCTGTCGGTTTTGTTCTTGTCTTCTAGTATTTTCTGTCCATTCCTTGTTTTTTTTTTTTGGGTTGAGCGCGCACACACCAAAATGGACGCGAGTGACTTGCCACAGGAAGCCGCATTGCAGTTGCTCCTTGCCAACTGGATGACGGATGAGATTGCGCTCCACCACGTCCCGCACATCCTCGCGTCGCTCAGCAGTCTGCATCTGGTGCGCGAACAGCTTCATCTCGTCCAATCTCATCATGTGCTGCTCCGTTGTTGCACTACCGGGGTCGGTCGAAGTGGTGGGAGCAGCCGGGAGGGAAAGAGGGAAAAACTGAAGGACTTTGCATTGCCTCGTCGTCCACATGGCCAATCCGACACGAGTCCAAACCGATCGTCCTACGACCAACTCGGTTTTCAACGTTGAAACTGTTTCCTTGCATGCAATCACTCTTGCAACACTGACTTTGCGCATACGTGGACTGCAACTTGGCTTTTTTGCTTGGCTCCGGAACAGACGCACGAGGCGTACCATCGGCTCTTCAAGCGCCTCACTGCGCTCGCACGCTCCGAAGTCCAAGTCGCACGATGCTCGTCGTTGCTCATCCTGGCTGCAATCATTCCAGACGGCATGCTGACCCTGCTCGGTGGCGCGACAAGCAGCGCGTCCGATGCTTCCGCTTCTGCCGCGGCGTCGTCCAGCAGCGGTCATCCGTCCAGCGCGGGTGCTGCAGCGACTCCAGCCAACTCGATGATGCTCAAAATGCTTGCAGAGACCACTGCCGCCGCACCTTCAGGATCCGGTGCTGGCTCGCAGTCATCGCACGACTGGTGCTTGAAACTTCTTCAGGCAATCTCGCATGTCATGAAGAGCAAGTCTGCCGCAGCCTCCCTTGACGCTGCTCTGACGTGTCTCGCGCGTGTTCTCGAGTCGCATCTGCCTGCTGAGCTGCGCCGGTGAGTAGTTGATTTGAAGCTTTTGAAATTGGCAAATTTCAATGCCAAATCTCCAATCGCTTTCTGACAACTTTGAACAACAACGTGAAACGTTTTGTTTTGTTGCGTCCTTGTGCACGCCCGCTCCAATGCCAAACACAGGGACATTCTTTCGACCCATCTTGCACGCTTGGTACAACAAACAACGGCTCTCGCCTCGTCCGCCGGGCTGACGACGCAGGTCGCAGCTTTCGGTGCCTTGTCGGCAATGATTCGTTCGCTTTCGTCCGCAATGCGTCCTCACGTGGACAAGGTCGAAGCAGTGTGCAGCGAAGCGCTCGACTCTGTGCACATTGACGTGGTACGCGCTGCTGCTTCTTGCCTTGCTTTGTGCCCAACGTGCGGCGGAAGTTCATCCACCTACACGCAAGCAAATCCTTCCGATGCTTGGCTTGTGCTTGCCAATCGCGCGCTGCTCACTGCAACAAAGCTGCTCGATGTCGTTCGGATCGACGAGACGGCTTACCTTGCACCAGCCGTTGCCGGAACTCCCTCGTCCAGCGCGAGCTCGAGTGCAAAAGCTACCAAGACAAATGGCGGCAGCAAAGGGAACAAGAGCGCCAAAAATGGCCAATCTGGCGCATTACCAATGGACGAATCCACCACGGAACCGGTCGTTGCCAACAATGTCGCTGCTGGCGTTTTGTTGCCACTCTTCCCATATCTTGATCAGCAGCAGCAGCTCGCACAGCCGGCGGCTGGTACCAACACCTCCATCTCGTCTCTGTCCCAGGCTGCATTGGCGCGTGACGCCAATGTCAATTCTCCAACGCTGAGTGCCTTGATTGCACGTCGAATTCAGGCCACCTTTATTGTTCTCGCAGCAATGCTGCAACAACCCGTCTCCTTTGTTGTTAGCATGCCGACTCATCGCATTCTCTCGCTCCGCCACGTTTTGTATCTCTCCGAGCAGCAACTGGTAGGTTTGCTTTGGGTCTGTGTATGTGTGTTTGTGCTTTGTTCTCATTTTCCGATTTTGTCTTGTTTTGAATAAGCTCCAAGAGGCGTCTAAACGCCCGAACAAGTTGGCATGGATTGCCTGGTTGCCGTTCTTGCAGCACTGCACCCTCGATCTGTTGAACGTGGCAATTACACGGTGAGCTGTTCTCTCTTCATCTCGTTTCTTTTGTCTGTGCTTTGCGTTGGCTCACACTTTTCCGCTGTCATCAGGTGCGGCGCGGGCATTCTTGGAGACGCAGACGACATGCTGCAGACGCTGGTGCACGTCTTGGAACAACACCGAAGGCTGCAGCCAGTTCACCGCCAACGAAAGGCCGAGACTCTTGTTGCCGCTCTGACGACGCTCGAAACGCTCCTCTCCACCCTCGGTGGAATGCTCGACGCGACCCAACTTGGCTCCGTTGGTGAGCTGCTGTGTGAAATTTTGTGTGGAGGAGCGCTGTTCCAAGCAGTCTCGCCTGCTACCGTGCCCCAGTCGCACCTGTCGGGCAAGAAGCAAAAACAACAGCAACAGCAAAAGAATATCGAAGAGTCTCTCGGCGCTGCCTCGGGCGCTCTAGCCGTCTCGCGCCCACTCCAATTTGCCAACACTGATATCTGCAAGCTGTCTCTCAAGGGTGAGTACTCGATCTCTCGATCACAATCCATTCTGGCGTTGCACACACTCACGTGCAACACTGCGATGCAATCAATTAACGTGCTTGTTCTCGGATTTTTTTTTTGCAGCTCTGACACGACTCCTTTACACCGCTGGCAGTCGGCTTCCCGACGCTGTTCGCGCTCGCATTGACGCCACCGCGTCAAGGCTGGTGCTGGAGACCCAGTTGGGCGCCGAGGCTATCTCTCTGTTGTCAATGCAGCGTCCGGCTTGTTCTCCAATGGTTGAGCCGACTTGCCGCCGAGCGCTGTATCGATTGCTCCTGGCATGCGTTGTGGCTTCAGCGTCGCCGGTCCACTCACCCGTATTGATGCAAGTCCTTCGCTTGTTGACGACTGGAACGCGAGATCCAGCACTCAAAGTGAGTTGCGGTACTTTTGTTTTTCTTGTTGGTGACCTCCACGACCAAGCGCCCTCCACCCCCTTTGCGTTGCAGGCTAACTTCCCACCCCCACCCCCTTTGCTTTGTGCCATCTTGTAGGTGTCCACTTTCTGTCGCGAGGCGGTGGCCGTTTGCGACAACATCATCCGACCCAAATTCCCGACTCTGCGGAATGGCGTGGCCGTTGCGAACGCTATTATTGCTCCATACACACCGTCCGTCGCAAGCACGAACGACAGCACTTTGACATCCATTCTCGCGCCTGTGCGCGTCGACAAGCCCCCAATGTCCACTTTTGGATTCGGAGTACCGACGACCCTTCCCGCTCCCCGCCCCGCCACTGTGCAGGCTCAGCCTGCACCAGCACCAGCACCTGAGCCCGTCGCTCCCGCAAGTTCAGTATCCGCTCCAGCAGCGCCGGTAGATGCAGCGCCAGTCAAATCAACAGCGAGCACGCCAGCGCTTGTTCCCGCTGCTGTATCGAAATCCGAGTCGGTTACTGTCAGCGCCGATGCGACCGCCACTCCCACGCGAACCAAGGTAATATACTCTTGTCATGTAGATCCGAGATGATACGTTGAATTGTAAGCTCTTGGAGCCAACATGGTTTGCTGACGTTCCATTTGTCTGTTTGCCGTTTGCCAGCGTGGTCGGGAGGAGGATCGAGAGTCTGTAGCCGAAGCGACCGCGTCGGCACCTAGTAAGCGCATCGCAGCCGAGTCTCTTGACGAGCCTAGCCGTCCCGAGGTGCTGTTCGCTGCATGTCAGCCCTCCATTCCACCGACGGTTGCTCCGGTCGTTCCGCCCGCTGCTCCCATTGTTAACAAGCATGCTTCTTCTACGAGCTCAGTCCCTGCCAAGTCCGCTGTCGATGACGATGATGACGATTCTGAGTTTATGATTGTCGACGAAGATCCCGACAGTGATTGATGCGATATTGTGTGTGTTTGTCGTCAATTCAAAAGCAAGTTTTTCATTTCAATCCTTTGTCGCAGTCTTTTTTGTTTGTTATTGAATTTTTATTCCTTGTTTTTTTGTTTTTTAAATCGCACAATGCCATTGAAACGGAACGCGGCTGCGAGTGAAGCGACCGATCCGCAACGCTCAGACAACGACAACAACGACGACGACGATCACAGCAAGAAGCCGCGGTTGGACGCTGAGGCCGGGACCGAGGCGACCTCCTCGTCATCACCACCACCAACAACAACAGCAGCAGCAGTAACAACAACATCATCATCACATGCTGGATCCGTGGGAGAGGACGCTGAAGCCAAGAAGCGAGCTGAACGCAAACTCAAGCTGGAAGAGCTGCACATGCGACGAGTACGCGCTTCCGCTCGCCCCCCCCCACACACACAGTCCCCTCACTCTCTCGCTCACTCTATCGCTCTCTGTGCCTGTCTATCTATTTGGGGGCGGGGTGTGTGCCACTTGTCGCTCTGAGAACGGACCAGGGGGTTGTAAAACTCACTTCCTGCCTATCATTTCCCCCTCCTCCCCGTTCCGCGTTAGAACTTTGCTCGCAAGCAAAACCACTCGGAAGTCGTCGAGGAAGACAAGCGCAGCAAGATGCCTGCAAACTGGGAATCCAAGAAGCGACGCGTCGAGGAAGAAATGGCGCTGGCTGAGCGCAAGAAGGTAACGACTCGTGCAATGGTGTTGTATGGTGTTGTATGGTATGGTGTTGTATGGTATGGTATGGTATGGCATGGGGTTGCAAAACCCAGTATCATTCAACCGATTGGACTTGACAGGCTGCAGAGGCGCAGGGACTTGACTTTGACCGACTGCAAATGCTCGAGGTTTCAGTAGAGGAGTCCGATCGCTGGGCGAACAAGCGAAAGCCCGCTGATCCAGACTCGGGCAAGTGGTCGGACTTTGTCGCGGCGACAGAGCGTCAGTACACGCGCAACATGCGACAGTTCAAGCCGTCGATGGAGGAATACAACGCCAACAAGAAGCTGTGGGAAGATTCGTCGGCAGAGACCAGCGGCTTGATTGTTGCTGGCCAACACGATGCCGTGTCTCGACAAGGCGTCGATCGAATGGTAGCCGACTTGCAAAAGACGTGAGTTGTAATACCAGGCGTTGGCTTTTCGTTTTTTCTTTTGTGCCGTTGCAACAATGACGCTCATCTTGATGCAACCTACTGTGTGCCTCCCCCACCCTCTGACAGCATCGAGCGCCGCAAGGGCAGCAGCCGCCGACGAACACACGACGCAGAAGCCGATATCGATTACATCAACGAGCCCAACAAGCGCTACAACCAAGCCATCGAGCGTGCTTTCGGCAAACACACGCAAAGCATCAAGGACGATTTGGAGCGCGGTACTGCCCTCTAAAGAAATGCGAAAGCTGAAGAGGGGTGGGAGCGGGTATGATGATTTTTTTCTTGGATGGACGCTTTGCAATCAAAATAGCCGTTCACATCATTCCAAAAACAAAACACGCATCAAAGCAAACTTCACACTTGCCCTCACCATTAGTCATGCAGCGCTGCCCGCATGTTGGCGTGCGCAAAATCTTCAATGAGGCCAAAGAGTCGCTCGCCGTCTTTGTGCTGGATTTGCCGGTCGTGCCGGAATCGGCGTAGTGCGGTGGGCGTCGAGGCGCTTGAGACGCTCGAGGAAGAATGCTCCAACGGCCGGGCAACTTGGGGAGCCATGAGGTTCATCACCAAGTCTGCATGGCCGACATTGTTAAAGATGTGCAACTCGCTCGACAACCGCGCCTGCTGGAGTTCGGCGTGAAACTTTTCACTGGACGAAACTGGGACGGTAGCGTCGCGAGAGCCATGGATGAGAAGAAACCGCGGCTCGTTGCGTGGGCGGGAGGACGACGAGGCAGCGGCTCGTCGACGGGCGTCAGCGTTGATTTTGAGCAAGGCGGTGGGCGACACAAACGGCATGGACGCTTTGCAGGCGCCCGCCACATGCCACATTGGAGACACGCACTCCACGCCTCGGCCAGCCTCAAACAAGTAGTGATCTGTGATGTCGTAGACACCGCAGAGCCCAACCACGGCGGTGACGAGCCGCGTTGCTGGGCGATCGATGGTGAGTGTGTCTGTCCACTTGTCACGCATCGGCCATTTCACGTGGAGCGGCGTCCGTGTCGTAGTTTGCGCAATCGCATTCCAAGCGCGCAACCACGTCGACAGCGCGGGAGCAGCGGTGCTCGGAGCCGATGCTGCGGGAACGACAGACGACGAGGACGACCCAGGTTGTTGCTGCTGCGAGCGAGATTTGTAGCAGCCTTCCGCGGCAGCAGCGGCAGAGCGCAACGCAACGGTGAGGGGCTGCAGGGCGGGCGTGAGAACACTCCCGTCGTTTGACAGACCGAGCATGTCACGGAGGGTCAGCAAGGTACAAAGATGGGCGCCCGACGAGTGCCCCAACAGTGTAATCCCTGCCGAGATGTCACCGCCGTGGCTCGAAATATTCTTTTCAATCCAGACGAGGCAGGAGCTGAGATCGTCGAGCATGTCTGGAATGGTGCCTCGCGGGTGCTTGACATAGTCTGGCATGACGACCACAAAGCCTCGCATGGTGAGCTCGTGTGCGAGCAGCGGGTAGATTTTCGGAGTGCCATAGCCCCAGGCGCCGCCATGCACAAACAGAATGACGGGGTGCTTGGTTGTCGTCGGATGTGTCTGCGTGGTATCGCGATGACTGTCGTTCTCGCTTGAGGCATCATCAGGCGCATCGTCCTTGTCCTTGTGCTTGTCCTCGTCCTTGTCCTTGTGCTTGTCCTTCTCTGTGGCATGGGGTGACGGCACAGCGGCCGCTGGAGCGTAAATGTCGGCCTTGCTGCCGTAGCGACTGCCATACTCGACGTCGAGCCAGACGTGGTCGGGCCACGGCTTTTGTCTGAGGAAGCGCGTCCAGCGAATGTACTCGCGCAGCCATCGAACGCTGGTCAGATGGTCGAGCGCGGCGAGCTGCAGCAGGTAGATCCGGCGCGGATGCCACCACGGCTCAAACTCGAATGGCGTGCCGTACGTTGCGTAGATTGCTGCCGTCGACACGGCGACCCACGACACGGCCGAGGCAGCCACCGCGCCCACGGCAACGAGAGCAGGGTGCACCATCGGGGACTGGAGGACTGGAGAGAGAGAGAGAGAGAATCAAGGGTGGAGGAGGGGATGGTGGAAGTGAAGGAGAGAAGAAACACAAAACACGGAAAACTGAGAAGAAGAGTGGATAAGGAAGTCAGCTATTGACATGTGGTTGAATAATAATGTTGCTCAGTCAATATTTTTGTTTGATTCCAATAAATTCAGCCGCGAATTTTGGGCACTAGAGCTCTCGAGACATGCACAGAGCAGGAAGAGTTGCGTATTCACTCTGTCGCAGTGCTCGGCTCGCAATCCACTCTGCTGAGGGTCGCGCTGGAGCAATCGGGGCTGCAGGAACAGGGTCTGCTGCTGCTGCTGCTGCTGCTGCTGCTGCTGCTGCTGCTGCTGCTGCAGGGCGGAGCGAGACGGGTCAACACAGGCGGTCGTTTCAGTCATTGTGCGGCGCTGCTGCGTCACATCAACCACCTCCAAGTCATGGCAAGCAAACTCGCGGTCGGAAAGAGAGTGTGCAGTGAAAACACGCAGCAGAGGCACCTCGAGAAAAACTGATGCTCATTGTGCGACATGGAATTGCTCGTTCCTCGCTGATCAAACAGATGATGCATACTGGCTCGACAAGCTGACCCCCGAGCAATTTCGCATCTGTCGACAGAAGGGCACAGAGCGACCTTTCACTGGCAAGTCGTTGCCGCATCAAAACAGGAGATCTTCGACGTTCTTGTTTTTTTTTTTTGTTGACAAATCGACATCATTGAGCTCAACATTGCGCGTGATTTTTGGATTCTACAGGCGCGCTCTATCACAACACCAAGCCTGGTGTCTATTCCTGTGTTTGCTGCGGGCAGATGCTCTTTGCGTCGAGCACAAAATACGATTCAGGCTCTGGCTGGCCGTCCTTCTTTGACGTGCTCAGCAAGGACGCCGTCAATCTGAGCGAAGATGGCGCGTTTGGGATGCGTCGCATTGAGGTAGAGTGCAGCTCTTGCGGTTCCCATCTTGGCCACGTTTTTGATGATGGGCCTGCTCCGACAAGACTGCGCTACTGCATCAACAGCGTCTCGCTCGGATTCCGGCCCTCGCCTTAAGTTGGCATTTTTGCTCGAGTCTTCCGGTGCGACCCAAATTGTGCAATGTACTAATAATAAACCAACCCGTGTGCTTGATCTCGCTCACGGCAGGAATGCCGACCATAAGTCTTGGGGAGGGGGGGGGGAGAAAGAGAGAGAAACAACGAAAAAACAAGAGTCCCCTGAGATTTTTTTTTCCCCAAAACCCATGTGTGCTCCCTGAGATGACATCTCGACTTCATGCTCCTTTCTCTCGTTTCGCCTCATCTACAAGTATCACCACATTCATCCTGATTGAAATTCTGAAATAAAAAAAAATTCAGAATCAGAACTAATCAAGTGTCAGATGACGAACCTGTCAAACCAATCATCCTTCTTTTTTTTTTTTTTGTTTGTTTGTTTGCGGTTTTTCTTCATTCAGAGCTTCCCTCATGTCTGACCTCCTCCCGCTCCAGGCTCGCCCCGACGCTGCTGGCCAGCCCATCCAGCCCGCATATGCTGCAGCGCCTCTCGGCGGTGCGAGCAACATGCAGGCCTCGCTGTATTATCCCAGTGCGCCACCCGACGACTTTGGCAACCCCTATGTTCAGAATCAACAGCCGATGCCGATGCCGATGGGCGCTCCTGCCGGTATGGGCTATCCGCCGCTGCAGCCGCAAGTGATGTACATGCAGATGCCGCAGCAGATGGCCGCCTGCTGCACCTGCCAGGCCGCTGCGACGACCCGCTGCGAGACCTGCCATGTGCCCCTCTGCGCCGTCCACGTCTACGAGCGCAGAGAGAGTCAGCAAGATGGCAACGTGATTGGCATGTGGAGGCGCCGCATCTGCGCTTACTGCCTCAACTTTAACACGTTCCTCGACTGTATGTGGAGGGTTTCATGTTGTTGCTGTTGTTGTTGTGTGGCACTTGGATTTTTTTTTTTTTTTTTTTTTTTGTTTTTGTTGTGTTTTTTTTTTCCAATTTGCTCACCAGACACTGCCGCTTTCGCTCCTTGCTTGCAGACGAGTCTCGGACACCCGCTGCCATGTACCTCTTGCTTTGCTGTTGCTGTTTGATCCCTTGCCTGGCTCCGAAGATCTCCGAGAAGGCGATCAAGGAGGTCCAGCTCAAAGTTTGGGTGTACAACAAACAGAACAATGTGCCCATGGTCATCCGCCTCGAACGCGGGAACAACAAGTACCAGTTCTATTTGTACCCCCACAACCACCCGGAGTTTATCAACCGCATTGCCAGCGAGCAGGCTGCGGCCAACCAGCAGGCTGCGGCCAACCCGCCGGTTGCGGCCAGTGAGCAGGTTGCGGTTGACAAGTAGATCTAGACCGGGTGCGATGACTCGACTCGGTTGTCAAGCCAAAAAAGTCACCTGGCTGCCAGACATTGCAATGTCACAATAAACAAAAGGCACAACAATATGGAGCATTCTTGTGTTGATTCAAATGGTGCGCCTCAAAAGGTCCATCAACAAATGGTTGTCAACGACTCTGGTAACGACATTCATGCTTGGCTTGAATCAGGAAGCTAACCCCGCGACGTGGATTGCACACACAACAGCCGTCCCAACTTTGAGGGATCTCTCATTGTAATGGTGTTTGGATGATCATTTCTCCTGATTTTTGCACGATCCTGCGTTGCACGTCAACAAACTCAACACTGTGATCATCACACCTAAATCTGCAGTAAGAATTCGTCATAAAGACAAAAATCGAGCCAACATGGTGTCACCCTCCCAACCCAAAAACTCTCAGAGCTCATTCTACATCACCCAAATCTCGAAATGAAGGAAAAGAAGAAGGTAATCCATTGATTTTTTTTTTTTTTTTTTTTTTTTTTGGCTGGAGTTTCCATTGACCTTTGTACATTTGACTCGTCCTCTTCTCTCCTCAGGCCGAATCCGGCGCGGCGATCAACTTTATCTCGCGCAACGCAGCACTCAAGAAGCTCCAGCTCAAGCTCGCAGACTTCCGGTAAGGCGCTCGGCCCCGATCGACCTCGACTCGACTCGGCCGTACTCAGTTGCATTGGCACACACACACATGGGCCGTTCTCTGCCCTGGTCCTCTTTGAGCGCCTCAAACCAGTCCAGCTCAATCCAAACCAACGCAATCATGTTGTTGTGCAACTCCACACTTGCGAGTCTCGCATTGCGTGGGAGCAGAGCAGGACAAGACCGAGCAAAGAGAGGTTTTTGGAGAGGGAAGAAGCGACCTCGTGGAGAGCGAGCGAGCGAGAGCGACTTCCATGTGGAGACCAATCCAAGCCCCCCCCCTCACTCTCACACACACACTCTAACTACCCACTCATCTTCATCATCTTACTCATCTTGGAACTGGCGTGCTATGATGGCCGTGCTTCCCCCCCCCCCGCCTCCAGTCGCTTGTGCATTCTGAAGGGCGTCTACCCGCGCGAGCCCCGCAACAAGAAGAAGGCGTCGGGCACTGGATCCACCGCCAACAAGACGTACTACCTCGCAAAGGACATTGCCTTCCTTGCTCACGAGCCCATCCTGAACAAGTTCCGCGAGTTCAAGGTCTTTGTGCGCAAGCTGCGCAAGGCCATCGGCCGCAAGGAGTTTGATGTTGCAGACCGCGTCAAGGCCGCCAAGCCCGTCTACACGCTCGATCACATTGTCCGCGAGCGCTACCCCAGCTTTGTCGATGCTCTGCGCGATCTCGACGATGCGCTGTGCATGGTCTTCCTGTTTGCTCGCATGCCGCGCACAAACCGCATCCGCTCTGAGGTTGTCGACCGCTGCAACCGCCTCGCGCACGAATTTGAGAGCTACATTGTCCGCTCTCGCTCTCTGCGCAAGGTCTTCTTGTCCATCAAGGGCATTTACTATCAGGCCGAGGTCATGGGTGCTCCCCTGACCTGGCTTGTTCCCCACCAGTTCAGCCAAAAGGTGAGTTTCGAGTTTGCAGTTTGTGGGGTTTTTTTTGGTCTGGTCGAGGGCTGTGATCTCGCATTCCGCGCTTTCTCTCTCTCTCTTTCTCTCTCTCTTTCTCTCTCTTTATCTCTCTCTTTATCTCTCTCTTCGTTCTCTTCGTTCTCTTCATTCTTTTCGTTCCGTTCTTTCGCTTACCTCCCCCCACCCTTGTAGATCCCTGCCGACGTCGATTTCCGCATCATGCTCACCTTCCTCGAGTTCCACATGACGTTGCTCGGCTTTGTGAACTTCCGCTTGTACCACTCTATTAACGTGAGCTACCCGCCAAGGCTCGACGAGACCAAGGATGCCGGAGCGTCTGGCATTAGCGCTCTCATTCTCGAGCCGCTGACTGCTGACGCGTCGGCAGCCGCAACGTCGTCCGCCATGGAGGTGGCAACACCTGCAGCGTCCAAGGCGACGGCGCCCGATGCCGCCGAACAGGAGGCCCAACGCAAAAAGTCTGCCAAGCGCATTGCCTCGCTCGGCAAGGCATTGTCCAACATTCACGAGGATGCCGACGTCGACGCCAACGAGAACGACGCCACTCGCATGCAAATTGACGAGTCCTTTGCCGCCGCCGATGCTGGCGAAGATGCTCAACTCATTGGCCAGCAGGTCAAGGAGCAAAAGTTGCTCGAGGCTTCCAAGCGTCTCTTCGAGCCCTGCCGCTTTTACGTTTCGCGCGAAGTGCCTCGCGGTGTTGTCGAACTCATCATTCGCAGCTTTGGCGGCCAAGTGTCCTGGGACAGCAGCATTGCCGGTGGTGCTCCTTATGACGAGTCTGACTCTGGCATTACTCATCAAATCGTCGATCGTCCGCAGCGTGGGCCAGCGTAAGTTCCAGTTGTGGCATGTGTTCGTTACAGCACTTGTTCGTTGCAGCATGTGTTTGTTGCAGCATGTGTTTGTTGCAGCGCTTGTTCGTTGCAGCACTTGTTCGTTGCCCAAGCCAATTGCTCACCTTTCCTCCCATACACAACACGACTTGCGCGTTGCAGAATACCCGGCCGCCGCTACGTTCAACCGCAGTGGATTTTCGACTGCGTCAACGCACACCGCTTGCTTGACGCGACCTTGTACAGCCCCGGCCGCGCGTTGCCACCGCACTTGTCGCCGTTCGTCTCCGAAAGCGAAGGCGACTACGTGCCTCCAGAGAAGCGCAATCTCATGACCGAGGAGGATGAGGAGCACGAGGAAATCGAAGACGACAGTGCCGACGAGGACATTGACGAGGACGAGGACGAAGAGGACGAGGAGGAGGCAGAGGACGACGAAGATGAGTCGCCCGCCCCCGCCAAAAAGGCCGCCAAGGGAGCTGCAGCACCAAAGCGTGTTTCTGCCAAGGTGAGTGTTGGAAGAAAACAGCAGGAGGGAAGAGGAAGGTGGGGCATCATTGTGATGTGTGAGGGGACGTCCGGACCAAGCGCTCACGAAATTTCTCCTCTTTTTAAAACTTTGCCCTTTGTAGCGTGGTCACCACGAAGTCGAAGAGGACGAAGACGACGAAGAGGCCGAGTACCAGCGCGAGTTGGAGGCCGAGAGCAAGGGTGTTGCCTTCTCGTCAGCCGCCGCCAAGCCAAAGAGCAAGGGCAAGAAGAGCCAGGCTGCCGCCGACGAGGCCAAGGAGCAGGAAGAGCTTGCCAAGATTCTCATGCCCAAGAAGCATCGCCGATTGTACAACCGCATCATGTACTCCAAGAACAAGAAGCAAGAAGAGGTGAGGCAACCTGTGGACTGGCGGTTTATGTGTTGGACGTTTATGTTTTTTTTTTTTGAAAACGAGTTCAAGCGCTGACGTTTTGCTCCTCTATGACCTCTTTAATCGACCAGGTCGACAAGCTGCACGCCAAGCGACTCGAGTATAACGCGCAACAGGATCAGAAGGCCCAAAATCAAGCGGCCAAGAAAGCCGCCAAGCACGCCCAAAAGAAGTCACGGCAAAGCGAGTAGTAGTCGGGCTGTGCTATAGTAGTGATTGCAATTCCTATTGTTTTGGTGCGTTCCCTTTCAACTTGTATTCGTCAACAACAATCCACTGAACGATTTCAACCTTAACAGGAGGGAGTAAACGTGACACATGCTTTGTCACACTCAGCTAACAACATTAACAAAGAGGCATGCAAAAACAACCCAGAGCAACAGATCAGAGCAACAGACAACTTGTCCTTGATTTCCAATCCGCTCAGGACAAAACACAGCAATCCCCATCTTGTTCCTCCAAAAACAAACACTATTGACATGCCACGAGATCTACGACCGTAGTTGCCCGGCGCTTTCGAACAATCGATTGCGACCGCTTGCAACTTCGCCAACCAGTGTTGGGGAAATCAAGTGGAGATGTTCCATGGCAGTGTCGGAGCCAAACTTTTGCGACAAGTCGATCGCAACGCGCGGACGTGGTGTGACGACGAGTTGCGGCGGCGGTGCCTGCAAGTGGTGCGCTGGCGACACGTTGGAGTGAATGTTTGGCGATGCCAACAAGTAGCTGGCAGGACTTGTTCGCCTAGCAAACGATAGCACAACATCAAGCAGCAAAAAGTTAGACAGTGCAAACAATCATATACGGCTTGTGTTTCAGAAAATGCAATTTCCAATGGTAAAAGCCAGCAACGCAAGAATCGATGCGTTTGCGCCGTACCGGAATGGCGAGACTGGCGGCGATGCGAACGAGGACGGCTTGGGCTCTGGCGGCGGCGAGCTTGGCGCGAGGGCGAGCAGAGCCGGGCGCGCTTGGTCCATGCGTGACACTGACGACGGGGACGCCGCGGCTGCGGTTGGCAGCAGCAGTGCCACTCCACCGGACGATGCTGTCGCAGTGGATGATGGCGGTGCCAGGATGGTGGCTGCGGCGGCGGTGGTCGATGGCGTCGCTGTGGATGGCGCGGCCAAAGATCGCATCGAAGCCGCAGCCAACGCCGGGTTTTGAGTGACGACTGCGACGCGCGACGACTGCGCAGACACGTCGGCTGCACTGAAGGAGGCATGGGCAACAACGCTCTGGCCAGGAGCGGCGGGCGGCGGTTGGTGGTGATGCAGTCCAGTCGAGGCTGCTGTCGGAGTTGCAGCAGTGGAATTGCGCAAATCAGCCAGACCGGTCTTCCCGATCGCCCCTCCTGCTGCTGCTGCTGCTGCTACTGATGCTGATGCTGATGCTGATACTGATGATGATGATGACGATGATGCTGCCGGCTGAATGTCAGCTGCTGAAGGAGGAGCAGGCTCAGAGTGGAGCAACTGTCGGAGTCTGGCGTTGGTCTCGTGAAACCCAGCCAGCAGCGAATGGATGCGCAGAAACGCAGGCTCACGCTGCAGCGATCTACACACACATACACACACACACAATGCACAAAAAAAGTCATGTCACACAAGTTTCATCCAATCATGCAGTAGTGGAGAACGAGCGTTAGTCGTCTGAAACAAAAATCAGGCACACTTTCGTTGCGTTGTTGATGTATTCTTTACTCGTTGGGCATTTCGATTCGATTTGAATGATTGACTGATGGATGACTGAGCGGGCGGTCAACAACATCAAGATCGAAACCTCTCTCGATAGAGAAACAGGGGAGCGAAGGAAGCAAGCTTAAGCTCAAACGAGAACCAGCAAACAAACAAAAGCCATTCTCAAAAATCTCTCAGACAAGAATCCATTATTTTGGTTTTTGAGATTTTTGTCAGTCCTCCCATTGTTTTTTTTTTTTTTTTTTTGTTTTTTCGAGGCCCTCCATTTTTCCCCAAGTGAGAGAAGAGGGCCATGAACGAGGACGACGAAGCCGCGGCTCGCACTGAGCGGTTTGAGGCCGAGAGCCAATCCATGGCGCGCTTCGAGTGAGTGTTTGAAACCCAGACTCTCATCACCATCATCATCATCATCATCATCATCATCATCAGCAGCAGCAGCCCTGCTTGTCGTGCCGCCTCGAAGCACTTGTGGCCGGCCACCATGGAAGGGAGATCAACGAGAACAGAGATCTCGGTTGGAGCGCGGCTCTTTTGCTCACTCTCTCTCTGGTCGTCACACTCACTCTGCGTGCTTGCACAGACAACTCGATGCGCGCGACAAGCGGCTCCAGGAGGAACGCGCGGCGAGACGGGCGCGACGGCAGGGCGACGGCAACGGCAACGGCGACGGCGACGACGGCAGCGATCAAGCAACCGTGGTTGGTACCTGCCAGGACATGTGCCCAGAGAAGGAGCGCTACTTTCGCGAGGTTGGAAACGACCTCGTCCGATTCGAAATGATCGACGCAGGCGCACGCGGAAACCTCGTCGACCACGCGCGAGCCGTCAAAAAGTTCCGCCGAGCTGCCGCGGGGTTGCCAGACCCGCTGCCGCACGAGATCCGACCAGTGCCGACGTTGCATCGCACCATGAACTTTTTAATCTATGAGATTGTGGGCCAGTCCGACGATCAGATCGGTCCGCTGGGACGGTCGCTCGTCGAGGTCTACAACTTTTTGGCAGATCGCACGCGCGCCATTCGGCAAGACTTGACGTTTCAGAACATTCGTGATCTCGACGCCATTGACCTCACAGAGAAGACAGTCCGCATTCTTCTCATATTCAGCTACCTGCTCTGCGAGAGCGATCAGTTTGATTTGAAGTTCTGTCTCCAAAAGATGAACGATTGCTTCCAGTCGCTCCAAGAGTTTTACTCGGAGGCGCGGCTTGCCCGCGGGCCAGACTGGCAGAGTCCGAACGAAGCCGAGTTCCGGCGGCTGTTTATTCTTGCCCACTTGCTCGATGGCGAGATTGACCAGTTCATTGTGACCGCTTCCCAGACCACACAGGCCTACAACGACATTGCCGTCGTGCTCGATGTCTTGCACGCTGTTCGCCGCGGAAACTATGTGCGCTTCTTCCGCCTGGTTGCGTCCAAGCTATCGCTGCTCGAGGCATGCGCGGTGCACATTCACTTCTCCTACGTCCGCAAGCAAGCGCTCCGTGTCATGCACCAGACTTTTACCTGCATCACGCTGAAAGAGGTGGCTCAACTCCTGGGGCTCGTCGACGCCAACCAAGCCGCGACCGTCTGCGAGCATTTCCACCTTTCGATTCGGCTGGGCATGGAGGACGCGGCATATGTGGGAGCGCCGATTCTTGTTGGCGCGACCATGGATCGCTCGTCGAGCTTTGATGCCGATGTAGTTGCACTACCACGCTTGCGGGCTCCAGCCATTGACCGGCTGTTCAGTTTGCAAACGAATTTTGCAACGGTGGCTGCTCCTCCGGGCGCATCGATGCACTTGCCCCACTCGACGATCGGCATGCCCGAGAATGTCGCCGCCGTTGCCCGCCGACTGGCCCCGCCACCCTCCTTCGCCTCGCAGTTGCCCAGCGCTGCTGTCGTGCCGACGGCAAGTGCCCCTGTTAAACTTGGTCTTGGCCGCGGCTCGCGTGGCACCATCGACATGCCAATTCCAACCCAACTCGGCGGAGCAGGAGGATCGCTCGCTGATCGCTTGAGCAGCCCAGCCGCTGTCGCCACCACAGCCTCCACCGCCGCCGCTGTACCGACATCTACTGCGCAGCCCGTTGTGAAGATGCCGGGCTTTCCTTCCGGGTTGGGTGCACGGCTTTCTTCCGCTCCTCCACCACTACAACCACTGACTTCCACCACAGTCTCTGACGTCAGTCCCGCCTTTGTTGAAAAGATCTCTGCCGCATTTTCTGAAACGCTGCTCAAGCGGCAATTTATGGCTGTTGGGCAAAGTGTGATTGCCGAGAGTCGCGCACAAAGCGAGGCCGACCTGCAGCAGCAGTTGCAGCAGCAAAAGCAGCAACAAGAGCTCGAGCAAAAGCAACAACTCCAACAACAGCAGGCCCAGCGAGAACGTGAGCAGCAACGACAGGCAGAGCTCCAGAATGCAGAGCGCAAGCGACAGGAGGACGGATTGCGCGATCGTGTCGCGAAAGAGGCGGCAACCGACATGCTCAACCAACTGGTGCAGACTGTCTCAAAATCGCTCGTTAGAGAAACCGCAGCAGCAGCCGTGCAGACGGCCGAGCGCGATTGGTTGGCAACCTTTGCGCGTCACTATAGCCAAGACCTGCTAAATCAACTCATTCGACGTGTCGAAGACCAAATGCTGCGCGCAACTGCTGCAGAAACCATCCAACTGGTCGCTGCGCAGCAACGTCGACTATCAGCGCTGCGTGCTCGCGTGGCAACATCCCAGCTTCGCGAGTGTTTTCACTCATGGCGCGACGTGGTTGTCGCTCGTGCCAAGTTCCGCAAGTTTGCTGCTGGGCTGCCCGTGTCCACGTCCTTGCTCTCGTCCAATGAGAGATTTTCCAGTCTTTTGCAGAGCTCGGTTGGCGTCACTGCCATTGCCAAGCCTCCCACAAGCATGACTGATGCTATCACGAGCAACGAGCCGTCGCCGCCATGGCAGGCCTTGCAGCAGCAGCAGCAGCAGCAGCAGCAGCAGCAGCAGCAGCAGCAGCAGCAGCAGCAGCAGGCAAACCACACACACGCTCAGGCTCAGTCTGCTTACACCGCTTGGGGAGTCGCATCCGCCGAGCACAAGCTCGTCAACTCGCCAAACAAGCCGTCCTCAGTTCTAGGCTCACAGCTTCGCAATGCCATCTTGGAGCAAGACCGCGCTCGTTTGGCTCGAATTGCGCCGCTGGATTTGCCCGCCCTCGTGGCTCCCGCTCTGACAAATGCCAGTCCCGACGCTTCCGAGCTGTTTTGGAAACTGCTCGTGTCCGTGCCAGACCATTGCGATACAGACCTTGCCAGTTGGCTCAAGATGAAGCTTTCGTTCGTTTGCGACACTTCGCTGCCAGTCGTGTCCGCGGCCGCTGGTGGCCGGATTAGCACGATCGGGGCTGGCAGCACAATGTTGGATGTGCCCGTTTCCATTCCCGAATCCGAGTTGGTCGCACCTCTGAGCAAACAGCGTACGCAAAGCTACAAGCGCAAGCACGAGGAACCAACACCCTCCACCGTTGCAAGCCGAGTGCTGCACGTCTGCGTTGATTTTGTCGAGCTTGATTCTCACTCCTTCGGCGAGCTCCAGGACGATGATCTTTTGCGCCTATGTGGAGCATCCGGCATTCTGTTTTGCATGAAGTCCTCACCCAGTCGTCAGACAGGCCAGGATGCTGCGGCGGCGGCGTCATCGGATCGCGAACTTGCCAGCTACTTTGCGAGCGAGCGCATGCGCCTGTCCCTGCTTTTGCAAGCGCTGCCTGCTGGAGCGCACGTTGCGCTCATGGTCGTGTTGCCTGTCGACTTTCCCAAGCTATCTGGCCTGTGCGCAAACGGCACTGGCTTGCTCGGCTCATCCTCATTTCTCAATTTGGAAGCGCTCCGACAGCCGCACGCCTCGCGGGCGCATGTCTCTTCCCTCCGTGTCATGCAGTGGCCCAGCGGTGCCGAATCCACGCTCGCCCAACCGGCACTGGCACACGTTCTGGGCGAGGATGCCGATCCATGGTCAAAGACGCTTGCATTTGCGACAGTGTGGCTTTCGCAGCAATCCCTCAGGCAGCCCTCAACCGATCGGCGAATGTTGGGCCAAATTCTCGAGACGGCTTGCCACCAGCACTATTTCCCACACATCAATGCAGTTCAGGGCTCGGACCCGTGGCACACGGCTGACCTGTACGACCGCGTTGTCGCCTACGTGCAACGAATGGTGGAAAATTCCTCCGCAGTCCCACCAAGCCATCCAGCCTTGATCAACTGGCCTCCGTACGAGTTTTCGGCTGCGGCGCACCACTCGGGCACCGGTTTTGCGTTGCCATATCCGCTTGAGCGGCGCCTTGTTGCCTTGTTGCCGCCTCCGCAGTGGCAATCGGCGGAAACTCGTGCACGTGCGTCCCATCTGTTGGAGCAGGCCAAGTTGCAGTGTGCCCTGCCACCGATGGAGCTGCCAGAGCCCGTCCTGCTGGCCCTGGATGCTACTGCCGTGACTGCGCTTGAAGACCGCGTGTCTGCTTCCAACACGACCAATTCTGCAGCACCGGCTCTCTCGCACATTCTGACAGACAACATCCGGCGCTATCACCGAACCCTTAGGAGCAAACGAGCAGCGAGCGCCAACGCCGTGTTGGTCGCAGCTCATCACGCGCGTCACGCCAGCCGTCTGCAGTACATTGACCAGCTTGTGGTTCATTGTTGGCAGTACGCCGTCTCGGCCGTTGGAGCACGCGTTGATGCAAGCTCTCAGCAGGTGCTTGACGTTACGCACGACTCTGGCGTGGTTTTGGCTCAAGCCCGCAGTCTGCTGACGGCCTTCCGCGACGATGCCTTGTCACTGGCGGACGCATTGTCCACGCGTGATCTTGCCGGCACCGAGCAAGAGGCGATCGAGCTCCTGTCGGACATTGATCCTGTGGCGCAACTGGCGGCACCCTGGCCTGCGGTTGTCAACGAGCTCGTGTCCTTCAAGATGCAACGGCTTGTCGCTGCGCATGTGCAAGTCTACTTTGACGGAGAAGCGTCCGAATTGGCCGCTGCTCTTGCCGGAAGTTCTGTTCACGCGGCCAACAACCTTGACGAGATTCCCATTGGCGCGGTGTCGAACGCTGATGGAGCGCTGCTGCCATCGGGTCGGAAACGGCGTCATGAAGAAAGCACCGACACGCCCTTGAGCTTTAGTGCCGACGACTCGGTCCAGACCATCCCTGCCGTTGCTTCTCCCGCGTTCATTACGACCGACGATCCGCCACCCGTGTCCCTGTCCGAAGACGCTCCCCTCAGCAAACTGCGTCCTACAAAATCGCTGCGTCTGGACAACACGGTTGCGCATTCCTTCGATTCCGACGAGGTGATTGAGCTGGACTAGTTTGTGCTTTTTTTGTTTGTTAACTGAACTTGTTGTTATTCTGCATCGCTGTTGTTTTCTGATCCAATCTCTTTGATCAACTTTTTGTTTTGTTTTTTTTTGTTGGAAATGAACACTCGAATGCACCAGTACAGTATTGTTTGCGTCGTTGTTCCATCGTGCTATGAGTCAATGTGATTTCGCTAACATATCCACACGCAGTCATTGTTATTTCCTCGCATTACTTGTTTCAATAGCTATTCGCATTGCCTCTGTGAATACTTCTCAGACCGTTGTTTTCGCGAATGCCGTCATCGAGATCCGCAGGGCCATCGTCCCCGAGCCCTGCAGCGGCCTCCCCTGCTCCAATAGTGGCGACCACGTCCCTGCACGCAAGCACTGCAGCGGGTGCACCCATCCCATCATCGTCATCGTCGTCGTCGTCGTCGTCGTCCGCTCCATTGGGCAGGACGTCGCGATCGCGCCCTGCCGCAGCAGCTGTCACTCCGCGCTCGCACGTCGCCGGCTCTGGCTCTGGCTCTGGCTCTGGCTCTGGCTCTGGCTCTGGCTCTGCTGCTGCTGCTGCTGGTGGTGGTGGTGGTGGATCTGGGTCTGGATTGGTCTCTGGCGCTGGGTCGTCGATGCTGCGACTGGCGCCCGTCGGTGTCGCTGGTCATCTGCCATACACGCTCCGCTTTGATCTCTTCTCAATGCACTCGCGCCCAGCATCGCGCATTCTGCTCGTCGTCGGAGTTTTGTTCCACATTGTCTACTTGTGGTCCATCTTCCACGTCTACTTTACATCGCCGCTCGTGCCGGGCGTTGCTCAAGTGCAGACCCTGCCATGCTACGTTTCGCAGCAGCTTCTGCACGCGCAAGACCGGCCAGCGCCGACAAACGTGCTGCCAATCCGACCAGCCAAGCGGTTGCTTTTCATTGTCGGTAAGGGCGCCAACCAATCCATCTCACCTCAAACGTTCAAAAATTCCCATTCATTCTAAGAACGAATTGTTTTCGGTTTGTTGTTGCTCGTTTCGTTTCGTTTCGTCTGATTTTGATTTTTGAAAACCACCGATGATGACAGCGGACGGACTGAAGGCGAGCACGCTGTTTGATCGCCGCCAGCCACCTCACCGAGATCGAGCACCGTTTTTACACAGTGTCATTGAACACGAGGGTCGGTGGGGTGTTTCACACACACGCGTGCCGACGGAATCCCGCCCAGGCCTTGTCGCCCTGATTGCCGGGTTTTACGAGGATGCGAGCGCCGTCACACAACGATGGAAGGAAAGTCCAGTCGAGTTTGACTCGGTCTTCAACCAATCGTCGCATACGTGGGCCTGGGGCGCACCAGACATTGCCTCGATGTTTGCCAAGCAACCAGGCAGAACAACGCCACCCCATGTCCACACCTTCACTCACGATTCCCAGCTGGAAGATGGCATTTCTGATTACCTTGACCGATGGGTGCTGGATCGCTTTCGCTTTGCCCTGACGCACGCTTCCAAACAGCCGCAATCCCTACCCGCCGCTGGATCCACACTCAATCCGCTCAGCGCAAAGGAGTACGCTGCCCAACTCGGAGATCCCGATGCGCTCGATGCGTCATTGAGAGAGGAAGGCATCGTCTTGTTTCTGCATTTGATGGGCATTGACATTGCTGGACACACCCATCGGCCCGACTCGCAAGAGTACATGAACAGCTTGAGGGCTGTTGACGAGATTGTGCACGAAGCCACTCGGCTCGTGGACGACTTTTATGGCGACAACGCGACAGCTTTCATTTTCTCGTCGGATCACGGCATGACATCGCGCGGCTCGCATGGCGACGGTCATCCGGACGAGACCCAGACCCCGCTGGTTTGCTGGGGCTCGGGTATTGCTCGCCCAAGACCAGTCAATCACCACGCCACTCTTGCAGAAGATCCATCGGGGTGGCAGCTGGCGCATTTGGAGCGCGTCGACGTCAACCAAGCCGACATTGCGCCGCTCATGTCGCACCTCGTGGGAGTACCATTTCCACGGCACTCGGTGGGCGTACTGCCTGTCGCGTTGCTAGCGCCAGACTGGCCTGGTCCTGGGTGCGCAATGTACTCGCTGCTGACGAACGCGCGCCAAATTCACGCGCAGTACCATGCAAAGGCCAAGGTGCGCGCATCCGTGGAGCCGTTCTACCGCCCGTTTGGTCCTCTTACTGATGCAGGGCGCGTCATCTCACAGCTGGTATCTCGTGCCGAACGGCACCTTCGCGAGGAGAAGTTTGCTGACGCCGAGGCCGTTTGCCTTGAAATCATTTCCTTGTGTCTGCGCGGGCTGCATTACTTGCAGCGTTACGACAGACTATTTCTCTGCACCGCCATTACGCTCGGATACACTGGTTGGATGCTTTGCGTCCTCATGTTCATTCTGCGTCATTTTACCAACATTACCGTGTACCACCTGCACACCGAGTTTCTTCTCCACCAGGCCACCTCGCACGAGATTGGCTCGGACGTCTGGGTCAATGCCGTCACAGTCGCTGTTGGCGTTCTTCTGGAGATCTTCCTCGTCAGCTCTGGGGCGCCCATGTCGTATCATCTGTACATTTTCTTCCCGCTACTGTTCTGGAACCACGTGCTCCGGCGTCGCTTCATTCTCTACGATCTTGTCTCTTATCTACGCTCCAAGCGGTTTGTTTTTGCCGCTATTGCTCAAGTGGCGTGGTACTTGATTTCCATTGAAGTGATGGTAACGTGCCATTGTGGTTTGCCGAGTCCTGCTGGCGTTTGCGTCCGTCTCATCGTTGTTGTTTTGTTTTTGGTGTTGCGCAGACTCTCTGTTTTTACCATCGCGAGGTCCTATCGGCAGGCTTCCTGTTGATTGGCATTTGGCCATTCTCAACGCGATTGTGGCGCACAGACAAGGCCACGCTTTTGAGCTGGCTGCTTGGATGTATTCTGACGAGTATCTTCCCCTTGCTACCTGTCGACTATCCCGAAAATTCGCGCCTCGTGTAAGCAACAACAAAATCAACAACAAACAAAAACAGATGTTTCTTGGAGCGAATCGTCTTTAGTTTCCCCATTCAATGCATAATTCGACTCTCACGGAGCATGCTCTTGTCTCATTTGTCTGGCAGAGTGCTGGCTGGTATTTTGGTCATGATCTGCACGGCTTTTGCCATCACGCGACCATACTTTCATCCGACGCTTCGCGTCACGGAGGCGATCGAGGAAGCCAGGCGCTCCAAGTCCAAGTCCTATCTCCTCACTGCGGTTCAGCTGGCAACGCTCGCATTGACGCTGGTTGTCGTGGTAGACACGTCAAACAGCCTGCGGAACAACCAGGGACTGTCAATGATGAATGCGGCCGTCAGCTGGGCAATCCTGGTCTGTTCGCTGATTGCACCACACTTTGCCTCGTCGTACTATCTCAGTCGACTCATGGCCATTGCGATTGCCTTTGCCAGTCCTTACTTTTTGATGAGCACTTCGTACGTTTTTGCTTTTTGCTTTTTGCTTTGTCGCGCTGCGCTCATGCTGCTCAAGGTTGAGCAGTATGGTTTCTGTTGCCGAACTGTTTGCATGGTGTTCTCACGCATTTTGGTTTTTGTGGTTTTTGTTCAATGCAGGTATGAGGGTCTGTTCTACTTTTGCCTCACAGGATGTGCCTATTTTTGGTTTTTGATTGAGCACAAACTCTCACCATCGCGCGATCCGAACATCGAGCACATTGCCATTCGTGCGGTGCAGCAGCAACAACAGCAACAACAGCAAGAGCAATTACATCAGCCATCCACGCAGGGGATGCTGGCCGTCAAGGCAGCTTCGCAACAGTCCTTTGCTTGGTGGCAACGACTGCTGGGTTTGGCCGACCTGGCGGACGTCGAGCAAAACTTTATGCGCAACCTCGTCACGAACGACATTCGTTGCGCGTACTTTTACGTAAGTAGTAGCTGTGCTTGGCTTTGTTTCTTTTTCGAAAGTGCCAATTTGGCTAACAAAACTTTTTTTTTTTTTTAACACGGCAGTTATTCTTCCTCCTCGCCGCATTCTTCGGAACCGGCAACATTGCCAGTTTCAGCAGTTTTGATCCAATCAGCACACATCGGTTTGTGACCGTGTCTGCTGCACCGGTGAGCATGTTCTTGCTCCTGATTTGCAAAGTCCTCATTCCGTTCGTCATGGTGAGCTGCGTTTTTCAAGCGGTCAACCAGACGCTGCACGTCCCAACCGCTAGTATCTTCTTGATGGTCATTCTGATGACGGACGGCATGGCGCTCCAGTTCTTCTTCCTGGTGCGAGACCAGGGCAGCTGGCGCGAGATTGGAACGAGCATTAGCCATTTTCTGCTTCTCAGCGCATTCATTGTATTCTTACTGCTGCTCTATGCCGTTTCAAAGCTTCTCACGGGCACGCTTGACATTCACGCCCGCAAGAAGCTTCGACAGGTCCACCATCACTCTCAGTAAAGGCCTGGGGGTGGATTTTCTGATTGTTCATACTGTAGTTATTGTATTTTTTTGTTTTCATCGTTTCATTAAACCAGTCACCTTTGTCAGTTGTCGTTTCTTTCCTTTTGTTTTTGTCTGTTCTTGTCTTTTGGTCAATAATAAATCGAGTCCAGTCGTCCATTTTTTCTCAGAAACCGCGAACTCGTTCCAACTTTCGATGACCACACGTGCACGTAAAACCACAACCGGCGATTCGGGCGTCGAGGTCCAGATTACGCGTACGTTTGCTTCCGCTTTGTGTCAATTTTTTGATGGGTTGGGCTGTTTTTTGTTTTTTTCAAAGCTGGGTTGTATCTGCGCTCTGGTCATTGGTGTCGAGCGGGATACGTTCGGGACGAGTTGATTGTTGGGCTTTTTGATTTAACTCCGGGCTCTTGTCGTCCTTCCGCCTCGACCTTCCTTCCTTCATCCCTTCAACTACAGCCGACGGCCAAGTGACCAAGATTGTCCTGCGCGACGGCACGGGCGCTGCGCCTCCGCCGAAGGGCTCGCTGGTGACCGGTAAGCAAGTGCAATCCCCGCGCTCTGCTGTCATCCCAGCAGTCAAGTCAGCCAATCGTCACTCACTCACTCACTCACTCTGGTCTGCTTTTGCTTTGGGAACTGAACTTGAACTGCTGCAAATCCTGAACTCGTTCCGTGTGCTCCATGGCAATGCAATAGTGCACTACGTTGGTCGCACTCCGGACGGCCGTATCTTTGATCAGAGCCGCAACCATGGCTCGCCGTTCGAATTCAAGCTCGGTGCTGGATATGGTAACATTCTTACAAAAAGCTCGATGAGGGGAGTTGGGGGGTTGGGTGGATGGGGGAAGAGGGAAATGTTTCGCGTTGTGATTTGCGATTTAACATCAGCACCCACTTTTCCCTTTTTTTTTGAACGCTTGAAACTTGCAGTGATCAAGGGCTGGGATTCCGGTGTTGCCACCATGAAGGTTGGCGAAAAGGCCCTGCTGTCGTGCGGCAGCAATTACGCGTATGGCGCGGATGGGATTAACGACGGGATGACTCTGATTCCTCCCAACGCAACCCTCGAATTTGAAGTGGAGCTACTGTCCTGGCGTGAAGACAAGGTGTGTTGCCTCGCGGTGCAAGGCGTGGCTTTTTGTTTGGGATGAAGGTTTGTGGCAAGAGTGAGACAATGCTGCAGGCGCTGTTTGCTCATCTCCCTTTGGTTGTTGTCATCCTCGGCTGTCGTCGTTGTTGTTGACAGTCCCTGCCGATTCTCCAGCTCAGCATCGTGCTCTTTGTCGCTCTGCTTGCCTGGTACATCTTGTGGTTTGAGCCTTCCCAGCGCGCTACGGCGTCCAGTTGAGACGAGGAAAAATACACAATTGAAATCCAACAGCAATAATGAAATTACACATCACTCAGGGGAACACATACACATACGCACAGGCACACAAAGAAAACACAGACAAAAGAGAGAGAGAGAGAGAGACAAACTCGAAACGGGGAAAAAGAACAAAAGCAAAAAGTGCTGCTCGTCTGATCAAAGCACTCGATCGAAACGAAACAACCTCATGGCGCGAGAATCAGCGGCATGACATCATTCAAGAAGGCAGCGGAGCTCAAGATGCCAAGATGCTCTTGACCAGCGACGTCAACTTCAACCATTTGCTTGCCGCCGTTCTTGCCAATCCAGTTGCGGCAGTACTGAAGACTGGGCAACTCAACTGTGCCGTCTCCTTGGTTGGGATCCACGTAGAAGGGCGAGGACTTGTCGAGAGGGAAGAGCAGGGCTGGGTTGGGGGCGAGATACGTGGTGCCGTTGATGACAGCGTCTTCGCGATATTCGGCCGGGTTGGTGTTGGTCTGGTTGGCCGATTGGTAGACGTAGAAGCTCTCAGTCACGACTCCAGAGCCGTGGATGCAGTAAATGTCGGTCTCTGGGGCGGCAACGGTCAGCGACCGTGGCTCGACAATCTTGCTGATAATGAAAGGCACGAGAGGTCGCAGCGTGCCGGGCATCGAGTCAAAGAGCCTGGCAACGTCGGAGGCATTGGACGAGAAGGAGGCGCCAGTGTCGGCATACTGGATGAACGTCTTGGTTCCGAAAAAGTTGGAGAAGGGAATCATCCAGAGCAAGCCGCCCATGAGCTGCTCGACAGGCAGGAACATGATGTTGCCGCCGGGCAGACCTTCGTCGTCGCCCGAAATCAGCGTGCGATAGGCCTTGCCGGCACCCTGCCAGGGCGACGACACGGCCAGCGTGAAGCGAATGTACTGGTCCTTCCACGCGCGGTCGACAAACGTGTTCAAAAAGTACAGCCAGTACGAGCCGCCCAGCGAGTGGGTCATGACATGGACGCGGCGGGGGCCCGCGCTGCAGGCACGTGTCATGTTGTACGTCTCCTCAATCAAATTCTTCAGGTCGGTGAACATGGACGCGAGCTCAATGTCGTCGGCCACCAGGCGGAAGTCGAACGGAGCGCCGCGAATGTTCTTGCCAACCTCGTATCCGGGCGTGACCTTGAGCTGCTTGATGAGCTTTTCGTACACGGCAGACATGCCGGGGCCCCAGTTGGACTCGATGTCAAACAGATTGTCGACGCCAGTCACGCCGCCGTAATCGCGCGGGCGGACCTGCACGCCGGGAGTGTTGGCGAATCGGCCCGTTGTTTCATTGTAATGCACAGCCATCATGTCCTCCCAGCAAGCGCGGAGATGGTACGGCGGAATAGCATCTGGTTTTTCAAAAATCATCCAAAACAAGGTTGTTGTTTGGTGAGTGAAACCGAAGATTTCGAGCTCCTTGCCCGGCTGCAAACTCGAGCATCACGCCACATTGTATGCAGCCAATCAATGATGAAGAGGAGAGTGGTTGAGTCGACAAAAAAGCGAGTCTTTTGAGCAGCGGGTTTTGCACAAAAGAGCAAAAAAAAAAAAAAAAAAAAAAAAAAAAAAGCGGAAGATTGATGATAATAAAAAGGTAGCAAAAATACAATATTAAAAAAAATCATCAATCATAGCAACGGATGAACTGGAAGGAAGGAGAAACATCATCCGACGTTCAGCGTTCAAGTTTGCAAAAAGAGAGCAACAAAAGAGAAACGAGAAAGACAACTCAAAGAAGAAGAAGAAGAAGAAGAAGAAGAAGAGGTTGGAATTGAAACAAAAGAAGACAAAAACCACCATCATGGACGTACCGACGGCCTCGATGGCGGGCCAGAGGCGGACGAGACCGCTGCTCCACTTGTTGCGCGAGAAGACGAGCGAGCACTCGTAGTGCAGGTGCTTGTACTCGTCGGTGAGCAGGAAGTCGAGCACGCAGCCGCCGAGCCCAGTGACAAGCACAATTGGGTTGGCGCATGCATCGTAGCTGGTCGCAGATTCAGCAGTAGCGTCGTCGTTGGTGTTGGTGTTGGCAGTGGCGGGCGTGGGAGCTGCGCCTGCTGTCATCCAACACAGCGCCAAGGCCAGCGCCAGCAGCACTGCGGAAGTCGTCCTCGTCATTCAAATGCTATGCGCGCAGTGTGTGTAGCAACAAAAGGGGTGTGTGTGAAAACCAGGCGAGGCGGGAGGGGGGTCGCGTGCACAGGGGAGCGGAACGGGAAATCAGCAAGCGCGGAAAGACTGGCTTGCGAACACTGGTTGGCTGGAAGGAAAGGAAAAAAAAAAAAAAAACGGAGAAAAAAAAAAAAAAAAAAAAACTGGGACTTTGCACAGAGAAGAAAAGGAAAATGGAAAACACTGGGAACCTCAGACAAAGGCAAAGAAAAAAAAAGTACAGCATGGCGAAGAATCAGATCAGAGGAGAAAAAAAAGCAGAGAAGATCAGCCAAAAAACACAGAAGATCAGAGCCGATCGGCGCAGATGAAAGAGTAGGAGCGAAACTGCCGACCGACGACAACGACAACGAGGCACAAAAAGAAGACTTGGATGGCGTTCTATGAAAAAGGGGTGTACCAGATCGAAGGAAGCAACGGAAGCAAAGGGTGGAGAGAGGACAAGGTCTCCATTGGTAACAAGCTCCGCTTTTAAACGGCAATTCCAAAAAGGAGCCCTGGTCGGTCTTGGTGTCCTAGACAGTCAGTCCAAATCGCCAGTAGAACGTCTGTTGCATCGATTGGCCGGTTCTCTCAGGAGGCGATTGCGTAGCATGCAGCGCGACGCTTCGCACTTTCGAAACCGCGTCACGAGCGAAAGCGAGACAACGCAGTCTCAAAAACTTGGTGGTTCTCCATGATCAACGCACATGCGCTGTTGACAAGTAGGAAAGGCAAATGGAAGAAAAAAATAGTGAATAGTGAATTATTCCCTAAGATAAACGACGTGCTTGCACAGCAACCCGTGTTTGCGTAGTTTTGCCTCCCTTCTTAAGGCTCGTCGTTTTCTTTTCACAAACGTCACTCTAGTTTTTTGTATGCACTCTCAAGGATGCATTTTATGCTCTTGTTGAAACCAGCGTCCTCTCACGTTGACGCGGCACTGCATTCGGCCCTGCATTCGGCCCTGCATAAAGAACGTTTCGCTCATTTCTCTCTGCTCTGTTGTTTCTGCTCAAACACGTCCTTTGCAGAGTGACTACACCCAACAACAACAACAACAACAACAACAACAATGACGATCGGAACCAAGGTTGACGCTGCCACCACTGCTGCTGGCGCCAAGGCTGACGAGGCGAGCAACGCGGCCAAGGCTGAGGTCCACAAGAGCATCGCCAAGGACTCGGACGCTAGCCTCGGCACTCGTGCTCGCGCTGCCGGCGACTACATCGCCGACAAGTGGAACGAGAACACTGCTGCTGGCAAGAAGGAGATGGCCAAGGAGGAGCTCAAGCATTGAAAACCAGACGAGAACGCCGTGTTGACTTGCTTTCTGCTTTTGTAATAACTAAAGCTCTTCAAAACGTCTCCATTTCATAGCCTCCTTCTCATGCAGATCATTGGTGAATCAGAAGCAGCACGCATGAAGTTTTGTCTGCTAATCGCTGTGACGGCGCAACGCTTGGCTGTGACGGCGTTCTTGTTTTTCTGCACCTCCGACGATTGGAGAATCAAAGTCGCTACATGGTCTATACCCCTATGCCATCCCATCAAACAAAACAGGAAGACGTGCACCAAGACCGGAGGTGGCCTGTTCAAAACACCCGAAGGAGGAGATTTGGGGTACAGCGTTTTTTTTGCCGCTTGTGCTTCGTCGCTCGAAGTGCGATGCCGCACCAATCAGGGTGTGGATACCAGAGACGATACGTGGCACTTTTGCAGAAGACCAGGTAGGATGCATCAGAGACAGGCGCTGTGCCGGGAGTTTACATGTCCAAAAACACACTTTGGTCAGTAAGGTCTCGTGTTTTTACCACGCGATCCATCTACGCAGCTACCAAACGCACGTACAATACGACATTGGATCCGCACAGCAAGAAGCGCCTGGATGGAAGGAGGCAGGGGACTACACGGCCAAGGTTGAGCGGACACTCTGACTTTCCAATTATAACGTGGCAGAGAAAGCGAGTAGGATGCAGCTGGGAGTGCGGCGCAGAGGTAAAAAAAAAAAAAAAAAAACAAGGTGAAAACGCCCCGATGTACGTGGCGCGTTCTGCTAAGACACATCGTAAGACGCCAAAAGGAAGAACAAGGAAGAAAAGTCAGATCGACGCAATTTTGCACTGCACCCTTGGTCGTCGTGCCTCGGCTTTAAAAAGCAATAGCCACGCTGTTCGAATTTGTCATTCACAGTCAGTTTTTTTGGTACTCACAATGAACAGCGCCTTACAATCTTGGTCGGTCGTTGTGTTTGATAGTCGTCTTACCTTCTTTTTGGCTTTGTTTGGAACTTGTGCAGACATTCAAACTCATTCCCCCAAATACCAAACATGACGCTCGGAACCAAGGTTGATGCTGCTACTGGCGCTGCCAGCGCGAAGGTCGACGAGACTACCAACGCCGCCAAGGCCGAAATCCACAAGGAAATTGTGATGGACTCGGAGCAACCAATCGGCACCCGCGTCCGCGCTGCCGGCGACTACATTGCCGACAAGTGGAACGAGATGACGGCCTCTGGCGAGAAGGAGCTCAACAAGGAGGAGCTCAAGCATTGACACATCTGCATGCTTGTTGATCTTCTCTGAATTGTGTTGTTGTTTTTTGTGTGGTTGAAATAACAAAGCAAAGACCCAAACAAAAATCACAATCCGCGCCTCCAACGTCGCAGATTTCCACCATCCATTGTTTTGTCGTTACGACCAACTGTCTATGCGTTGTCTGAAGTGCTGAGACGTAGAACAGCCGTTCCAGTTTTGTAAGGAATTTTGACGCTGTTTCGTTTTCTTCCGTTTCGTTTCCGTCGCGTTCGAGTGCGAATGCGCTGTTTCAATGGATGAGATGCTATATTCGAACAGCAATGTCACCCCCCCCCCTCCTCCCCATCGTCGTCGTCATTGTCGCCATTACTGGGGATTGTCGTCTGGCATCGCTTCGTTTCGTTTCGTCTCGTTTCGTCCCATTCATTTTTCTTCTCCTTTTTTTTTTTTTTTTTTTTTTTTTTCGATGGCGCCGCGCGTTGGTCCAGAGAGCACCCCGTCTGCGCGGCGGGCGTCCATCCTTGTCGCCGCGGACGCAGCCACCGACGAAGCCCCGCGCAGTGTTCGCCGCAGCACTCGTCTGCAGCAGCTGCAGCAGCAAAGCCACAGCCACAGCCAGGCCGGCGCTGGACAGCACGAGAGCGGCGATGAAACGGTTTCAGTTTCAAACACGCCGGCGCGCGCCCGCGCTCCCCACTCGGCCGTGCGACCCAGCAGGACTACTGCCGCCGCCGCGCGCGAGGACACGCAGCTCCAGCTCCAGGTCCCTGCATCGGTTGGCCGTGCCAGTCGCTCGGGCCTGAGTCTGCGCTCGGCCGCACACGACAACAGCAGCGCTGACCTCACGACGCCAACAAAGAAATCGAGATCTGCGCGTTCTGCGTCGACTACCGCGACTGCTGCGGCCGCTGCTTCTGCCGCTGCTGCTGATAACGGTGCGTATGCAGTCAACGAGGACGAGGCGCCATCCACTGCGGCGTCGACGTCGTCCAGGTGGACTGCGTCGTCGAAAGGCCGCAGCGAGTCTCTGCGATCCCGCGCGCTCGACCTGAGCTTCACGACCAACGCCAGCCAGCCCGACCTCGACTCGAGCGTTCTCATGCACAGCGCGATGGAGGATGCCGACGAGGACGAGGGTGACGACGCCGAGAATGCAAGCATGACTGCCGCTCGCGCCCGACTCTCGCCAACGACGCGTTCGCCCCGAAGCCAGGCCACCGCCAAGTCTCCTCCGGCTGCTGCTGCTGCTGCTGCTACAGACAACCGCCGAAAGGGCTTGTCGCCCACTTCATTTTCATCGCCGTCGTCGTTGCGTTCGGGCTCACCCAAAGCCGCTGCTGGATCGACGCCGATCAATTCGCATTCGCAATCCCCCGCAACTCCGTCCACGCTCACCCGCATTGTGAATGTGCTGACTTCACCCTTCCGCCGATCGGCAGAAGGAGATTCCAGCAAGTCTGCCGCTTCATCCCCAGGCAAGCCGAGCCCGTTGCGCGGAGCACCTCTGGCCGAGGTGCACCGTCCTCAACGGTCGGCGGACGACGATGTCTTGTTTGGTCTTGATTCGTCCGACACTGAGGATGATGGCGGTTCCAAATCCGACAAGAGTCGTGCCCGGGCACCAAACGTAGCAGCAGCAACAACAGCAGCAGCTGGCTCGACGACGACGACGTCGTTTGTTCGCCAGCTCCCCCGCAGCCTCGGAGACTTGCTGCGATCGATTGGTGTCTTGTTCTATCTCTTCACCACCTCCATCATGCTATTGAATGTATTCTTGCTTGCCAAGGGTGGCCAGGCTCTTCGTCGAATCCGCGGTGGTGGCAAGCCTTCTGCTCGTTCCGCGGCTGCTGCGACGGCGACGCCCTCGCAGTCTCCGAGCCGGTCGCTCTCCTATTCCCCTCATTATCGCGTCCGAGGCTCCAATCTGGATGATCTCGATGCGTCGTCCGACGAAGAGTTGCTCCACGACCAGCACCGCGGACAGTCTGCAAGCATTCGCAGACAGCTTGGCGAGGTTGTTCCTGCGCTTGCTCGGCGCCTGTGGAAGGGCGCACTGGTGGCGTTGCTGATCTTGTTGGTTCTGGCTCTCGCCCTCCGCAGGCTACCTGCTGGAGTGCAGCACGCTTCCAGCCCGTTGTTGGACCACCAGCAAGTCGACGATCGCCTGAAATTGGTGCAAGCGTCGGCGCACGACGGCAACCTCGCGTCTGGCAAGTCTGTCGAAGAATTGGTTCAGCTTGTGCAGCTCCTGTCTGCCGAACTGACCAGCCTCGAGAAGAAGTTTCTCGCTGCGCAGAAAGATGATGATCGTCGTCTTGAGCAGCTGTCTGCAGACGCCGCAGCAGCGGCTCAGAAGCTGACGCAGCAGGCGGCTCAAAAGCCCGCCCAGCCAGTCGTCGACGACTCTGCCAAAGGTGCCAATCTCGCGTTGCAGGCGCAAGCCAAGGAACTTGATACTTTGAAGGGTGAGATGGAGCGTCTCAAGGCGGCTCTGGACAAGGAGTCGAACAACTACCAAGTGAGTTGATGCGCATCAATGCTTGGAAGGAGAAGGGTTTCAGTGACATGACGTGTGTTTGACTAACTGAGCTGAAAACCCAAATCCACACACACACAATATCCAACACCAAACAGACGGCCGATAGCAAGCTGCAGGAATCCATTCGCAGCTGCGTTACTCTTGATGTCCTGAGCGAGCAGATTGCCCCACAGGTAAGGATTTGCTTGCAGACTGCTCTGTTTGTTGACTGGTCGAGCTTGCATGCTGATTGCCTCCAACTGACATACAGGTCAACTCTATTGTCGAGCGCCGCTTGAGCGAAGCCACCCTGCCAAAGTCGACGGACAGCGACACGGTGGCGGTTCAGCAAGCTGCGATCGACCCCGAAACCCTGCGCCAGCTCATTCACGAGGAGGTTGCGGCACGTGCCCCGACGACTCTTTCGGAAGAAGAGCGCGAGAAAGAGTTGAGCAACCTTGTGACGCGCGTCATTGCCATCATGGAGCCCCGCAATCGCGAGGCTTTGGATTTGGAAGTTTCCCGGCTCAACACGCGTGTCAGCACATTGCATTCTGAGGTCGTTCAATTCCAGCAGCAGCAGCAAAAGCACCAGCAGCAACAGCAACAGCAACAGCAACAGGCCAGCGTGGACTCTGAAGACGTGCGCGCGCTCATTCGTGAAGCCATCGCGCTGTACGACGCCGACAAGATTGGCGTTGTTGACTTTGCGCTCGCCTCTGCTGGCGGCTCCGTTGTCGAATCGTGCACGTCCGCCTCCTTTAGCGTGCCCCGACTTGCTCTTTTCGGCATGCCTGTCATGATGCAAAGCACGTCGCCCTTGCTGGCCTTGCAGGTTTGTAGCTCGGTTGTTTCTTTGGGCATTTTTTTTTTGCTTTTGCTTTTTGCCTTTGTGATGCTGACACTCGCCGCGCTCGTGTGTCCGTCACAGAGGGACAATTCAGTGGGCAACTGCTGGGCCATGTCTGGCCAGTCTGGCCAGCTCACTGTTCGTCTTGCCCGCAGCATTTCAATCACTGGCTTCTCAGTAGAGCATGTTGCCAAATCAATCTCCTTGAATACGATGAAGAGTGCCCCACGAGCCTTCCGCGTTGTTGTACGGTCCACTGTTGGCTTTCTTTGTTTTGATTATTTTTGTTTTCTGGATTTTTTCTCCGGGACTTGCGAGAAGGACTCATTTTCTTGCGTGCGTGCACGGTTGTTAGGCGCTCAATGCCGCTTGCGACACTGAGGGTACTCTGCTTGGACAGTATTCTTATGATATTGACGGCACCCCATTGCAACAATTTGCTGTTCAGGTTTGTTTCTAGAGGGACTGTTCGATCGGGTTTCTCTGGGTCTGTCGTTTTGGGCACTCACCTTCATGACTTCTCGCGTGTTGTCCTTCACCACAGTCCAAACCTTCGCGGTCGTTCGAATACGTTCGCCTTGAAATTGCGAGCAACTATGGCGAAGAAGACTATACCTGCCTGTACCGATTCCGCGTTCACGGTGTCGCATAGAAGGCGTTTGCGCGTTTTCCTGAAGTTCCTGAGCTGAAAAGCATTTCGTTTTTGTTGGAGAAAAAAACGAGTGTGTTGAAGATGTCGTGAAGCTTGGTGTGAAGCTGCGTTGATGATGGTTGATTGTAATCGTAGTTGGTGTTTGTACCTACGTGATAGTGTGTTGCCTTGTGTGTGTGTACGGAAGAAGTTTTCCATGTTGGCACAACTTGCGTTCATTGCGTTCCGTTTCGCTCAAATTTCGGCCAAATTTCGCCCAAATTTTTCGTTCCAGTCTGTTTTTCCCCTTAACTCGAACACTACAAAGTCAAAGCAAGATGACCTCGCGCCGGCCTGTGCTGCTGTACTACCATCCGAGCATGGAGGACCTGGCCCACAGCATCTCCAGTTTGTGTGCGGCGGCCTACCTGGACCAGCAGCAACAGGCAGATGCAGGTATTGCCGCAATTGCGAATTCTGCAAACACGTCCGCCGTGCTGTCCACCTCGTCATCGACCGCTTCTGGCACGACCGGACCATCACCAGCAGCCGCTGGCAACAACGCCACAGCGTCATTGGGCGACGACGGAGAGCGGAGGACGAGCAGCACTGTGACCCCGACCAAGACCACGGTGGTCGCGCCGACTGGGCTGACTGTGGTGGTTCACCCAGCCGGGATGCCCGACAGCGCGTCCGTGTCGCACTCTGCGTCGTCCGAAGACTTGCTGTCCCTGGATCCGTCGAGCTCGAGCGCCAGTGCTAGTGGCGGGGCTTCGAATGCCGCGGCTGAATCTGCTGGCTCGAGCACGACTGGCACAGCCGAGACGCCTGCTCCGCCAAAGCCACCCAGGCGCACGCGCCATGCGCCAGACACTGCCCGAGAGTCGGATCTGGCCCGCTGGCGTCTGCTTCGGGTCAAGAACGGCGGTGGCATTGGTCGTTCGCTCGAGTTGCGCAGCAATCTCAGATGGGGCGTGTTTGAGGATGGGTTTCCAAACCTCTTCATTGACGACGTGAAGGAAATGTATGGCCGTGATGGTAAGTGTTTGTTGTGGTCGAGCCATTGAGAGGCCTTTTTGGTGTTTGGCTGGTCGTTGGTTGCAAAAAAACCCCCAAAATACCCCAAAAACCTCAATTGGCGAATTTTTTGTGTCAGTGCTTTTCTTGGCCAGTTTCCACTCGCCCGCCGTTATTTTCGAGCAGCTGTCAGCCATCTATGCCTTCCCACGGTGCGGTAATTGGTGCATGCGAGGCGTTCACGCTGTTGACGCACGCAACGATCTGTATGTCGCTCATCGACACTCTCCATCCACTTGCTCCCCACAGCTACCTCGCACGATCCTTCACGTTAATTCTGCCATACTTCCCTACCGGCACGATGGAGCGCGTGGACATTGAGGGACAGGTGGTGACGGCAAAGAGCCTCGCCACGCTGCTCTCTGCCATTCCGCTCACACCGCAAGGTCCTCCACAGATTGTCATTTTCGACATTCATGCGCTGCAAGAGCGCTTTTACTTTGGCGACAATGTCATTCCGCGGCTGGAGAGTGCCATCCCTTTGCTGCTGGATCGACTCAAGCTGCTTCCCGACCACGACTTGATCACCATTGCCTTCCCTGACGAAGGCGCGCACAAGCGGTTCCACACCATGTTTGAAAACTACCCGACCATCATCTGCACCAAGGTTCGCGATGGCAACAACCGCATTGTGACAATCAAGGAGGGCGACGCGGACGGGCGTCACGTTGTGATTGTCGATGACTTGGTGAAAACGGGCGGGACGCTGCTTCAGTGCGCCAAAGCCATCAAGGCTCGAGGCGCCACTCAGATTAGCTTCTACGTCACGCACGCCGTTTTCCCGCTCGAGAGCTGGAAGCGCTTTGTGGGTGGAGACTTTGCCTACTTTTGGTTTACCGACTCTGTTCCAACCGTGGTGGAGCAGCTTGTTCAGCACAAGCCGTTTGAGCTGCTGTCTCTGTCCACGGCTGTTGTCAACGCGTTGCTGAGTTATGATTTGCACCAGTACTGAGTCTGCTGTTCAGTTGTGTTTGTATTTTCATTTTGGCTGCAAGATGCTTCAATTCGGCTCCACAGTCTACAATTTTGTACATTTGGCACAAGTGTCAAAGAAAAACAGAATTGCCGCTGAAGCACTGTCGACACCAGTTTGTGCGTGCGTACCCCAGCCACAACTCTAGATAGTCTGTCACCGATTCTGAGCACATCAAGGTTGGAAACAGAGTTAGAAGACACGAAATCAACATTGTGGAGCGAATAGATCTAAACGCATTAAATCTTAACGCGAGACTTTACTTACCAAGCCAAAGCCGTAGAGTAAAAATGAAACGTGACAAAGTCCTCTCGAATACAATTCCTTGACACAATCAAGCCATCCATGTCTGGTTGGGCGTTACACCTCCCGGCGCACAAGTCCAACGTACGCTGCCATTCGAAACACGATCGCCAGCTGACTCATGACAACAAAGCAGCTGACAAAGTCTCCCGCCTCATAGCCGTAGAACTTGTTCATGGTGACTGGGTTGGTATGAAACGGCGCAATCTGCGAAAGAGTAGCATGCAGTCCATGCGACAAATACAAAATTAAGCAAAAAAAAAAAAAAAAAATGAAACGAAACGCACAAAAAATTGGAAGCAAACTAAACTGTCCCCAACCATACCTCAACAAGATAGTATGCTTCTTGACTGAATCGGAACAAGCTGATGTAGGTGGGATAGACGAGCACGTTTGGAATAAGCTTGTTGTCGGCGAGTTGCTGCAGGTTTGGCGATGAGCCCGAGAACATCATAAAGACCAACACCACCAGCACGCCAGCGAGCTGGGACATGTCGCGGGGAACGAGCACCGAAATCAGGTAGGCAATCCCGGCACAAGCAAAATAAATATGAAAGTACAGGAGGAAGTAGGGCCAGAATGACGCCGATGGTTGCAGCAATGAATAGTAGCCCAGCGTAAAGAAGAGCGGCGCCAAAACGATAACCGGAAGATGGGCAAGCGATTTGCCCAGGTAGTACGCTTCCGTGCTCAAGGCCGCGGCCGATTCGCGTCGGAACACTGTCGTTTCATTGCCGAAAATGCGTAGCGAGCTTGTAACAGCAGAAAGTGCAACCGCGAGACATGTCAACGAAGCTTCGCTTGGGATGGGATCGTCTGTGGGAGCGCACTTGTGAGATGACCAACAGACGGTGCTCAGGCGACTGCAGAAACAGAAGCAATCTTACCTTTTGGAAGTTGTAAAAACGTGCAGACGACCTCTGGAAGCTCTGTGCAATTGCCTGAGGGAAACAGGGAGTCGATAATCGGAGGCTGATAGGGTCGATCAAAGAACAAGACTGGTCGTGGTTGTCGCGTTTCCATCAAGACGTGTTCCAAACCCAAAAGTGTCAGAGCATGCCCACAACCACAGCCACAACAGAGCATCAGCAAGCCAACGCACCATAAAATGCAAAAAAGAAAGCCAAACACACGCATTGACCTACCTCCCATGAACAAGCCAGTGCAAAACATGAGGCCCAGATCAAACCCAATCGCAAGCCAGCTTCGGGAGAGTTGCAACAAGCCACGTTTGGCAACCTGCCAAGTCGTGGTTAGAACGCTCGGGGCCACGCGATCTTTTGTTGGCAACCGGCGATAGCGAGAAGCAAAAACGACAAGCAGCGCGAGGCCTTGAAGCGGAATCAACCCAACGGATACCGCCACGTACAGGTTGGGCGTCCCAAGCTGGCCGATCAGCACGAGGAGCCCCAAAAGCAGCATGTAGCAACCACATCCTAGAACGGCCCCGTACCGCTGAATTCCAGCGACATCAGCTCGTTTCCAGACAAACCACATGAAAAAGGGCCCCGAAGACATTCCACCAAGCACATGGGCCAAGAAGAGTGGGTCGTGTCGCAAGCACACGCGCACTAGAACAATGACCACCACAACGCACGAGAAGGCGCCCATGAACGAGAGCATGTCGGCCACGGCGGATGGGGCATGGGGCGCAATCGCAGCTGCGACCGCCCCGAAAATAAACGTCATTGATATCGCAGTGCCCAGGGCACCGCCTTCAGCGCGGCGCACCGAGCGAGGTTGGCTGTAGATGGCGTACGGAATGGCAATTGGAATCGCCAAGCAGAGCCAGAACATGGCGGTAAATTCACACCAAGAACCAATCTTCTGCAGCACAAACTGATGCTGCAAAGAGTAGCCAGCGGAGGGGACCTCGTACTCGGGTTCACTGACGGAATTGGTCTCGCCCCCAGCTGGTCCGCCTACTTGCTGCTGGAGTGCAGCCTGCTGGGACCACTCGGTGAAGAGGTCGGCCGGAGTGAAGTCAGGACGCCCTTCACGAGCAACCTCACCCATGCAAACGTCAATCAAAAAGTCGGCCGGGTTGCATTGCGAGGGGCACCTGAATCCCAGTCCTTCAAAGTACGAGAGCGCTTGCTTCGACGGGCCGAGGTACACGGTGCGCCCGCCCTTGCCCAGGAGGAGCAGGTCATCCAGCATGTCAAAGATTTCATAGCGTGGCTGATGCACCACAGCGACAACCGTCAGTCCGGTCTTGGCGAGGCGCTGCAAACATCCGCAAACCTCCTTGGAGCTCGAGCTGTCCAGGCCGCTTGTTGGTTCGTCCAGGAACAAGACGGAGGGTTGTCCGACCATTTCGATGCCAATATTCACACGCTTGCGCTGTCCACCGCTAATGCCACGCGTATCTGCAGTGCGGTGTCCATGTCAGTGCAACGTTTCCATCAGTGCAAGAAACCCACAACAACAACAACAACATCATCATCATCATCATCATCATCATCATCATCAACAACAACTACTACACGGCTGATTGTTCACCTTCATCACCAATTTTTGAAAAGCGAATCTCGCTCAGGCCCAACACCTCGAGCACCGTTTCAATCAGACCCAGCTTTTGTTGCGTGCTCATGTGCCGCGGAAGGCGAGTCATGGCTGAAAAGTACAGGGTCTCGTAAACGGTCAGCATGCGAAGCATGGTGTCTTCCTGGGGCACAAATCCGACCAAGTGCTTGTAGCGCTTGAGCGAGTCTGGGATGCCGTTAATCTCGAGCAGACCCAATTCTTCGCCGTACGTTGCACGACCCGCGAGCGTGGTCAGGAAGCTGCTCTTTCCCGCTCCGGAGCCACCCATGACGGCCGTCAAGCGTCCCGGCATAAGCTGGCCAGTGACGCCTTCGAGCACCTTGTGGTCGCTTCGGAGCAGCTTGAGCCCGAGCTTTTCGAAACGAAGCTGAAACCGCATTTCCGGGTTGCCAAGCAGCAGCATTTGCTCTTCTTGCTGGGAACTGGCGCCGCCAAGCAGTAACGGGACTCGATCGTCATTGTTGGTGATGTCACTGTTGACCGAGTGGCCTTTGCCAGAGCCGTACATGGCCTGCGAAGCCGGCTGCTGCTGCTTCTGGTAGACCTCGACCGAAACCGCATCGAGGGGTTGTTCGCAGCTCAGAAGCGGCAACGTCTCTGCCTGCTGTCCAGCACTCGTCCACGTCATGGAGGGGACACGCGACAGACCCAACGCCTTGGCTGCACGGAGCTTGTCGAGAAAGGCCTTCTGGCGGGCCGTGCGAAAACGCACGTAGATGTGCCAACCAATCGGAAAGAGCACAAAGACAAGAAGCTGCGCATTGATTCACACGCACGCGCGCACACATGCATCAGCATCAGCATCAATATCAGTATCAGTATCAGTATCAGTATCAGTATCACTATCAGTATCAGTATCAAAGCAGAAAAAAAGCAGAAAGCATGAAAGGAAAGGATTGCTCCCAAACGAACCACGCAAATCGGACCAGCCAGCCACGAGTAGTTGAACGCCATTGTTTAATCGCAGCACAGGCCGATGACGATCGCAACAACAAAACGAAGCACTTGGAGGCAATGTCCAAACGCGCGAGATCAGATTGAAATGAAGCAATCAAATAGAAAGATGGACTGACCCTGCCAAATGGAAAAGAGTCGAAATCATAAAAAAACCACGCGAGATTTTTTGGCAACGATGATGACGTTGAACTCGATCCGCCTATCCAAACACACCGAACAAAAAAATCCCAAACTCAAAATTTAAACAAACACACACACACACAAAAACTTCAACTCAACACATGGCCGCCGAGCAATTGGTGGAAATGCAGTGGACGAGGGTGGGCTCGTAATTGCAGAGAGGGATTGGATTGAGCGACAAAGAACTTGTCAGGGTTGCCAACCGATGGGAGTGAAGCTGAGCTCGAGATCCTTCTTGGTCTGAGACGAGAGCAGATCAGGAAGATGATCAGCATCATTTTAACGGTATGGCCGTCATGGCGAAATACGATGATGGCGAAATTTGGATTGGCTTTTGAACCATCTCGCGCGCTCGACCCGAAACTTCGACCCAAAACTTCAAAACTAGATCTACCGCCAGCCAACCCACCGACCTCAACTCACTCGATCGAATGGTCTCATGTACATCGCTGCGGAGGATGCTTTGTTTGCACAGTCGTTCTCCCTCTCTCACAAACACAAAGTCCACCAACTGAAACGCAAAAATTCTGTCAGTTTGCGACGTAATAAAATGTATTCACACACGCGAGACACCAACACAGAGTCAACAAATGGACGATCAACAAGTTGCAATTTTGCAAGCCTGTTCAATAAAAAAAAGTCAGTCTGCGGCGGAAACGCTCTTGGGACGGCGTGCGCCGTAAACGCTCGCACCGGATTGATACGGTTTGGACTCGGACCCGGGAACGGCTGGCACTGGAAGCGAGGAGAGCGTCATCGGCGCTGCATCTGCAGAGGCCGAGCTTTTCCGACTTGCGGCTGCTGGCGGTGGCACGGGCAGCTCGAGCACAACGTATTGGATGGGACGAGCTTCCGGCGCATGTCGAGCGAGGTCTGGCATGCGTCGGACTACGCTCTCGAGCAGGGTTGGCGTGGTGTCTTCATGCTCCATCGGTTTTTCGTTCGGTTTTTCGTTGCCAGTCGGCATCACATCAGCGTACTGACTGCGACGATTGAAAGAAAGCTCGGACAGGACGGTTGCGTCGCTTGGACGACGGCCCCGGTTCAGTTCCGTTGATCCATAGCTTCCAGGCTGCTCGAAGAAGGCTCCCGGTGACAGATACGAGGCAGACAGGTTGCCATCGCCGCGGTTTGGAAGGTTTAAAGATGAAATGCTCTGCGCATCTGCTGGAGGATGGGCTTGGAGCAGACTTGCCATGGCGGGGCTGTCGACGGCGGCTGGGCGTGTCGCTCGAATGTTGGGAGCGTTGCTGCTCACACTCGAGTGCGACGCGCGGCGCTGCTGACTCGAACTGACAGACAAGCGTCTATCGCCCTGTGGTTGTTGTTGTGGGATTGTCGATTTCGGGCTGCCATTTTTCGGGCTGCCATTTTTCGGCGAGTGGTTGACGTTGGCATGAGCGTCGCCCGCCTCGCTCTCTTTGCTGCTGCCTTTGTGATTGGCACACATCCACAATAACGAGGAGACGACGCACAGCGCAATCACAACGCCAACCACCACGGTCGAGGTCGAGGTCGTGGGGAGAGATCCCATTTGGGTAGCAATCAAATTTGGGTCGGGCCTGGCGAAATCTCGCACCTCTGCCTGCCTGCGCAGCCCACCGACGACCGGGTTTGCTTCACCGGCGGCAGCGGAAGCACTACCGGCAGCCGCCGCAGGATGTTCTTGAGAGCCAGAGAAGATGCGCGCAATCATGGCTGCGAGGACGTTTGCTGTCGCCGGAGCAAGCCGTGCGAACGATGCGGGCTTGGTCTGACACAGTTTCGAGTCGTCGCATAGCACAGGCTGATTGGCGAGGTCACTGCCGCTCGGGCCGCTCGCGCCAAGAGCAACGTCTTGCTGGACGACTGGTGCGCAGGTAACGAGGCACGGCATTGACAGCAGAGCGACGACGAGGCAAGCAGTGGCCAATGGTTTGGCAAAGAAGGGTGTTTGCATTTTTTGTTGTTTGTTCTGCGCGCTTTTGAGGGTCGCACGCGCTGCGCTTTTGCTATGCGAATTCGCCCTTTCCAAACTGGCTCACACTTTGGCGGGTGACGCTGCTTTTTTTGTTCGAGGAAGCGGCACAACAAGAGCAACAAGCTACAGCGCAAGGTCTTGAGGCACAGGTGTGTGGGTGTTTGGAAACAGAGTGTGGATGATTTGGGAAAAAAAAAAAAAAAAAAAAGCAAACCCAAAACAAAAACACCTACAAAACGAGAAAAAAAAAAAAATGAAAACTGAAAAAAAAAAAAAAAAAAAAAAAAACCCAATACTAAATCCCAGTAATTCAGTCGAATCGGCTCGATTTCTCACGAATCAGTGAGGCGAACGGCGAGTCAACGGTGGTTGCTTGGCAAAGGCGTCCTTGTTACCAGCTCTTTGCCACTTGTCAACCAGAGGAACAGAAAAGCGGGGCTCTCGTGCGACAGGAATGCGCAATGTGTTGAATTGACACCCTATTCATTCGCCGAAAACGAAAACAATCAATCTCCAAGGTAACATCTCGGCAGATCTGGGCGCCCCGCACCCTAAATGAGCTTAATTATAATGGGCGACCCCAAAAACGTGAATGATCACACTAAAGCGGTTGAAAAATAATGAGCATGGAGTGGAAGTGCGGTTTTTCAGGTTTGCAGCTGGACGTTGTATTGTAATAAACAAAATTAACAAAGCATAACCACGCGAAAGAAAGTGCTGTACAAAAGCATGGTTACTGAGGGAGACACATACGCCCCCGACTCGCTTGGACCTTGTGTCTGGGGGTCGCAAAAAGACGGGAGGGTAGCTCCTATGGGAGCCAATGAAAAACAACAGGAAATAAAGGACAGGAAAACCACCGCCAAGAGCCTGACTACAAATCCAACGTAGCATAGGTTGGAGAGGAAGCATGCGGCACTTGATACTCGGACGAGGCTTCGTGCGGCACTTGATATTGGGAGCCGGTTCCACCTGGCACTTGATACTCGGCAAAGGTTTCGCGTGGCACTTGATACTCGCTCGAGCTATTCGAATTGCTGTGCCAGCCTTGCACCAGAGAGGCATACTGCGTACCCTGGGTGTTCGGGGAGCGGCTCGACGCATCAGTGTACAAGGCTTCCTCGTGCTTGCCGCTTTTTGGTGGTCGCGGGGGTTGGCGTGGACTGGACTGCCCAACAGCGTCGTAAATCGGATTGGCCAATGTGCTCTGGTGGACAGCATGAATGTACGACGGCTTTCTCTCATAGTCCGGGACAGGCGCTGCCAGGGGATTGGCTTGAATTGGCATGCTGTTTGGCTCTTGGGATGCACGGCGCTTGGCAGCGGTACGTCGCCGCCGCATCACAAAAACAAGCAGGCAAACAAACAGCAAGCCACCAGCAGCTCCGGAGACGGCTGCAATGATGGATATGTTGTCCGACGACGATGTTTGCGAATTGGGCGAAGCTGGCGTGCCAGAAGATGAAACGCTCGAGGATGGTGCGAGTGGTGGTGTGGCCGAAGAATGGAGCAACGGAGTCGTGGTGGCTGGGAGGATGGACACCACCGTGCTGGAATGCGAACTGAGCGGCGGTGTGGTGACGACAGAGGAGGATGCAGGAACAGATGGCGTTGCGGATGATGCAACGGGCGTTGCCGACGACTCGACAAATGTCAGTGGTGTGGCGACAGAAGCTGGTGTCACTGATGGAGTAGCGGACGATGGTGTCACAGATGGCGTGGCAGACGATGGTGTCACAGATGGCGTGGCAGATGATGGTGTTGCGGAAGACAACAAGGATGCCGGTGTGACCACTTGTGACGATGACACAAAGGCGCACGCTGGAACAGCAGTGCAGAGGAAAGGAGCAATCGCTTTGCAATCAATGCAGTACGCGGCAAGATTTGGCTCGTTAATCATTGTCGAGCCGGAGGGAGTAATGCTCGCGCCCAAGGTCAGCAGGGTAGCTGACGCCAAAAGAGCATCAAATTGCCGGGTGCCACTGTTGCCGGACAGCTGCGAGTTGACGACACCGACTCTTCCACTTGAATCCACTTGAATCATGCCCGTGTTAGAGCTGGTCGATGCGCGAACGTTGCCGGTCAAGATTGAATCCACGACAACAATCTGGTTGTTGCGAACGCGGAACACTGTGCCGCCCGTACCGGACGCAGAAAGCATGTTTGCCGTAAAGTTGCAGCGGAAGAAGGATGCGCGCAGAGTGTTGCTTGAAATCATGTCCAAAACACCACCGCTGGTAGCTTGGTTGCTGGAAAACACGGTGTCGGACGCAGTAACTGCAGAATTTGCGCCTTCCAGCAAGAACACGCCACCAGCGCCCGAAGCCGAGTTTTGGGAAAAGGTGCTGGATGTGATGGTGATTTGAGCCGTTGTTCCGGTGCGAATGACGCCAGCGTCGGTGCTTGCCGAATTCGAGAGAAACGTTGAACTGTCGATGACGATGCCGGCGCCGTTTCCAACGTACATGACACCAGAATCCGAAGACGCCGAGTTGGAGCTAAAGTTCGACCGGAGGATTGTAATGTTTGCCGAAACGCCAGCATAAATGACACCGCCAGTAGCGGCGGCCAGGTTGCTGGTGACTGTGCAGTCCTGAAACCAAATATCGGCGCGATCGACCGCGTACAGCACACCGCCATAGCCCGCGCCGCCTCCTGTTGGATCAGCCCGATTTCTAGTGATGGTCGAGTTGAAAGCTTCAAACACGGAATCATCGTCCAAGTATGCGACTCCAGCGTTATTCGAGCCTTGGTTGCCGGTGATGGTCGAGTTGTAGAGGCGAACGTAAGACGGCGACGCTAAATAAAAGACGGCTCCTAAGCTGCTTGCTCCCGCCAGATAGCCATCTTGGAAGTTGCAACCGGTGCAGCTGAACGATGCCGTTGTCATCAGATAAACGACGCCACCATACCAATACCCAGCATATCCTGACACGCCTCCGCACCCAGTGAAGGAGAGGCCAGTACCCTCGACGCTTGCTCCCGTGTTAAGGTAGAGTGCGCCACCATAATACATGAGCGCGTCGAGCACGACAGAGTTCCTCCACACTAAGCGGGTGCCGCTGTCGACGTACATGACGCGCCCTTTGCTTTCTAACAAATAAGTGCTGCTTTGAGCGTTAAACCTGATGCCGGAAATGCTGACGAGCGGCAGGTTGGCTGAGATGGTGATGAACCGAGCTGTGCTTCCGCCAAGGTTGAATACTGTGTTTGTGCCGACAATATTCACGCTTCGCGAGACAGTCAAGACTGTGGTGATGGAATAGGTTTGTGCAGGAAGACAGATGGTGGTCATGGATGCATTGTTGAGCAACGCCTGAATTGCGCCAACGTTCGCCACCGGGCCAGAGTTGCTGCACTCTTGGGCAATTGCAGGGGCGATAGCAACGCCAGCAAGCCATGCTAGCCATAATAATAATAATAGACCAAGAGGACGCATGATTTTGTGTGTGCCTTGTTGCGATTTGCGACGAGTGAGTGGTCGTTCAGCGAGTTCGCGGTGCGGAGGTGAATCTAAACAAAACGAAATTCATTCATCAAAGCAGGATGAGCGTTGAATCCTCCGCCGCCGAGCGACTGCTTTCAGGGAGTTTGGTCAACGTCCTCGATCGCCCCCCCCCCACCCTCCGCCTGCGACATTGCGTGCTTGAGAGCGAGAGAGAGTGAGAGTGAGTGAGAGTGAGATTTGTGCGCAAAGCGGTTTTTTTTTATCTTTTTTTTTTTTTTTTTTTTTTGTGCCTTGATACGCGCCGACACAACCCCCACCCTTTTCCCCGAGACGAGACTACCACAGAGCTATGCGAGGGTTTTCGCAGGTGTGTGTGCTTCAATTTGAACTTGCACATGTCACGCACGAGCATTCCTGCCCGATACGACCGCAGAACAAAGTCCCACCTCCTATCGAGGACTCACACAACATTTGACAACACGCCAATGGAAAAAAGGGTACCGGTACAAAAAAAAAAAAAAAACCTCATGAAGGACTCAAAACCATCATGCGCTCAAGTGATACACTCGGTTGTGGGAAGAGAAGGGGAGGGGAAAGAAGGCGGTGATGCTGCTTCATTGCACCACAACCACACAGGAGGCCACAGGCAGAGGCGCAGAGGATTTGCCCCCTGAAGTCAAAGGGTGGGTGTCAGAACGCTAACAACCGACAATCAGCCGTTAAAGCGAGTCGAGCGGCATGATGGACGCGGTTTTTTTTTTATTTCGTTGAGTTGCCTCCCCATCGCTGCGGGTCGTGCTGGGATAAGCCCACAATGAAGCTCAGCATACGAGATGAGACGCCGGAAATCGAGGAAGCGCGCAAGAAGCGAATGGCTGAAAGTGGCTTGATTGATTGATTGCCGTTCGTGACTCTTGTCCGCTTTCCCATATTTGTTGTCATCGTGTGTTGAAGGATTGCTCCTGGCACACGCTCCGACGTAACATCCGCAGCGATAGAATGACACAGGGTTTTGTAAACCGTGTTCCTACACTCCAGCAGCGCGTCATTGCCCGTTTGTGCGCTGTGGGTCGTTCGTTGTGATTGAACCAAATCTTTGTCTCAAATAAGAAAAAAAAAATCCACCTCAAACATGCTTTTTGCCGTTAAGCGATTTTGACTTTGCGATAGCATTTCTCAACCCAGCGAAAGGGATGGACGTTGACATGGAAGCTGGGTGCGAAACATCCATCCCAGCCAGACGGGTGGAGGAGCGCATATTCACACCCTGAGTGACGGTGAGCGAGGCGAACATACAGATTTGCGGAAGTTAAAAAAAAAAAATGTCCAAAAGTGAAAAAGTAAAAAAAAAAAAACAAAAAAAAAAAACCGATTCAAAAAGAGTGATCTGCTTGCATTTCTTACGATTCCGCTTCACAACTCAGTCACCCAAGAATAGAAATGCAGCACAAGATAACGATGAATAAATGTCGACCAACAACTCGAGCAAAAAAACAAAAAACAAAGTGAACAATGCAAAAAAACAAACAAACAAAAAAACAAACAAAAAAAAAAAAAAACGAAAAAAAAAAAAAAAAACGCACATTCAGAACTGTACAAGATGCAGCTGAATTTACAAATCCAGAGCAGCATAGGTCGGAGAAGCCAACTCGCGGGGCACGTGATACTCGGATTCTATGCTGCCGCTCATCCTAGAGCCGTTGTGTTGGTGTTGTACGACTGCTGCGTACTGGGTGGCATCGGAGGATTGGGGGGCCCGTTTGATATCATCGTACGCCGACTTGCGTCCAAACTGCTCGTACGTCGGATCGAGCCCCGCATACGTCGGATTGAGACCTGCATATGTTGCATCGAGTCCCGCATACGTTGGGTTGTTGGGGTCATCGTACGTCGAGGAGGACTGCCCGAGAGAATCGTAGACGGGATTCGGCACCTCACGCACCGCTGCCGTGTACGAGGCCTTCCTCTCAAACTCGCCAACAAGGGCATTTGTGGAAACGGGTACGCTGTTGGAGTCCCGAGAAACGCGACGCTTGGCAGCAGCGTTGTTGCGGCGCCGCCGGAGGATCAGAATCAGGACGAGGCATGCAACAACCACGGCGCAAACGGCGGCAGCAACCGCCGCCACGATGGGTGTAGTGTCCGACGAGGACGATCCTTTCGGGTCAGAATTGGCGGGTGTTGCCGAGCTCGATAGCGGCGTCTGAGAAGATGGTGTCGCGCTCGATAGGGGCGAAGATGGTGGTGGTGTCGAGAGTTCGGTCGGGCCAGAAGTGGCTGGTGTGGTCGGGTCAGGAGTGGAGCTCGATAGCATCGTCGTCGTCATCTCCGATGTTGGCGTGCTTGAAAGGGTCAAACTGACGGATGACGTCGTGGACGATGACGGTGCGAGCAACGAGGACGGCGTGACAATGCGCGAGGAGGAGAGATAGGCGCACGCTGGCACGGCACTGCAGAGGAAGTTGGCGATGGCCTTGCAGTCGATGCAAAAGGCGGCGAGATTGGGCTCGTTCACAGCTGTACCGTCTGCTGTTTTCGTCAGAGTGGCTTGGAAGGTCAGCATTGTTGCACTGGCTCCCGTCAAGAGCGCATCGTATTGCCTCGTGTTGGAGTTGCCGGACAGCTGGCTGGAGACCACAGCCACTTTGCCGGCGGCATCCACTTCGATCATGCCAACCTCGTAAAGGCTAGAAACCGATGAACGAACATTGTTTGTGAACGAGGAATCGACAAGAACAAGCTGGTTGTTTCGAACGCGAAAGACGCCTCCTCCTAAATCCGTGCCGGAGCTGGCTGCAACCTTATTCGAAGTGAAGTTGCATCGAAAGAAGGATGCGCGCAGAGTATTGCTCGAAATCATGTCCAGAACACCGCCGCTGATCGCTTGATTGCCGTTGAACAGGCTATCCGTAGCCGTGACGGTTGAGCTGGCTCCTTCCAGCGCGAAAACACCGCCGGCGCCACTTGAGGCAGCGTTTTGAGAGAAGGTGCTTGAGACGACCGCAATTTGAGCACTCACACCGGTGCGGATGACACCGCCGTCTGTAGCAGCGGTGTTGGACGTGAAGGTAGACCGCAGCAAAGTAATGTTGGCGCTGGCTCCTGCGAAAATGACACCGCCTGAGCCTTCCTGAGCTGCGTTTGCGGAAACCGTGCAGTCTTGAAACCAAATGCTGACAAAATCTTGAGCATAAACAACACCTCCGCTACCGTCAGAAGAAGTGCCGTCACCGGCGTCGTTCCCGGTAAAGTTCGAGCCGAAAGCCTCGAGCGCAGCGTAGTCGTCCATCGCGGCAACTCCAGCAATTCCGCCAAAATTGTTGCTGAATGTCGAGCTGTAGACGCGCACAGTGGCTCTTTCGCCAATAAAAAATACACCCCCTTGACTGTAGGTGGCGATCGCGCTGTCCTTGAACGTGCAAGCGGTGCAGGAAAAGTACGATGTTGCGTTCAAGTAGACTACCGCGCCACCCGTTGCACTACTGGCAGTGGAGGTAAAGCCGCATCCAGAAAAGGAGAGGCTCGTTCCTTCGACCTGCGACCCGCTGCCAAGATAGAGCGCGCCGCCAGTTTTCGCGGACGACTTGGCAAAGGACAAGTTCGCCAGGACAAGACGCGTGTTTGTACCGACCAGGATTGAGCCACCACTTGCGGTGGTTGAGCTGCTTGTAGCAATAAATGCAATACCGGAAATGTTGACGAGCGGCACGTTGCCGTCAATATTGAAAAAGCGAGTTGTCGAGCCCAAAGTGAAGTTCGTCTTGAAGCCGACAATGCTCACGCTTCGGGTGATTGTCAAAACGGAGGTGAACGCGTATGACTGCTCGTCGAGGCAGATCGTGGTCATGGCGGGATTGCCAAGCAAAGATTGGAATGCCGCAAAGTTTGCGACTTGGCCATCGTTGCTACACGATTGTGCAGTCACCGGCATGACAAGTAGGCAAGCCAACAGCGCAAGAGCGGGTAGACGACTCCGCAACCCGAGTGCTTGTGAAAATCGGCTCATTCTTTTTGGGCTTTGAGCTGAATTGCTCGGTGAGAATCTGCTCAAGAACGAGTGGAAATGACGTGAGAGTAAAGTGAGTGAGTGGCTGAAATTCTGACTCGTTCGCCATTTCGTGATGCGGGCACTGATTTGACAATTGAGAGCAATCACAACGCTTTGTCGTGTAGCATTTGGTTTGGACTGGAAGCATCGATAACGCATCCTTCCGGGTCACGAACGACCAAAAAAAAAATAATAATAAAAAATAATAAAAAAAATGTCGCGTCGATTCGCATTGCTGTTCAAGCCTGTCATCATTCTTCACGCTCGCCCCAGTGCAACTGGCCTTCTTTCTCCTCGGTCACTCTGCAGGTCGTGCTGGCAATTGCTAGTATTCGTCCTACCAAAGCCCCCCCCCTCCTCCTGGTCCATTTCACGACGATTCTTCGTTTGATGTGGAGGGATCTGTTTTTTTTTTTTTTTGTTTTTTTCTTATTAGGTTTGTTGTTTTTACTACATTCGATTTTTGAATCATGGGTCGTCGCGACCGCAAGAACTCGCGCGGATGATTGCACAAAAGCAGGGAGACGTGGGATGAGAGACAGTGTTTGTGCTCGCAGGTGGAAACGGGATGTGAGGAGAGCGGCCGTACCCCAGTGGCTGGAATGAGGCAACAATAAACCGTGACTCGGAAACACCTTTCAAAAATAAATAATATGAAAAAGCAACAACAAAACAACAACCCAATTCACACCATCCAGCCACTGACGCTGACGGATGACAGCCATCACGGTTGTACAGCGTAGGACTGTCGTTGTTCCACCCACTGGCGCGTCATTAGCGACCGCGCATTCTGCTGGCTGAGCAGCGAGAGTCGAATGATGAAGGAAATCGCGCCCTCCTTGTTTCTGTTTTGATTGTCGTCAAGTTGACTCCGACCTCGTTCGCGACTCGAAGAAGCGTTGTTGATCAGAGAAACGCGGAATGCGGCGTTGGTACTTGTTTGAAGTGCAGCAAGCAACGATCGTGGTGGTGGGGGGGGGGATGTGGACTAGCCGAGAGGCATAGCAAGAGTGCGTACCAAGCAGCAAATCACGACCGAAAAACGAAAAACGAAAAACAAAAAAAGAAAAAGAAAAAGCAAAATTAAGCGAAAAAACACAAAGTAATAAAATCTTAGACTGATGTCTCCATTAGGTCGAGCGAGTCGTGGAAGGCTTGAAACAATGTCACAGACTGCATGAGCGGCGCAGTGACAGTAAAGTGAGGAGGAGCGGGAAACGAGAAAGTGAGAGCCCAACTCGCAGCGAGCGCAAGACCATGAATGAGCACAAGGCGAAGGCTCGCGTCGGTAGATTCCTCCAGCCTTTTGCGCGCTAGATGCAGCCGAGTGAGAGGTCCACGCTGCTGCTACGTCGAGTGGACTGAGGTTCACTGCTGCAGAGAACACAAGTCGAATAACAAAAACACCAAGAAAAAAAAAACAAACATAAAAATCCTAAAAAATCCACCTCCGAGATCAAGTGACCAATCTGAACGAACAAGAGCGTGTCACCTCGACCAGAGCCGATCATCGGTGCAGAAGGAGTTTGCAGAATGCCTGTCTGTGACTGAAACGCCGAGTTCAGTCCATTTTTGCAAACATCACAAACAAACAGCCTGAGAACGCTGCTCAATCGCAAGTCGTGTGTGCTGAGACAGCAAAAGCAGCTCCAAAGATTCAAGTCAAAACCCAACCCTCTGCGACAAAAGAATGAAACGATCGCACTTGGAAGCAACGGCATCGGATACGGAGGTGAATGCGGATGATCAAGATGATGACGCCGGACCTTCCCGACCAGACTCGACCCACGAGCCCACTGCGCACGAGGAAGACCCTCGCAAACGGATCAAGCTGGATCGCGCCAAAGCCAAGAAGCAGCGCCAGAAGGAGAATCGAAAGGCGGCCGCCGCTGCTGCCCTCGCTGGAGCTGCTGTAACATGTGCTGCCAATCCTCCAATTCAAGTCGCTGCGACCAAGATTAACCCCACCGAGTCCGATGCGCGCGCAACTCTCGACGCAACAAGTCAAAACAAGACAGATGGAACTGCCTTGACTGGCGAGAGTTCATCGTCGCGCGTGGAACGCCGGCTGGGATCGTCCGTGAGCGTGCCGCTGGACGAGATTTGCTTCACGCAGAAGGACATGTCGCCCCGATTCAACGACACGCGTACAGTTCCTGATCTAATGCAAAGCTTTATCGATGGCTTGGGCGTGATACCTGGCCGCGGCGGCAACGCAACTCCTGTTATTGGCACCGCTGCTGCTCGTGGTGGTCGCAGTCCGTTCAGCGTGATGCCCCGCATCCGTGCGTTCACTCACCCTGGTGTCGTGCAGGTTGGTACACGAGTTTCGGGAAACAAACTATGTGGGCTTTGGTTCTGCTTGGCGAGATGCTTACCGGCGAATTGTTGAAAATTGCGCAGGAGCGATGGTTTTCGTTGGACAACAGGCGACTTCGTGCAGCGGTGGACGCTTCCCATGTTATTCTATTCCAGTATATCGAAGGCGAACTTAACAAGCGCGCTCTCTCGCCAGCGCAACTGCTTGCTGCTCATGTGGCCGAGTCTCCAAGCAATGCTGCTGCATTTGAACTTCAGATGCCTGGAAGCTCACCTCTTCCCCTACCACGGCTTCCACCCATCTCAGTGGAGTATTGCGACGTACAGCGTGATGTCGAGGCCAAGAAAGAGTTTCACAAAAAGAACTCCAACACAGCCTGGAGCGTCGGAGGAGCGGTAAGTATTCGTTCATGGCAAGTGTGTCAACTCGAAGAGCTGTTCTGTCAACATGGTCACTAACACTGTCGTGTCGATTTTGTAGCTGCGATCCGAAGAATTGGACACATCCAGAGCTGGCGCTCTTGCAAAACAGCGGGCCAAGCAATTGAACGAAGCAATGTCCCGGCCAACGACTCTGTTAGCCGCTCGGCTGCTTCAACAGCGCCAGCTCCTTTACCAAAAAGAGCACCAATCGCGAAGAAATACTGCAGCTTGGCAGCGCAAATCTTTTCCTGAGGCGTGCCTCGCTTTATGTAAGGACGGCGCACATGCATTGTTCGCTGTTGTCGTCTCAACTCACGTCTGACACACGACACCCGTCCAGATATCCTAAACCTACAGCGACGACAGACCAGAGCGTGACATTCAAGTTGCTTGTAGACTTTGAGTGGTATGGGCTGTGTGTTGTTTGAAAAAAAAAAAAAAGCACCTCGACTCTCACAACAGCAAAACTTTAATCTGCTCAAACACTAATAATCCGCAACACCATTGACTCGCTTTTCATTCATCCAACACAAAGCCAACGTTCAATTTCAACTCTACATTTCTCCACTATCACATGCTTGATCACTCATTCGACAGATCCGTCAATCGAGTCGAGCAGCTTTTGGTGGTACTCGCCGACCTGATTGAAAAGCTGCATGTGCAACACGTGAATGTTCTGGATTTCAGTTGCATGTGCTTGCAAGACTTGAGTTCGCTACAAAAGGTTGACAAGCCAGACTTGTGAGTGAGCCGGCCAAAAGAACAAAAACGAATGCGGGCTCAATGCGTCCACAAAAGCAAACAAATCACGTTACCTTCTCGTTCAGCTCTTTAATGTATGTGGCATTCTTTTCCATTTTAGCCATGGCGTTCTGTCGCTCGTTTTCGACAGCCTCGCGCTCTTGGCGCATTGTATCGACGGCTTGGCCTGCGGCCTCTCGCTTCATGTCTTGCTGGTGAAGCAGGCGAGAGTGGCGTTCTTGCATTTGTGCAAGCTGCTTTCGCACGTGCTGCAACCAAAAGCAACCAAAACAAAACCAGTCAGTCAATCGCGTAGAAAGCAAAATTTTTTAAGACTCCGATTGATTCAAACGTCTCTCCCCCCCCCCCGCATGCGCGTCGCTTCCGCGGCTTACCTGCTCCTTGGCAGAAAGTTCGGCTGCTCGACGCTGCTGAACCTGAATTCCTTCTTGCGTGTTGTCAATCTCGCGCAACGTTTCACGGTGCTTGCCCATTTGGGCACCAACGTCCTCGAGCAATGCGGTGGCCTTGCGCATGTCAAGCTGTGCCTTGTTGAGCGCCTCGAGCTTGGCACTCATGTCGCGGGCACGGCGATCTGCGTTTGCACGCAGCTCCTTTTCGTGGACAAGCGAGGCATTCATGTCCACAATCTCCTTCTTGAGCTTGTCTGGAGCAGGCACAATCTGGCTACGCAGGCGAGCGCAGTCTTGGCGAGCATTTTCAATGCTAAACTTGAGGTTTGCCGCCTGGTCAGCCTGCGCGGTAATCTCGTCCTTGATCTTGCGACTCTCGCCGTGGAGCTGCGCTTGCAGCTTGTTCAACGTGTTAATCTCCACCTCCAGAACGTCGACCTGCTTGTGCACCTCGTCGACGGCCGGTTGCTCGTCCTCGCGCTGGGCGCGAATCATGCGCACTTGCGATGCAAGATGCTGCGTGGTCTCCTCCAACTGTTGCATGCGATCGTGCAGCTGATCTGTCTCGGCAACAAGATCTTGGTAGTGCACCAAGTGCTCCTCGCGGAACTTTGTAAAGTTGATTAGGGCGCTCAGAATCGTGCGACTGCAGCCAAGAGGAGGTTGTTGCCAAGTTGTGGCGCAATGTGAGTGCGACGAGGAGACACACAGTGTGGCAATCCAAATCTTTGCGCCGAAAAAAAAAACACTTACGTCCGATTCTGGTCGGGCTTCAGAACGTCGTTCATGGAAAAGTCCTTGATGCCGCAGATTTGCATCAGGCGCTGAAGCGCAGAGCTAAAGACAAACTCGGAGAGCGATTCGTTGTGCAGCTCTGGGTATTCCAGCATGGCAGCGGCCTCGAATTGCGGCTGGGCGAGGTCCTCCTTGTTGATGCCGACAATGAGCTCGACAAAGTTCTCGTACAAGAAGCGCATGCTTGTGGCGGAAGGTTCGCGCAAATCATCCTCCGTGATTGGGATGCGCAAGTCGTTCAAAATGCCCAGAATCTCGTTGCGCTTGAGCAGCGGGAAGGAGAACGCAACGTGCTGTTGGGTGCCAGACGCCATTGTGGTTTCTGTTTTGGGTTTCTTGTTGCCTTTTAGTTTGGGTTTTTAATCTGTGTTTTAAAATGACGTGAATGCCACAGTGAAACAGCGAGACGTCAAATTAGTGAGGCTTGTTCGTAGCTTGAAAAAACGAAAAGGAAAAGAAAAAAAAAAAGCGGGAACGATTTTGTTTCAAACTGTTTTGAATTTTGGATGCACTGAAGTGCATTGTTCCATTGAGTTTTACGGCTGCGCTGCACCAGTTCAGAAGTGCATACTACTCATTGATGTGGGATGGTGCATGCTGGATGAAAGTGACGGTGGAAAGTGAAGGCTGGAGGGGGGGGGACATGAATGGACAAGCTGAAACCGACCAAACGGTTTTGAAACCGTCGCCGCGTTTGGATTCGACAGTCACAAAGCACCACCGTTCCACAGCGCTCACACAAACACGTTTTGCTGTGTGCACTGAGGCAGCATGCTCGGTCGATGGAGAGGCGAAGCTGCTCCAGGCAGCCAGAAGCAAAAGCCCGCTGCGAGCTGTCAAAGCTGAATCGAGTTCCCGCTATCCCTCCTTCCCCAGCACCTCGTCAAACAGACAAACGAGCACTCTCAACATCAATGGTTTTGTCGTAGCAGTGTCATTTTGATATGTATAAAACAAGGGCTCGACTCTGAACACGGAACGAAGCTGATGGATGCTCCAATGTGGACTCCAATGCAACGTACGTACAAAAGAAACTGATTCAGAGAGAAAAAAAGAAAAAAAAAAAAGAAAGAGTAGCTGAACGTTTGACTTTGACTGCTTTTGTATTTCTATCGAAGGAGATGGGAGTTGTCACTTGATTGCACTTGCGAGACGGTATGGCGTGAAGAGAAATTCACACGTTGCGAATTTAGTCAGCGAAGGTGTACCAAACTCCGCGCATCTGACAGCCGTCAGCTTTCTGCCGCTTCCCCGCATTTTCCGTCAAAAACATGCACATGCATGTTTGAGTAACTTATCAGCGAGCACCTCCTGAAACCGGATGGTCCATTGGGCTGGTGCGCAGCACTACGCACACACGCACGCACACGACAATCGATCGCTGTGCCCTCTGCCCCGCCATTCGATCGCTCGCTTGCATGCTCACTCATTTTGCCGATGGCTGTGTCATTGCTCACATACCAACGTGCTTCTCGAAGCTCGCCTCCAAAACGGGAATCAACGAAGCAATCTTGAAATTCATTCATTTTTTTTTTCTTTTTTTTTCTTTTTTTTTTCTTTTTTTTTTTTTTCCCTTTTTCGATATTTTCGGCACATGCGGCGTTCGGTCGTGTCGCTGGTCGCCCTTGCGGCCGCGCTCCTGTTGGCTGCCACGCCTGATGCTGCACAAGGTGAGACTCACTCCTTCCTTCCCGCGGCGGGCTCCGCTCGCTGTCAAACAGCGACAAACCAAAGTTTAACAAAGAAAAAAAAAACCACAAAAACAATCCGGCACATAAAAAAAAAAAAAAAAGCCAATGCAAATTCCATACGATTTATTATTATTACATGATTCTTGCATTTCGCGCTCTCTCTCGTTCGGTGCGTCTGCTCCTTCATGTTGAGTACCGCGCAGACATTGATGGCGCGTGCTTACATCCAAGGTCTCGCGCTCGTACTCCCGCCTCCTCTTTCTCGCGCGCTGTCGCTCTCGGCTCGGCTGGAGCTCTGCCGCTGAAACAGCTTCCTGTTTTTTTTTTTTTCTTCGATTTGATCTCGGTTCCATTGCGCTCGACCTCTCGCTCGTTCTGTCATCACTCTCATCTGTCGCTATTCGCTCGATGCTCCACCATCATTGATGACTCACCTCCCCGAGTGGTGGTTTGGCCTCCCCTTTTTTTTGTCTCCCCACCGGCAAAACCCATCCTTCCTCCCTTTTTGGGGCCTTTCAATGCTCCGCTCTCCACCACACTCGCTCTTCCAAGCAATCACTCCCAACCTCTCTTCTCAAACTTTTGATTCTTCATCATCGACTCTACTCGTTGTTTTTGCCATGGCTCCCCGTCTCCCTTTTTTGGGAAGACAAGTTCCGCTTTTTTTCCCTTTTCATTTTCTCACCGCTGTGATAATTTTTTTGTTCTGTTTTTTTCCAATTAGGTGTCGAGGTTTTTGCCATTTTCAGCCCGACTGGCAACGCAGGCGGCTCGGCAGTGCTCGCACAGCCCGCAAGCAGCGCACTGCAGGGCTGGATTCGCTTTGAGCAGGCCTCGCTGGCCAATCCCGTCTCCATCAGCGCAAGCGTGAAAAATCTTCCCGCAGGCGCAAACAATTACCACATTCACGTCCTGCCGCTGGATCCCACCTCCACTGTCTACAACGACTGTGCTGCCACCGGTGGCCATTATGATCCCACCGTGTAAGTGCCGATGGCGGTCTCAAGCTTCCCTTTTGGGTGCACAACATGGAATTGAATGGATTCGATTTTGTTTTCTCTCGTCGATGCGGTTTTGTTTTGCTTTTCTCACCTTTTTGTTTTTTCTTTTCGTTCTCTCCCTTACTCCACACCCCCTCCCCCTCCCCCTCCCCGTCCCCATTCTTTCCTTCACCATAACAGTGTCAGCCGCGCCAACTATGCTACGAATTGCGTGGTGACGAGCGCATCGCGCTTCACTGCGTGCGAGGCTGGCGATTTGAGCGGCAAGTTCGGCCCCATGAACACGACCGTCTTTGAAACGTCGTACACGGACTCGACCTTTGATCTCTTTGGCATCAAGTCCATCGTCGGTCGCTCCGTCGTCATCCACAACTCGGCGGGCGCTCGAATTGCATGCGCCACGATCGGCTACCCCCGCGAAATCAAGACGTTGGTGGCCACCTTTGCGGGCACCCAGTCGGATGGCATCAAGGGCACCATCACGCTGCGCCAGGATGCGAGCGATCCCACCTCCCCAACCACCATCCGTGTCGCCTTGTATCAGGCCAACCCCGCAATGGGCACCACGGTCGATCACGCCGTCCAGATTCACACCAGCTTGATCACCAACGATGCCGACGTTACCCCTGGTCGCTGCGTGAGCGGTGGTGCTGGCATTTTCAATCCATTCAAGTGAGTGAGCATTGAAGCGTCTTTTTTTTTTTTTTTTTTTTTTTTTTGTGTGTTTCTTCTTCTTTTTTTCTTTCTCTTTTTGTGCGTCTGTTTGAGATGTGATATGTCACTGACCCCATTTCCCCCCTGCCCCCATCCTTCCGTCCTCTTGTTGCAGCATCGACACTTCCGACCCAGGCTCGTACGCCGAGGCTTGCAGCCTCGACCAGCACAACTGCCTCGTCGGCGATCTCGCCATCAAGGACGGCCGCGTCAACATTTCTGCCACTCCCTCGGTCGCCCTGCAATACTTTTTCACTGACTTGAATCTTCCCTTGAGCGGCCCGAACTCTGTCGCCGCCGGTGGCATTGTCGTGCACGGCGCAAACCGAGTTTCGGCCATTCGTCTTGGCTGCGCCAACTTTGTTGAAGTCCTTCCCACCCGTGTGAATGCCGTGTTTGACGTCAACGGCGTTGCTGGCATGGTCTCCTTTTCCAGTTGGATCGCACCTGCCACCTATGTTTCGTCACTGAGCAACTTGACCAGCAGACCTGCCGCTGCCTT